GGCCGCGCACCGTGGGCTTCTGGGGCGCGGCAGCCTGCGCTCGCCCTGCAGATATAAGAAACCATTATAGCATGTGGGGGGTTCACGCTATCACGACCGCTCTGTAACTAGAACAAGCGCTGACTAGTGAATGGCAGAGCAGCACGTAGCTACCTGCATCGACACATGCACTGCACGCAAAGCTCACGCAGCCTACCTAGCTCATTGCCCCGATCTACTGGTAAGGTATACAAGGTCGTACCGGTGCTGGCCGGTGCGATCCCTTCGTCCCCCATGACGTCTCGAGACGCTGTAAAGTTACCGACCGCTGTTTCTTCGTTCGGGCCCCGAATTTCTCAAAAATGGGGAGGAAAAATCGAGAGCCAGCGGTTTTGAGAGGTTCGACGACCAGTTTTGAGAGGGCCTGAGCGTGACTTGAACAAAGTATGAAGTTGAAGTGCGAGCTTGACTGTCAAACTTCTTAGCGATGAAGGTTATCATTTAACGTTAGCGTCAGCGTTAGCGCCAACGAGTAGCTTGAGGACCTTGCTAATACGGCCTTCACTTGGTCTCCTCGTCGGGGGCCTCGAGCGACTTGGCGGCCATCTCGAGCGCGCCTTCGTACGTGCGGTTGCCGCCGATGAAGCCGGCGCTGTGCACAAACGTGCAGCCCTCGATGCCGGACACAGTGGACAGCTCCGCGTCGCGCAGGCCGCGCCAAGCGGGCAGCAGGCCCTTGCGCAGCGCGAAGGATCCCGGCTCCGTGTTGAGCGCCTGCACGCGCGTCATGCTGCCCGTGGCGTCGTTGTACAGCACGAACTTGATCTGGCCGGAGATCATGAGCTTCTCCTCCAGGTCGTGCAGGTGCGACTTCCACGGGCAGTACTCGGGGAAGTGCACGATCTCGCCGGACTTGTGCGTCTGGAAGCGCTTGGACACGGCCTTCTCCACGATCTCACGCGCGGGCAGCCACGAGTGCACGAGGTCGTGGATGGCGTCCGTGAACTCCGTGATGGTCATGTACATGGCCTGCTGGAACTGCGCGTTGACGCGCGCCTCGCTCTGATCCTCGTTCCAGCGCGGGTTCAGGTAGCCCACGCGGTTGCTGAGGCTCGAGGACACCTGGTAGTTGTACGTGATCTTGGCGTCCCCGGCGGCGCTGGCCACCTCGACGCCGTTGTCGATGCCGTCGATGTGCTCGACGAAGTTCTTGTACGCCTTCTGGTGCAAAATGTCCAGCGTGGCGTCGTCCAGCGTGACGGGCGCGGCCAGCACCTGGATGATCTCGCGGCCGAAGTGATTGTACACGAGGCCGGCGCTCGACAGCTTGGTGTCGCGCTGGTCGAAGGTGCCCGCGAAGGAGCGCTGGTGGTGGTCGAAGCGCAGCGCCTGCGCGTCGTACACGCCGCCCACGTCCACGACAGCCTCGCACTGGGCCAGCTTGGCCTCGTCGCGCGTGCGCAGCACGTCGTGGGCCGCGAACTTGGGCAGCAGCTTCAGCATCGACACGGCCAGCGCCTCGTCGCAGTGGAACGTACCGTTGTGGGTGCCGATGTACTTCTTGGCGGCGCCCTCGGCCAGCTGGGACGTCACCTGCGCGCTGCGGAAGGCGGCGAAGCACGGGGAGGAGGCCACGAAGGCGGCGGCTTTTGTCGGGACGGCCATGGTTGATACACCGGTTGGATGGCACCACTGGAATGGAAAGTGACTTGCGTTGACTAGGGCGATTTGAAGGGACTATTCTGGAGCACAACTATTTGGTACAGGTCAAACCGAGGACTAGATTACACTTGCTGTGAGTATGACCCAAGTTGAAGTGGACCAAACTAAGACGTCGAGGTTGGTTCACAGCAGATTTCGTGAATTTATGTTCTCTATCCGTTGGACGAATGCTACAACGTTGTGTGCACGCTATGGCAGTATCTCGCTCTATTATCTATATCTAGTGAAACCAAAATCTATGAACGTGTCGTGAGAGGACTAAACCGTAGGCGCAGCCTCAGCTTGCTCCTGCCGAATAGGACCTGTCTTGATGAACTTGGCACAAAAGAAGCCCATGGTATCGAGCTCCGTATTGGCAGGGTCGAAGCGCTGCACGAGAGACGCCTCGTGGTCGTTGAGACCTTGGCCAGCCAACCCGCGGTCGCCGATGTGGGCCTCGCCTTGCGAAACAAGTTTAAGCGGATAGTTTTGCAGTGCGTGGTGCACCATCTGCTCGTTCTCCTTCGGGTTGATCGTGCACGTGGAGTACACGAGGGTGCCGCCAGGCTTCAGCAGAAATGCCGCAACCCACAGGAAGTTGCGCTGCATGTTGGTGTACTCAGCCAAGTTATCAGCATCTCCCGCGTGGAGCAACCGAGGGCGCAAGCCTAGCGCCGAGCAAGGAGGGTCCAGCAGAATGCGGTCGAAGGTTTCGGGGAAGAACCCTTCTACCTGGAGCAGACGTGCCTGGCTGGGAGTGTCCGCCTTTGCCCGAGCTAGAACCTGCGCCACACAGGTAAAGTCGCTGTTTCCCTGTGCGGCAGCCAATCCCGCGTCCACCTTATCCTTGGGTAGGACAGCATGGGTCGAGTCCATCTTGAGGGGCACGACACACTCGAGCTGCAGATCGTCGCAAAGGGTCCGCAGCTCCAATGCCTTCCTCTTCGAGCGGTCACACGCCACCAGCGTGCCCTTGTTCCGCATCAGCGTGGCCACATGAGACGTCTTGCCTCCGGGGGCCGCACACATGTCCAGAATCGCATCACCCTCCTGCGGATCCAGAGCGTGGGCCACCACCGAGCACGGAAGGTTCTGGACGTAGATCTGACCGTGCAGCACGCCGTTCATCGGTGGAGCATCATGACAGACCCGAACCAACTGAGTCACCGCCAGTCCCCTCACAGCCCGGAAAATCTCGGTGCGCGCCATCTTGGTCACGCCGCGAGCAATCAGCAGCTTGCGTCCATCGTGAGCGGCAAAGTCGCTGCCCCGCGTGTGGTTGTGGTCCAGATCAACGAACACATTGACCTCGTCCTCGGCGTTGATGCCGCTGCTGGCGCTCATGACTCCACGCGCGAAGATGTCGCTGCCACGCAGCACCGCCTCGCCGCAGAGTCGGTCCACCACGATACTCTTGAGTTCTGGGTTGAAATCGACCGCAGTATCGCCGCTAGCCGCCGACGGGATCATCAGCACGTCCGGCAGCGAGGCGTGGGCGAAGGCCTCGATGGGCTGGCGACTGGCGTCCAGCGCTGCCAATTGGGCGTTGAACCCATCCAGATGCGGCTTCAGGGCCTGCAGAGCCTCGTCCCGGGAAAGCTTGAGGGTGTTCACTCGGACGGCGGTGAAGGCGGGCCTGGGGTTGTTCAAACAAGCACGGAGTTAGTTATTTCGGCTTTATGACACGCTTTTTCCGGCTATGTGGGACTTGGGGACGTACGGTCGGGCGAGCGCGTGCTTGATGTTGGTCCAATGGGGTTCGCTGTAGGCGGCGCCGAGCTCCTGCTCCACTTGGTCGGGGAACGTCACGGAGAACGCGTCCAGCGTGGTGGCGCCCGGGACGGCGGTCGAGTCTTCCAGCGGAGCCATGCTGCGGGGATTGTAATGACTGGTGGAGTCTATGCAATTCAAAATAGTGCGTCGTGATTGGCTGAAATGTGGAGCTACGGTACGAGAAGGTGAGTGACGGTCACGTTGAAGTTGATCAGAGTGATGGTCAAATCGTAGCCGCAGATACACCTTCAACCTCATTTGCGAATCTACCAGCAACAGCAACTACACTACACACCAGCCATGGCCTCACGCGCCCGTACGTCCTCCTTCTCGACACAGCGCATTGCTGCGTCGTACGCTGGGCGTGGCAAACGCGCCAAGGCTATCGCAACCGCCGCCCCAAGCAAGAGGCAAATGGCCATCATCAACTGGGAGAACGTCCTCGCGCCGATGGACTGGTTGGCGGTCTACCTGGGCTTGGGAGCGACAAACGAAGCCATCGAGAGGGCGGTTGCGCGGTACAGGAGCTCGCCGGATCTGCTTCAGTCCCTGGCGGCGATCGAAGAGCGCGTCATGGAGCTTCTGACGGAGACCATGAAGCTCATTGACGGGCCAGTGTTCGTTGTGAGCGAGTACAGCACCGCCTACGTGGAGCTGGTGAGCAGTTTGTTCTTCCCGCGGCTGACGGCGGCACTGAGGAACGCTAAGAGCGGAATTTACGTCGTCGGCACCCCCAACACGCAGCTGACAGCTCTGGAGATGAAGCAGTGGAAGGTCAATTTGCTGCACACGGCGATCCACGAGCACCTATTTGCTGGGATCGATGAAGTCGTCACAACGAATCTGCTTGCGCGGTCGGCGTACGGTAGGATCAAAGTCGTGGCTCTATGCGCCAACGAAGCGGACGCCGCTGCAGCGTCCGGGATCCATTTGATCGCGCCAAATGCGGTCATCAAGCATGTGAGGGTTCAAGGTCCGAAGGCTGGATATACACATTCGCCTCAACCGCCACTGTCACTAGACGACTTTTACGCTCAGCTACAGAGCTTGATGCAGTTTGTCAGACAGAACGCGAACTAACCTGATTACATAAGATCGAAGCGGCTAGCTTCTCCGACTTTTAAAGCAACGTGTATGCCTACATACTTACTTTACAATTCGCTTGACAAATACATGTCCTAACTAGCCCCGGACTTGGTGAACACCCCACGATCCCTTGCATAAAGTGCCCCCCCCCCTCTCCTCCTCCCCCAAATACACCTTGTTCACAGACGTCTCTTATGCTGACGCTCGGCCAAAGCACGAGATCATCTAACCAGGGACAAATATATTTTGTGATGATGATGAGGTATATTGGATTAATTAAAATAATCCTAACAACCGTGCATCACGCCAATTGGCAAGACACACAGACGCAGTGCTCCAGCGAGCAGATATTCCGCAACACTTTACCACCAGGTTAGAGAACGAAATGAAGATCAGTAGTAGCGAAAAGGGGTTCCGGGATCATTATTCGATTCGGAACAGTTCCACATCTCTATAGTTTCTAGTTAATCTTTATTACCCAGCCTCAAAGCCCACTGGTGGGCTCGGTCCAAATCCCACGCGTGGGCTCAAAAACAATAGTTGTAGATAAGACGTTTTCGCTTTCCAAAGCAATGTAATTGATTCTAAAGAGCTCCAAATGGCACAATGAAGTACAAGTGACTAGCCACTGACCCCCAGAAGCAACAGCAATTATTTATCAGATCATAGTTAGTGCGGAAAGTCGTTTGGTAGTCTCCGTGCAGCCTATCTACCTCTAAAATGATAGCGGCAATGGCCCAAGCTCTACAGACACATTGAAAACAGCACATCAAGCTAAATGAATTCACGTGATGCATGCACTGTTGGGACATAACTGGTTAGCCTTCAACTGCCATAAGGCGTCACCTTGTTGTACCCATGACGAAATTGTAGGGGTTCCGACTCTGGGAGTAAATCAGTGACCCAGTAACGCTCTATCGAGTTGGTAGTGCTTACAATAGAGTCTACACAGTATTTGAAGTGTTTATCTGGTCGGCTCTTGCTAAGTTTCACCGCCTACCACCATTGGAACGGCTAAGAAACAAAATGTCGAACAGCTATAATAGGTATTTTTTGGCCCAATCTTAGCCGCTGTTGCTACTAACGGAAATTACCGAATAATACCCCGGGCACTATTTATTAGTACCCTCCCATTTTCAAAACAAATATGCTAAATTATGGATATTACACAGTATAAACATGATTTCGACAATTTATACTGTGTAATATCCATAATTTAGCATATTTGTTTTGTATCTTTGTATGTAAATAACATTGTAACCCTGGGATACACATTGGGTTACGTTTTAGAGGGTACTCTACGGGTAAGGGGTATTATTCGGGAATTTACGTTACTGCAGTACCCTAATTAGTCGTGTGACTTAAATAGTCATGCATCGTACTTATACGAAATTTTACGGTATGTACATCTAAATTAGTCGTGCACCTGAATTAGGCATGTACCAAAACAATCTATAGGAGAACACTGGTTAAGCTTGACAGCCAACCACTCCACCGCCGGCTACACCGTGCTGTTCTAAGACCACAGCACTCCCATTCTCCAATTACAATGGCCGACGACGCAGCACGAAGCCTGCAGCAGGTCGTGCCTCTATGCGACCGGGTTCGGTGCACCGACTGGATGGAGCTGGACCAAGCCCTTCGCGGCTCGAAAGGTCTCTACGGGCGAACAGTGGACTTCTTCTCGGCCCTCTTCCGCTTTTCCGACCGGCGTGTGAACATGAACAAGGCCCGTGACTGGTGGAAGAAGCGAGAAGAGACAGCGGCCAGCCTCGAAGACCCAGCGCAGCTCAAGTTTGCGACCAGCCGACAGCGCATCCGCCACCAGTTCGTTGTGGAGACGCTGTGGTGGAGTGGATCCGCTGGAATTAGCAGGGATCCCACACTCACACACTGCGCCCAGACACCGACTAACGGAGGGGGTACTCCGATAACCGTAGGTTGCTGAGTGGTTCACCTTGTGTACCCGTCGGCGGGCGGGATCTGCTCTCTCGTTGACACGAGATGCGCAGCGGGTGAACTTGAATGTCCTTGGCGGGGACTTGGGGAGATGTTGGGGTAGATCCGCTGTGGAGGTTCCTTCACGCGGGTCTGGGTAGGTTGATCCTTGGTCTTGGCCGTAGATCTTGTGGATCCGATAAGTAATATAGCGGATCCGGAGTTGTTGCTGTAATGGGCCTACTTTGGCTCACTACTTTAGCATACACGTGTGCGCATGTGTACGAGGAAGCGTAGCTTAGTTTACGCTAGAGTTAATTATACTCGGACCGCCGAGTATAGATTAATCTAAATAAACGATCCAAATAATGTTGTTGGGCTAAAATGAGAACTGCTATTTTTGTTTTATGTTTCTGACTTCCTCTAAATGTAATATTCTAAACTGGGAATCTGCCAACGGCTGGTTGGCAGAATTCCAATGCTATGCATGTCGCTCATTGGCTAAAAGATGCTGTTTTCAGCCAATAGGAATCCTAAGTCTCTATGGACCACCCGTCGTGGTGATCGTAAATGTATGTATCCTTTGGTGTGTCTACACCAAGTACGAGAAAGTCTTTCAAACCTCTAACAGACGTCGTGTCTGTTAGAGTTACAAGTGACTGTAGCCACTTGTGCGTGTAACCCTGTTAAACCACCCCCCCCCCCTCAAGGTTAGACGCGCCGAGTCACGGCACGTCAATCAGGAAATTGACCATTCGTCAATTCTTCACGTTGGGAGAAAAAAAAATCGAGATCATTCCGCAAAGAGATCGCCTCAGAAGAAGACCGCCGCTGAAGCAGAGGGGAATACCTCCGCCGGGATAGAGACTCTCTCTACCCCCGAGTACCTCGAGCGTCACAAAGCAAAGCGTGACGCTCTTGCTGTCAAGACTGCGGCGGGGACAACTCAACCGGAGATTGTCAAGGTTCCTCTGTAGTCAACGCCGCTGTTGACTACGGGGACGGCGACGAGGAGATGGAAGAGGGCGAGGCCTCTTCTAGCAAGCGCAAGGAGTCTATCGACAGTGATAGTCTCGACCCGCATGCTGGGTCGAGACGCCCTCGTGAAGGAGACGACTCGGACGCTTCGAGCTCGAAGCGTCCGCGCGGCGAGAGCGACACTCCGCGCTCTGCTGCTGGGGCTTTAAGCTCTCCGCGCGCTGCTCAGGCAGCGCGCGGTCCGTGGATGCCGTCCGCGTCAGAGATTGCAGACCGTGTGGGCAACACTGTGCCTCCAAACGAAATCACGCTGTACGTATGCAGCGGTATCCACGACGATGCTGTTGCGGAGGAGCAGCGCTTTGATCCGTTAACGAATCAAAGGCGCGATTATTACATCGGGCTCTTCCACGAGCTCCGGTACTTCTCCAGCAAGAAGACCTCTTATCGCAGCAAAGTGCCTGAGTGGCAGGCACTTTGTCAAAGTTGGAACGCTTTTGTTGAAAACTTCAACAGGAAACCGGCTGCTTACCGCGAGCGGGTTAAGCATGCCCGTGAACGCTTCGAGACATTCTCGAGGCTGGAGCAGCTCCACAGATCTTCTGTGGACGCTGGTATTCCATGCGCTGTGCCCGAAGACCAACAGTGCACGTTGTGTCTTCCGGGTGCGGCGCGCTTGAGCGACCGCGACCTAACCGGGTACACGACGATTCGTGTACCTGCTAGTCTTAAGGATCTCCGTGCCAAGTTCTTGGCATGCGAGGAACGTGACGATCGTGGGACTTCGGGCGCTGTAGGTGACTACACCGCTCGCACTACCTTCGTGTCGGCAGTGTGCGGTGAGCTTCGTACGCCCTCACCATTTCCGGAACGTCCTGCAGCAGGATGTCCCGCGGCTCCCATGTATCTTGGTGGGGCGGAAACCCTTTCCAACGAATACGATAACGAACCGGCTGCCGGTTCGTTTTCGGGATACTATGGTTCACAATACGCTCAACAATCCAGCGTGTTGAGCCGCGGGCGTCGCGGATTGGAGGCGGCGGTGGTGGGAACACGCCCCGGGTATGGTCAACCTGGGGTTGGCCTTGGCCCAACGCTCCAGGAGCGGGTCGCTGCTGTGGAACAGTATCAGAGCCGGGAGTTCGCCGCTCTGAAGCAGGAGGTGGTGATCCTGAGGGCTCAAGTCGCTCAGGGTTCGCAGACCGCGTCGGACATCTCTGTCGACGTGGGAGATCGCGTCGCACGCTTGGTCCAGCGCGTTCACGCGTTGGAGCAGAGGTTCGCTCCCGCTGGGGCTTCCACTTCGAGCCAGCCGAGCTAGGTGGCTCGTGCTGGCGGTATGGCTTCAGCCGCCCGACGTAAAAGGTCGGATGGAGGCGCATGCTAGATGGAATATCTAGCGTGTAGGCGTTGCCATGCCGTGCCAACACCGTGAACGGCCCGATGAAGCACGGAGCGAGCATGCTCGCCCCGAAGTCGGAAACTGCATGTTTAGGTATGCTAACAAAACCAATGAACTCTTCTTGAACCCATTAGTGTTGCCCCTACCAACATTGTCTGCGTTCAGCTTCTGTCGGTCGACAGAAGCTGCAATAGCGTCTTGGACAAACCTAATAACGGCTTGTCTGTGCTGCACGTAGTTGATTGCGTCCGAGCTGAATTCATTCAGCTCGTTTCAAGCAGTAGGCCCGGCCTCTGCGTTCGTCTTCGCGGTGTATGTGCCCTGCACAGACCCGTTCTTCTTGTTCTTGTCAGTGTCTGTGCCCCGCACAGACCCGTTCTTCTTCTTCTTGTTCTTGTTGATGTCTGTGCCCCGCACAGACACGTTCTTCGTGCGCTTGTCGGCGTCTGTGCCCTGCACAGACGCGCGGTTCTTGGCTTTACTTCGTGTCGTTGCGGCTGACACTGTGCAAGTGTCAGCGGCTGCTGCGTTGCAGTCGACGCGAAGCTCTTGCTGGCCTATGGCTCAGCGCCTTCTGACAAAGCTCGTCAGAAGCTGCCGAAGCATCTTCGTGCTCGTGCACACCGTTATCGGGTGCACGACGGGTTATTACTCTACAGTGCAGTCGACGACAACGCGGACCGCGTTGTCGTGCCCAATGACCAAGACCTGTGACTCAGGATCATGTATAAGTATCACGATGCACCGACTGCGGGGCATCCGGGCCGTGTGAAGACATACCTTCTTCTCACGCGGGACTTCTACTGGGCCCACCAGTACAAATGGGTGCGCAAGTACGTCCTTGCTTGCGAGGTTTGTCTACGTGTGAAGCCTGCGCCTTCCGCGCAGGCTCCCTTGCAGTTACTGCCGGCTCCGTCGGAGTGTTGGCAGTCCATGTCTTTGGACTTCGTGCTCGGTCTTCCCCCGGACAGCCAGGGGAACACGGGCATTGTGGTCTTTGTTGACCGCTTCAGCAAGATGTACCATCTTGCTGCGGTACCTGCTGAAGTGACTGCGAAACAGACGGCACGTCTGTTCGTTGACATGGTGTTCAAACACCATGGCATGCCGATCGACATTGTGTCGGATCGAGACCCGCGCTTCACTGCACACCTTCGGCAAGAAGTGTTTACACTTCTTAGGAGTCAACTTTCGATGTCGACTGCGGACCATCCGCTGACGGACGGGCAGACCGAGCGCATGAACCGCGTGCTCGTAGACGTTCTTAAGAGCTACGCTCACTCGTTCCAACACTGGAGCGAGTGCCTGCCGATGGCGGAGTTCGCCATCAACAACTCGGTGCATGCCTCGACCGGGCATACACCCTTCTACGTGAATGCCATCAGGCACCCACGCCTCCCGAGTCTACTCGGGATGGCGGCTCCTTCCTTAAGTGGGGGAGGATCTCCCGCACGACGCGGACGCGACCTTCACGTCGTCCAACAGTGACGACGTTGGTGTGCTCGATCGCATGGCGTCAATGGCTTTGACGTCGGCATCAGTCGTGGCGTAGTCAGGTCGACGCGAGAGCGCGTCGGCCACGAAGAATGAGAGCCATCTCGCCATCCGTTGCGAGATGTGCGGCGACTTCACAGCCGTCCGCAGCGACGCGTGGTCTGTATAGACCACGAACGGTTTGCTTCCGAGTAGATACACTCGGAACTTCGCGAGTGCGTACTTCATGGCAAGGGGCTCCTTGTCATGTACCGGGTAGTTGCGCTCAGCTGGCTTCAGCTGACGCGATTGGTAGTAGACGACACGATCACGACCCTCGTGATCGTGCTGCATCAAAGCACATCCGATTGCGAAGTCGGATACGTTACACACAACGTGGAACGGGCGATCTTGGTCGGTCACCGCTAAGGTCGGCGCCCCAGTCAAGCCCCGCTTGACTGCATCGAAGGCCTGCTGACACTCAGCAGTCCAAATCCACTCGGCGTCCTTCTTCAGGAGCTGTGACAGCGGACGTATCATGCCCGCGTAGTTCTTCACATTACTAACACAAGTACGTGGCCAAGCCAAGGAACTGCCGGAGTTCCTTCACGTTCGACGGCGTCGGCCACTCATTGATCACTCTGACCTTCTCAGGGTCAGGGCGGACACCGTTCTTCCCAACGAGACACCCGAGCACGGGTATCTCGCTCGCCCCGAAGATGCACTTCTTCAGGTTCGCATAGAGCTTGTGCTTGCGCATGAGCGCAAGCAGCTTCCGGAGATGCACCTTGTCCATCGCAACATCGCTCATCCCGTCCGCAACCCGGCTGTGGGTGGACGAACACATCGTCGAAGTAGCTCGGTGCGAAGTCGCGCACCTGTTCAAGGTCGCAGGAGCGTTCTTCAGACCCTGCGGCATCACTAGCCACTCCCAGAGCATGCCGCTCGGCGTGCTCACAGCCGTGAGAGGGATATCGCTCTCACGCATGAGGATTTGATAGAACCCATCGCGCAGATCAAGAGCACTGTAGATAGTGCTCCTGGCCATCGAATCGATGATGACATCTTTTCGCGGTATCGGTGTCTGCGCCGGTATCGTCGCATCGTTCAGCTTGTTGTACGCATGAACGATGCGCCAACCGCCCTGTGGCTTCTTGACACAGAACGTCGGAGCACTGTGCGGGGACTTCGATTCCCGCACTTGTCCAGCTTTGCGACGACTTTCGAAGAAGTCGTCGATCGCTTTAACCTGCTCTCGCGGCAGTGGCCACTGCCGCGTGACACAGTACTTCATGCCCGGCACGAGATCAATATCGCGCTGAATGCCCTTGTCCTGCGGAAGCTCCGCAGGGATCTCTTCCGGAAGTACGTCCGCGTACTCCCGTAGAATTTCGTAGAAGGGACTCGTCCTCAGCGAGTCTCAACTCTGCTCCTCAAAGCGCTCCTTCTTCGTCTTCGCACTGAGAGTGTCCTCACTCTCAGTGGTGCTCTCCATGAAGACCTGCCTCAGTTCTTCATTCTCGCTCCTCGTTCTCTCGGCGTCCGAGAGAATGCATATTTGCTCGATGCGTCCATCGTGCAAGTCACGCGCGAAGCGCTTCCAGCTCATTACTGGAAGCGAAGTCAACTCCGACGCTTGCGTCGGAGGATTAGCGAGAGTCATCTCCCAGTACCGGAACCCGGCACAGGCGTCAAGACGTTCAACGTCTCGACGTCCGGCTTCTCAGCCTCTGTCTGCCCGGCAGACATTTCTTGTAGCGCCTCGGCCCCAGGACGAGACTTGCGTAGCGGCCTTCGCATGCGCCGTCTTCTTGTTTTGCGGAGTCCGGCTCCGCTTGGTTCTTGACCTCGTCCAGGCCCAGCCGTGGACGAGTGTTCTTCTTGTATACCGGCGGCCGGTATATCCCGCGGGCGGGCGACTTCAAGCCCGGCTTGGTCGCCTGGCGCTTCGTCGTGCAGCCCGGCTGCACGACAGCATGCAAGTTTTTCCGGTGCGGGACATTTGCAACCGTCCACACCGCTTGCAGCGTCGGCTCCCGGAGCCGACACGCCATCTTTACCTCGACGCCTGTTATTGGCGGAGCTCTTCGTTACAAAGGGCGCGTCGACTCCCGGAGTCGACGCGAAATTCCTTTTCGCAGCGCCGGTTCCCGGAACCGTCGCGACTTTAATACCTCGACGCCAACCATTGGCGGAGTCCCCCATTACGTAGGGTGCGTCGGCTCCCCGAGCCGACGAATCAAATTCGTCGATGCGACTTCAATACCTCGACGCCAACCATTGGCAGAGACCCCCATTACGGAGGGTGCGTCGGCTCCCCGAGCCGACGAATCAAATTCACCCAATCCATCGACTCCCGGAGTCGACGGCGTTTCGTCACCTTGACTCTTATTATTGACCAAAACTGATTCAATCAGATTCGCGTCAGCCTCCACGGCTGAGGCGTGTGACTCTCCTGCGTCATCCATGCCCGTTGAGGTCGGAGACTCTTCTTGATTCGCGGAAAAGCGGGTGTCGATCTCCGAGATCAACACATTTCCTTGATTAGCTGTCGGTGGCGATGCCGACGCTAGCTGCTCTTGCGCGCGTGCTCGCGCGCGCCCAGGGCGCTCCGGGACAGCGGCAATAGGCGCTGTCTCGAGTGGGGAGTCGCACGCACCGACAGGTGCGTGCGTAGCGGCAACAGGGCCATCGCTCACTGTTCCGCTGTCGCGACCGAAGTGCACGAGAGTGCGCTTCTCCCAATCGACGACCGGATAATGCTGTGCAAGCCACAGCATGCCTAATACAATGTCAAACTTATCGTCCAGATCCAGGACGATAAAGGTCTCGACAAACTCTTGATCTTCATACGTGAAGCGCACGCGTACCATGCGCTTCTCGGTCTTCACGACGGCACCCGTTGCCAGTCGTACCTCCAGCAGACTTCGAGGTATCTTTAAATCCTCGAAGTCAAGCCTTGATAGACTTCGCAGTCGAACAAAGTTGTTCGACGCGCCCGAATCAACCAAAGCACGAAGAGAGTTGCTCTCTCTCTCTTCGAAGACACGTTCAAGATGACAAGGTTCGGCTTGCCATCATGCATTTTGCAGTAGGAAGGGTCCTCACTGGGGACTGCAGTCCTCAGTGTCGCATGTTCGAGTTGGATATGCGTGACTGCTTCACCAGTAGGGCGCCCCGCGCCTACTGGGCTCCAGCGGTTTTGTTTGTCCGCGACGATGCCCGGCATCGCCGCGTCGACCACCATCTCGGTGCACGGGTGCCGTGCACACTCGGGCATAGTGACCGATCCTTCCGCAACGGAAGCATCGTACATTACTTCCTTGTTGCTGTTGATAATCAACAGCCGTTGCATTCGAGAGGTTCATTGGTTCCGGACCTCCCGCTATCGCAACCGGAGGCGATCGCAGCCTCGGCGCATTCGCATACAGCTTAGCCTGCCGCAGGCTAAACTCCTCCTGCATTGCAAGAGTAATTGCAGCTTCGAGAGTACTCGGGTACTCACGGAAGAGATAGGTCTTCACAGGCCCATTTCTAAGTCATTTCATGAACGTGACGACCTTAGTCGCCTCGTCTATCGGGTTGGTCACAATATTCGAGACCAAATACCGTGCTCTCTGCGCGTAAGCATGGACATCATGCTAACCCTGCTGTAGGTCGAGGAACTCTGCCCTCGACCGGAACTCGTTTTGCGGGGGCTCAAATGCTTGTCTGAGCTCATCCTTGAAACCTCGTACGTGCTGAAGCACGTAGGATCAGAGAGTCGGCGTCCATACGCCCGACTTCTCGCTCGTCCGCCAAGGCATGACATGGCGAACGCAACCTTGGACAACGGGTCGACGATACGTCGAGCCGCAATGGCAGTGTCGAGTTCGACAAGCCAACGGAGGAGAGGCTCGCCCTCTCTTCCGACATGTTGCTCACGTTTAGCTTCAACGATTGTCCACGCGGTGTCGTCTCCGACGCCACCGTGGTAGAGGAAGCAGCATCACGCTGCTCCTTCATGATAAACCCGAGAGCAACACCATGTTGCTCTGTCGACGATAGCGTACGCAGCATCGCAGCCACTGCCGCCTCCCCAATGACTGTTGACAGTCGATGGAGTGCCTCCCACTCTGGATCCGACAGGTGGAGGCAGTCAGCGCGTGCAACATGAGTTGCAGGCGAAGTGGAGCTTTCCATGGGCACCTCCGCGCTCATGAAAAGGTTCTCGGCCTCTCGTTCGTACAGCTCCGTACCAATTTCAGGTAGTCGGTCGTTGGACGGACTACGAAGTGCTTCCAGGTGTAATGGGCCTACCTTGGCTCACTACTACGGCTTACACGTATGCGCACGTGTATGAGGAAGCGTAGGTTTCTTTTACTTGAGTTAAGTATACTCGAGATCCACAAGTATACTTTAAACAAGATAAAGACTCCAAGTAGCGGGTTTTGGTAAAAGATGAGAACTGCTATTTTTGTTTTATGTTTCTGACTTCCTCAAAATGTAATATTCTAAACTAGGAATCTGCCAACGGCTGGTTGGTAGGATTCTGCTAACATGCAATTCACTCATTGGCTAAAAGATGCTGCTTTCAGCCAATTGAAATCCTAAATGTGCATGGACCACCCGTCGTGGTGGTCGTAAATGTATGTAGCCATTGGTGTACCTTACACCAAGGTCGAGGAAGTGTTCAAACCTCTAACAGACATCGCAACAAGTGACTGTAGCCACTTGTGCGTGTAACTCCGTTACATCTTTCTTCTATTCCAGGAAGAATGCCAGCGCTGGAAGGTCGTCGTGAGACTCTTGTAAATAAAGCGACGAGAGGGAGTTGCTGACAGGGGTGGTTCGCGCCTAATGAGATCTTGATATATAGAAAAATTGTTTTAAAATTTGTCCTGTCAAAATTTGTCCCATTGTGATACTATACATAATTGTAGTGTTGATCTTGCGTCTGGGCAGTTTTACCCGGACGGATTAACCAGTTAATAAGGGTTTTGGGCGTTGGATTTCGGTGCATCTTTTTAATGCGGGATAAAACGTGACCAAGGGCGGATAAAAGGGCGTATTAAACGGAGTCGCATTAAACCGTTTTATGTAGGTTTTGGAAGGCACCCATTAGGCGCCTTCCAAAATGGAGTATCCGTTGAGTCCAGAATCTCCATGCGCAACGCCTGAATGCGAAGGTCCGGTCGAGTTCGAGATGGAAGATTTCCCGGAAGAGCGAAGTGTGATTGACACGTCTGTCTGCGCGATGGAGCTCCGTTTAGATAAGGTGCAAGTGGAAGGTAACGACCTTCTATTTGTGGAAGGTCTCGTGCAAGGGCGACGTCTGAAAATGTTGGTTGACTCTGGAGCGACGCACACCATTGTGCGACGCGATCTGCTAGTGGCTCCTGCTGGGACGCGGGAAGAAAGGATTCAGGCCCGCGACTTTGAAGGAAGACTGTCCGTGACTACATCGAAGAAGTTCACGGTGGACATGACGGTGGAAGATCGCTTATGTCCAGTCGAGATGGTGGAGTGGCCCTTACGACAGGACTTTGACGGCATTCTCGGTAAGTCGTGGCTTCGTCGCGAGAACCCCGATATTGACTGGGCGGCTGGCACTGTGTCGTAGCAACACCCACCTCGCCGTAATTTGCCTCGAGAATGGACACCACCTCCGGGTCCTAAACCGGAGATCGAATATGTAGACGCGGACGAATTTCAACGCAATCTCAGGACCGGGATGTAACGGATTTTCCCGAATACAAGACCTGTAGGAAATAGAAGTCCGGTCAGGAATTGGTTGGAGTGCCTGAAAATAGAAGTCCTGTATCAAATAAAAGACCGGACATTTATTTTTTTAACCCTTTCGTGAGCAAGTCACTAAGTATACTATACAAACTCAAGGTACTTGAAAATCAAAGGGGCATTCTGCTCCGTTCGAGCATGTAGCCATCCCTGCCTCTTGTTGGGTACACAAATGGAACAGGGCAAAATGCCCCCAACGGGCAGGACAAACCTTGCGTCTTGATAGGCCAAAACAAAATCTTTATGGAGGGTCGCCTCGCTGAAAGGGCGCACGCGATTGACTGGGGTTGCAGAGGAAACGGCACCTTGCTTCGACGGAAGCTGATCTGGAAAGAGTTGGACTATGAATATCTTCGCTATATCTTACGAGGGATGCGCTTGTTTGAAAGTATCCGAAGGTGTCGTCGAAGGTAGTGCCAGGTTGGCATGCACGTTGTAGTGGGTACATGTAAAACAAGTAAAAGGCGCTTGTTGTACATGTCCAAGCTTTCTGCCAGGTGGGGCGACCGAAGGCCACGATGTTGCCGTGTCAGGCTCTATTGGTAACATTGATGAACTTGAGCGAGCCCTTATCCTGAAGTCTACGCTACTCAGTGTGGACTACGGTTGGTCAACAGCTGCGATGAGCTGAACGCCCGTACGTTGGAGATCGACTGAACGAACCTGACCTGTTAGGGGATATACCTCCTGCGCCGCTCAAGCCTGTGCAAACGTCGACAACGATCCGTCCATCCGACGGTACAGCTCCCGCTAAGCTTGCACGTCTTCACGCAGCTCGTGTGGGCATGCTCCAAGCCGATATTTTCAGGGCATGACCTATCCATATAATATCAAATCTACTACTATTTGTGCTGTAAAGCTTGAATTTCTGCTGAACACCACTCGGTCATGTACACTAACACTGCTGTGTTGCGTCATGGTGGGAAACGGTGCCGACGTCGGATACTATGAATATATATGTACTTCAATGTGGGCACTCAGTGAAGAACTGGTGCCAAGCAAGCAATATTTGTACGATCCAAACTTCTACGTATCATTTTCATTCACATTTACCAGATTTTTGCCTAATACCATTGCGCTCAATAGTAAATCTACCACTCTCACGACCCAAAGCATGTTGGTAAGAGTGAAGCACCATGTCGCCATTGCTGAAGCACGATGTTGGCGTAGGGTTCGAGTAGCGTCCCATCCATGCTAACGTCGAGCGTGGCGTCTGTATCTAGGTTCGGCATCATGCCCCCCTTGCGGTCGTCAACCGTGGCGTCCGATCAGCGTGCCCACCTTGCCAGCTCCGAGCGTGGCGTCCAGGTCAGGGTCCGGCATCATACCCTCCCAGCGTGCCGACCGAGCGTGGCATCCACGTCGGGGTACACAAACGTGCCGACCATGCCGTGGTCGCGCGTGGCGTCCACGCCGGGTTCCGCCATCGTGCCGTCGAGCGTGGCGTCCTTGTCGGGGACCGGCAGCATGCCCTCCGTTCAGTCGTCTGCCGTGGCGTCAACGCCGGGGTCTGGCAGCGTGCTGTCCGTGCTGGCGTCGAGCGTGGCGTCCACGTCGGGTTCGGCAGCATGCTGTCCGTGCTGGCGTCCAGCGTGGCGTCCACGTCGGGTCCGGCAGCATGCCGTCCGTGCTGGCGTCCAGCGTGGCGTCCATGTCGGGTCCGGCAGCATGCTGTCCGTGCTGGCGTCGAGCGTGGCGTCCACGTCGGGTTCGGCAGCATGCTCTCCGTGCCGTCAGCGTGGCGGGCCGCAGCATGCCGCCCTAGCCGTCGGCGAGCGTGGCGTCCGTGGCGGGGTCCAGCAGCATACCTCTTGTCGGCGAGGTTTGATGACGGAGCTGGGTAGCGGCTCGCAAAATGGAAAGTGAACTCGAAGCCGCGAATTTCAAAACTGCGCGCGGGGGGGTCTACTGACGCGATCTTTGCGTCGTCCAATCACATGACGGTCTACAGTTCCGCCAATCACGCGCGCACCACGCAGGATTCCGCCAATTACGCGACGGCAATGCAGATCTCCGCCAATCACAACACGAAAAAGCCGAAAAAGCGAGCCCAAAGGAAAATAGCCTGGGCTCAGCTTGGCGCATCCTACTTTAACTTCAACACCAATTAGTACCCCTAAAAATCGTTCAGATGCTGGCAAAATGGAGGGGGATGGCCTGCGAGGCCTTGGCGCCATTGCGTACATTCTAGTTCATATTCCAGACGTGGTTCTACGCGTACTAGCGCCACCCTCAGTAGTTCCGCTCGTGCCGCGTCGTGGTGCGCCCGCAGCCCACGGAATAGCTCTAGACCACCATCGCCGAGATCGACGAGTGTGAAGTCCTCACACATTTGGCTCGTCGCGGCCGTGAACAGGCATGGGCTGTTGGCCCCAACGACCCGAGCACGACCCAGATTTGCACCCAAGTCCGAAACAAGCGCAGCACGTGAAAGCACCCCGCCGCTACGATTATGGGGGATCGCAGAGCTCATGATACAGGCGCCCGTGCTTTAGGTAATGCAGCGACGAGTGCCCACCACACCCGCACCCCACGCGTGCATCGGCACCTTCCCTACACTACTTACTGACCGCTGCAGGTGGCATTTTCCCACCACGTAATGTAACCTGGTCGCTACCACCCGGCCACACGGCCTCGGGGCAGTTGTGATCGACGTAGCGCTGTGAGAACACTGCATTAATTGACCGTAACGCTTGGTGGAAGGGCCAATCATGCCCGCTATACCAACTTACTATGTACTCAGGATTCGTACTCAATCAGTACAGATTAAATTCAAATCTGAAACAATGCGTATCAATCGCGTATAAACCTGTGTTAGCCGTCTGATGTCGTAGTCATCACGATGGCTACTTAGCTGAGGTCTACACCGTTGTGGGCATCGTGATTTGGTGATCTTATGATGCTCACCAAACCCCTACTTACTTTTTAGTCTAGATTGGCATCCCGTGGGTACCTAAACCGCGCGATCATGTCAGCCGAGTTGCGCTAACATGAGCAGGTTGTGACTACTCAGGTTAGCGCAACTCGATTGGCATTTCCGCGCTATGCAACATCGCAGAGACGTGTACAACGGTTCTTCTGGTCCAACCTGGTTACCAAATCACTTACTTCGAAAGACTAGCACCTCTTTCTATGAAGTTGCAAGTCTTGACCGCAGCGCAGCCAGACTTCCATTCTTATATGCTAATAAACCCATTATTGCTTGGGATTAGTGTCGTTGGGTCGGACTCGCCCGTCGCTACCGACGCCGATAGGTATGCGTTTTGTGGTCATCCCGACCCAGTGCCTACAAATGAAACATAAGTCACGTAGTTTTGTAAAATACCGAATACGCCATCCACCTCCATTTTGCCAGCATCTGAACGATTTTTAGGGGTACTAATTGGTGTTGAAGTTAAAGTAGGATGCGCCAAGCTGAGCCCAGGCTATTTTCCTTTGGGCTCGCTTTTTCGGCTTTTTCGTGTTGTGATTGGCGGAGATCTGCATTGTCGTCGCGTAATTGGCGGAATCCTGCGTGGTGCGCGCGTGATTGGCGGAACTGTAGACCGTCATGTGATTGGACGACGCAAAGATCGCGTCAGTAGACCCCCCCGCGCGCAGTTTTGAAATTCGCGGCTTCGAGTTCACTTTCCATTTTGCGAGCCGCTACCCAGCTCCGTCATCAAACCTCGCCGACAAGAGGTATGCTGCTGGACCCCGCCACGGACGCCACGCTCGCCGACGGCTAGGGCGGCATGCTGCGGCCCGCCACGCTGACGGCACGGAGAGCATGCTGCCGAACCCGACGTGGACGCCACGCTGGACATCTGCACTGTCGGCACGCTGCCGGACTCCGCTCCTGGATGACAGCACGCTCGGTGGAATCCACCGCCGAGGTGAAGCCAATTGACGGCCAGGGCGACTTGCTGCTCGACTCCCGCTCGACAACGACTCGGAGGGCCTGCTTACAAAGCCCAACGGGGGTGGCACGCTTGACGACCGCACGCACGGCATGTTGGCGGACCCCGCCGCGGACGTTATGCTCGCGGACCTCCCCGCGGACGTCATGCTAGTCGATGGCAAGGCCGATATGGTGTCGGCCCCCTGCTCATTAGACTGCACGGATGGTATGGTGCGAATTCTATTGCGGTCGGCACGCTGGGCGACTGCTGCTGCCGATCGCGACGCCAACGGCAAGCTTGACTCGGTAGGGCGGCATACCGGGCCATAAGCCGACACCACACTTGCCACGATTGATGATGGCATTACCCGCATCCTGCCGACGGCGCCCTGGTTGAGCTACGTCGCAAAGTATTACTACTAGTATTGAACTTATCTGAGACGAGTCGGTTAAATATGCTGTAAGATATTTTATTAGTTAGCCACCATGGTAGCTGACACTACTACTATCACTTCAACTACTACTTACTATTAGCCGTAATATCCAGAGAACGCATCTCGCTGTGGAGATTGCTGCTCTTCTCCGTAGATCAGTCAAGTTGCCACACGCGTCAAACATGACCTCCATAAGCTGTTCTTGGCAATGATGTACTAGTTACTAGTAGACGTTGGTGAGGCAAGCCTCGGGCGTGAGAGGTCTTTTGCGGGTAGAGCTGGGAATATGACTCAAACAACAGCGCCTTTCGGCTCGGTCTACCTCATCTGGCCGAGCCTGCGCCAAACTTTCAGCAAAATTCAGTGCACATCGCCAGCGATCACAAACTCCTGCTACTATCACGAACTCCGGCCGCTAGTGAATCGACGGGAGAAGCAGCCTGCTTCGCGTGTGCACGCTGCTTAGCAGCATGCAGAGATCTTTCAACGATAAGTACTGTACTACTGTAGTACATGTACCCGAGCGGGAAGTTGAACTTCAAGCAGATCTTCAACGGACGCGGTAAGATATTGCGTAAGTTTCATCAGCTTTAACGGGTTTCAAACTGTTTCGGCAGCATTACCCCTAGCCTTACCCGAACCTCCCGCGATATGACTGGCCAAAATTGAAAAGGTGCAGTTGAGCGACCCTTCGACTCGATCGGGGCATTATGCCCCGAACGAGGGGGTCTAAACACACCGTGTTTTGAGAAGGGCATCGTTTGGGGCAGAATGCCCCGGTTGCACACGAAAGGGTTAATGTTCCCCGAACTTCCTTGAACATTTATTTTTAAAATGTTCCCCTAAGGTCCTTGGACATTTATTTTTTAAATGTTCACCCAGACCGTTGGCCATCCTCAAGTCTTACCTGCTTTATCCATCTAACCAGCTCATTCCTAAATCGCGGCGATGACACCCAAGCGCAACTCGATCAGCAACTGGAAGAAGCAAGAAGTCATCAACTGGATTAATACCGTCGGCGAAGGAGTGCCATCGCGAGCATCGGCGCACTTCCGTTCGTTGGGGTGGGACTTCGACCCGGCCGCGGCGGTGGCGCCAACGGGAGGAGATTTTGACTGCACCGCCAACGCGGAGCTGGAGGTCGTAAGCCAGCACTGGGGCACCTTGAAGATCTTCTACTGGAGGCGATAGTGCTGCGCCAACTCAAGAAGGAGAAGGTGAAAAATTAGAGTGTTTAAAGCAGCCGTTTGCTCATTTGAATACATTAGCATGGAATAATAAGATACGGCCTTGGTGGTCTATTTTGTTGGTTTGCACACCAGGGTAATGATTAATAGGGATATTCATATTTCAGCGTCAGAGGTGGATAGCTGCACAGGCACTTAAGCTCTACAGTGAGGTCTCTGACGGTCAAGTTCGCCTGTTCGAAGCTTCACCACACTGGATCAGCGGATTCATGAAGCGCTATGACTTGTCGCTGCGTCGCCTACGAACCTGACGACACTTACTGACGAGCTGCCCGTCGGCCGAGCGGTCTCGTACATGAGATACCTTCGTGATCACAAGGGCGAGTTCAACTTCCGCCACACGGTTCTCATGGACCGCAGTGTATTTCGAGGATGCGCGAGAGCAAAGTCAGTGAATTCGCCGATTATCTGCGTGAGGAACTCCCGGAAGGACTCCCACCCGAGCGAGACATTGAGCACTCCGTGCAACTGAAGCAAGGTGCAGTCCCGTCCTCCAGACCTCCGTTTCGGCACGCACACGTTGAGAAAGCAGCCTTACAAGTTTTTGTTGACAAGCTTTCGCAGAAGAAGTGGATTGAACGCAGCTCGTCCCCGTGGGTCTCCAACATTTTCGCTGTACCCAAGCGCGATCCCGTGACTGGCGAGCTGCCGACGAAGATTCAATGGGTGCGGGGTGGTGATCCTTCAAAACCCGTGCGCTGGGTTATTCCATTATCGCTATGTGAACTCCGCTACAGACATTCCCCGTATTCCCATTCCCCGGATTGACGAGATCTTTGACCGACTGGCTGGCGCTCATGTGTTCACGCTTATTGACTTAGCCTCCGGATATCATCAGATGAGAATGGCGTTTGACTCGCGTCAATACACCGCCTTTCGCGCTGGGTCAGAGATCTACCAGTGGTGCGTGGCCCCCATGGGCCTGGCAGGTATGCCAGGCACGTGGTCGCGCTTAATGCGGCGGATCTTCGAGAACAAAGAGCTCTCTGCGTTCGTAGTCGTCTACTTGGACGACATCTGTGTGTTCTCCAAGAACCGAGCCGAACACTTGCAGCACTTGCGTCGCGTATTCGAGATTTTGCGGAGCGAGCAACTTTACGCAAGACCCAGTAAGTGCCATTTTGCTCAGCCTCAGATCCGTTTCCTCGGACACATCGTCAGTGGGGAAGGAGTTCATGTTGATCCAGACAAGACAGCGGCGATTGCGAACTGGACTCGACCACAAAACGTGAAAGACTTACAACGATTCCTGGGACTCGCTGGGTACTACCGACGATTTGTGCAAAATTACACTGATCTCGTTCTACCTCTCTCTGACTTACTGAAGAGCACGACGGAGTGGGTGTGGGGCTCTGAACAAGAATTGGCCTTCAACACTATCAAGACGACACTCATCTCGGCACCAATCTTGCGCTTACCCGACATGACCATGCCATTCCAAGTCACGTCGGACGCTTCGAAGATGTGTGTGGGTGGTGTTTTCAGCCAGCAAGTTGATGGTTTTGATCACCCAGTCTGTTTCTACAGCCGCAAGTTATCAGACACGAAGAGCAAGTGGGCCGCGCACGAACAGGAGCTCTACGCGATAAAACACTGTCTAGGGCGATGGCGATTCTATTTGCTCGGAGGCCACTTCGTGGTCCACACCGACAACTCTGCGTGCCGTTGGTTCTTGCACCACTCCAACTTGTCTCGTAAGATGACTCGCTGGCTTGAATTTTTCGGCCAGTTTGATTTCGAACTTGTGCACAAGAAGGGAACGTCAAATGTCATCGCCGATGCTCTCTCTCGACCACCAGTATGCGTCACGACGGTTGGTTCGTTTGTCTTCCGAACACGATTTCCTACTCGAGCTGCCAAGCTTTTGATCGAGGGACCCGAAGCTTTTGTGCCGTCGCCGAACGCGTCACTGATGGACGTAACGTGCATCGGGCACGCATCGCTTTTGGTGGTGGGGGAGGATGAGCAGTTCGTACGAGCCATCAAAGCGGCGTACGCGAAGGACAAGGGCTGGGTTTCCATCATACAAGGGCTGCAACGCCAAGAGCAACGGGTTTCGGAGAAGTACGAGCTTCTAGAGGGCGTTCTTGTGGTGAAAAGTCCGGATGCTGTACGTGTGCTCCGTGTTCCTCAAGTGGATACGATTTTACTTCGATTGATGCACGACTTTCATGACGCTGCAGTAGTTGCCCACCCAGGCGTGGAGCGGACAATGGTGGCGATGCGTCAGTATTTCTGGTGGCCGGCATGCGCGAGCATATTGCCCAGTATATTTCGACTTGCGAAGCTTGTGTGCGCCATAAGTCTGGATCTCGTCGGCGCAAAGGTCTTCTGCAGTCGCTTCCGGTTCCTGAACATTGTTGGCAGCACGTGACTATGGACTTTGTCACGGCACTGCCACTGAGTGAGGGGTTTAACGCAATCTATGTGGTCGTGTGTCGGCTGTCGAACAGACCTTGCTACATTCCGACTACCAAAGATGTTGACGCCAAGACTACAGCTCGTTTGTTTTTCGACCACGTGCGTTACTACTCTCTTCCTGAGTCCACCGTTTTCGACAGAGACCCCAAGTTTACAAGCGAGTTCTGGCGTGAGTTGATGACGATCATGCAGGTGAAGCAACGAATGACTGTGTCGAAGCGAGTTCAAGCCGACGGACGTAGCGAACGGCAGATTAGAACGTGGGAGGACAGTCTCCGGTGTGTCGTCTTTCATTATGGTGACAATTGGGTGAAGATGCTGCCGACTGAGGAATACGCGCATGCGACGTTGGTGTCGACTTCAACTCGCATTTCCCCGTTCGAGGTAGATTGTGGACGGAATCCTCGCTCACCGATAGTCCTGGCAACTTCTGGCAACCTGGCACAGAACATGATCCGATCCCGGCAAGAAGTGATTGAGTTGGCTCAGCGCAACATGCGAAAGAACGTCAGGCGTATACTACAACCGTGGGCGACAGCAAGTGCAGTTCGACGAAGGTGATTTGGTGTACGTGGATGCTGGGCCTAAGCAGTGAGCTTGGCCAACCGGATTGCGACCCCGAGCGCAACCCTGCCTGCCACAAGCTACTGCCGAAGTGGTACAGCCCGTTTCCTGTGGTGGAACGCATCGGTGAAAATGCATACCATGTCGCTCTGCCATCGTTACCTTGCCCGTGGACGTCACGCTACGTTCAACGTGGATCAACCCAAGCTTTCTGTCGACGTCTCAGAGATTTTTCGTGGTCGCCAGATCACGAAAAGCGCTCCTTGCATGTATGACGAAGATGGCGAAAGAGTGTATGTTATTCGAGCGCTACTGGACCAGCTTCGCCAAGGTGGACGCAAGCAGTACCTCTGCTCATGGGTGGCCCTGCCTGAAAGCGAGAACTCCTGGGAGTTCGAAGATGAAATCAACTATGTCAGCCACTGGGATGCACTGCTGAAGGACCTCAAGAATAAGCAGCGCCGTGCTCCGCCGACCCCCAGACGCAGTTAAACCCGGGGAGGATATAATGTTCTCAAGACCCAGTTGCTGCGCTGAGACTGAGACTGAGATGGCATCCTCAACTTCAAGTCGTGTTCCTGCCATCGGTGCTGGCTGCTGCTACCGAGCGTGCGCACTGATCTCCATCTGTATGTTTACGAGCGGAGCTCTTGGCCAAGTTTCCGTTTAGCTGTTGCTTTGCTTCGTTAGTTTTTGCTCATTCTGTATTTTGCTCAATACAACTCAGAAACTCCGAACACTTCGTGGTCCAACATTATAGCCTCCATCCCACAGGCGCGTCGTACACCGTCAAGCCACATCGATCAAGTCGGTGTCTCACTTCGACCCACCAACGGAGGTGTTCCATGGAGCTGCTATCCGCGTAGATCCGCCCAAACACCGGATGACACCACTGCTTGGTATGCAAAGTGCTGCAGCAGCCGGATTCTCCATCTTCTCATACAAGCTCACCTTGCTCTTCTATCGCCTTTTGGACAATTATCCATATATATGGATAGGAGGTAATATTTTGACGAAGCAGCAGGCATTCGAAGGTTTGTTGTGTGGAATTTATATTGACAGCGCTGAGATGCTTGTTGTTGGGGCGAAAAGCCGTGAAGGTAGGCGGCTGTTGCCCCGAGAAAGAGGGAACGGTGTGGAGCGTGTTGTAAACGCGCTATTTTGCTTGATGTTTGCAGGCTCCACGAAGCCTGCACAAAATATCCAACGCCAATATGATTCAAGCTTTCATTCATAAATCTTCTTGCGCCAGTCGGCCGCTGCCGATGCTGCGTACCAAGTCGGTTGGTGCGAGCAGAAGAACACCATTATTTTGCAAGAAAATCACTTATGGAGTTGGATGCGCTAAAACGTCAATCTACAGGCCATTGTTCTCCTAAGCTAAGATGGGTAGACGACGACTTCGCTTTTGTCTATTGTCGTGTTTTAACCCCCCAACGACCACGCTAACTTAAGTTGTTGTCAGCAGTCCCAGTACTTGTAATGTATAGCTCTGGCAATGTGACTTGCTAACTTGGGCACTTTATCCAATCCGCGGGTGATATTTATGATGAAGTTGTAATGCCAAATACTACAGTAAGCTATGCAACGTACTGGTACGCGGGGCTCTAGTAATAGTCCGCCTTCGCGAAGGTCTAGTAGTATTGTACTGTTCACCTTCGATTCAGATTGGTCCCTTCACCCAAAGTGGGTCCCTTTTGCAATTTTCCCAATTTGAACTGGACGACGCGCTGGACAGCACCCACGGCTACTCCTACTCCCTGTGGCGAAAGCTCCCGACGTTCGGAGAGGCCGAGGAGTTCCTCCACGCCAATGGGGTCATTGTCAAACGTCTGGCCCAGCGCCATAACGGAGAGCTGACGTGGACGGCCTACGACGTCATGGACCCGGACGTGAATGCGTTCGTGGCGTTCTGTGACGGCTGCGCTCTCCGCAACGGACGCGCCGACTGCACAGCGGCTTACGATGCGCTGTTCCCGCACAACTAGGCGTGGAACGAGGTGAAGGTTCTGCGAGACACCTACGCCACCTCGAACCGGGCGGAGTACTCCGCTGCTCTGGTGGTCGTAAAGCGAGCCGCCATGGTGTACCCAGGCAGAAGCCGGCCCGTGATCATCTTCACGGACAGCGAGCTGCTAATCAACACGATGGAGAACTTCATCCACAAGTGGCGCCGCAATGGCTGAATCAATGCCAACGGAGGCCCCGTCAAGAACCGCGACCTCATTCAGGCAATCCTGCGAGTGGCTAACGGCCGCGTCATGATGTTCCGCTACGTGCGGGCTCACACGGGGCGAACCGAGTGGGAGTACTCGTGGAACGACAAGGCCGACAGCATGGCGCGCGAGGCTGCCCGCGATTGGGACAACGGGTACTATTGAGGTGCGACAGGATGCGTGTGCTTCAGCGACAAGCTCCGTATGCTCGTCTTGGAGACGAATAGGTTCAAGCTGACAAAAAGCTGTTGCTGTACATGTGCCCGTTATTGACATGCGAGGATGAATGTTGCTGCGTCCAAATACACATCAAAAGCTCTGTTTGGCTTGATATTCGCGTGAAAAACTGCAGAACAGTCGATGTTGAAGCATTCGACACCGGATCTGCTGGTGGATCGTGCGGTCCGCTCCAGTCAAGAGAATCAACAAGTCTGCTGCGTTGCCTCGACGTTGGACGTTGGCGCAAGTCCTGCGACGACCACCGAGTGCTCGCTGTCCCCATGTCACGCTTGTGACCGCCATCGTGGCCAAACCCCATCGCAAGATTTCCAATCCGCCTACTGCCGGCGCCCTCCACACATGTCCACCGACTCTTGTGTCCCAAGCAAGACAGCGTTTCAATACCGCCCGCGCGTTGGACATCGCAGGCCGGTCGTGAACAACCTTTGGGGCTTTCCGGTTCTGACTCAGAGCAAGGCGCTGAGCGAGGCATCGCAAGTTAACTCTTCCAGAGCCAGAGTGTTTCTGCCGTTCGACGTCCATTTTCCAGCTGCAGCACGGCTGTGTGTGCCTGCAGCAGCCCCAGCATACTCGGCCCAAGTCAACACATCCCGCCGCCGCGCCATCAGCTTCCCATTCATCGGCTGTACTCCACGGAAGGGCCAGGCTTGCAGACATTGCAGGGCCAGGCTTGCAGACATTGCAGGGCCAAAGTCTGCGTTTGTGCTCTCCGTCGGGCACATCAAAGGATCTGCCTGTCCGGATAAACGACACCTCGACAGCTCGAGCATCAACGACGGACGAATGTTCTGCTCTCGCCATCAACCGCGCGACCCGCTCGCTCACTGTGAAGAATTCTAGATAGGCAGCACTTTGACAGCGCAGGATGAAAGTGCCAGCAAGCCTCGTCGTGGCCGCGTTGGCTGCGCTGAGCGTCAACGCCGAGTCCAAGGGCTCGTACAGTTTGACCTCCGGGTCGGCGGACTCCGCCGAACAAACGCTCCAGACGACGTCGGGCTCTGGTTACTCGGCCGAGTCTTCCGCCGAGACGAGCGCTTCGTCCCTCGAAGGCTGGGATGTTACTTCCACGGAGGGATCGGTCACTGAGTCCTCGGCCGAGACGAGCTCGTCCTCGCTTGGGGGCTTGGATGTCACCTCCACCGAGGGCTCCACGACTGAGTCTTCGGCCGCTACCAGTTCGTCTTCTCTTGCTGGCTCAGAAACGACCGAGGGCTCCTCGAGCTACTCGACCGAGTCTTCTTCGAGCTACCCAACCGAGTCGTCCGCGGAGACCAGCTCCACTGGTTCATCGCTTGAGACGAGCTCGACCGGTTCGTCGCTCAAGACCAGTTCGACCGAGACCAGTACTACGGGTTCGACTACGGAGACGGGCTCGAGCACCGAGGAGAGTACGTCGGACGGTACCTTCACGGACGAGCAGAAGTCGATCTGGATCGAGCGCCACAACTACTTCCGCATGACGGCCTTGCCATGGGCAGCAGGAAACATGCAGCGCATGAACTGGGACGACGACCTCGCGAAGGCCGCCGCCTCTGCGGCCGCCAGCTGCTCGGCGTCTACGACTACGGGCCTCAACGTGTTCGAGTCCACTTCCACGGATCCATCGACGGTAATGGAGGAGGCGATCAATGACTGGGTGGTGAAGCCAGCGCTCTCGAAAATTGGCATGGTGGTTCCGCCCTCCAAGGAGGGCGACTCTGTGGGCGCGGGACTCTACAACTCGTACTCGCAGGTGGTCTGGGCCTCGACGACTAGCGTCGGCTGTGCCATGGCCAGTTGCTCGGGTGGGTCGATGGTGGCCTGCGAGTACTCGCCCGCAGGAAACGACGGCAAGTCCGCGTGGTACGTCCACGCTGCTCAGGCCACGCAGTGTCCGACCGGGACGACGGCCAGCCACGGCCTGTGCATTGTCGAGGGAGACGCGGCCAATGACCTCATCGCGCCGATCCCCGACGGTAAGTGGTCGTTCCAGGTCTACCCGACGTTCGTGTCCGACATTATGGCGACCATCCTGGAGGCGGCCAGGGCGAGGGATGCTGCGGGCAGCGCGCCCGCGATTTCTGGTGGATCGGCAGCGTACCAGTCGTCGTCCCCCTTCAGCTCGGAGGAGTCGAGCTCGGACACTGAGCAGACCTCGAGCTCGACCGAGACTTCTTCAGGATACACGACCGATTTCTCCGCTGAAACAGGTTACTCCGGTCTGGGCAGCGGCTGGGACGTGACCTCTACTGAGGGCTCTGCCACGGATTCGTCGGCCGAGACGGGCTCGTCTTCGCTTGGCGGCTACGGCGTTAGCTCTACCTCCGGATCGTCGGGCTACTCGGAGTCATCTGGGGAGACGACCTCGTCCTCGCTTGGTGGCTACGATGTCAGCTCCACCTCTGGATCGGACGCTACGACGCAGTCTTCTTCCAGCTCGCTGACTGAGTCCTCTGGCCTTGGCGGCGGCTGGGATGTGACGTCCACCTCGGGCTCGGCTGCCACGACCAGCTCGGCTTCGACGGAGGGCGTCGCCTCCACCTCCGGATCGACCATGGAGACGAGCTCCTCTTCGCTTGGCGGCTACTCTTCGACCGAGAGCTCCTCGAGCTCTTCATCGTCGGAGGCTACGAGCTCCGGTTCATCGACCGAGACGAGCGAGGACAGCGAGCTGCCAGGTAAGGTGAAGCCTAGCTCGGCGAGTGGATCGTCCTTCAAGAACCAGGCCGAGTCGCCGTCGACGTCGACGTCCACGGGGTCGACCAAGTCCGGCGGAGACTCGGCCAAGCAGGAGTCGACCGAGCAGGAGGAGTCGACCAAGCAGGAGAGCAGCACTCCCACGTCGGCCAGCTCGGGTGCGACGACCACTGTGTCGGCCAAGAACGCGTCGGGTGGCGTCAAGTCGGGAGGATCGACGATGTCTGCCGCTGGCGTGGCCGGCCTCATCGTGCTCGGTGTCGTGGCCGTGGCTGCCTTCATGGTGTTCGTGAGCTACCGCAAGAACCAGCAGCGCCAGCGCGACATCATGCGCGACGGCGGCATCCATGTCATTTAAATACAACGACAATGTTGAACTCCATTTGAAGAGAGAGAAGGAGCCCGAACCTTACGCAATCGATAGCGTACGCAGTGCCTCGCCCGCGGTGAAAGATAGAGTGAGAGAATAAAGGAGACCGACCTAGGCGGCGAGGCCGGCCACCGGCAAGACCAGTCAGTCGAGCATAAAGTGAATCCGAATCCGGTTTTGAGTTACCGGTATCTGATCCTTTGGCTTCGCAGAGCGCAGAGCAATGTCAGGATCGAGTGCAGTGATGCACCGCATCTGTTGCCGTTGAAGTCCACCAGCTCAATGCGGGGAAGCGGGCAGTGGCACTCTCGACATTGCTGCTGTTCGCTCTGTCAACTCGGTGCACCGCCAAGTTGGCAGTTCGGTGGGATATCCAAGGCCCCATCTAATGTTAGTCGCTGCCCACGCGATCGATCGTCACGTGAGACGAGAGCTCGATTCAAAGCCAAAGCTGAGCACGACGGCCCCTCCACGTCGTTGGCTCCGTGCCGAGAGATCCGGTGGCGACTGAATTGTTCACGCCGCTCCACCTAGATATCGACTCCAAGTCTTCCGTCGCGCTTGGAGTGGCCTTCGAAAGCGGTGGCCAAATTGTGGCGGGCGGATTCCTTGAAATGGCCCGTCGATATGAAGTTGCGTAAAAGCCTGCGCCAGCTGGGGGCTCGAACGCCAGATGTCGAGTCGAGACCAGGTCTCCGTTACGGGACTCCCGTAACGGGAGTCAGTGTGCCCCCGCCGAGCTTCTCCACCGCTTCACACTCGATTTCGACCGCGTCGGACTAGCAGAGTACAGCGAACACATACACACACACACACAGGTATGAAGGTGGCCGTGGCGCTCGCCTTCCTGGCCGCGGTGGCCAACGCCGCCAGCTTCAGCGCCGAGGACCAGGCCATCTGGATCGACCGACACAACTACTTCCGCACCACGGGCCTGCCCTGGGCCGCGGGCGACATGCGGCGCATCGGATGGAGCGACGACCTGGCCACTAGCGCCGCGTCCACAGCCGCACAGTGCTCGGGTGCCTCCGCAGCAGGAGTCAACGTGTTCCAGTCGTCGGCCAGCAACTCGTCCTCCATCATCGACGAGGCCATCCAGCAGTGGGTCGTGGAGACGTCCATGACGACGCTCAAGACTCTGCCCCAGCCTGGCACCGTCGGCGTGGCCGTCGGAACGGGCGTGTACAATTCCTACTCGCAGGTGCTCTGGGACTCCACGACCAGCGTTGGCTGCGCCACATCGAGCTGCTCCGGTGGAGACATGGTCGTCTGCGAGTACTCGCCCGCGGGCAACGACCCGTCCTCGCCCTGGTACGTGCACGGCGAGACGGCGTCCGACTGTCCGTCGGGCACCACGGCCTCGCAGGGCCTGTGCATCGTCGAGGGCGACGCGGCCAACGACCAGATCGCCCCCATCCCGGCGGGCAAGCAAACTTACGAGGTGTACCCGGCCTACGTGGCCAACATGCAGACGCTGCTGATTGAGGTGGCTCGTGCCATTGCCAGCGGATCGACGACGACTACAGGATCGGCCACCCAGTCCGCCCCCGCAGCTACGACGGCCGCCTCAACGGACAGCGCGATTCAAACGGCCACTACTCCTGCCCCGGCCACTTCGTCGAACTCGCAGGCGTCTTCCTCTGGCGATGACGGCGCGGCCACCAAGACCGGATCGACCAAGACGACCACCACTTCGTCCTACTCGTCGCTGGAATCGGGATCGGGATCGGAGCCTTCAGCGGCCACCAAGAGCGGCAAGACGACGGCGTCTTCTAGCACGACGGACTCGTCGTCAGGTACCTCGAAGGCCACGAAGAGCGGCAAGTCGACGACAACAACGTCTTCGTCCACGACGGATTCGTCCGAAAACGACACTGCCACCAAGCAGACCTCGCAGACGTCGAACTCAGAGGCGTCCTCTTCGGATGAGTCGGCACCCGGCACGGTTAAGGCGAGCTCGGACACGGGATCGACGTTCACGAACCAGGCGCCCTCGACGACGACGGAATCGTCGACCAAGCAGAGCAGCACGGCGTCGTCTACGGAGCAGACTTCAAGCAGCGCGGCGACCGCCCCCAGCACGGCCAGCGCCGAGAGCGCGAGCAGCATCACCAACAAGTCCAGCACATCTGGCGGCGGTGGCATCTCTGCTGCCGGCTTTGCCGGTATGATCGTGCTGGCCGTGGTCGGTGTCGCCGCTTTTGGCGTCGTCATGAGCTACAAGAGGAACCAGCGGCGCCAGCGCGAGATTATGCGCGACGGCGGTATTCGGATCATTTAAGCTAGAACTGTGGCGCTTCCACGATGGAGACACATGTGATGAGTCCCGAGTTAGCACTCGAAGCGGGTCTCGATGGCAGCAATAGCGGCGAGATCAAGGACGCTGAAAGCTGTAGTCGAGGCGGTTTGGCTTTAGTGCAGTGCAGTCTAGTGCAGTCAATCCAGTTTTGTTCGTATTTGCTAGACGCGAGTGTTTTGTAAAGCTGGTAAGCTGCAGCAACTCTCTCTACCTACAAGCTTTGGGCAGGGGTTAAAATACATAATGTACTCATTGACCTCAATTGCCTACAATTTCTACTCAAACCTCACGCATGCCTTCAACGAGCGAGGAGAAGAAGGATGCACCTGCAGATCCTCTTGCGTATCGATACCAGTCAATTCAACTTGCGATGTTGAAGTCTTCACCAAAGGTTATGTAGAAGTTCATCCGCTCCTACACCGCTGTAAATACTCCATCTCTAGCCAATTCAGACAGCCTCGATTTATTGGAACTCGGAATGGCCTGACCGTTTTTTTTTCGAGGAACATGCTTTGCACAAAGCTGTTTAGCATGTTCCGCTTGCTTGTTTATCAAAGTGACATTGGACTCCAATTTGGAGAGACGATCTCCCCCGCCAAGTTGAAGATGTGTCCAAACACCCACCGAAGTGTCGAATCTGAAGATGCCTAGAATCTAAAGTGCGACGACTGATGCATGTAGCAGTACCGGTATCCACATGTAACAGCGAATTTCCACTCCCGGTCCGCTTCAGACCACGCTTTCGAGAGCGGTGCTCGGTGGACAAGTGTGTCCGCTCTGTAAGGACCAACTGAGACTTTCGTGTCACCTGTTGCGTTGTTCCCCAGTCGCACCTGCCCCCCATTTGGCTTGGCTTGCGGAACAAGCTGACCCGAACTCGCAACAGCTTGACAGCGAGCGACAGTCACGCGATGCGAGTTTGCGCTTGAATTTTCAGACACAGCGTTGTGCCGTTCACCAAGAACGCTCGCGTCGAACCCAGGGACAAAATACAGTTTGGCCAACCTTCCCTCTCGTGATGAGATCGTCTCCACACGTGGATCTCCTCGGGAACAAGGCCCGGTCGCACTTGTAAAATGTCGGACTGAAGCCGTGCTTGAGCGCCAGACATTTCGGCTGTGGATTGTTGATTCGGTTGCCGCTTGGGCTAAGTCGCAGGATTTGAGGTGCCAACGAACGGACAGGAAAGGAATCGAGGAAGTGCTGGCTGCCATGTGGGGCCGGATGTGCGACGCCCCGAGAAGACCACAACCAATTTCCTCTCGCTCAGCACACCGCGTGCTGTGCTGCAGCTCTCGATATTTAACAGCACCCCCATGAAGTTGTCAAACGGGCTCGCACTCTCGGCTGCGGCTGTCGCAAGCGTCAGCGCCGAGAGCTTCAGCGAAGCGGACCAAGCCATTTGGATCGACCGCCACAACTACTTCCGCACCACTGGTCTGCCATGGTCGGCCGCTAACATGCGCCGCATCGGCTGGGACGCCGATCTGGCGACCAAGGCGGCCGCCACTGCGAAGGCGTGCTCGGCCACCACATCGACAGGTGTGAACGCCTTCCAGTCGACGGCCACCAGCGCGTCGGACGCTATCGACCAGGCCATTCAGCAGTGGGTCGTGGAGACGGCCGTGACCACGATCAAGACGATGGCCCAGCCCGGCTCCAGCGGTTTGGAGGTGGGCGTCGGTTTCTACAACTCGTACTCGCAGGTGGTGTGGGCGTCCACGACCAGCGTCGGATGCGCGACGGCGACCTGCTCGGGAGGGGAACTGGTGGTGTGCGAGTACTCGCCGGCCGGAAACGATGGCAAGTCTCCCTGGTACAAGCACGCGTCTCAAGCGTCCGAGTGCCCCGACAACACTGTCGCAGCTGGAAACCTCTGCATTGAGGAAGGCGCCGACGCCAACAACCAGATCGCGCCGATTGCCGCGGGTGACTACACGTACCAGGTATACCCGTCGTTCGTGGCGGATATCCAGTCCATTCTCATTAACTCTGCCCGCGATATCGCCAACGGCTCAGTCCCTCCGTCGACGGCGACAAAATCGGACAACTCTTCCACTCCGGAAGCGACGACAGCCACGCCTCCCACGACCAAGGGCGCGTCAAAGATGTCGACGAAGCAGGGAATTCCGTCGTCGTCATCCTCCTCCTCCTCTTCCTCGTCAACGGTATCGCAGGACGACAGCTACCTCCTTCCTGGCAAAGTGAAGCCTAGCTCGGACACCGGCTCCACCTTCCAGAACGAGGTCAAGCCTCCGGCAGCTCAGGAATCGGCCAAAACGGCACTGAAGTCCACGACTTCGAGTGAAGCCACGACCACCAAGGAGCAGACCGAGTCTCTGACGACGAGCACTGGAGAAGGAGGCGCGAAGGCACACGGCATGTCAACCCTCGGTATGGTCAGTATGTTCATTCTCGGTATTGCAGCGGTGGCTGGCATCGTCATGTTCGTCCACTACCGCGTGTCCACTCAGCGCCAGAACGACGTCCTCCTCGACGGTGGCATCCAAAGATAAGCTAAGTAGCCGCAACTTTTTCCCCCTTACAGTCAGGGACTATGAATTGTCCTCTCTAGCCTAGATTTCCGTCTACTCGAGTTCCGTTCGCTTTAATCGATTGAGGCTTTTTAATCGGTGTGGCCTTGTCGGACATGGTGCGAACCACGTTGAAGCTGTTCGAGGAAAACGCAAACCAAGAGCCCATTTTAGCATTTTAGGTCTCGTCGCGTCGTGGGAGCTACCGTCTTATTTGTGGCACCATGTCGTGCGGCTTCACGCCGGACCTTGCGCGCATGCTGGAGCAAATGGCCGTGGAGAAGGAGCGCCATGCCGCCGAGGCGCAGCAGACTCTGGCAGAGACGGAGCAGAATGTGGCACGCGTCAAGTCGAAAATGGATAAAGTGGTCGACAAGCAAGACGCCCAGAATGGATACGACTGGACCCGGACGTACGAGAAATGGGAAGCGTGGGAAGACCCCGAGGAGCTGGCGAGGCAGGAGCAGGAGGCTCGGGAGCGCAGCGAGCGCGCCGCCAAGGCGCAGATGGGCTGCAACCACGACCACTCGGCCGTGAGTTTAGATGTGGTAATATCTTGATAATTAGATGTGGTACTGAATATTATTTGTGGTACAGGAGCAAAAGCTGATGGACATGACCACGCAGGAGAAGCTGGGGGCCTGTGACGAGTTCCGGGTGCTGGGCAACCTCTTCTTCAAGCACGGACAGTATCAGAGGGCTGCGTTCCACTACCACAAGGCGCTGGTGTACTTCGAGTACGTCTTCACAGACACCGAAGAGGAAGAGGCTCAGGCGGACGCGTTGAAGTTGAAGCTGCTGCTGAACTTTGCCGCGTGCCGACTCAAGACGATGCACCTGGACGACGCTGTGCATCACGCCAACCAGGCGCTGGAGATTGACGCAGACAATGTGAAGGCCTTGTATCGTCGTGCACAGGCATACAGACTCAAGGACGACTTCGACCTCGCACAGCAGGACATCGCTCGAGCCATTGAGCTCTCAAAGGAAGCGGGCGGTGCGCAGTCGGCGGACGCGCAGTTGGTGCAGGAGAAGACGTTGCTGCAGGCCAAAATGCTCGCGTACAAGCTGCGGACGAAGCAGGTCTCGGCTGCGATGTTCGGCAATGGAGACAAGCCCAAGCCTCTAGGGGGGCACTACATCTCCGGACTTCGAGCGCCGGATGCCAACGCGATGTCGCTCAACTTGTCGAAGGGACCGATGTCAGCTTCAGTGTCGTCGAGTGGCGATTTCCCGAGCTTGGACACCTGGCAGCCCTCGACTCGAGGCTTGAAGGAGCTGCAGACGCTGATAACGCAGCTCGACGGATAGCTTGGGTGGGGAGAGAGCTGAAAGAAAACGTAAAGCGAATTATATTCTATAGGTTGTACTATCGCAAGTAAGAGAGGCTGACTCTGCGGTCACACGTTCAAGGGCTTGATCTAGTCCTCGAACTTGAACGAGTTGGAAGCCATGCTGATGGCGCCACACATGTACGTCGAGCGCTTGAGCTTGTTCTTGCCCTTGGTGAAGTCCTTCCCGCGCGTCTTGAGCAGCTTGTTGTTGGCCTTGACACCGACGCCGTCGGCGCCGAACGTGCCTTCGTAGCTGTTGTCACGCAGCGAGTCGTCCACGATCTTCTGCGACCAGAACTCGTCGTCCACGCGCTGGAACGGCGTGCCCGCCGACTTGGCCTTGACGGCCACCTTCTCGATCTTCTTGGGCTGCCACTCCAGCGCGGCCTTGGCGGCCTGCTCGCGACGCGCAGCCTCCTTCTTCTGAGCCTCCTCGTCCTCAGACGAGTCGGACGAATCCGAAGAGGAAGAGTCCGACGAAGAAGACGAGTCGTCCGAGGAAGAGCTGTCCGAGCTGGACTCGGCCTCCTTCTTGGCCTTCTTGCTGCTCTTGCCAGCGGCAGGGGTCTCAGCCTTGCGCTTGTTGGTCTTGGGCTTCTCCCCCTCTTCCTCGTCAGAAGAGTCGGAGGAATCCGACGAGTCCGAGCTGGACTCCTCCTTCGCAGCAGCCTTCTTCATGTCCGCAGGAGTAGCCTTCTTGGCCGGCTTCTCTTCCTCCTCGTCCGACGAATCGTCCGAGTCCGACGAGCTGCTCTCCTCCTTCTTGGCAGCCTCCTTCTTCTTGGGCTTCTCCTTCTCCTCCTCCTCCGAGTCGGACGAGTCCGAGCTAGAGCTAGAGCTGGAGCTGGACTCCTCCTTCTTCTTCTCCTCCTTCGCCTTCTCCTTCGCCTTGGGCGCCACCTTCTTGGGCTTCTCCTCCTCCGACTCGTCGTCCGAGTCCGAGTCCGAGTCCGAGCTCGACGACTCCTGCTTCTTGGCCTTGGTCTTCTCCTCCTTCTTCTCCTCCTCCGAGGACGAGGAGGAGGACGAGGACGAGGACTCTCCCACCTCAGCGGGCTTGCTCTTCTTCTTCTCCTTCTCCTCCTCCTTCTTCTCCTCCTCACTGCTGCTGGACGAGGAAGACGAGGGCGAGGACGACGCCGTGACCTTCTTGGCCTTCTTGGTCTTGGCCGCGTCCACCACGGAGGCGGCCGGCACCTTGGCCTTCTTCATGCTGCGCTGCGTCAGGTAGAAGCTGTAGACCTCGAGCAGGTCGTGCTCGCTCTTGAAGGCCTTGGGCTCCAGCTTGGCCTCCTTAGCCAGCGCGGCCGCCGCCTTCTTCAGCCCCGCGCCCGTCAGCAGCGCGTGCACCAGCGGGAAGACGTCGCTCGCCACCACCATCGCTCTGGAAGAATTATGGCCGTCCGTCCGCCCAGCAGCAGCGTCACACCACACGACGTTTGTCGGCCACGCACCAGTGGCCAATCATGAAAACCTTTGAAATGACATTCACGCATTCGTTCTCACAGGTACTTGTTGAAGGCGGCGAAAAATAGACAAGCTTTCGTCAAACAGGACTTTTTGGCCGTTTCTTACTGGATGTACCCTCACTTCCGACATCGGTTTTTCTATCGGATTTAAAGGGGGATTGTATTTGCTTGGGTTTAAGCTGTATTTTGGCTCATAGAGGTCAAGCTCATCATGGTCGCAGATGCATTGAGAGGCAAGACTACATGTATGGATAGCACCAGCAGTGCGAGACGAGTTTAGCGCACATCGTACCGCAGATTACCTCGCTCCATTGCATTGGCGTTAGCTGGTCTTTGTAGGCCTTCTCCAAAAGCTCCGTCCGTGGGCGGCTGCAGGCTCAGCGCGCCGAACACGACTCAGCTCCAGCCCCAGTAGCATGGGCTAAGATATAGCGCAGGCACTTCGCGCTTGAGCGCTCCGTTTCGCTGTACGAGGCACTGTCGGCGCACGTGCTGGACGCGTCCACAGGACGTACGTTTCCTGTGTGGCGTCGAGCAGCTTTGTCCTATCCGCGGCGGCGCTGCTCTTCGCCTTCGTCCCGCGAGAGGTCTACCAGGAGCTGGTGGGGTGCCACACCCAGCAGTAGCAGCAGCAGCAGCAGCAGCGCAGAATTCTTCTTGCGTCATCGCCGTGTCTTCATCATGCTTCTTCACACTTGCCCCCGATGCTCCTCACTGCTGCCTGCCAAAATGTGAAATGAATGGTTTTGGCGCGAAAACCTCGTAACGATCATAATATATTAGCTAGGTCTTCTGCAATCTTATAAATATAAACACATTAATCTCAGAAGTAATAAGGAGTATTAGGTGTCGGAAGTGAGGGTACCTACAGTATTATCGACTGGAAGAAGAAGATCCGTCTTCTCCTCCTCCTCTTCCCCTTTCTCGAGTTGGGATGAACGGCGCTCATGCCACTAGCGGCGAGACATTGCACCTGTCTCCCACGCAGGTCCATGTTTCGCCTAGGGGTCACACAAGCGCATATACTACAAGTAGTACCTCAGGAGTTGTCGGAGCACGATATCTCAGCTTTCAAGATTGGCGCCACGTTTGTCATGGTCTGTGCAGTCGGGGCACTTGGATCACCGCGCTCAAAACACAGGCTCTGCTCGTTCGAAACGCGGCTGGGAGCATCGTCGGCGCGTGGATTCCTATTGCGCTGTGCACGCTAGGGAATGTTTTCTCGGGAAAGTCGTACATGGAGCAGTCGCGAAACGAGCTGTTGGCGGCGACGTGTGTGTGGGCGACGTTGACGTTCTGCTTGGCCATTTTTGGGGTGTTTGCTGTCTTGAGCTTGCGGAGTCTTCGGTTCATTGATTCGCCCGATACACGACCTACCCTGTGGTTTTGTGTCAAGAGGCTCGGTCCTGTTACGTCCGTCTACTTATCCGCCACGATCAGCGTCGTTCTCTCGGCCACCTGCGTCATCACGTACTTAACTTCGATCGTGCCTGGTTTGTTCAAGTACACGATCGAATGCTACGTGACCACCTTTTCATTGATGGGGTACGTTACTGGAATGTCACGCACAATGGTTAAAATCTACCATGAAGAAACTTGCCAGGGTCGTGAAAAGCTTGCAAAGAAGGAGAAAGCAGCGCGGGAACCGAAAGGATCGACACAACGCGAGCCCACGACTCGATTACGGCGCGCATCATCGAGTTATTTGCTTCGTTATCGGACCCCTACATTCTGGCGGACATATGCGAAAGCCGTCTCCGTGACCCTGCCGGTCTTTCTCGCAAACATTTTTGTTCACGTCCTCAGTCGACAACGCCTCGTCGACCGAGATGGAGTTGTGCTCACGGGCTTCGTGGTCGCAAGCATAGTATTTAAACTTGCCGTTCAAGAAATTGTCAAGCTTTATATTTTCAGAAGACGCGTGCGCAGTGCGCGAGTGATGTGTGTCCTTGTGGGGATCCCAACCGTCATCATTGATACCCAAACGAGGATAATTCTGATAGGGAAGAACAACACGAACACTGCGGCAATGGGCGCGCTCGGCATGGCTGTGATCGAGATTTTCTTACGCGCTGGCAAGACCATGCGCGTGATGTGGGAGGTTCGACACCATGAACACGCTCTGGAGCGGCAAAATAATGTCTCTTGGTACCCAACCAAATCTCGAATTCTTCCTACCACAGTTGGTCACCCACTGCCGTCTCAGGAAGGTGACTTGGATTCCTGGCGCCGCAGGCTTCAAACGTTCCACATGGCTGAGATCAATGCCGATATGTACGCAGAATACATTTCCATCGGCTGCTCCGCGTCGATTCTGTTCTTTTACGGGAGTCATCCGCACTATTCGTTGCTACGGCAGTCAGGAACTGCCAGGACGACGGCTGCAGATCTACTGGAGTGGCGCTTGAGCCAGATGCGCATCCTGGGGGTGCAGATCGCTATGGAGGTCGTCGTGGATTTCGCTTCGATCCTGTTGAGAACGTGCTTGGGGTTGAGTTCGACCGCGCAACGAAATTGGGATCCTTCCTCGCTTCTGTGTTCATGATCGCTGCAGTGATAAATAGCACCATAACGCTTGGCTACTTCTTGAGCTAGACCAGAGCTGCGTGTAAGGCTAGAATGTAGTTTGACAGCTCGCTGGTTCGTCATCACAAATCTGTTCAGCTGCAGTACCGGTTAGTTAATAAGTTTGCTTAGTGGCAACACTTCCCAGTTCGATCACCGTCTAACACGAACTTCGGTCTGAGGAAGTAAAATAACACTACTTTCTCTTGTGTTCGACCAAATCGCAGCCTCATCAAAGTTACCCAAATGCCGAGGAAGATAGAGCTTGTTGAAAGGCTATACTAAATACATGTAGAATTTCTACATGTAGCAACATCAATTCTACAGTAAAATTGATGTTGCTACAAAAGGAATGTTTGCTGTGGTTTAAGATGCGTCTGCGTCCAAGTATTTTTACTTTTTCTATGTCCACTAATAGCGAAAATAGCCAACTCCACTCTAGGTTTTGAGAATGAACCGCACTCGCGTACACGTATTTCCCGAAGAAGCGACAGAAGTGGTTCAGAAACCAGAAGAGAATGACGCAAACCGTCGTTCACGAGCTGCTACGTCCGAGTCCTCACCTTTCGCCTCACTAGTGTGGCTCGATGCCGGTCGTCGCTTGTGTAGATCTACCACGTGGATCACTGCTCTGAAAATACAGACGCTAGTGGTTCGAAATGCAGCCGTCAGCATTGCGAGTGCGTGGATTTCGACAGCTCTCTGTGCTTTGGGGGATGTTTTCTCGGGCAAATGGTACACGGATCAGTCCCGAAACGAGCTCATCGTATCCAATTCCGTGTGGGGAATTGCTCTCTTCTGTACTATGGAGTTTGCATCATTTCTAGTCGTGGTTACGACATTTCGGTTCGTGGAGACGCGACCAACCGCGTGGAGTTGCTTCAAGCGCCTTATACGCGAGAGCTTGCGCTACTTTGTCGGAGCCATTGCCGTCGCTCTCGCATTTAGTTACTTATTTGCCCACCTGACTTCGGGTTCGCCTGCATTGTTCAAGTACAAGATGGACTGTTACATGAACATACTGGCTGGAATCGGGTATTTTACTGGCATCTCTAGAGTGGTGAAACACATCTACCTTGAAGAAACCCAACATGGACGCGACAAACTTCGCTTAAAGCAGCACAAGTCACAGAAGTCTACGCCATTACCACGATCCGCTGCACCAATTGGACGGCGCCAATCATTCTGGAAAGCTTACATCAGAGCTCTTCCTGTAGCGTTGCCGTCATTTCTCGCGTGCATGTTCGTCCAAGTATTGAGCCAGCAGCGTCTCGTGGATAGTGACCAAGCTGTGCTCACTGGCTTCACCGTCGCTAGCGTCGTCTTCAAACTGGTCGTCCAAGAGTTTATCAAACACTACATTTTCAGAACGCGGGTGCGTAGCACTCGGATCATGTGCTTCATCGTGGGGATTCCTACCGTGCTAATCGATACCCAGACGCGAATGATCCTGCTAGGAACCAACAGTCGGAAAATCGCAGCTATGGGAACGATTGGTATGGCGCTACTGGAGATTGCGCTTCGAATGGGGAAGGCTGCGCTGGTCATGTGGGAAATCCACCAGCGCGAATCTGCGGCTCTACGCAGGACCGAGTCTGCTTCAAGTTTCCGCTCAATCATCGGCGTGTTTCGCCGGTCCAAGACGAGCATCACCCCGGGGTCTACGATAGCAGAAAGTGAGTTTAAGCAGTGGCGTCGTCAAGTGCAGCAGTTTTATATGGCGGAGCTGAATGCAGATATGTACGCTGAATACGTTTCGATCGGCTGCTCGGCGTCAATATGTTTCTTTTACGGAAACCACGCACATTACGGGTTGCTGAGGCGCTCAGACAGGTCAGAACCAATCGAGAACTGGCGTGTGGAGCAGTTGAGTATTCTCGCGCTGCAGGTCGGAGTGGAGGTGGTCGTGGATTATGTGTCGATCGTGTTGGAGATGGTGGTTGGCATCGAATTTGACCAAGTGAAGAAGCTCAGCTTATTCCTCGGTGGGCTCTTTACGGGGACTGCGGTTCTGAATACCGTTCTCTCGGTTCAGGTCTTCTTGAGCTAATACTGAGTAGCCAACCTGACGGCGCGTGAGGTAGAGTAAATTAACTGTAGACTGAATTGACGGCTTATGCTAAGCTTACGCATCATTTTGGTCTTGAAAAAAAAAGTCTGAAGTATTTATAAGATGACACGATAGCGATGACACGTCAACAGCGTAAAGAGCTACAAACGATCAACTATTTTCGTTTTTAGATGCACCGAAAGTGAGTGGAAGCGGAGCACGTCATCACCGCTATGTATCGCCCCCACATAGACCGAGGTAAAAGCGTGGAAGAGCTCCAGCTCCCAGTCGAGACCAGCAATGAGCGGCAGTCCAGAATCCGAGTTCAAGCGTGGACAAACCCCACTGACCTGTCCAATACTGGTTCTTCTCACAATGAAGGAGGGCGCCAAATTCTAGTTCGGCTTCGCAGTCGATCGACTTGGATTACTGCGCTGAAGATGCAAGCTCTGGTCGTGAGAAATGCGGCCGAAAGTATTGCGTGCGCTTGGATCCCGAATGCATTGTACGCACTGGGGAATGTTTTCTCTGGAAAATGGTACATCGATCAGTCGCGGAACGAGCTGCTTGTTGCAAACACGGTGTACGCAGCGCTTGGCTTCTGCCTGGTCGTTTTCACGTCGTTTCTGCCTATGATGATGTCGCTAAAGTTTGTCGAAATGCCTGGAAGTGTGGTTTTGTATGAAGCGACTGGTGGGAGCCACTCGCGTGTACTTCGCAGCCACGATGCTCGTAAGTTTTGGTTTTAGCTGTCTCATCGCGCAGTTGGATTCGATAGTGCCTGAGGTTTTCAGTTTAAAATCGAGTGCTACGCGGATAATCTCTTTCTGCTCGGATATTTTACGGGAATCTCCGGCGCCGTGAAGAAAATCTACTACGAAGAGACCCAAGAGGGACGCGATCGACTGCAGCAAAAGCAGGAGAAGCCACGAAGATCCAAGATAGTCCCTGCCGAAATCGCCGCAGCTCAACAGTCTTCCCCTCCCCGCCAACGCGCACCTCCTACGTTTTGGCGAGCCTATCTCAGAGGACTACCGACAACGTCGGTACCGTTTGTAGCTGCGTTATTCGTTCACATATTAAGCCAGCAACGCATCGTTGACCGAGGGAACACTGTGCTTACTGGCTTCGTAATCGCCGGGGTTGTCTTCAAACTCATCCAGGAGCTCGCCAAGCACTACATTTTCAAAAAACGAGTACGCAGCGCCCGCGTCATGTGCGTTCTCGTGGGCATTCCGACCGTCCTGATCGACACCCAGACCAGAATCATTTTACTAGGCACGAACAACACGAAAACGGCGACAAACGGGCGCAATCGGCATGACGATGATTGAGATCACGTTGAGAGCGACTAAGGCCGTACTGGTGATGTGGGAGATTCGGCGTCGTAAAGTCGGCCTTGAACGCACAACAGGCTCTGTGCTACTGCGACGAGCGATTTTGGAGAAGTTCAGCCGCCCTACAAAGGTTGAACCAAAGTCGTCAAAAGCGTCTCGACCGTCAAACCCTCGAGGGTTGAATGAGTTCGAAGTGTGGCGCCGTCAGGTGCAGACTTTTCACACCTCGGAGCTCAACGCAGACATGTACGCCGAGTACATTTCCATCGGTTGTTCAGCGTCAATTCTCTTCTTTTATGGCAACCACCCGCACTACACGCTGCTCAGGACGACAGTGAACACCGACACGTCCGGCGTCGACATGATGGCGTGGAGAGTGAGCCAGCCAGAAATGATGGGCTTGCAGATAGGGGTCGAAGTGGTCGTGGACTACATCTCGATTGTGCTGGAGATGGTCATTGGGATCGAGTTCGACCACGTAAAAAATCTGGGCTCGTTTCTCGGCGCCTTGTTGATGATTACCGCTGTCATGAATATCACAATATCGATCGGCTATTACTTGAGTTGAGGGGCCAGAGTATATAAAATCTAGAGAAAATATACAACCTACGGAACTCGTGTCATCACTCCACTATCTAAACTTGGGAAACTTCAGCTTTGCGTGATCTTGGTCTTCGTGTTGCCGGCCGCTGTGGTCCTCGTGGTCGATATCTATTGATAGGAGGGACGTGACGTAAAAAGAAGCACGAACGCTGAGTTGCTCACGCATTGTCGATGCCAATCAAGCGCGTGAAGGTGGTCCCTCGCGCGAACATGCGGTCGATTCGGCGAAGCGATGCGCACTACCGACCTCCCAATCACTCCTCGCGCTCTCTCCGCGACACGACCTGGTTCAGCGGTTTTGTTGCTACACGCCGCCGTTCTTCCGCTCTCCCCCAGAGCTGGCAGCGCATTGTCCCTGGCACTTCTGTGTGGATCACAGCCCTGAAGATGCAAGCCGTGGTGGTACGCAACGCTGCCGAGAGCATCGCTTGTGCATGGATTCCCAACGCCTGCTACGCTCTTGGGGACGTTTTCTCGGGGAAATGGTACACGGAGCAGTCCCGAAGCCAATTGATCATCGCCAACTCGGTGTGGGCTGCCATCACCTACTGTGGAGTTGTGTTCATCTCGTTCATCCCCGTGATGCTTTCATTCCGCTTCATGAAGACACCGGATCGCCGGCCAACGGTGTGGTTCTGTCTGCTTCGACTCGCTCGAGCGGTTGCTGCCTACTTCATCGTAGCGACTCTCATCGTCTTTGGGTTTAGTTGCCTCACAGCCTACCTGGCTGCCATTAAGCCAGGGACACTGAAGTACAAGCTCGACTGCTATTTCATCAATTTCTCGCTAGCGGGGTACTTCACGGGGATTACTCGTGTAGTGAAGCAGATTTACTATGACGAGACAGTTCAGGGGCGTGAGAGGCTCCAACAAAAGCAGCAAAAAGCGCGGAAATCTAGAATTGTGCCCCCCAACGCGTCAGGAGCGGTGACACCGGCACGACGCGGGTCTTTCAAGGCCCCAGCGCGCTACACGCCGCCTAAATTCTGGCTCGCGTACCTCCGTAACATGTCCGTCGCGTTCGTACCCCTGCTCGCCAGCGTGTTCGTCCACATCTTAAGTCAGCTTCACATTGTCGACCGGGGCAACACCGTCCTCACCATCTTTGTTGTATCGGGCGTGGCCTTTAAGCTCGCCGTGCAAGCATTACGTCTTCAAGAAGCGCGTTCGAAGTGCACGCGTGATGTGCATTCTAGTAGGAATCCCCACTGTGCTGATCGATACGCAGATGCGAATTATTGTGCTGGGGACCAATAGCACCAATACCGCAGCTTTGGGAGCGATCGGCATGGCCCTGTTTGAGATCAGCTTGAGAGCTGGCAAGGCGGTGCTGGTCACGTGGGAGATTCGGCATCGCAAAGCAGTGGTCGATCGCAGAATCGCCGCCGCTGCGCAGAGACTGGGGACGGTTGAAGCGTTTGAGCACCACCGCAGTACAAGTGTGGTCCACCAGCCTCAAGCGCCGAAAACTTCTTCCAAAACGTCCTCCCGCCCTTCGATGACGGTCGGAATGAACGACTTTGAGGTGTGGCGGCGACAAGTGCAAGCCTTCCACACGGCCGAGCTCAACGCTGATATGTACGCAGAGTACATTTCGATCGGGTGTTCAGCGTCTATTCTCTTCTTTCACGGCAACCGCCCACACTACGCGTCACTAAGACAGGCTGCAGCAAGTACTGAGGCGACGACGATGGATAACATGGCGTGGCGCGTGAGTCAGTTGAAGATGCTGGGCTTCCAGATCGGCATCGAAATCATCGTGGACTACATTTCGACGGTATTGGAGATGGTAATCGGAATTGAGTTCGACCACGTGAAGAAGCTCAACTCGTTTCTGGCTGCGATGTTCATTATCACGGCCGTGATGAACATTAACATCTCGGTCTGCATTTACCTACGCTGATCATATAAGCAATGAAAGGCCCTAGATATACAGTACTAAACTATGAATATCCGTCGTCCCCAGTATTCGAAGAATGGCTTCGTTTTTATGTATTTGTTGGCAAGAAGAGAGGTTATTTTTGGTAGTTTTGTGAGTCCACGAGTGCAAAGTAGCTGAGTCACGGGAATCGCCATGAATGTTGAGTATGAACCGAGTTCACGTTCATGACGAGGACGCTTGTCGCCAACCCAGCGCGCGAGTCATACAAGGTCCTCTAACTGTCGTCCAGGCTTGGTCAGCCTCACCTAATCCTCCAGCAAAACCTATTACTACGAGTCAAGCGTGGAGAGGATTGTGCAATGGACTTCCGGCGAGTTCTGTGTGGTATCGTGCACTGAATACGCTCGGTCTGGTCCTGCGGAACGCTACGGAGAGTGTGGCGTGTGCGTGGATACCGAACGCGTTCTACTCTCTTGGCAATATTTTCTCGGGGAATGGTACTCCAAGCAATCCCGTCGTGAGCTGATCGTGGCAAACTCCGTCTGGGACGGCATCACATTTTGCGCTGTTATCCTCCTTTCGTTTCTTCCGATCATGCTTTCGTTCCGCTACATTGTCGCACCGGATCATCGGCCAACGCTGGGTTTCAGTATCAAGAAACTTGCTAGAGCTACGGCGGGACATTTTGCTGTAGCGATTTCAGTAATGTTCTCCTTCAGCTATTTCTTCGCTTATCTGGTTGAGATTGAACCCAGAGTCGTTCGCTACAAACTCGACTGCTACGTGGATATCATAGCGCTATTGGGATATTTCACTGGAACATCGCGAGCAGTGAAAAGGATTTATTACGAAGAAACGTGTCAGGGTCGAGATCGACTCAAGCAGCAAGCCGAAGGAAAGTCTCGAAGAATGTCAAGTTCTCGCCGACGGGATACCCCGAAATTCTGGAAAGCTTACCTGAAAAATCTGCCAATGATATCCGCTCCTATCGTTGCGTCTCTCTTCGTTCACGTCCTGAGCCGACAGCGGATCGTTGATAGCGACACCACCGTACTCACTTGCTTCGTTGTCGGGGCCATCGTCTTCAAACTGGCAATACAGGAGGCTGCAAAACATTACGTTCTCAAGCAACGCGTACGCAGTGTCCGTACGATGTGCGTACTCGTGGGCATACCGACAGTGTTGATTGATACGCAGACGCGCATCGTCATTCTAGGGACCAACAGCACTACAACGGCGTCATTGGGCGCCCTTGGGATGGCTTTGGTCGAGATTAGTTTACGCGCCGTCAAAGCTGTGGTAGTCATGTGGAGTATTCGACCACGCAAAGCCAGAGTTCTACCTGAAGAGCTGAGTGCAGTACCTCAGGCTGTGCCTCACGAAGCCGGTCGACTCAAAATTAGAAGAGCTAGCTCTGTATTGCGCTCGATGGTTCGAAAGTCTTCGGGGTTGGCCGTGACAAAAGATGATTTCGAGCTGTGGAGTCGGCAAATTCACGCCTTCCACACTGCTGAGCTCAACGCGGACATGTATGCGGAATACATCGCGATCGGCTGCTCCGCTTCAATCCTCTTCTTCTGCGGCAACCACCCGTGCTATTCGCTCCTGCGACAGTCTCACGAATCTGAGGAAGTAGAAGACGTAGCATCACGACGGACGAGCCAGTTGTATATGGTGCTTTTCCAGGTTGTGGTCGAGTTCGTCGTCGACTACGTGTCGCTAGTGATCGAAATGATGGTAGGGATTGAGTTCACGCACATCAAGAAGCTCGGGTCGTTCCTGGCTGGCTGGCTTGTTCATGATCACCGCTGCCATGAACATCAACATCTCGACCAATATATACCTGAGTTGAGCCGCTGTAACCTCGACTTGGGGAAGGAAGTGCTCGTATTATGAGCACTAATACGAGTTAAATTCCAGTGCGCCAATCTCTGCAATGAAATATTTTACCGGCAAGGTCCCCCCTGTTGCGAATGCTACGAACCGTTGACGACAAACTTAGGATGCGATAAGCAGAGGTGTTTACCGAGGACATGACATCTTGCTATTGATAGCAGCTTTGAATCGAAGTCGTCACACTCACGCACATCGGCTTCTGCTATGTGCTGACGATGAATCGCGTAGCGCCAAACCACGGGCTTCCCACTGTCCACAGACCGTCCCGTAGACAAAGCACAGCTCGTTCGCTGTTCACGTCCTTCTGGCTTGGCCCGAGGAAGGCGTCGGTATTCCAGACTTGGAGCAAGATTCTGTATCGTTCGCCGGAGGTCTCGCCATGGCGCAGTGCTCTGCGGATACAAGCTGTGGTGCTACGAAATGCGGCAACGAGCATCGCCTGCGCGTGCACCCCCAACGCCTTCTACGCGATCGGACCTGGATCAGTCCCGCTTCGAGCTGATTGTGGCGAATTCCGTGTGGGCCTCGGTGGCGTTTTGTACTGTCGTGTTCTTGTCGTTCCTCCCCCTCATGCTCTCAGTGCGATTTCTCGACTCGCCCGACTGTCCGCCGTCGATCTGGTTTTGTATCAGGAGGTTGGCGCGAGCTACGTTTGTATATTTTATGGGAGCAGTAGTCGCGATGTACGGGTTTGGCTACCTTGCTGCTTATTTATCCTACCCTACGTCCACCCGAGTTCGTTCAGATACAAAATCGAGAGCTATGCGGATAACTTATCGCTGCTGGGACGGGAAGGCGCGGTTTGTCACCTGGAATATCGCCCGTCGAGAGCTGAGAACACAAGTCAACGTCGTCGCGGCAGAGTTCCCTGTCTGAGCTGGTGATTCTTGGCATTGAAGCTCTTCTGGCCCCACCAACTAGTCCTTCAGTATCTGCCATGCATGTAGAGTTTGCGGTGTGGCGTCGACAAGTCCAGGCCTTCCACACGGCGGAGTTGAATGCGGATATGTACGCCGAGTACATCGCTATCGGCTGCTCCGTGTCTATCGTCTTCTTTTATGGGAATCACCAACACTATTCGCTTCTAAGACAATCAGATCATGCGATGAGCAACGTTGATGAGGCCGCGTGGCGTGTGAGTCAGCTGTACATGCTGGCATTTCAAGTCGGACTGGAGGTTCTAGTCGACTACGTGTCCATTGTACTCGAGATGAAGGCCGGCATCGAGTTCGACCACGTCAAAAACCTCGGAGCCTTTCTAGCGGCGTTGTTCATGGTGACAGCAGTGATGAATATCACGATATCCATAGGCGTTTACCTCAGCTGAAGCTGCTAGTCGCAGCGTTGGTACTTCAGCACGTGTACTATACGCAAAACTGGTTTCGCCATGAATAAATGGACACAGTTCTACCATTCTCGCCTCGTTCGAGCCACTCCTCGTGTAGATGACGTCTGCATTTGCATCATTGCTCCACAGGACATGCATAAACCTCTAGGCCCCGGAGAGAGTATAGTAACCCCTCCATTCCAACTGAATTGCTTTCGAACACCAATTTGACCGATTCCTAGTAGTAGTAGAAGAACAGTACTGGAACCCTTTGCAGTGGTGTTCTTCGCAATGAGTGTGAAGGTCTCTGTGAGCGTCTAATTAGTTAGAGTTAGCATCGACATTGCCCAGTTAGCTCAATTTTCACATCCTACAGTAAAACTTAGCACACGTAGACTTCGCTATTGTTAGAAAGTCGAGTGTTTTTGTTTGCCCGCACTTGCACCGAATGCCGCGCGTTGACGCCGCCCCATGCAGCGATGGACAACGCGCAGCGACCACAGCAGCCACATCGTCTCGACCCCAACATTCTGCAGAGGCTACGAGGATAAATCCGGCCACACCATTTGATTTTAATCCGATCGCAAGTCGATCAACTAGACGGCGGCAGCTCTTTGGTACCCTTTGTGAACGCTCCGCCTGGATAAAAGCTCTACGCACACAGACCACAGTGGTGAGAAACGCCACGGGGAGTATGATATGCGCGTGGATCGCCAACGCTTGTTACTCGCTTGGGAATATTTTCTCGGGGAAACCTTCAGTGGATCAGACCAGACGTGAACTAGTCGTTGCGAACGCCGTGTGGGCCACCATCACCTTTTGTGTTGTCATGCTGATCGCTCGGATCCCATTGATGCTACCGCTTCGATTTCTCGACGCCCCCGACCGCCCCCCGACAGTGTGGCTCTGCCTCAGGAAACTCATCCGTGGAACTGCCTTTTATTTTATCGTTACCATGACGGTCATGTATTCTTGCAGCAGTCTCATTGGATACTTAACAACTATCAGGCCCAGCATATTCAGATACAAGTTGGACTGCTACGTCGGAACTCTATCTACGCATGGGTTTTTCACTGGAATTACTCTAGCTGCGAAGAGAATTTATTATCGAGACACGTGTCAAGGCCGAGAGCATCTCCTGCGAGCAGAACAAGCAACCTATGGCGCTAATAAGAGAAACCCTGGTGGCAATACCCGAGTTCGACCGGCCACCGCGTTATCTTTCCGAGCGGCATACTGCAAAAAATCGTTCATGTTTTGGCAAGCTTACATTAGGGAGTTTCCTAAATCCGCCCCTGCTGCGTTAGCCGGAGCTTTTGTTCACGTTCTCAGCCAGCAGCATATCATGGAAAGCAGTGGCATCGTGCTCTCCTCTTTCGTCGCAGCCAGCGTTGTATTCAAGCTATTTATCCAGGAGAGCACCAAGCACTACATCATCAAGAAACGGATTCGCAGTGTGAGGTTCATGTGTGCTGCTGTTGCGCTGCCGACCGTCCTAATTGACACCCAGACTCGCATCATCCTTCTCGGAACGATGAACTCAAAGTTCGTGGCGGTTGGTACCATCGGAATGGCGTTTGTGGAGATCTTACTACGCGTAGGAAAGGCCTACCTCACTATGCGTACCATTCACAACAGAGAAGCCCAGGTGCCCGTTCATCGACAATCCGTCGCGGCTACGATCCGACAGCACCAACCCACGACAAGTCTTGATGCAAACGCGCCGTCTCCTGCTCGCATTGAGTTTGAACTCTGGCGACGACGCGTGCACGCCTACCACATCGCTGAGATCAACGCTGACACGTACGCCGAGTATATCGCGATCGGGTGTTCCGCTTCGATTTTGTTTTTCTTCGGAGACCACCCTTACTATTCGCTGCTGAGGCATGCAGACAACGACGAGCACAAGGATCAGCGGTGGACCAACCTGAAGATGCTGCTTTTCCAGGCGATTATTGAACTGGTCGTGGATTTTGTGTCTACGGTGCTGGAGATGATGGCTGGAATCGAGTTCGCCATTATCAAGGACCTCGGCGCCTTTTTCGCTGTCTTGTTCGCGATCACCGCAGTATTAAACGTTAACATTTCGATGGGGACGTACCTGTCTTGAGATAATACTTCAAGCAAGCGTAAATGCCTGTAAAACCAAAGATTTTATTTCACATTATTTTTTTCAGATACTATTGATAGCTGATGCCTACAACTTTTTAGCACCACTTTCAGGGCTGCATTACGACGGCATTGTCGATGCCTCGCGTTGGAGTGGGTCCACCGAACGATTATGGCCCTCGTATCGCGTTTGAACCAGTGGGTCCTACAATGGTTGGGGAGAATGCCGCAGTCGGCACTGACAAGTCGAAATATCCCGACGTTGTACCTGTTAAAGGTCGGCAATTCATCCGCCACCTCCGTAAACGAACCAAATGGACCAGCGCGCTCAAGATGCAAACGACCGTGATTCGGAATGCGGCTGGAAGTGTGGCCTGTGCGTGGCTTGTCACCACGTGCTACTCACTTGGGAATATTTTCTCTGGAAAACCTTCTCGTGACCAGTCCAGACGCGAGTTAATTGTCGCCAACTCGGCATGGGCGTCGGTTGCGTTTAGCACCGTCGTGGTATTAGCTCAAATTCCACTGCTCCTGTCGTTCCGATTTATCGATGAACCTGATCGCCGACCAGCTCTGTCCTTTTGTCTAAAGAAGCTATTTCGCGTAGCAGCTTTTTATTTCTTCGTGATGTTTGCAATTATGGTGGGCTGGAGCACTTTTGTTGGGTACCTAACGTCAATTAAGCCGACACTCTTCAAGTACAAGCTGGATGGCCACGTCAATACTTTATGTACGCACGGATTTTTTGCGGGGATTACTCTTGAAACGAAGAAAATTTACTATCAGGAGACTTGTCAAGGGCGAGATCAGCTCACGAAAACGTCGCGCCAGCAGCCGCGACCAAGTGCCGGCCCCCGTAGTTCTCCTTCACCTGGTACTATTAAAGCTCCACCCCGCAAGAAAACATTTTCGTACTGGAGAACGTACATTAAGGAGTTCCCCAAGTCGATCCCTGCCGCAGTAACAGGTTCATTCGTGCAAATACTCAGCCAGCAACGAATCATGGATCGTAGCGGGTCCACCATCGCCAGCTTCGTTATAGCTAGTATCCTGCTCAAACTCGCGATCCAGACGTTGATCAAGCATCAAATTCTTAAGAAGCGCATACGCAGCATCCGGGTCATGTGTGCTGCCGTGTCATTGCCCACTTTGCTGATCGACACACAGACACGGATAATTCTCCTAGGGACTCAAAGTCCCCAGTTCTTCACACTCGGAACACTAGCGCTCGCCTTAGTGGAAATTTCGCTGCGTACTGGGAAAGCTCACTACGTCATGCGGGTCATTCGAAATCGCCAAGTTAATCTTCCCGGTCGGAGGAAGTCAACTTCACCCTCGTTGCAGCAAGGGTCCACTAAAACAATTGACGCCAGCTCACCTTCACCAGCTACTCTGGAGTTTGAACTGTGGCGCAGCAGCTTCCTCGCCTATCACGTGGCGGAGATCAACGCAGATACTTACGCCGAGTATATTGCGATGGTTTGTTCTGCTGCCATTCTGGTTTTCTTTGGTGATCACCCGCACTATACGCTCTTGAGAAAGCTCGATAGTAGCAGTGACCTACGCTCCAGCCAGCTAAAGATGTTGTTATTCCAAATTGCAGTTGAAGTTGTGGTTGACTTTGTGGCAACTGCGCTGGAGATGATGGCGGGCATCGAGTTCAGCGTCAACAAGAGTGTCGGTGCTTTCCTCACCGTCTTCTTGGCCGCTATCGCCGTGCTGAATATCATCATTTCGCTCGGTATTTACCTATTTTAAAGCAAATGAACCTCTACAACCCGTAACTTTTTTTCGAATGGAAGGGTCTTCAGCATTAACTTGCAATTTTTAAGCAGGGCTTTAAAAACCATGAGCGTACTCCACCTTTTTCCAAGACCTCTCGCCACGCCGCTTGGTGAAGATCCTCGCCTTCATCCCAGCCCCCTTTAGGCAGCACCCAGCCCCTCTTCTGTGCGTTCGAACTCGAAATGAGACGAACATCGCCGCCTCCTTCATTGGCCGACCTTGAGACCACAGTGCATGTCAGCAGACAACTGCCATCTTTGTTGACTCGTTGCTTGGCGCGACGGACGTGCGACCTCAAGACAGACGCGACCATCATGTCGTCTGTGATCTCCATCTCCTTGCGCATACCAGCAGGGGTCTTCTTGGACACCGCACCGTGTCGATGTTGGCTATCATCTCCCTCGCCTCGAGCTGCGCAGCCGCCTTGATCGACACGATCTCGGACCAAACCAGCATTTCCAGGCTCAACGCAGACGTCGCTCTGCGTGGAGATCACGAGGTCAAGCGGACTCTGCGTTGGCAAAATGACGATGACGATGAAGACCGAGGTTTGGAAAAAGTTAGCGGATAAAGTCGATGACACAGTCGCGAGGTTCATCTACAAGCCTCTGAGGCTGCCAAGTTCCTTGAATGTGGCGCCGCTGATCAAGCCGGAAGAAGCCGCAGCGAAAGCGAAAGAAGCCATGATGACGTATCCGAAGGGCTTGAGCAGCGGGACGATGAGGCAATTGGAGAAAGTGGAAGAGCAAAGGGCGTACGATGTGCTTAAAATCGAGCTCAACCCCAATGCCATCAGAGATGACCCAGAGTAATCAAAGATGGCTTTGTTCGCTAAATAAGCCGTGCATTTTGTTATGTGATACTTGGTATCACTCCTTCGAGGTTGCCGCCGATAGTCAGGAGTGTATCCGTAGTCTACAACTTGTTTAGGTATTAAATGGGTATAATTCGGGATAGTTCGTTAGTTACGGTCCGTAAGATACGGATCGTAATTTACGGTATTGCACGGGGTACAGGTTACTCCACCGGGTACGAATAACCGATACAGTATAAACCGGTATTCACTGTACCCCTGTTCGGTACCATACCGAATCATTTCCGCATCTTCGAGAGAGTCCAAAGGCGGCCTTCCCCTCGTACTCGGCGACCATGGCGATGGCGATCGGCATGAAGAGCATCACGGGCGACGCGCACTTCTTCGAGGAGAGCATGAACCTGGACCGCATCCGCAAGCTGCTGGACAACAAGCTGGGCGTGGCGGGCCACGGGGAGAAGCTGGAGGCCATGAAGGCGCTGCTGGCCAGCATCTCCAAGGGCGAGGACGTGTCCATGTTCTTCGCGGACGTGGTCAAGAACGTGATCGTGGCCAGCGTCGAGGTCAAGAAGCTCGTGTACATGTACCTCGTGCACTACGCGGACGCCAACTCGCAGTGCCGCGAGCTCGCGCTGCTCAGCATCAACAGCTTCCAGAAGGACCTGGCGGACCAGAACCAGCTCATCCGGGCGCTCGCCCTTCGGGTCATGACGTCCATCCGCGTGCGCGACATCCTGCAGATCCAGCTCATCGCCATCCGCAAGTGCGCGGCGGACGAGTCGGCCTACGTGCGCAAGTGCGCGACCAACGCCATCTCCAAGGTCTTCGTGGTGGACCCGGAGCAGAAGGACGTGCTGGCCGAGATCATCGGCACGCTGCTCAACGACTCGAGCACGATGGTGCTGGGCAGCGCCGTGCAGGCACTTAACGAGGTGTGCCCCGACCGGCTGGACCTGCTGCACCGCCCCTTCCGGAAGCTCTGCCACTTGCTGGCCGACATCGACGAGTGGGGGCAGACGGTGACGCTCAACGTGCTCATCCGGTACTGCAGGGAGCAGTTCCAGGCCCCCGAGGTCATGAAGGAGGGCAAGAAGGGCAAGGAGATGTTCCCCAAGCGGAAGGCCAGGAGGGGCTTCTACTCGGACGACGAGGGCAGCGGCTCCGAGAGCGACGAGAAGACGGCCTTCAACAAGAGTCAGGGTGGGGGCTTCTCCGGTCAGAGCCCCTTCATGCTGGGAGGAGGAGGCGCGGTGAGGGGCGAGGCGCTGCCTTCCATCGGCTCGGTGTTCCGCAGCGACGCGCTGGCCAGCGGCATCGGAGGAGGAGAGGAGCTGGACGAAGACCACCGACTGCTGCTGCGCTCGTCCATCCCGCTGCTCAAGTCGAGGAACAGCGCCGTCGTGCTGGCCGTCGCCACGCTGCACTACTACTGCGGCACGCACAGCATGGCCACGTCCACGCTCATCGGCAAGTCGCTGGTGCGCATCATGCGCAACCAGCGCGAGATCCAGTACGTTGTGCTGTCGGTCATCTCGTCCATGGCCACGTCGCGCCCGGACATGTTCCGCCCCTTCCTGCAGGAGTTCTTCGTGCGCGCGACGGACCCGGCGTACGCACGCAAGCTCAAGCTCGAGATCCTGACGTCCCTGGTCACGGACGAAAACGTGAGCATCATCTTGAGGGAGTTTCAGGCGTACGTGCGCCACGTGGACAAGTCCTTCGTGACCATGACGGTGCGTGCTCTTGGACGGGTCGCGGACGCGATGCCCTCGGTGGCTGAGCGCTGCCTGAGCGGCCTGATGCGTCTCGTGCGCTCGTCCAACGAGCAGGTCGTGGCCGAGAGCGTCGTCGTGATCCGCCAGTTGCTCCAGCAGCAGGCCATCAAGAAGGACCGCCTCGTGGTAGTGCGATCTCTGGCTGCGATGATGGTGACTGGCCGTGTCACCAGCCCGTCAGCGCGCGCCTCAATCGTATGGATGCTTGGCGAGTTCAACGATGACGGCAACGGAACGACCTGCGCTGCCGAATCGCTGCGTCTGCTTGTGAAGGACTTCTCCGATGAATCGACCGAGGTGCGTCTGCAGATCCTGAACCTGGCGGTGAAGCTTGGACTTCGTGAGCCGCAGAAGCGCACGATCCAGCTGCTGCTCCAGTACGTGATCGAGCTGTGCAAGTTCGACATTGACTACGATGTGCGTGATCGCGCTCGTCTGGTGCGCGCCGCGCTGTCTGGGGACGCTAGCGTCGTGAACCCCCACAAGTTGTTCGCGAGCAAGAAGCCTGCGCCGCTGATTGGATACGACGATGAGACCAAGACACGGTTCACGCTTGGCACCATGTCTAACGTTGTGCACCACAGTGTTCCCGGATACCTGACATTGCCCGAGTGGCGATCAACCAAACCGGACCGCTCGCTACGCGACGAATCATCTTTCGTCGAGACGAACCGTGGCGGTTCTTCGCGTCATGCTCCTAAGACTACCAAGAAGAAGGAGGGCGGGGCGAAGGGATTCTACAGTGACGAGAGCTCAGGATCGGAATCTTCCGGGTCCGAATCTGAGTCCGAGTCTGAATCGGAATCTGGCAGCGGCTCTGAGTACGATTCGGATAGCGGAAGCAGCTCCGGCTCCGAGTCGGCTTCATCCAACTCCGGATCTGAGAGCGAGGCTTCGTCTTCTGAAGAAAGCGAGTCCGAGGAATCGTCAGAGGAGGAAGACCGCCCGCGTCGACGAGAGAAGGGGAAAACCAAGTCGCCACAGAAACAGTCTCAGCCGAAGAAGACAAAGCCTGCTAATGCTTTCGACCCGCTCGACCTGTTGGGTTCACCCACTGTAAACCCGGCTGCTGCTCCTCCGATGCAAGCGTTTGCGCCCATGGCCCCTGCGACTTCCAACCTGCTGGGTGACTTGATGAGTCTGAGTGTGTCGTCTTCGACTACGCCACCTCCGCGACACGAGCTTCTTTCCTCTCTGGCTGGCAACGGTCTGGACGTCCACTACGCCTTCCTTCGTCAGCCGTCCACACACTCTCCGGCAATGAACGTTATCCAGTTGTGGTTCGCCAATAACTCCAATGAGCCCATTTCGCGCGTCCAGATCGTCGGCAAGAACCCTCAGCAGGTGGTTCCGTTCCCCGAGCTTCCCGTGCTGTTCCCTGGTGGCTCTACTTCTATGGCACAACTTCATGTGGACTTCCTGGGTCGTCTCGACAACGTTCCCCTTGAGATCGTGACGAGCGAGGACAAGTACGAGGTGGATCTAGCTCCTGTGGTCGGGGAGCTCTTCTTGCCGCAGCAGATGAGTCTGGAGGAATTCGAGCGTCGCATCTCGATGACGGACTCGACGTCTCTCCACACGAGCGAGTTCACGCTGCCTGTTCCAGTTCAGATGAACTCGGTCGTGCAGGCCGTGCTCAAGGACTGCAATGTGGCTCAAGTATACGAGATCAACAACATGAACGGCGTCGTGGGCAAGTGCAAGTTGGCAGGCCGATTCCGCAGTGGAAACGCCAGTGCTGAGAACGTCCTTATCGGTCTGGAGGTTCAGCTGCAGACTGGTAAGGGACGGCTGCTCGTGGTCATGCGCGACTCTGTTCTCGCTCAGAGACTTACGACGGGAATTAAGCGTGCCATGCCACTCCAAGGTTAAGTAAGACTGGGGTTGAGTGCTCCCTCCGGGGATCTAGCACAAAGTTTGGAATAAACTCGGCATGTTTTCGATAGATTTTGTACATTTAGGTGTTCAGTCAAGGAACATCATGGCAGATATGATAATATTGATGATCGCAGTCGTCCCGAACAGCGCGGCAAGGAACGAGCCGAGCCCTTTGATCCGGTCGAACTCGATGCCTGCCGTGATCTCCAGCACGATGGACGTGTAGTCCACGACAACCTCGACCACAACCTGCAACAGGAGCATGTTGAGCTGGTTTGATCTCCTTGCTGCCTCGTCAGACGCCGACATCGACGCGTTCAACGGCCTCAGCAGCGAGTAGTACGGGTGGTTGCTGTAGAAGAAGAGGATCGAGGCTGAGCAGCCGATGGCGATGTACTCAGCGTACATGTCGGCGTTGAGCTCGGCTGTGTGGTACGCTTGTCGCTGATGTCTCCACAGCTCGAAGCCGATCTGCTTGCAAGCGACCGAAGACAATCGTCTGTCATCAGCTCCCATTGAAGGTCTGATGGACGCGAGAGAGCGGCTCGCACGCCCAGGACGTTTGTTGTTAGTCTGGAACGGCAGCTTTGGCGGCTCTTCCAGGTAATCTTGCCGACGACGGATGCTGTACGTGACGATGAAGGCTTTGACGACGCGGACACAAATCTCGAGGACGGCCATGGCGAACGTCCCAGCCGCAGCCATCCCAGTGTTCTTCATGCCCAGCAGAACGATCCGCGCTTGTGTATCGATCAGCACTGTGGGCACTGCTACAAGGATGCACATGACGCGGATGCTGCGGATTCGCTTCTTGATTACCACGTGCTTGGCGCCTTCCTGCAAGGCGAGCTTGGCTACTGTACTGAGAGCCATGAAACACCCGACGATCGAGGAGTTCTGCTCCGCTATCCGCATCTGGCTCAAGAGCTGCACGTACGCTCCTGCAAGGACCACGGGCAAGCACAAACTGGAGTTTTTCACGTATCCGCACCAAAAGCTTGGTGATACGTAACTTGGGCCGATGTCGAGCGCTGTTGGATAGACTCTGGCGTTCATATTGAGCCCCACGGTGATCACTGGCATCTTGCGCTTCTGCTGGCGTCTATCGAGTCGTTCCTTCCCCTCGCGCGTCTCCATGAAGTAAATTCGTCGAGTGGTCATTATGACGCTGGTGTTGATGATCTGGTTGCACAAACAATGCAGTAAAACTCGGCTTTGAATCTGGAGGCGCCCTCCCTTTGAGACAGCTGAGCCACTAGAGTGCCCATTCCAAACATTAGCAGCAGCGTGAGGATGATGCAAGGGCCAGAGCCTCGGAGCAGCTTTGTGGCACAGATGAGAACGCTCGGACGCTGCTTGGGATGGCCGATGAAGCGCTGGGTCAGCAGAATAATGGCCACGGCGTACAGAACTCCACACCAAACAACGTTCGCGATGATGAGCTCGTATCGGGATTGGAGCCGGGAAGGTTTGAGCGAGAAGACATTTCCAGCGAAGTAGCACGCGTTCACGAGCCACGCACACGCGATACTGCCGACGGCATTCCGCACCACCATTTGCTGCACTCTCAAGGCTTGGACCCAAGTCCCGCGCTGGACGAGGTCCTTCAGAGCGCGATGCCATAGCGAAATACGTGAAGCTCTTCGAGAATTGACAGGTATCAAGGGCCCAAGCTGGGCCAAAGACCGACTGAAACGCATTGTCCTCTAGCCACGCGAGCGCACAAATCTCTGGGAAACCGTGCAGCCAACAAAGACCAAGCTGCTCGTATCTCACGAGGGCGAAGACGACCAGCGCGGGGGGGTCATACGTTATTCCGGGGAATCTACCGCCACCGATCGGGACCATATCCGACCGGATTTGACCACTACTCACCTTTTTTGGATCCGAATGATTCCCCCGGTATCCGTTTGAGTAGAGCAAGCACGCCCTAAAGAAGAAACGCGCTCACCCAGCACGAAGTCGAAGAGGTTGGAAGGCCTCGCGGACGGCCACCTCGAGGCCACGCTACAGCTGTCTATCCTACGGATACGACTGCCGAGAGCCCGGCGTTCTATCGCGGCGACGTCACTGTGGAGCGCTGCGTCCGGCATGAGTGGGTCTCTGTCTCTGGCTAGCGGTGCATCATCGTCCTCGTCGAGCGGGTCTGTGCGTCTATCGACGGGTGCGGCGGCCGAGTAGGCAACATCAAGCTGTCCGTGGGCAGTGGCGATACGGCTAAGGGCGGCGGCGTGCGCTGGTTTGAATACGACGAGCACCGCTGCGGGCGGCGTGGGCGGCGACGTGGCCGTGTCCAGCGGCGCGAGCAATAGCTTCACGAGCGGCAATGTGCTGATGCACACTCCGGATGGCGGCGTGGGCGCAAACAGCACGGCCGCTTCGTCGGGCCTGATCAAACTGACGACGGGCTGGGCTCGGCGGGCGACTTGCGGTAACGGCGGATCCGTCTTGCTCAGCGTGGGCACGGGCAGCAGCGGTGCTGGCGAGGCTATCTCGCTGCGGTTTGGCGGCACACAGGCTGGAACAGGAGCGGCTCTTGCAGCGCAGGTGACGTGTCTGACTGCGGGGGCGAAAGTGGTCCGCCGTCTTCGGTTTGAGTGCTGACGAGCAGCAACAAGTAAACGTTGCGATGGTCGCTGCCTAGAGACAAGTGACCAACCTGATCAGGAAGAACCTCGTCATCAGATGCCGCAAGCCCGTGTCCTCCGCGTTTGAGCTGCTGCTGCCGCCCTCGCTCGTGTTCATCGCCAACCTGGACTCGATCTTCGGTACCGGGGGCAACTACAGCAGCTCGTCCGAGGCGGCCACGGGCACCATTATGTACACGGGACTGGACTCGCCGGCGTACACGGACTACGGAGCGCTGAGTACCAACATGCCGACGTTCTACAGCAGCGGCCAGAGCGTGAGGCAATTCCTGCTGATCAGCTACATCAAGTTCGTGTCCACGACCACGACGGCCACGATGATCGAGAAGAACCGGAGACCTAACAGCTCGTCCACGTAGGGCTTGATGCTACCCTAGCGCTCGATGGCGAGCAACACAACGGGCATGACATTTAGCGTTCAGCGTTCTGCAAGGGCTGCGCTGCGTTCGAGATTGCTAAGGACACCAAGCTGTGGATGAAAGGCCAGCTCATGAATGCGAGATTGGTTCAGCTCGCAAGAAGGAAAACATAATGTATGTTTGATGGATTGAACATGTGCGATGTAATGATCTTATCTAATCGATCCTATCTGACTGTCTTGGTTGCTCTTTCGTTTTGTGCAGTAAAGACGCAGTGCTCGAGTCAATGGCAGACCTCCTTCCAGTGCTCGTTCTCGCTGAAAGCGGACGAGCTGTCGGACGAGTTGAGTTTGTCCGGCTCCGTGGACCGCGAGCTGCCGGTCTTCTAGTACTTGCCGTGCGTCGTCTGCAGCTGCGGGGTCATCTTCTGCGTGAGTTCGACCTCCTTGTTGATCGCGTCGCAGGCGCATCAGTGCTCCGAGCTCCTGGCTGGTCCTCAGCAGCTCCGCCAACTGCTTCTTCAACTTGGCGTTCTCCTCTCGCATGCGCGCGAGCTCGTCGTCTTGCTCAGCTTTCTCCATCTTGAACTTGGAGAACTCCTCGCCCACGCGGTTGATCTCTCTCTCCTTCTCGATCTTCTCGATGCACAGTTTGGAGAAGATCTGACGAGCCAAGCGGCCACGCTAGATGCGGATAGCTGCTGCCTCCGCCTCCTGTCTGCCCTCCTTCATCACGGCGAACTGCTTCCGCTCCTGGTTTTTCGCTCCACCTTGTCCAGGTCCTTGTAGCCGTGCTCTGCGCTGCACTGCTCCACCTGCCGGCGCTCAGGTTGCGCCCCTTCGTCACGTCAAAGTGCTTCAGCACCGCCTCGGTGTCTCCAGCTCATAGCGAACGTCTGTCACGGCTTGAACTCCCTTTGAACGACCTTGTACTCAATTCTAAACTGACTTATAAACTTATAAACAAACATGCGGCGGAGTGTCGGAGTTCGGAGCTCGGTGTCGGATATGTCGGGGCCTGTCGGCCCCAACATATCGTATGAACCCATTATCTACCTCCTGGCGGGTTTACGAGGCTAGAATAGGCCGCGGAAGCTAACTTCGTCGTCCATGCAAGTTCGTCACGACACCTGGGAAAACTCCTAAAGATGTAGATTTATGCATTACTACTTCTGCTTGAGCAGCCACTTGTGTTGTCGACGGCAGCTCGGTATGGTGGCAGAACTTGCAACTCCATCGTATTTCTTCAGCAAAAGGTGCTTCGTGCTTCACCCAATCGTCCATAGATTTTTTTAGTTTCACGTAAAACCAGAAAGCGGTGATTGCATGTGCATTTCAAAGTCCAGTCGTTGCGAAGTCGATGAGAGCGATGCAACCTGCGTTGCACATCACTTTGCTGCCTTACAAGGACAGAGTTTGAGCAAGTTATTGTCGCGTGTCAATACGTCGTACTATGACTGGTAATTATGCTTGGCCGACTTTGGGGAGTTATAGCATGACAATGTTGAGCATCAATTCACTGCAAACGGCGCAAACGGTGCAAATTATGCTGAATTGCAAGTCTGCTCAGGCTTCGTCTTCTTGGCACTCAGGAAAGAGCCTCGCCCATTACTTCAGAAAAATTCCTCCAGCAGTCACGATGCAAATTGTGCTACAAGTTGTAGCACTTGCTTGTATCAATGCTCCATTAAATAAATTTCAATTTCAAAGCATTTTCACGCGGGAAATGAAAAATCATGTCGATAAAAAACTACTTCGAGGTATCCTTTTATTAATTAATAATCTTGCTTTAATAGCTTTCAATAGCCAGCCAGTCAGCGAAGAAGATCATGCCGCCGATCAACATGACCAGCGTGGCCCTTGCCGCTCTCCCTCACGTGCTCTCAATGATCTCATCGTTCCTTGACGCTACAGGCGAGATGACTCTGTCGGAAGCCTGCATGGACCACATTTGGGCAAGTAGCTGCGTCACGGCGGCCGAGCGGACCCCCGGCTGGTCGCGCTTCAACTGGCTGCGCTCGGACTCGATCGACGCCCAGTGGCAATTCGAGTTGTCAATGGATAAAGCAGCCGCATACGAGTATTGGGACGTCGTTCGGTGGCTCCTTAACCACTTCCAGGACTTCCGCGTAACGCAGGTCGCTGTGGAGGAAGTCATTCGGGCCAATCAGTTTGAGCTGTTGAAAGAGATGCTGGGCCGCAACCGAATCGATTCCGAAGGCGAGAGGATCACGCTAGGACGCGGAATCAATTGGACGTGTGAAGACATGCAAGACTGTGATGAGGAGGTCGCCCACTGGCTGTTTGCCACCACCCCTATCGCTAGCGTCGCTGGCCAACTGAGCTCGTTGGTGTCTTTTTGTCAGCGTGAAGCGGATATCACGCGAGCGGAGTGGTTCATCAAGAGAGGCTGCCCGTACAGGGCAGCAGATGCGGTGTGTAGTGACCCAGACGTAACTTGCTGGATGTTTGCAAGAGGTGGAGTGGGGGAGGGCGACGTCGCCAGAGCGTTGCAGTCAATGGCAGGAGCTGGTCGCCTGGGCATAGTACAGTGGATTCTGAGCAAATACCCTCCGAGCAGCACCCGGGGCTGGCAACAATGCGGGGCAGATGCGTTTTGGTCTGCGTGTCAGTCGAATTGTTTGCCTGTTGTGAAATATTTCTTGGAACATGGACCGAGTCAACCGTGCTTGGACCTATACCCGAATGCCATGTCTGAAGCTGCTGTCCGAGGGCATCTAGACTTGGCAAACTACCTTCACTCACAAGGTTTCACTGCAATGGATGGTTCCATATTTCGTCGTGCAGCAGTAGCCGGGTGCCTGGAGGTTGTTCAGTGGCTTTGCTGTCAGTTTGGAGCGAGTTTCTCGCTATTAGATAGTTAGGGGGGGGGAAACGGAAATGCTCATGATGAGAGTGGCGACAGCCCTGGATTTCGCAGCTGAACGTGGCCACCTCGACATTGTCCAGTATCTCCACAAGTTGTCCGTTGAAGCTGGTCCAGACAAAAGACGTGTTTGGCAGCGATCAACCTCGCGGCGGCTGGACACCTCGACGTAGTTCAATGATTAATTACACTTCAACAGGTCCGAAGGACGTTCGTCGGACGCCATGGACCTGGCAGCAGGAAAAGGCTACCTGGAGATTGTCAAGTGGCTACACGAACATCGTACGGAGGGCTGTAACAGTAGCGCGATGGACTCAGCTGCATCAGATGGGAATCTTGAAGTCGTGAAGTTTCTGCATCAAAATCGTTCGGAGGGCTGCACATCCGCCGCAATGGAAAATGTTGTCCAGAATGGTCATCTTCATGTCGTCCAATGGCTCTATGACAACTGGAGTGAAGATGTCTCGGCCGAAATCCTGGACATTGCCGCTGTCTCTGGTCACCTAAACGTTGTAAAATGGCTGTACAAGAACGGCGTACGCTGCGACGAACGTAGGACATCCCGAAGTGACCCAGTGGCTGCTGTCTCGAGGTCCCCACTGCCCAGAGCCCGACTTGGAAACGATCAAAATGGCCCTGTGGAAGGAGCTTCTCGACTTCATCCACTGGATGCTGAAGCGCTTCCCCGCGAAGATCGCTACGACTGAAGTGATGGAAATGGCTGCTCGCGAGAACAAGTTCGAGGTGGTGCTGTTCTTGCACTCACAAGGCACCGAGCGGTTGAGGGAGGACACGATCGAAAGTCTTATCGGCAGGAGGCTCCAGTGTGGCTGTCATTGCCGTGCATCTCTAAATATATATAATATATATTCACCCGACAATGCACGTAAGAGAAAATAAAAACAGAAAGTATCCAGGATGATGCCAACGTACGTGGCGAGTTGCTGTTCTCACACGTCACAGATAATCATCTCCGATCTATGTGCCGCACACATTCCTCCTCATACAAATTCCAAGTGAGCAACCCCCGTCAGTATCCAAGAAGCGACAAGCAACAAGAAGCGGAAAGCTCATTTATTTTCCCCCTTCACACTGCTCTAAGGCCCCCCACAGACGCACACGCCCCACGATGCTGCTGAACCACCTCATGTTCTGGATGATGATGACGGAGGGCGCCATCTGCCTGGTGCTGAGCCTCCCGTTCGGCCAGTGGGTCTCGCACGCCGTCATCTCGTTCCTGATGAAGCACCTGGGCGGCAAGGACTCGCCGGCCAACATGGTGGCCACGGTGGTGCTGGCCATTGTGTCTTTGCTCTTCATCTGTGCGTCAGCTCCCTCCTCGTGGTGGAATCACCTCTGTAGACACAGTACAAGTGGAGATATCGACCATTGCTCTCTAACTGTTAACTGTTTTTTTCTTAATGTTTTTTTATTATTCCTACAGCGGACGTGACGACCGTTTACAAGCACCACTCGTCGGACGAGGTGCTGAGCGATGGCATGCGCATCCGCCTGCTCACGGCGCAGCGCGACATGTACATCACGGGCTTCTGCCTGTTCCTGTTCCTGCTGCTGCGCCTCGTGTACATCGCGCTGGCCACGAACCTGCGGCTGGAGAAGAGTTTGGGCGCCATGAAGAAGCAGGCCGAGGGCGCCGCGGCCGGCTACAAGTCGCTCCTGGCCGAGAACGAGAGCTTCAAGCAGCAGACGGCCAAGCTGCACCAGCTGCTGGAGGCCGAGGAGGACGACGGCGACAAGAAGAAGAAGCTCGACGTGCTGGCCAAGCTCGTGCAGGAGAACGCCGACCTGGAGGCCAAGGTCAAGGCCTCGGCCGAGCAGCTCAAGAAGGCCGAGGGCCAGGTGGCGGCCGTGACCAAGCAGGCCGAGGGACAGAGCTCGGCCTTCATGAAGCTCATGGACGAGAAGAGCGAGGCGGACAAGCAGCTCGAGACGGCCAAGGCCCAGGACGAAGAGCTCAAGCGGCAGCGCGAGTTGATCGCCAAGCTCACGGAGGAGCGCGACTCGCTCAAGACGCAGATCCAGGACTACGACTTCATGTTCGCTGAGGCCAAGAAGAAGGCCGAGTAAGCTGACTGACTGACAAGAACAGGCGGGCGCAGAGTTATCTCCACGATGCACGTGCACGCCAACACAAGACGAAAAAAATATGGTTGTTTTTCCCTGTGTATACTAGTTGTTCGTATGTGTGTGCAGTTGATCTCCCTGGGTTTTAACTGTTGTGGTGCAGGTACTGCAAGCGTTCTTGAATAATCTGCAGTCTCGAGCTCGCAGTGCTGGAGGTTGACGATGATACTGACGACGCTGGAGACGTAGGCGCTAGAGGACTGGGTGGGCCGTGAGGGCTCGGTGTCAGGTTCAGCGGAGCAGGACGAATACTCCCACTGAATCGACGCTGCGTGACGGCGCTCTGGACGTGAATCCGCATGGCCCACACTTTCTCCGCTGCATCATCGGGATTCTCCACCTCTTCGTCGGTATCTTGTTGCCGCTGTTGCTTCTTCGATGCGTCATCGCCGCCAGTGTAGCGCGTGAACACTCGGACGTGCAGCGCTCGGTTTTGCTTCAGGATGGGGATTAACAGCAGGCGGAAAGCGTCTTTCACCTCGGGCGTCATATCCTCCAACTCAAGCGTGCAGCCTTCAGGAGGCAGCTCCAGCACACGGTTTGATGACGCACCCCTCAGTGGTGGAACCCCAGGGTAAGCCTCCATTCGCGCCAGCCACCGTCTCACTCCAAGCTGCTTTTTCCGATCACGGGTCCAATTCTGCAGGATGAGCGCCGTTTCCCGGGAGGTTATGGTGAAGGTGGGGATCGGCATGGACCCATTCGCACTATCTCCAGCGTCACACTCGTACCATTGCGCCAACGCCATCAGAACACGCCTTCGCAACGTAATCACAGTCTTCTGCTTCACAGGAGAGTCCTCTAGCTTGGTCTGTACCTTCAGCATCACTGCAAAGCGCAGCAAGCTCAACGCGACCGTCAAAATCGGCAACTGTCCCTTCTCACTTGCTGCTTGGCCTTGAAGACGCTCACACAAAGCAGGGAGAATGTCGGCGTGAGTCTCAAACAGGCTCAGTGCATCACTCACAGCACCCAACAGCGTCTGCAAGTGCGTCAAGAAGCCATCCATCTCGCTGATCCCCGACCGCAAAAGTGCCCAAGCTTTTGAAGGAGGCAGCGCCTGGATTTCCTTGTCGCTGAGACCGTGAAACGCCTTCAGTGTGTACGGAGCATTGGCCGGTTCAACGGTGGGCGAAAGCTTGTGATCTTCTGCAGCTAGGAGCTGCGTTTCCAGGGACTCGCACTGATCCTGGACTCGACTTAGATACTGCAAGTGCTTCTGCGTTTTCTCCTCCATCGCCGACTGGCAACTGAGAAATTCTTCTGTCGTGAGCTTCGAGGCCTGACGAGCTTCACGGACTTCCTGCTGAAGTGCCTTTTTCTCCATTGCCAGGGCTCGGGCATTTTTCTCGAGTTCAGCCGCCGATTTTGAAGCCTCGGCAAGTTTGGCTTTGTAGTTTGTAGCTTCACCCAGTCGATTGGACTCCGATTCCGCTAGCTGGCCTTGGACCATCGCAAGGTTACTTTCGAGATCGCGCCGAGCCCGGACATGTTGGTCGTTTGCCTGCTGCATAGCCTCCAGAGTGCCCGACAACTTCGCGATATTCTCTTCGTGTTCAATTGCCGCTTGAGAAAGCTTCGCTTCAGCAGCAAGAAGTTGTGATCTCACGTCCTCCAACGTATGTTCCCGGTCACGTAGCGTATCAGCTGAGTTCGCGAGGGCTTCCTCCTGGTCACGAACAGTCTGCAAAGCCTGCGCAAGCTCCGATTCACGCTGCTTGTCGCCAGCAATTACTTTCGATTTTGTATCCGCCAGCTCCGCACGAACCTCAACCAGATGATCTTCAGCGTCGCGCAGTGCTGCAGCATGTTCCTCTTTCATCTCCACGAGTTTTGCTGCGTCGGTTTCCGCTTCAACAGCTCGCTGAGCCTCAGAATCTTCGAGCCGTTTCTGCAGTTCCGCGCACTGACTTTCCAGGCCTTGGATCCTCGTGGAATACTGCTCTTGAGTCACTTCTTGATCATGCAGCGTCTTCTCCTTTCCACTCCTCAGTTCCAGCTCCAAAGCTGCACACTTCTTCTGCAATTCGGTCACCTGCTGTTCGTACTTCTCACACAGCTCCTTCTCCTTCAGCTCACCCTCCCGTCGAACCCTTTGGCTCAACTCCCCCACCAACGCGTCTATCTTCTCTTCATGCTCCAACTGCAGCTTCAACTCGCGTTCTTCAACTTCACTCTCTAGCTTCGCCCTCTCCTCCTCCTTCTCCTGCAACTGCTGCTTCAAGATGCTGCCCGTCTGCGCGTGAGTTGCCAATTTGGCCTCCACCTTCTCCTTCTCCTCCTGCAGCTTGCTCTTCTCATCCTTCAGAATCTCCACCTGGGTCTCTAGAAATTCATAGTTCTCCTTGGCCGCCTGCTGCTCCAGCACCGCATCTGCCACTTTGCTCTTCTCTGTCTGCAGCGCGTGGTGCGCGTCTTCAAGCCTCGTCTCTAGCTCCCCTTTCTGCAGAGCGAACGCTGCCTGCTGGGCCAACATGGTCTGCGTCTGCTGCTGCACCGTCGCCGTGAGGCTGTGGAGCTTGTTGAGGAGCGCCAACTTCTCCACTCCGTCTTCTTCTCCTTCTTCATGATCTTCTTCTTCTTCTTCTTCTTCTCGCTGATTATCTTCAATTTCCGGACTCTTCTCCTTCTTTTGACAATTATTCTGCCCAAATTTCTGCTCCATTTCACCTAACCGCGCTTCATACTTGGCCGCCATTCGCCATAATTGGGAATTGAAGTCTTCCTGCTGCATGTGCTGCGCCTCGCGAGCCGCGCGGCTCTGCGCTGCGCTGGGCGGCGGTCCGTGTGTCTGCAGGTGCGTGAGCGAGGCCTCCAGCGCGCGCTTGTCCCTGCGCGTCTTCACCAGGTCCGCGCGCAGCAGCTTCAGCGCCGCGTAGGCGTCGCGCAGATCTTTCTCCATTTTGGCGCAGAACTGATAATGACGGCAATGAAAGATGGGAGGGTTCACTTGAAATTGGTATGGGTGATTTAGGGGGACAACTTTACTGTACGGTATTTTCGTATAACTACATGCTCGCTTCTCACTGGGACGAATGGCAGCCACCTTGGTGTCCACGGGATAGTGGCTAGGCTAGCCCTTCCAATAGAGGCGAAGCTAACACTGGACATTGGCTTACTGTAGGACGCTGGTATCTAATACATGTAGATAGCATCTATCGACGCGTGTGTGGAGTATTCTTCCTGACGACAGCGATGCCGGCGGCGACGGCTGCAGCGCAGCCGTTGCAACAAGGACTGCGTCAACGTTGTCACTTCATAAACTACGTATGTGTGCCGCATCAACAGCGGCACTTCATAATCAAGTGCCATTGATTGGAGCTGGAGGGTATTGGGAGCACGCCCTCCATGAAGCGGACCGATAAACTGCTTGCCTAAATAAACTCACTCACCAGCGGAAAGAAGTCTTACTTCGCAAGCTACTTTGCAGCACACAAACGTCATAAAAACATCGAATTGTTTTGTTGGCATGCGATTTACATTCATCGGCGACAAACTCTATTATTTGTAGTGTGTCTCAGTTCTGGCAGCAGCAAGATAGCGCTCTCAGAAAACCCTCCAAATTTCTCCCAATCAGAGACGAAAAGAACTGAGACCCCCTTTGTAGTTCGGCAGCAGCAACATGCCTCATGCGTGGTCTTTGCTAATTAAGCCTATTGCTCAACTACAGTAGTGCGCCCATGCATATACCGAATTTGAGATTTCCTAAAGCAGAGCTTTCTCCTAAATGACACACTCACATAACCAATCATGTTGAGCCGTTCATACAGCTCGCTGATCGAGATCTCCTACCTAATGAGTCTTGGTCGCGAATGTACAGGTAATGGTACATCAATAGACACGAACAGATCAGCAGCATACACAAATCGACAATCCTATCCAAAACCCCACGCATGGTACACCAATGTACAGATTACTGGCGGCTAGTAGACATAAGGGCCCTTCTCGCATTCCGAGTGATGCAGGCGCGTTATACAAGAACCGCACTGCTGCCTGTCTGCTCCAGTCATCGTTTCAGCTAACACTTTCGGGTGACACCAAGCATCAGGCGGTCTCTCAAGCTAGCCGGCTTTGCCGACCACCGCTGGAGTGGACTAAACTAAGAGCGTGCTGTAATGAAGATGAATACGTGAAATTTCGCTGGGAAGCTTTTTGTTGTTCGGTGGTGCGTGCCAAAAAGGATCGTCCGTGCATCATCTGCCCTGGGGAACACGATATGGTTGAGCGCCGACTGCGCTGTCGTAGCGAAACCTGTGAGAGCAGCACGGGACCGATAAAGTGCCCGACGTGCTGGAAAGTTCATCACTGTCCAGTAGTTTCGAAGTGAGTGGATCATTCTAAGCAACGGAGCAGCTCATTTTCGTGGAGAGATCGAACGCGCGGTACCGCCTACGCCTAAGGTTACAGAAGAGATGAAAGAATACATTCATCGCATGGACGAGAACGCTGTACCGCCTCGTCTCATCTGGAGCAACTTACTGCGCGCACCCGATGTCCCGAAGCCAATGCTGGGCTACCCGTCCTACACCCAAGTTAAGCGCAGTGTGAAACATATACGATGGCTACAAACTATTACGATGGCTACAAACTATTACGGGGTTCGAGAACGCCACCTACCCGATGTGTTTTTTCACGTGCTTTACAACGTGCCTAAGCGCATCCTGCATTTACCAAATACCGTTCGTGGAGTAGTTTACCGTGGCATTCTTGACATGCACTACGCAACTAGTCAAGTCCAGTTGATGACGGTGTGGGCTCGAATGGCTACAGAGTGGAAATGTGATAGTCGACTGTGGAGTTTTGTTGAATATTGCGATTCTCAGTGGCTTAGTAGCCGATTTTGGCGGTGGCAGATTTACCATTCTCCTGGTGGATTCGTAACGACTAACAATCCATGTGAAGTTTTCAACGCTAGTATCAAGCGTTTCACGCTCCGCAAGGTTATGGATATGAGACGCCTCATCCAAAAACTTCTGACTATCGCGGAAGACACCTCGATCTGTATTCAACCTAGTAGTACGTCCGCGCGCCCACACCCACCTCAAGAGGCTAAAACGCTTGCGAACTTCCAAGTTTCATCGCAGCGGGTTGCTGTTTTAATACGGGAGAGCATTCTGTCGTACGAGTGCAGTACTTAGGCGACGGGATAACGGACGATGCAGACATCCAAGAAGTTTCAAGCATTGGAGACTCACAGGCCACTGCAACCCAGTCTAATGGGGTACTTCTGTTTGAAGGTTGTTTGACTGACGCTGAAAAAAGGTCGGCGGCCACGTTTTACCGTTCCACTGTGAAGTGGTCAGTTCGGTGGGCTCACCACCTGGGTATGCCGCCGAGTGGATGGGTAGTGCGCATTAACACGTTTGAGTGTATGTGCCCCTACCTCACAAAATTTTTATCGTGCGCCCACGTGATCTGCGGCCGGGTCGCGTTCGGTTTAAGTGTTCCGGGCGTCGGCGGTTTGCACCTTAAGTTCAAGAACCGACGGATTCGCCGTACTGGCCATCGTGACACCAAAGTCAAGGCTCCTGTGCTGGTTCATAGTGCGCCCTTGACTTCGGTTGAACCGGCAGCTCCCAACACATAACTTGTGATCGAGCCAAAAACCGGCTCGGCGGAACAATTGGAACTTATCAGCTCAGCTGTACAGGATTTTCTGCACGATAATACGGTCGACTTCTATGAATTGGATTTCTCGACGTCAACGGACGCAAGCATTTGTGATGACTACAATCAATTCGACGCCAGCTGGAGCTAACTACTCAGTGCAGATATGAGTGGAACAGGAATGCGTCCACACAACACAGGATTCTATTTTTCCGTTTTAGCCTCGTCAAGCCCCACGCCGCCATTCTCACAGCGCGACGTTCCGCCGAATGGGGCAACTTCTGTCTTGCCACAAGTGTATCCACCAGCCCAAGAACAAATTCCTATCCACCGCCCACGGGGCCGGCCCCCTCTTGCATCGCATGCCTTGTACATTCCGTACCTGCTGCGATAACGTCTAGGTTACTGGAACTAGCGCAAGTAACGAACAAAAATACACGTTTCATTTTACGTATTTAGAATATTCAACGCTTACCATACTGTAATCTCTAAATTGCACTAGACCAGGTAGATATCACGTATATCACTCCTTCGTGCACTTGAAAACAATAGCTAGAAGTGCAAAACCCTCATTCACCTGTTAGAGTACTTCAGAGCTGTGCTTTGTTTACCCCCTTCTCTTAATTTGGTGTGTTTCAGGAATGTGTTGGAACGCAAACTAGTAACCCATAGACTTCTGAGCTTGCACGATGATTAACTTGCGTTCCTGACTACTCCCCATTCGCGTTATAGACATCTGAGCACAACAAGGAGGAAAATTCTGGTTTATTAGCACGGGGTTTACATGAACTTACATCAACTTTGATACTTTTCCGCTCTATAATTTGCTCTCGCGCGCCAAATATTGTCCGTAATGTCCATGTCTTTACTGGAGCTCACTCAGCGTGCTCAGCATTACATGATATGATAGTAGGGTATGCAATATATAAGCATAGGAGCACAACAAGAGGGGCATTGCATCAAATCTGACACATGTCCCACTGTAATTTGCTCCCGCGCGTACAATATTATCAGTAACGTGGATGATTTTACTGGAACACACTCAGCATGCTCACCGTTATGTGTCATGATAGTAAGGTTTACCTCTACATCAGTCGGAGAGTCACAACAACGGTAAATCTACTAACCTGCTAGCTATCGATTCTAAAAAAAGGGGAAGATAATTTGCTCCCCACCCATCAATAATGCTTGGCTTCGGTTTTAAGTTGCTCCGTGGAACTTGTGACAGTAAGCGCTACAAGTATTGATAACGATATGGTGCGGGCGGCAGCTTTAAATAAGAATAACAACGTAGAAAGAGATCCTACTCTTCAACATAATCCATATCGATTTGCATGTGACGGTCTGATAACGTATCGAAAAAAGTTGCAGTTAAAGATTTTTTCGGTACAGCATTATGTTGCAAGCCTTTATTGTGTATGGCGCTTTCGCTTACGGTTCTCCTTCTTTTTAATCCCAGCAGTGGTCGCATTGCGTCTAGCTGCGAATTTGGGATCCTCCTCTACCTTAGCTATAAACTTGCTCTTCTCAGCCTCGAAGCTGTTAGGACGCCATACTCTACCTTCCATGGCGCAAAACGCTGGCAGCACTCTTTCCCATGCTGGCCTAGTCCCCTTGGCCACAGCAACAGCGGCCTGCATAGCATAACGGTGTGCAAACAGTCGATCTTGCTTCAAAATTACGACATTACCTGCGATTGCGACCCACTTCTCTTCGTCCAGCGTCTTGGCTTCATAGGCGAGAGTAACAGTGTGAAAGACCAAATGGTTGACGAACACGACGCCCCCAGGACTCGGTTCATCGAGTTCTCGGTTTTCCCCACGCGGATGGATCGAGCGTCCTTCATCGCGCGGAAAAACACCCAAATCTTGAATGCTTTTTGCTGACAAGGAGGCAAGTACGCTACCGTTCTGCCGTGGTCCACGTGCATGGGTGTCTCTCGGCAACCAACTTGTAGCCAAATCTCATGCGGAAATACGTGCGCCTCCGAAGACGACATTCGAATCTTAGAGTAGTAGCCTGGTATGCTTACAACGCACTGATCATTGGGACCCTCGGCATCTTCGTCGATGGCAGCTTGGGTGGCGTCCTTAATGATTTCCACAATGCTTGTGCCCTTGTTCAGCTTCAACTCGGCCCGCACATGGCTGCTTGACACTGGAAATTGATCCGCCCTACGATATCCTGCCACAGCGTTGCTTGCGCCCCTAAAGACAAGCACTGCAGCTTTAGCAGCAATTGCCACATCCATGGAGAATGAGGAGTCAACGTAGAGGTCACGGAACTCGTGCAGCTTCTTCAAAACTTCTTCCCTGTTAATGGTTTTACCACAATAATCAGCTTCTTGAACTAATTGTTTTAGCTTCGCAATGAACGGTCCATCGGCCGGCATCGTTTCTCCAACCCGCCGCTGCTGACCTGCTGTAGTTAGTCGTGCTGCATACTCTTGGTCTCGGCGGGGCGCTGGAGCTGCTGTTGGCGCTGCTGGTTGCTGCTCGTGTGACGGTGCGTTGGCTAGGACCAGTAATTTTATTGTTAGTGTGGACCACAGTGAACAAAAGTATGCATCAGGCTGCGTCTCTTTTTTTCTGTCTATTGGTGGCCCACGTGCGTGTATATTGCTGACCTAACTGGTGTATATTGACGACCTTTACTCCTACCTAATGCACCTAAACAGTGCTGAAAAAGCCAGTCATTTAGCAAAGAGCGAGCAGGATGCCACGATCCCCCGGCCAGCGCCAAGGCAGGGCGCGGACTTCCGGCACGGGGAAGGCGCTTGCCGAAGAAGATCCTGACTGGGAGTTACTGTTTCAGCTGGTTACAGATTTCAGCATGCAGCGTCGTGTACTGGCCGATGCTTCGGTTGATGACCCTGCTCGCGATATTGACACGCTGGCTGCCGACGAGAGAGAAGCTTAGATAATTTCATGAATACACAAATTCATGAATACACCTACATGTATTGCCACTTGCAAATACTTTGTCCTCTAAAATAATATGAGTGGACACGAGATAGGCGAGGGCTGTTTTAGCTTTGTGCTTTGGTGGAGGCCGCTTTTAGGCCCAGAAGCTCGGTTTGACCAGTCTAGAATGGCATTTCTGCGTTTCCAAGCCGCAGAAAAGCGTTTTGGTCGGGAGCACAGAGCCTCAAGCTTGGATGTTAGACCGTACTGGCGATACGTGTAAATCAGACCTAGGTCTGAATTAAGAGCTGACTGGATTAAAATCGAGATTATTAACGAGATAATAAGCGTGCGTTAGCCAAAATATCTGCAAACGGCAATACGTCGTTGCATTTGCATTAAACAGTTTTTTTCTGCGCGCTTACCCTGTGTATCTCGTGTACACCTAGGGTATCACGTAGGAAATCTCAAATTCGGTATACCTACCATATTTAGTTATAATGGGGGTGGTACAAAATGGGAATGAGTACTTTCCTACCTCGATCATCAATCACTTCATACAAACTTTTCATAAAGACTTCGCCCGTCTCCAAAATGGCTCCTTTTTCGGCAACCCCATTATAACTAAACCCCCACAACAACTAAATAAATACGGTAAATGTTATAGGTGCCCTGCAGCTTGTCCGACATGTACATCGTTCATCATCCGTACGTTTTGGAGTTGGCTCGCCTGTTCTCATCAATGCCGTCGATCGTAGCAATTCCTTACTCCGTTTTCTGGTGTGTACAGTATCGGGTCGTAAACACATGCGTAAACACATGCGTAATGCGATACGGCGCGGTGTCTCAGAACCACCCGCCGATTTTGTACTGACAGCGTACCATTGACCTGTAGAGCCCACCCAGATCATAATTAATCTTCCAATAAGCAAGCGCCCTGCAATTCCAAGTCCAACGATGGGCCTCCACAAGGGCTTCTTCGTCGCAGTTGCTCTCCTCGCTCTCCTCATTGTTGCCGCTCCAGCTGATGCGATCACAGATGAGTCTCAGCCCCGCGATGCAACCATCGTCGATGCCCCACTCACTGGCAGGGGTGCCAATGCTCGGTATTTACGGACTAGCACATCGATCATCAAGGCCCCCGACGCCCAGCTACCGAGTACAAAGGCTGCGATCGCATCGTCTGTCACCAAGGAAGAAGAGGAACGCAAGATCTCGACCGGTCTCAGCAAGCTCAGGCAGAAGCTGAGCAAGCGTTTTCACGATATCCCGGACTGGCTGCTTCAGCTGCAGGCTTTCCTGTCCGTCGGACTACACCACCTAACGTAAGTTTCACAGGCGTTCTGGCTGGAAATCCCGCAATCGTGCCAATACGGGAAAGCACTCGTATTTGTATCCATAAGCATATTCCTGACTCGATCAGTATCTGAGCCGCTAAAACAACTTCATAGCACCACATTTCTATAGAATTGTAAACCCTGAGAGCAAAGAATCGAACCTTCATTTAGCCTTTCTCTTTGAAAAAAGCGCCGGAGTCTGTGTGGCTCGTGCTGGGACACTGGAACCCACTAGAACAGGCTGATGAGCATAAGGTTCACGCCACTCAGTATGACCGAGATATCCGGTAAACCCACTTGCAGCTTTTTCAAAACCCTTTTTAAGGCGCTCGGGGACCCTTTCGGCCTCTGGAGCAGCTTGCCAAGACCGCTCGATATCCCTCCCTCTTCGTCGACGCCTAGCGAAGTGTGCATCAGCTGGCTGACGGATGCCTTGGTCGAGTCGTCACTCCGGAGTTGTCTCGCATCGGGACTAAGTAAGCGAGGCGCAGCTTCAATTCCGGTCGCACCATGGGGTAGGGCCTTCTTAGAAATCGCCAGAGTAACGTCGCAGCAAAAGGCCAGACACCTTGCTGAATGAACACTGTAGGGTAGGAATTAAACCAGTTCGCAGGTAACAAACCGCTCACTAGCACAGCAGACAAGTCTAGCATAGGTAGGTATAAGTTATAGGACGATTATAGCGGGACTCCTTTCCAAAAAAGCATGATGACCTTCATTTAGCCTTCTGTTCTGGTGCGTCGGTGAATCTGCTCGCAACCAGCGCTTTGTCCAAGCCCAGATTTATTGTGGCTGGTACTGGAACACTGTGGTCTCGCACGCCTCAACTATATTATGCTGAAGAGCACATGGTTCAAGTGATCAAGCATGGCCGAAGTATCCGGTAAACGCTCTTTCAGCTTTTTGAGGAGCTTGACGAGAGCGCTTGGAGATTTTTTCAGCTTCTGGGCGAGTTTGCTGAGGCCGCTTCCGAGCGCTCTTTCTTCGACAGCGCCTGATGAAGTGTCCATTACTTGGCTGCTGGATGCCTTGATTAAGTCGTGAGTCCTCAGCCGTCTCGCCTCGGGAACGCCGCCACGAATGTGGAGACTTGCGGTGGCTTCTGAGGACGCATCGTCGATTACAGCCTTCTTGATTGCGAGCGCTGGAGTAGCGTAGTTGACAAGAGTGAGGGTGATCAAAGCGATGAGGAAGGCTGTGCTGACTCCCATCGTTAAGATTGAAATTGTCCAGCGGATTGAGAGAGCGAAGTCCGATCACAAACTGATTCAGGTATAAGGTGGTGAACTGTTGTAAAACGAAGAATGAATAGATCTAGACTACTTACGGCGCCCTGGAAAAAGGAGTTTCGTCTTTCTCCGCCTCGCACCTCTTCTGGAGCTCCTCAGTCGTTGCGAAACTACCTGTTTCCAACAGATCGCCTTCAGTGTGGGGAAACATGTAGTGAATTCTTAGCGGGAGTGGAGTGGCGGCGCCCCAACTCGAAATCCGCCGCGAATTTCCGCAAGAAGTACGTAATGCTGGCCACGCGTCGCTAGGCGTCCTCCCCGCCTAGCACATTAGTCTTGAGAGCTCGGCGGATCCTTCAGCCGTGAGTACTGGATATTCCTTGAAGCAATTCGACAACCATCGACCGAGAACCTTGATGGCAAGTCTATCGGCCCCCGCATTGAACAATACCGTCGCACCTCCAATTCGGATCGAGTGAGTGGAATACCGCTCGGGATTGAGACCTTCGATTCTTGCAGCGTCCTTGATAATTGCCGCAATTTCTCGAGCGCTAATACCACCTAATTGGCCTGTTGTCAAGGCGGGTTGATCCAGATGAGTTCCAAACACTGCTGCTGCCTTGAGTATCCATCGGGCCGCTCGAACGGGACAAAGGACGCTATCGCCCGACTTCTGGTGGTAGCGAAGCTCTTCCCTGCCGAACTGATTATTCTTTGCACCACACAGACGAATACCCACCCGAGTCGCTTTGCGCGGGGTCGCGCGTTGATTCTGATTGTCCAAGAAGCAAATATCTCCAAGTCGTAATATATAGTCGTGGTGACGCCGGCCAATAAACAGGTATTCTGATCTCCGAAGTAAAAAGAAGTATGCAAGCAGCATTCCACCCCACGCGAGCATGTTGCGAGGTTGCTGGAAGTCAAGCATTGTACTCGCACGCCGTAGAAGCTTGGGTGACAGCGGATGCTGCTTGGAATCGGGGTTCGTGAACCTCCGGATGCCGCGGAGTAGCAACGCGTGGCTCGCGTTCACACCCGGGTCATACCCGAGATTGTAGCGGTGATACCACCGAACAGCACACAATTTGGCGCAGATAGTTGAGTATGAATTTCCTTGGCCGGCCATATTCATCCCAAAGCGCCACAGATACACCGTGAATGAACCGAGCTGCGCTGCATTTTTGTCCAGATCATGCTCCGATAGCCAGATGGGGTAGTTCAACCAACGGCACCAGGTTGTCCATTGACCCCATGCGCTCTTGTAGTGAGCTCGGCTTGACTCGGCCAACGCCCCAGCGCGTAGTATCGCTCCCAAAGAGTCGAGAACGTCCTGTAGCCGGGTGGCACTCTCACCTGGGTCCATGCAGACGACATATTAGTAAAAAGGTCAGCTTTCGTCGGAGACTGCCACACCCGAGACCCAGTGTCTGCCATTATGTTCTCCACGCCGGGGATATGCGAGGCCGTCACGAAAAAGTTGAAACGAATTTCCATCAAACTTAACAGGCGAAGCAGTATCTGCGCCGTGGCATTCCTGCTCGCCCTTCGATTCGTCCACGATACAGCCGACTGATTGTCTATGCGGAGTCGAATGTGGTGCTGACGGTCGGGCTCAACACAAGCCCAGCGTTCTCCCCAGACCACACAAGAAAATACCGCACTCATCAACTCGCGTAGGTTTATTCCATAGTCGCCAGAGCCGTCATGCTTGAAGGCTTCAATCTGCAGCAGCTCTTCCGAGCTAAAGGGAACTTGGATAAATTCTCGTCGTGAGGGCCAGAGTGCGCACAAACCCAAGTCACTTGCATCCATAACAATACAGAAGTCGGGTGGTTGTGTCATCGTAAATCGTCCTAGGGGTATCCAGTTTAGTGTTGCAGTTCGCAGGATTAGCCGAAACCAGTGTAGGTCGTCCCGCGCTCCTTCATTGACGGCGACACTCGAGAAACGATGAGCCGAGCGGGCTAAAGCTGCCAAACGCTGAAAGAACGTAGCTGCGGAGCGAATACACGTTACCACGTGGCGCAAACTCCCCAGCAGCTTCTCGAGCTTCGTCCGCGTGGTGTGTGTGGATGCCAGCAGCGCGTCGACTCGTGTGATGGCCTTCGTAACTTTGTCCTGGGGCATCGTCACATACAACGCAGATGTATCCCATACCAGTCCGAGTGCTTTACAACGAGTTGATCACGATGTAAACTTATCTTCATTCACCGCCTCGGGACCCAGCACGGCAATCATCGCTCCACGTAATGCCAGATCTGCTTCCTCCAACCTCGAACCTACATCCGGCTCAATCGAATTGTGATCATCGCACCATGTTTTCGCGTCGAAGTACGTATTGGCTGGTCCCGGTTGGTTAGACCAGCGAGGTTTGGAAGTAGAGTACAGGTGGGTAATTGCCGCTCCTGCCAGCCAATAGTGCATTGGCGAAAGTTTCCAGCCAAACGGGCAAGAGAGGTCAATCACAAGTACCCCGAGCTCCGGTATCACCCCTGCGAATCATCCGACATGATCAGCATGTATAGGGATATTACGAAATGCGCCGTTAACATCACCAGACATCATTTTGGTCCGTCCCGGAAATTCAGCATTGACATCGAGGATACGACGGGCCAGAGTTGGCGGGCCATCGTATTGAACTGGTCGAGATCCTGAGTATTCTCATTGACGGACGCTCCCTTGGGGTATGACAGATCGTGCATCTTCGGAAAGAGGCAGCCCTCCTTTCTCTGTCGCGCCAAAGGGGCTGCATGTGATCCCGGACAATATGCTGAGGAGGTCGATGTCGAGCACAAGATACTGGTTTTTGTCCTGACCATTACGAATGTTTTTCACAGTCGAGTTCAGCGCCTCCGACATCGATGCGTGATTCGATGGAGCTGTTGTCTGGGATTCAAACTCGGTTTTCCACCCCGGAACAACACCACGGTGGACGACCTGCTCCCATTGGCGGTGGTAGGCGTACGTAGCCCAGCTTGGTAAATGGGATGGGATCTCCAACGCTTTGTTGGGGCGCGGATCTGATGTTGTTTCACCACGGAGAAGACGTACAAACTCGGGCAGGCCCATACCCGACCGTCGAATGAAGTCACTGTAGACCTGCTGTTTCTTGCGGTCGAGTGAATACGGGGTGGAATTCTGCCCGGCCGGGTCTTGTGACCTCGGGTGAGATAGCGATAGACCATACTCAGCAAGTCGAACGTCCAGTCCAGCTCGCGCAGCCTCGCGATGATAAGTCAGTAGCTTGTGGCGGACTGCCAGTGTAGCTTGGTGACGGCGGTACTGCTGTGAAATGAACGCTTGCTGAGACTGATCGCTTGCTTCTATGCCTTGGTGAGTGCCTTCACCCCGGTGCGTGGCGGGGATGTCACCCGCGTTTGGGAGACCAGCATAGCTCGTGGCCCTACCACTGGTTGCAGGGGAAACCACCGTGAGACTTCCACCCATGTTGTTGTCGAGATCTGCGTGCAGTGACGGAGACTTGTTTATTAGGTCTGACTCCGACCTTGCGCTGCCCTCGGTGACGGGTCTCGACAGGAAAAATATACCGTCACCGAGGGGGGAGTAGGACCGTCACGCGTCGTCTGGTTCTTTCGCCAACCTTGCGAACTCCGGCTTGAAACCTCCGTAGCAGCAAATAATCACATCTCGAACCTCCGACGGCAAACGGTCGGGGCAAAAATGACCTCTATCCTTGGAGAAGCATCCATCACGGCGGCTCGGGCAACCAATTCTGGACAAATATTTCATACAAAGAGACTTGCCATTCAGTACCGGGAGCATCTTCAACAGTGCCTCTGTGATCTCGGCTCGTTCTCGTTTCACCTCTTTCACTGGGCGCTTGTGTTGGAGATCGCAAGAGCTGGCGCCACCTGCGATGAGTGCAGTGGCGACGATAACGGCCTGCGACGACCACAACGACCCCTCCAGCTACACAACACGAAACTACCGATGCATATTAGCCTAGCACAGACATCCTAGCATCATCCAACCTAACTCATTCTGCAATACACCAGGTGCGAGGCACCACTACAAGGAGCAACCGTGCAGGATCAACGAGTGCTCCCTTCAGGTTATGAGCCCAACTGGCTCGCCTTCTGCAGCGACCAGTGAAGACTTCGAAGACTCGCGAGGCGACCACGAAGACCTTGAAGAATACTCGGAGGCACGAGGTGCTAACGAGGCTGACGAAGACCACCAAGACGGAAGGAATACTCGCCTAGGACTGCCAGACGACCTGCACTTCGACCCTTCGGACCAAGAGACAATGGAGCAGCACGACCAGCTCCAGTTCATCCTTCGACTGCAGTCCGAGCTGGCAGAACTGAAGAAGCAGCTCGCGACGCGAGCGCCCCGTTCCCCCTCCATGTCGGATACTAGCATGGAAACCGCACCTCCATCACCGAAGAAGCCTAAAATCAAGGACGTACGCTGCTCGAACTTCAAGGGAAACGAGGTTTACCCTGGGTTAGGAGCTGGCTTCGAGAATTTCATCCACGAGTTCGAGCATGCTATAAGGACGGAGGAGCTCGTGAACGGATCCACCTGGACCGACGACATCAAGGCATCGGTGATTGTCAACTTCCTCGAGGGGAAAGCGTCTAGGTACTATCACAAGAAGAACTCAGAGTGGCTGCGCCGTCATAATGGTGACAGCATGCCGTACTCAGATGTGAAGCGCGCGATGCGTGCAGAGTTTGGCTGTAAACTAAGCCAACTCGAACTCAGCACGAAGATGCAGTATAACAAGCGTGAAGGCGATACGTGGCATGACTACCTGGAATACTTGAACTTCATCGAGAGCCTCATGGAAGGTGATCAGACCAAGATGGTCATGGAGGTGTTCGGAAACAATGCATGCCCCGAGTTAGCGCCCACGCTGTTGTCTTCAGTGCCCGACGACGCAAGCGATTACGTTGCGGAAACCGATCGCATGAGGCGACTGCTACACAAGCTGAACGGTGACGGGCGCAGATGTGGTGCGAAGCGAGATGAACGCAAAAACCGTCATGCTGACCGCCGGAACCCGAATTCACATGGCCACCGCAGCGGAAATCGCCACAATGATGATCAGCATTGGCGTAACCAGCGAAACAACAACGACAACTCGGATCGACGTCCGCAGCAGCAAAATAGCGGCCAAGCCTTTGCCGCCGCTGGTCATCGTGGTGAAATACATTGCCATGTGTGCGGGAAGCCTGGTCACAAGATTTTCACGTGTCCACTCGTGGAACAGGCAAAACAACTAGCCACAAGAGGAAGTGCGAACGTAGCCGCTGCTGATGATGACGACACATCCAGAGATTCTGATGATGAAGGCTATGTCTGGGTCGCTGCCGACGGTGCCGAGCGCGGTGCTTCTGCCACGAGAGGAAATGTTTGGACAGTGGATTCGGGAGCAACTCACCACCTTTGCATCGACCGTGACCAACTTTGCGCGATAGAGCCAGCATTCCTGTCGGTGCGAGTGGCGAATGGAGATCTTGTCGCCGCTACTGAGAAGGGAAAGACTGTCATCACGACGATGGCAGAAGGAGTGCCTCGTACTGTCCTGCTAGAAAACGTGTACTTCGCAAAAGGTATTGACCGCAACCTGATTTCAGTGGCTCAACTCACCGCTCGAGGCTACACCTACACCTTTGGTGAGGAGCAGTGTACAATTACGAACAAGACGGGCAAGATTGTTGCCGAAGTGGGTAATTCAGCCTCGACTGGGCTTTGGTCTGTTGGAATCGAGCAAGGCGCGGCCTCCTTCGCAGCAATGACGACCTCTACGCTTCAGCAGTGGCATGAACGCCTGGGGCACGTGAGCTACCAGGATCTGGTACGCATGATTGACAAAAACCTCGTTGAAGGCATGGTTGCCTCTAATCGGAAGGTGGATTTCTGCATGAACTGCGCTGAAGAGAAACAAGCTCGACGCGCGAAGAACAAGCAGGATACTTCTACATCTGCCCCAACGGACGAACTGGGCGCTACCTTGTGCGTTGACCTGAAGACGGACATGATCCCGGATCGGCTCGGTCACAAACACATTTTGACTATTGTAGACCACGCTACGAACTACAATCGCGTCTACTGGCTCCGCAAAAAGAGCGACGCGGAAGGGCATTTGGAGGACTTTGTTAGCGAATTTGAGCGGCAATACGACACCAAGGTGAAGATGATTCGCTCAGACGGTGGTGGTGAATTTGGCAGCACCAGACTCGGCCGCTTCCTCCGCAACCGGGGTATTCTCCACCAAGAAACGGAGGCGGGCACGTCATCATCAAATGGAAAAGCAGAGCGTTTTCACCGGACTGTCATGGATTCCGCCCGAGCGATGCTCTGGGCCTCGGCATTGCCACAGCGATTTTGGGGCGATGCTGTTCTGTATGCGAGCTACATTCGCAACTATCTGCCGACTCGAGCGAACGCCGACCATGCGTCTCCCATTGAGGCCCTCTCCGGAAAACGACCCAGTGTCTCGCACATCCTCAAACGGCTCGAAGTGTACGAGCCACATCGCTCATGCAACGAAGCGATCAGCGAAAAAGCGCGCTGAAAGAGGAGTTGTTATTGGCATCGACTTCAAGAAGAAAGCGTACCGTGTTCTCATCCCGCGAACCAAACGTGTTATTTCTACAACACACATCCGGAACGTTGACCGTCTGGACTCGCGAGCCGTGGGGCGATACATGGACGCCGTCGACGCAGACAATAGCGGCGAGGAGGAGGATGCTGGCGATCAATAGTACGAAACCAACACCCCACATGACGCTAATGGTGAGGAAGCACGGGCTGGTAGCCCTGCAGAGCAGCATCAACTTACGTCGCGTGCCATCCAGCGCATCTTTGGCCTGAATCAAGGTACACGAGCACTACTACGCGATGACTTTCGGCTGCCCCAATCTTTTCTCGAAGAGTTCGCCACTCCGGCATCTGTCCTGCTCACTATCGTACTCAAGGAGGGTACTGCCTTTGCGGTACTACTAGAGCGTGACGGGATCAAGGAGCCAGTAACTGTGGAGGAGGCAATGAACAGCCCGTAGTGGCAGGAGTGGTGGCGGGCAATCGAAGAAGAGCTTCGAGCAATATCGAAGAACGCTACCTGGGAAATTGTGGATATTCCTACTGATGGAAATCTGATAAGTGCAAAATGGGTGTTAAGCTCAAGTTTGACAACAAAGGCGAATTGGAACGGTTCAAAGCGCGGCTGGTAGCGCGCGGCTTCACTCAAAAGTTTGGCATTGACTTCGCAGAGACCTTTGCGCCCGTGCTCAAGATCGCGAGCCTGCGGTTCATTGTGGCCCTCGCATCTCAGTGGCATGCCGTCATTCGACAAGGAGATGTTCCTAACGCATACCTGCGAGCAGACCTCGATCGACCCATCTACATGCGCGCCCCTGTCGGACTCCAATTACCCAAGGGCAAATGCCTACTGCTGCGAAAGAGTCTGTACGGCCTTAAACAGAGCGGCAAGTTGTGGAACGACACTATACACCGCTACTTACTGGAACTTGGCTTCAGGAGGAGCCAACTCGACCCGTGCTTGTATTTTCGTTGGCATGAAGGCAAGCTAACTGTACTGGGCCTCTACGTCGATGATGTGGTGGTCGTCAGCCAGCGTGAGGGCGATTCCGACTGGACGATGCAGAAGCTCGCCGACCAATTTCAGATCAAGGACATGGGTCCAGCCAAGAAGTGCTTGGGAATTAACATTGAGCAGAGCGACTGCGGCATCTACCTCCACCAGACAGCCAATATTCACGGTTTGCTGGCAAAGTGCGGTATGGAGAATAGCCGCCCCGTGACTACGCCGATGGAGTCAACTCGGGACCTGAACGGAGAGGCCAGCGAGCCCTTCTACGACACTAGCATCATGCGGGAGACCATTGGGTCACTACTATGGATTAGCAACTGCACTCGACCAGACATCACGATGCCTGTGAACTTCCTGGCGCGTTTCGTCTCAACGCCTACGTCCACTCATTGGACTGCAGTCAAACGTATCCTGCGCTACTTGCGCGGCTCGCACGAGTTGAGGTTGCACTTTCCCCGGCCGCAGGCACCCCGACACACTATTGAGGCAGCCATCTTCAGCGATGCAGATTGGGCCGGGGCCAAGGACGCAAAGTCGACTTCAGGAGGACTACTCACCATCAACGCCATGCCCATTTCGTGGTACAGCAAGAAACAATCTACGGTCGCCCTCTCTACAGCCGAGGCTGAGTACATCGCTGGGGCGACGGCAGTGCAGGACTGCTTGTGGGTGAAGCAGCTCCTGAATGAACTTGAGCTGCACGGCAAAGATGATAGTATCGACATGTACATCGACAACCAGAGCGCGATCAAGAACATGGAGAACGACGTGACGACTGCACGCATGAAGCACATCAACATAAAATTCCACTTCATACGCGACGCCATTCGCAAGAAGGAGGTCAGCGTGACCTATTGCCCTACGACTGAGATGAAGGCCGACATGTTCACGAAGCCCCTCGGCGCAACCCTACACGGGCGCAACCTGGCCATGATCAAGCTTATCAACCCGCACAACGAGAAGCTGTAGACTCGGATCATCTTGGTCGAGGAGGACTGTTGGAGATCGCAAGAGCTGGCGCCACCTGCGATGAGTGCAGTGGCGACGATAACGGCCTGCGACGACCACAACGACCCCTCCAGCTACACAACACGAAACTACCGATGCATATTAGCCTAGTACAGACATCCTAGCATCATCCAACCTAACTCATTCTGCAATACACCAGGTGCGAGGCACCACTACAAGGAGCAACCCGTGCAGGATCAACGAATGCTCCCTTCAGTTTGGCATTGACTTGTCGCGACGCTGCTCGACCAGGCTGGCTGTGGTGACCACGCTCAAGTACCGCTAGTTGTTTCTCGGACTGCGCAAGCCGGCACTCATTGACGACCTGCATTAACCGCGTAAAGGAGACATCCCCTTCGTGAAATGATTCATGAACGGCTTGAGCTGCTTCAATCTGGTCTTGTGCCAGCAGAAGTCTCATCGATTCAAAGCGCTCGTCCACCCAATGAACCAACTCGGATCGTGCTTCGGGGATGCCAAAGCTGCGGCTCAGCCTTGAACGAGTCAACTTGGAAACAAACTCGCGTGCCTTCTCCACTATGTTTGCCACGAATGGGAGGTAGATTATCTCAGTCACTGCTGCTAGACCCGACAGTGCAGAGGCAATCGATGCTAAATCCGGCGGTGCACCCAACTTAGGCAGCTTGTTCTTCCGTGAAAAATCAGACATATCGCACGATTGAACACGTTGACGGCGCTCCATGTCCGTCAATCCTCCAAAATGCATGGTACTCAGACCACGCATACCGAAATCCCAGCACAGAAATCCACAGATGACGGCCGGGTGTGGTAGTATGTCAGTCGACCGGAGGCGAACCTGCAGTGTTTCCGCCAGAAGTTGATAGCCCAATCTAGCATACGTACCATTTATTAGCTGGCGGTTGATCTGGCGCTGTATTGCAGTCGGGCGAAACTGTGCCTTGGTGTCTGCCGCGCCGCTGGTCGCCCCGTCAGATGTAGTCGATGCTGGCTGGTTCAGCGACAGGAGACGATCGATCTGGCGCACCATCGCAGGGTTCGTAGCGTACGTATCACGGAGCGTTGAGAGCGAATTCATATCGTCCGTCAAAGCCTCGCGAATGTCACGTGTACGCTTGCGCGATGCAATAGGTGCTGACAAGGGCGGCGAAGCACTTGGGCGATGCATGTCAGGCTGGGGGACATCGTCGTCATCATCCTCGTCCGAATCTCTTAAAGCGGCCGCCATTGAAGTCATTGCTGGTTCTACGGCTCCTGTTGCGCCGCGCGTCGGGATCCTGGCACCCAGCGAAGGAACCCCAGGGGTCCCGAGTGTTGGAGTCTCGAAGATGGAGTCGCCGAGAGCTACCCCTCGCGGGATCCGGCGTCCACCCTCCTTGTAGTACGCGTAGTCAAGAACATACTTAGTCGAGACACGGCAGATTCGTCCTTTTGAGGCATCGTAGAGCACAATTGTGCTGTCCTCGTCCATCAACGGAGCTTGTAACTTCTCGAGAATCGACTTCGAGCGTCTTGTGGCTCTGCAGCCCACGCCTTTAAAGTGGTTGAGAGCTGCCGCGTGAATGGCTCGCATCTCAGCGGGCATTAAGTCGATGATTGGTCGATTGTTGCAGGGTCGCAACGTGTATGGCGCGTACTCCAGCGCTTCGATCTCGTGTTCCTTGAAGGAAACGGTTCGACATCTTCTCCGAACGAAATATGCAGTACCCCGCCATGAACCAGCGTGCCCCAGCTGTAGCCGGCAACAGCTCCGTAGTTCCAGGAAGGCGCTGCCGATGGAGGGACCCGCGCAACGCAGGCACACGCTCCAACATAGGTTCCGATCCCACCTGTGGCTTCTTCCTCCGATACAGCACGCAGTAGCATCTCCGACCTTGGGCGCCGGACCTCAAAATCGCCTAAGGCGCTCCATCTCCCCGAATTAACGCGGCGAACGTCGACAACGGACGCTGCGTCGTCTCCGTCCAGTAGCTCCGCTTGACCATATGCATAGCCACGTGTGTCCAGTAGACCGGGCTTGAACAGGGCAAACACTGAGCGGGTGGCCATGGGTTTGGGCGCGAAAGGCTGCTTCTTGTGCGCTTGAAGGGTCGCTTCTTGGCTACCAGCTAAAACGAAGAATGAATAGATCTAGACTACTTACGGCGCCCTGGAAAAAGAAGTTTCATCTTTCTCCGCCTCGCACCTCTTCTGGAGCTCCTCAGTCGTTGCGAAACTACCTGGATCTGGCGGTGCGAAACCACTCTTCGGCAGGATATCCGCCAAACTCGACATCATTCGCCTCAATTCCGCCTAGGAGATCCTCACTACCGTTCGAGTGCAAAAAGAGCAATGTCACCCTCGCAGCGCTTATCACCACAGCAGCAGCGGCCACGTTTTAGGAAAGTGCGTGTGCATCCAACGAAGGACATCAAGACAGCCTCGAGCTGCTGCAGCTTCAACAAATGCTGCGTTAGGCTCGGCGCACTCTGGACGGTGAATTAGGAGCCACTTCGCAGTCTTAGGATAGTGTGACGGGGCACACAGCACTTCTTAACAGAGGAAGCAGGAGTATACAAACGCCAAGTGAACAGCCGTTCACGTGTCCCTGGTCTGAAGGGGACGACTTGACTTGAAAAGCGGTAGATCTAAGACTGAATGTATTTATAGGTTGGTATAGATTTAGCCTGCATACAAATCCTAAGTTCCCTATAGTTTGTGTCATACAAAATGTATCTGTTGGCTCTGAGGCCACTTGGGTCACTATCCAGGGGAGTGACCGATGTAGCCATCCCGGAATAGTGACAGGGTCACTATTCCATGTAACCCCGTTACATCCTCCCCCACTTAGATTGGATCTTATCGACCAATCAGAGCGAGGTTACGCCGGCGACTCACATTTCACTCGCAAAGTCGAAATCCATCGACAACGGCGCGAGCTCTGGCGCCTCGGCTCCCGGGCCTCGCAGAGGAACTGGCGCATCGCCGAGCAAGCCGCAGGGTCTCCACGTCGACCGGAAGCATGCCTCCAAAGCGCAGTGCGCGTAGTGCGAAAGCACCTCCGAAACCGCGGGCCGTAGGGCCGAAGACCAGGGCGGCCAAGGCCAAGGACGAGTTGTCCGCGCTGATGGAGGCCACGAAGGCGGCCGAGGAGGTGGTGCGCTCTCGTAGCAGCACGCCGGAGAGTGGCCGTCAGACCGGGGCTCGGAGCAAGTCTCCTGACGCCGCGCAAGGCAAGGAGGAGAGTCCTCGGGGCCATAAAAGCCCGGCTCGCGACTGGGAAGCCGCCGTCTTTGACTGCACGATGGTCCAGTACTCCGGTGAGAGTTCACCCGACGACGAGAACGTCTCGGAGGGCAGCACGCACGCTGCCGAAGGCACGGAGCTGGTGGCAGACGACATGACCAACGCGTCGGCCGACGCAAAGGCCTCGTCAGAGAAGGAGGCGGAGGACGCCGAGTCCGGCTCAGGCGACAGCAAGCAGTCGCAAGACGCCATGACCGACGCTGGGTTCGTGGCCGAGAAGTCGCCGAGCGACGCGGGCTCCAAGCCCAAGGAGGTGCTGGCATCGAAGCATCTGACGCTGGCACGAGGTCGTGAGCGTGCCCAAGCGTCGAAAGCGGCTGCCGCTGCGAAGGCCGCCGAGGCCAAGGCGAAGAAGCGTTCAGCTTCCAGGTCGCCTCGCGGCTCCAGCTCCAAGCTGTTCATCGACTTGGAGTCTGAGGACGAGGAGGGTGCCGTCCACGAGCCCAAGGAGCTCTCCAACAACCTCGACGAGCAGCAGCAGCAATACCACGCTGCTAGCTCGGGTGCGAATGCCAGGCAGCCGACTGCCACGATTGCCATCGAGTCTTCTTCAGGCGAGGATGCCACGTACCCGCAGGGCTACTTCCCGCCCGAGCCTGGCACTGGTGCGCCAGCGCTGTTGGAGAAGCTCTCGGTTCCTCGTGGCCTTATCGGCAGGTACACCTCGAGGGGTTCCTATGAGCGTGCTCTTGTTGAGAAAGAGCCACTCTTTCTTGGCGACGTTGAAGTCGCCCGGTGTGTGCTACTAGCACCACACAAGCTCACACTGAAGGAGTTCACCACGCTTCGCAAGAAGCCGGAGGACAAGGGTGGACTCCATCCTGTGTGGGGTTTCCACTGGGTCATGCCGAATGACAACATGAGCTGGAGCGAGGTGGAAGACCTCTTCTGGCGCTACGTCTAGCGCAAAGGGTATTCTGACCAAGTGTTCAAAGAACTCCGTGAGGATCACACTCTGTCCGCAATCCTGGACGTGCGCGAGCTCCACATCGAGTTCGCTCAACTCGTGAGCAAGCGCAAGCTCCACTCGCAAATGGACGAGCTGAAGCAAGAGGCGAGAGCCAAAGCTCGTGAAGAGCGTGGGCGTGGTGCGACTACGTCTGCTACCGTGTCCCGGGTACCGGCCAAGAAGCCAAGGACTACTTACGAAGCTGCCGCTGCTTCTCGTCCCATATCGCAACACCCTTCGGGCAGTCTGCCTGGAGCTGCTCAACGGGCTCCCACGAGTTATCCGACTCAGGGTAACCCCTCCACTTCACGAGCAGCTGGCGCTTGCCATGGAGCCGCCGCTCCCGGACGACTCGTTCCACGTGGTAGTGGATCTGCCCATTACGATCAAGGAGGGCCGGCGGTGGCCTCGCACGGCCATGGCTACGAGCCTGAGGCGACGCAGCCGTATGCTGGGGCCCCGAGTCAGGTGGTGGCCCTGCAGCAAGAGGAGATTCGTCTTCTCCGGGACCGTGTGTACGTCCTCGAGGTCGCGCTTGGTGTCGGCCTTAGTGGCGAGGCTGCCGCTCGTGCTGGTCAGCCTGGTGCCGTGGAGCGGCTCCGTGAGGATGTTGCCTCGCTCTATCAAGAAACTCGCAGTCTCCATGGCCGTGTGGATCGTCGAGCCGACCTGCCATCTTACGACTCGCTGCGAAACCATCTCGCTGGGCGTCGGGCCGAGCGTCATGACCACGCGCCGTATCCGGAGCAGCAGCAGCCCCACTCGTATCAGGCCCAGTTTGGCCAGGGCTCGTACGGGGTCCCTGAGTATGCTGCTCCGATGTACGCCGCGCCGTCTTACGACCAGCGAGCGTATCAGGCGCCTTACCGCGACCCGACGCCGCGCTTCGAGGAGCTGCGCTCTTCTCCACCGGGCCACCCACCGCTTCCTGCGGGGCAGCCAGAGCCAGAGGGTCATGGTACCTCTTAAGACGACCCACGTAAAACGTCGGGTGAGTCGTCATCGACTTGGGCAAGTCTATGGTGTACGCCGCGCCATGCCGGCTGAGGACCGTGAAGGGTCCAATGAAGCGGTGCTTCAGCTTGTTGCTCTCGACCGAGCTAACAGTGTTTAGCGCTAGGTTTCTAGTATCTAGGAGAACTAAATCCCCAATCTTAAACACGTTCATGTTTCCTCTTCCATTTCGGTCAGAGTACTCCTTCTGTTTATCTTGGGCTTGCGCCATGGTGTCTCGCACCCTGCTGATTATGTTCAATCTGTCTTCGGCAAACGAGGACAGTTGCTTCCGCAAGGTGGCTGGATTCACGTCCGAGACTTGGGAGGAAAAAGTTTTCCGAGCCTCTCCCCCACTTAGGACCGAAGCCCCGGTACTGCCTCGTAATGTGAGCAGCACCTGAGGGTGGCGCAACCCGTTCAGATAAAGGGCGTAAAGCCCGTCGATGCATGTACCGCATTGTTGAGTGCGAACTCAACCATGGGCAAGCGATCAGCCCAAGAGCGGGGCATCTCCGCGCAGATACTGCGGAGCGTGTCTTCGAGCACGCGATTTACGCGCTCCGTCTGGCCATCCGTCTGCGGGTGGTCCGCCGTCGACATCGACAGTCGTGTGCCGAGAAGGCGAAACAGCGTCTGCCAGAACGTAGTGGTGAACCGCGGGTCTCGATCAGAGACAATGGTCTCGGGCAGACCGTGGTGTCGGAAGACACAGTCCATGAACAGGCGAGCGACCTCGTCGCCAGTGACGGTGTCACGAACTGGAGCAAAGTGGACCATCTTGCTCAGACGGCACACGAAGGCAACAACACCAGTGTTGCCACGGTCATCGGCCGGAAGTCCGAAGACAAAGTCGAGACTCATCGACTTCCAGCAGTCCGCTGGGACCGGCAGGCTCTGCAATGGTGCCGAGGCGTGACCTGCAGGCTTCACGCGCTGGCACGTCTCGCACGTACGGACGTAGGTGGCGACCCACTTGTACATGTGACGCCACCAAAACATCTGCGAGACAGACGCGTACGTCTTCTCACGGCCGAGATGGCCACTGGATGGAGCGTCGTGCGCCTCCATCAGGATGTCGTACTTGAGATCCTCGTCGTTGGGCACGACAATACGGGGAGGATCCTCGAGCTCGACCCTATAGTGGAGCAAACCGTCAGCCCACTCAAAGCGGTGCAGCCTTGCACGTTGTCGGGGCGTGAGCCACTCGGCCTTGGCTTCCGAGCCAGCGGCCAAGAACCGCACAAGAGGTCCGAGACTGGCATCGTCTCGGTACCCCAGCTTGATGCGATCATACAGATTCGTCGTGACCCGACTAATATGAGCAAGCTCGTAGTCGGGTCGGCGCGGGCAAGCACGTTCAACTTGCCCGGCTTGTACTCGACACGGAAGTTGTATTCCGCGAAGAATGACAGCCAACGCGCCATCCGCTGTGAGAGATGCGGCGTGTTGACGGCAGTCCGCAAGGACGCGTGGTCTGTATAAACGACAAAGGGCGTCGAGTCCAGGAGGTGCACTCGAAACTTGACAAGAGCGTACTTCATGGCAAGTTGCTCCTTGTCGTGGACTGGATAGTTCTGTTCGGCTGCCTTGAGTTGCCTGGACTGGAACGAGATGACCCGTTCGGGGCCTTCATCGTCGGCCTGCAATAGCGCACAGCCAATTGCGTAGTCAGACGCATCACAGACTACGCTGAAAGGCTTCGTCTCGTCCGGCAATGCCAGGACTGGCGCGCGCTGTAAGCCCGCTTTGATGTCGTTAAAAGCATCTTGATGGCGACGCTCCCAGCGCCAGTCGACATCCTTCTTCAGGAGAGCCGTGCCAGCTCGGCGTAGTCTGCACTATACTTGTGCAGGTAGTTGGCGAGGCCCAACCACTGTCGTAGGTCCTTCTGCGACCGAGGTGGCGGCCAAGCCGCGATGGTTTTCACCTTCTCCGGGTCCGCCCGGACCCCGGCGCTGCTGACGAAGCAGCCCAGGACCTTGATCTCCTCAGCTGCGAACACACACTTGTCGATGTTGGCGTACAGCTTGTTCGCCCGCATGACTTCGAACACACGTCGAAGGTGCTGGAGATGCACCTCCATGGCAGTCTGGCCTCCCTCGGCACGGCTGTGGACGAAGATGTCGTCAAAGTACGTCTGTGTGAACGCACGCAAAGGTCGGAACAGTTGTGTGACCAAGCGATTGAACGTTGCCGGGGCGTTAGAAAGCCCCTGAGGCATGACCAGCCACTCCCAGAGCATACCGCTCGGCGTGCTCACAGCCGTGAGTGGGGTGTCGCTCTCGCGCATCAGGATCTGGTAGTATCCGTCCACCAGGTCCAGCGCGCTATACAGCGTGCAGCTGGCCATGTTGTTGAGCAACACGTCCTTGCGCGGGATCGGTGTCTGCGCAGGCACTGTCGCGCTGTTCGGCTTGTTATAAGCATGGACCAGACGCCACTTTCCGTTCGGTTTGCGAACACAGAAGGTAGGCGTCGAGTGCGGGGACTTCGACTCCCGCACCATGCCTGCCTTCGCCTTAGCGGCAAAGAAGGCATCAATGACTTCACAAAGCTCCCGGGGAAGAGGCCATTGCCTCGTGCCCGGCACGAGATCGATCTCGTGCCTGATTCCCCTGTCCGGAGGGAGATTGGACGGTGGATCCTTGGACACCACGTCCTCGAACTCCTTCGCCAAGGGGTACACCGGGTCCCGGGGTTCTTAAGAATCTCTGAGCCCATGCGCGACGCGCGCTGTCTCTGGAACTCCTCCAGGACTGCCTGGTCCATGACCGAGGACGAGTTCAACTCGGCCGACGTGGACTCCGGTCGGAGGAGAACCAACTCTGCGATCTCCCCGGCCTTTAGCTCGGCCAAGAAGTCCTCCATGGCGAGCTCCTCAAGGTTCAGCAACTCTGAAACCTCGGGCAGAGCTGTAAGCTCGACAGCTCCTGTCTTGACCCGACGACCGGTCACGCCGTCGAAGATGTGATAACACTCTTCGGCGGCTGGAGCCTTGGCTGGAGGCTCGGAGTCGCTGGCGACTGGCGTCGTCGGCCACACGACTAGGCCCGGCTTACGACGTGACCCTCGGGTGTCTTCGTCTCGTGGCGCCGCCTTGACGGCACCACCGATCTTCTCGATCTCGTGCGGAACTACGTTACCCGCCTTGTCCATGAGCGGAACTTGGTTACCCGCCTTGCTGGGCGGAACTATGTTACCCACCTCGCCGTGTGGAACTTGGTTACCCACACCAGGAGCGCTTCCAGCGACTCCTTTATCTGTTATGGTCTGAGTGATCTCCTGTGGAACTATGGTACCACCATCGGAAGCGCCTGCAGTGCCTTCCTCATCAGTTACGGTCTGAGTGACCTCGCGTGGAACTTGGTTACCCACGCCAACGCCAGCGGCGCCTTCTCCAGCAGCCCTTGCTGCCTGCGGTACTTCGTTACCCGCGTGTGGACCTACGTTACCCACCTGGTAGGTGCTGTCCGGCACCTCCACTCTCAGGTCTTGTCCGGCCCGGTCGGAGTCGTCGTCAGTCTCGACGGGCCCCAAGAACTCATTAGACGCTGCTGCGCCCTGGCGGCCCTCGCGGGCGCCCCAGCTGTTGCCAGAGGTGGGAACATGACTCACCAAAGCTCTGTCAGAGCGTGGGGGACGGCTGGCCCCGATGGCCTTGCCGCGCCAGTCGATCCGAGGCTCGTGTTTCTCCAGCCACGGCATTCCAAGGATCAAGTCGTACTTGTCCATGTCTAGGACCAAGAACGGCTCCGTGCTGTCGAAGTCCTCGAACTTGACAGTGATGTCCATGTGGGCCCGAGGTACTTCTACCACCGTACCGTCGGCCAGTCTTACCGAGACCAGCCCGTTGCCTTTGCTGACTCGTAGCGCATCGGCGTACTTGTCGCGATTGCGTGCGACAGTCTGGCGGCGCGCAAAGTTCTTGGACACCCCAGAGTCGATCAAGATTCTCAAGGGATGATCGTATCCCGGTACACTCGCGTGCACCACAAGCAGCCCACCGCCGTCCTTCTCCGCTTCGAGAGTACAGAGACTCTCAGGGGTTAAGTCCTCATGGCGTGCGCCACCCGCACGCCCCTCATGAAGACTTAGGGTTTCCCCAGTAGGGCGCCCCGCCCCTACTGGTGTCCGGCGTTCCCCTGGTTCCTGCGGCGCGGCTTCTGCCAGCGACCCCTAGAGCCAAAGGGCTTCGAAGAGAACTTCTTCTTCAGTCCTCCCGCGGGACAAGCACGTTTCATGTGTCCAAGCTTGCCACAGCCATAGCAGCGAATGTCGCTCTGCTCGGCCATTCCCAGATCTATGGGAACCGGCCCGTTGATCGCTCCATTGCCGGAGTTACCATTAGGCGCACCGCCAGAGGCAGGGTTGCTCTGCCATACCGTGGCGGGGGTACGAGCCTGCTTGTGGCTGTACTCCTCCTGGAGGGCGATCTGAATCGCCTCCTCCATAGTGTTTGCTTGCACACGGAACAGTTGCGTGCGGGTAGGACCGACACGCAGACCGTCCATGAACACGGTCACCTTGATGTTTCCAGGCAGGGGGTTCCCCACCAAAGAGGCACTGAGCACTCGCATCTCCTGGATGTACTCATGCAGCTCGCGCCTTCCTTGTTTGCAGGCGAGGAAGCGCGAACGCTGGCGGTACTCGTAGTTCGCCGGAAGAAACGCGGCCCGCAGCTGCTCGCACAGCTGGGACCATGATGCGAAGCATCCAGGCGTCGTCGCTTCGCGCGTATACGCCCAACTCTTAGCGCGACCACTAAGGTTGGAGAGCGCAAAGGCGACACGGAATCGCTCGTCCGAGACGAGAGCCGCGTCCATCGCGAGCTCAACCTCTCGAACCCAGAAATGAAGGTTTTCTCCTTCCTTCCCTTCGATGGGGTGAACCTTCAGCCGCAGGGGCTTCGGTTGCACCGGCTTCGGCGCGGCCGCAGTGGGCTGCAGCCCTTGAACGTGGGCGATGAGCCCTCGCTCGTAGGTGTCGAACGCGTTGATACGCTCAACCTGCTCAGCCGGCGTCGCCGCCGCTAAGCTACGCAGGGCATCTGTCCCAAAGATGCCTGCCATCTTACGAACGGACTCGTACTGCGAGTCGTTCAGATGGGGAAACTCCGTACGATCCATCTTGGCTCACTCGACGAGACCACAGAGGATTCAGGTAGTCCAATCTACCCGCGTAGGCGTAGGATTGACTACAAGTGCTACCAAGTGTGACGGGGCACACAGCACTTCTTAACAGAGGAAGCAGGAGTATACAAACGCCAAGTGAACAGCCGTTCACGTGTCCCTGGTCTGAAGGGGACGACTTGACTTGAAAAGCGGTAGATCCAAGACTGAATGTATTTATAGGTTGGTATAGATTTAGCCTGCATACAAATCCTAAGTTCCCTATAGTTTGTGTCATACAAGTATCTGTTGGCTCTGAGGCCACTTGGGTCACTATCCAGGGGAGTGACCGATGTAGCCATCCCGGAATAGTAATAGGGTCACTATTCTATGTAACCCCGTTACAGATAGCCACCCTAAGCGATGTGCTCGAAGTGCAGCCCTCGGAGCGATTTCCATGTAGTCATTTGACAACGTCCAAGTGGCCACTGCGGGCCGCGCTATCCATCGCAGCGGTTGTGCACAGCCACCGTACAACGTCGAGCTTGCCATTTCCCGAAGCTAGACCCATAGCCATTGCTGTGCATCCTTTGGAGCGATTGAGATGAAAGTCACTTTACCACGTGGAGAAACCCACCGCATGCTGCTCGATCCATGACTTCAGTTGTAACCCCGTCGGCTTGGTGATTGTGCAGCCACTGGACAATGTCGAGATGGCCAAAGGCTGCGGCGCCAACCATCGCCGCTTGTGTTGTCCATGGTTTCCGCTCCTCAGCGCTAACGACGCCACCAGCGCGCGCTCCTATTAAGTCGTGGAGTAGCTGTAAGATGTCCAGATGACCGCTTACTGCTGCGGCATCCAAGGCAGTGCCAACTTTTATCTCGCGTACAAACGTGTCCTTCAGCTCGCGATACAAAGCAACGTGTGACCCAAACTCAGCGTCCAGCCATTTCACCACGTACTCGCTGCTGCATGCGCCATGGTTTTCGCCGAAGCGTTCCCGAACTTCCGGGGGTAGAGCAGTTTTGCAACTCCCAGATAGCCTCGAACTGCTGCGTAGTGCATAGCGTGGGGGTGATCATCCAAAAAAACGCTTGACTAGTTCCTGCTCCTGTTACAGGAGCCATTCAACCACTGGCAGGTGGCTGTGCTGGCACGCCAAGTCCAAGGCATCCAGCCAGCAGTTCTCCCACATTAGTTGGTCTGGAACCGGAGAATTCATCTCTAAATCCACTGTATCATTGTCAAATTGCCTTGCAACGCCATGGCTCTCATGACCTGCGCCGGATGCACACTTTGAATGCGGTCCTGCTGCTGAAACATCCAACGCACAATGTGTTCGTGCCCGCTATCCAATACGTTAGAAGGGTCATAGGGACATCCTCTCTGCACCAGCCACTCCACCAGCGCAGTGTCACCTTGACTTAGCGCAGCTTGCGCGGCGCGGGACGTGCGGTAGCTGGTGTGTGTTCTCGAACAGCCAGCGCCCGGCCGCTCCTCGCGGCGTTCCGCATGTCGTCGACGCCCCCATTCGACCTCGTTCCCTCGGTTCTCAAGCCCCTCAGGCAGCGGCAATTTGGTTGCACCTCAGATCGAGACTCAGCAGCAGTGGCAGCACGTCGTAGTGGCCGTTCCGTGTGGCCTCCTCCGCCGCCGCCTTGCTCATGCTGCAGCTCTCAAAGTGGGCGAAGGGCCACCGAATGACGTCCTAATGGCCCCCGCGCGCCGCCTCCTTGACCGACTCCTCGAACTGCCACTGGTAGTAGACGGGGTCCGATCGCAGCCAGTTGAAGCGCGACCATCCTGGCGCTCGGTCCTCCGCTGTAATGCAGCTGCTGGCCCAAATGTGGTCCAGCAGCCTCAGCGACCCGAGCGAGCAGGCCCTGGCCAGCGTCATCTCGCCCGACGGGTCCAGGAAGCGCGGAATCGCCGTCACCACATGGGGCAGAGCGCTGACCGCAGGCTTGTCGCGCAGGCCGATCGCTTCAACTTGATGTGGGCCGAATGTCGTCCCACCTTCGAGCAACATAAGGTTTTCCGAATCACTTCTAAATCCTATACACCTTTATAATGTTTACTATGCTACGCTTAAAGCATAGTCAAATCGGACCTCTTTAGTTACATCGTTCTGTAAGCCTTTGTGGCTGTAGTTCGTTGAACTGTCACCGCGCGCTTTCAGTTTCGTCGCCGTGTGTTTCGCTGTGATCTTTCGTCCCATACATACGCCAAGTGCCCTTGCGCGTCCCGCCCGCCCATTATCGTCATCGCCATGAGCTCTCCTGCGTCTCCTCCGTCGCCGGCGGCGGCGTCGGCGCTGCGCCAGATCCCGATCGTGTGTCCGGGCCACTCGCGCCCCCTGGCGGAGCTGCAGTACAGCGGCGGCAACCTGCTCATCTCGGCGTGCCACGACAAGCTGCCGATGCTGCGGCACGGCGACTCGGGCGACTGGATCGGCACGTTCGAGGGCCACAAGGGCGCGGTCTGGAGCGCCAAGCTGGACGCCGACGCCGATTTCGCGGCCACGGGCAGCGCCGACTTCAGCGTCAAGATCTGGGACGCGCTCACGGGCGACGCCGTCACGACGCTCGAGCACAAGCACGTGGTCAAGTCCGTGGCCTTCACGCGCGACGGCGCGCGGCTGCTCACGGCGGGCCACGAGAAGCTGCTGCGCGTGTTCGACGTGCTGGGCGTCAAGGAGCAGCTGCAGAGCTACAAGGCCGAGGGCCGCACGGGCATCGTGGTGCTGCCGCCGCCGCCGCTCGCCGAGATGCACACGGCGCAGCAGATCCGCAAGGTCGTGGTGCTCAGCGACCGCCTGGCGGCCACGGGCGAGGTGGACGGCACGGTCACCGTCTGGGACCTGGACGCGTACACGCAGACGCGCCAGTTCAAGGTGGACGCGGACGTCATGGACATGGAGGCGTCCAGGGACGGCCAGGTGCTCACGGTCGCGGCCGGCAAGCTGGTACGAGAACGAAGTGTTTGGAGCTGGTTGTTAGACGGATTGGAGGCTGATTTTGGTGTTCTGCTGCTTTGTAGGTGTATTTCTACGACGTGAAGAAGGACTTTGCGCTGCTGCACGCCTTCCCGATGCCCATTTCGTTCGCCGAGGAGGGCGGCGCGTCGCTGCATCCGACCGAGAGCAAGTTCGTGGCCGGCGGCTCCGACACGTGGGTGCGCGTCTTCGACTTCGAGACAGGAGAGCTGCTGGAGACGCACAAGGGCCACCACGGACCCGTGAGATGTCTGCGCTACGCGCCGTCGGGCGACTCGTTCGCCACGGGCTCGGAGGACGGCACGATCCGCATCTGGCAGAACGACTCCAAGTCGGCGGCGGCCACGTCCGTCGCCGACACGGCCGCTAGTTCCAGTTAAAGTGCGACGCTGTCTTTTGGTCCTGCGTGGACGCGACCGCCACAGGCAGCAGCCGCAGCCGGATCGTGAACGGAAGCGAACTTAGAGAGAGGATGGCAGCAGCGTGGGCGAGCAGTAGCGACCCGCAGACCAGGGAAAGCAGAGAAAATAAAGTGTGAAAACTGAAAAGCCGACAGTGGAGTGAGTGTGGGTCGAGTCACATTTCGACAGTATGTCTTCCTTCTCCATGTAGCAGCAGTAGCGAGTCTACCGCTGTTGATACCACTGGATGATGTCGTGCAGCTCGATGAACCCCGTGTTGTCCAGGTCCAGCTCCATCACGAGGTCTTCCAGCAGCTCGGCGGGGCTGCCGTCCTCGTATCCGTCCATGCCCAGGTCTTCGCCGAGGAACTTGCCCAAGTCCTTGGCCTCCATGCGGCCTTGGCCGTCCACGTCGTAGCTCTCGAACAGCTGCCGCATGCGCCGGATCTGGTTCTCTGCAGCCTTGCGCTGCGACGCCTGCACCGCCTTGTCCTGGAACCACTGCTGCGAGAACGCCAGCAAGTCGCTCGGGTTCTCCCTGATCACGGCCTTCGTCCAGTCCTTCAGCACGTGCGGCAGGTCCGGCGGCACCGCGATCTGCTCCGCCGAGAAAATGCGATTCACGTCCATGTCGTGGTCGTAGTCGTCTGCTCTGCGGTCAGTCCCTTGTTGGTCTCCTCTAAAAAGCTGGAAATGGCTGGAAACGACCCTCTGGGCCCTTCTTGATGCCTCTTCACACCAAACTTACCGGAGCCCGTTCATAGCGTCGACGTCTCCGAGCAGAATCTTGTACGAGTGAGTCACCGCCACGAACGCGTCCACGCGCTTGCCCGAGTTGCTGGCCCCAACGTTCTTGCCCGCTTCAGCGACCGTGGACTCCAGCGACGCGGAAGTATCCGAGGCCTTGTCGGGGTGCAGCTTCAACGCCAGCTTGCGGTACTGCCGCTTGATCTGCTGGATGGACGCGTCGCGCGGCAGACCCAGCACGCCGTGGAAGTCGCGCCGCTCCCACATCATCCGAATGCGCTCGGGCTGCCACAACTGCTCACCGTCCAAGCAACCGGAGCCTGATGCCAAGCCCGGGGTCTTCGCGAACGCCGAGCGCACCAGCTTCATGCGTACGCGGGCCGCGCGGAACAGATCCTCCTGCTCGTTCTTGTCGGACGGCGCGGGCCGCCACGTGCGACACTGCGCGCGCTGATCCATCGGGCCGAGACCGAAGGCGCCCTCGATGCCGCAGTCGAATGTCGGCAGTCGGCCACGAGCGCCGTGAACGTTGCGTGCTTGGAACGCTGGGCCACGGTCTGCACTTGAGTCGCCATGGCCTCCGTGAGCTGCTGCTGAAGAGTGCGCTACTTCCCCATTGTCGAGACCATCGGATGCCACCGGATTGGCGCCACGACGCTGAGCTGCCACGGGGTTGATCTTGAAGCGCCGCTCCCTGCGAGAAGGTGCCGCTGGGGCTGTCCCCCTCAGAGACGCGTTGAGTGAAGCTATGAAGTCGGCCGAGTCTGCATTAGAAGCTGGAGTGGCAGATACGTGATGTCCAGCCGTGGTCCGCTCGGTAGTTGAACCCGCCAGTAAGCAGGGGCAGTGATCCTCGCAGCAATGGCACTGCTGGCAGAAGAACAGCATCCCACAATGCCGCCCTTCGTTGCCTGCAGACGCGTTGCTCATCCACTTGCAGGCTTCGTTGGACTCGATCAGGTCCAGCATGTGCGTCATGGTTTTCTGCACCGCCGAGAGTCGCGACGAGCAGCACATCCGGCACCCGCAGCTCACGCACACGCAATGAAGACAGCAGCCGGAACAACCAGTGCACCGACGTCGGAGATCGCGGCAGCCTGAGCACCCCATTCGAAGAGGTGAGTTCCCGTCCGAGCGCTGATTACGGCTACTGCCGTTGTTACGCACTGACATGGCTCTGGACGACGAAGTCTTCGACCCTGAAGACGGGATGATAGGCAGCAATAGACTGGCTTGTGAGACTGCGAGCGCCTTCGCAACGCGAATGGACTCGCACCGCCGTCTGTTCGCTGGACTTTTCTTCGAGGAGTGCGAGCTCGCCTTCTTGGACCCATGCGAGTGACGTCGAGCAGGTTTATCTCCTTTGGGAGTCGACGCAGCTCGAGCAGCCTTCGTAGCGGATCGCGTCTGCTTCGGCGCTGGTTTTGGCGATTTTGTAGTCGAGGTATCGGTTCCATCAGTGTCCTCCAACCCAAGGAACTTGCCCAACGCTTGCATGCAAGACGCGGCCAGCCCTTTGCACTCCTCAACGAGGGCTTTCTGGTCGGCGTTCAACGAGGAAGAGCGCAACGTCGCGCCGGTTCCCTTCTTGTTGCCTCCCTTGATGTCACGCAGCAGTTGATCCTTGGCCAGCGTGATCTCGTGACGAAGTTTCTTCATCTCGATCACGTCCGGGGCATCCTTATCAGGATCAAACACGCCAGTCCAATCGATCGCCATCGCCATAGCATCACCACCAGTTTCGGCGGTGGGTTCGGCCTGCGACTGCCGTTCAGGTGTCTCGGACGTTTCCTCCTCAGCGACTTCTTGATCCACGCTCGCTGTCGGCGCAGGTGCGGGTGCAAAGTCTTGATACTTGGTGTAGTATCGCGCCCACTGGTGATTCACGAGTTTCTTTTGAATCGCTACTTGCTTCGCCAGTTCGCGCTTGAGAGTGTTCGAGTGCTCTACGTGAGTACGCCATGGCCCAGCGTGCCCCAACTCGCTCATCAAATCTCGCGTTGTCGCCAGCGACTCCTCCAGCTCGGTCCGAGCCTCCTCAACCTTCAGCGGTGTCATGATGCATTGCTTCGCTTCATCCCGCGTGAATGGCCGGTTCTGTACCTCGTCACGCATATTTGCAGGTGTCAATCGTAGCAGCGCAGCCACCTCTTCCTCTCTTGAAGTAGGGTTCTGACTTGGAGGAACTGAAGCGCGAGCGCGTGTATTATAACCGCTGTCCACAATTCCTTCGTCACTGTGATCAAGTGGAGACTCGTCGACGCGTTCAGGGTCCACGAAATCATCCTTAGTTGTGTACAGAAGCGCCTCGTTGTGCCAAATGTACAGCGCGTCTTGGAGGCACGTGAACTTGTCGTAGGATCTATCGTCCAAGTCATCCACGTCATCGGGATCAAACCACGCACAAGAGTTCTCAGCGAAGAGGATCCACCACTTGTGAAGCTGCAGCTTTGTGTTTTCCACGATCACATTCGTAGTCACAGACTTTAAGCGATTCACGTGCTGGATGATGCGCTGTCGACGAAGACTAACGTGGTTAGCGTTTTCCCTGTGATGATCAGGACGCTTCTCTTTCAGCGTGACCACCAGCTGCTTCGTGATCGAGTCCAAATCGCGCATGTACGCCGTAAGTCTCACCAACAGGTTTCGTAAGAAGAAACCACTCCTGGGATGCACCCGCTGGTTAGCCACCTCTGCTACTTCGGCGATCGGGGGTTCACAGGGATCGACCTCGCGCAGAAAATCAGGAACATCATCCTTCCCTTTCCACTGCAACACGTGATTCACGACCTCAGGACACTGCTCAATGGTTTCGCGCACCAGTGAGATCGGAAGCGAGTCGAACAGGCTGGACTCGATAGCGGAGGATCGGATCGGCCGCAAAATGTACGTGAACAGATCAGACTGTAGAGTTGTCTCGTCCAGAAGGTTTTCGTGGCTAGCACCAACGTGGGCAGCGGTGCGGCTGCTTCCGATCACGTGCCTCGCCAGATAGTGTTTGCCAAGCATGTGTGCCACCAGCGCTAGCGAGTGTAACTCAACGATTTGATCCTGCATTTCACTCCACTCTTTATGTCGCGAGGACTCGAATACACCCAGTTCAATGCTGAGAGGCGTCTGCGTGCCGGGTGATGAGGGAAGAGGCGGGGCCAGATTCCCAAGAGCACGCAGGCGTTCGGCACACAGGACAAGTTCTTTCCCAAAGTCAGCACGGTCCAAGATATATCGGTGAAGTATATGAAGATCATGAGCTGTGAGAAGCCATCGCTCCACGTCGTGCGAGTACGACGAGCTGCTCATTAACGGCTCCAGGTAAAAGTACTGACGCTCGCCTGCCAGGAAATGTAGCAGCTTACAGTCCGTCTCCGATGAATAATCTTGGATCAAATTCAGATCACGCGTAAGACCTGGGATCTCCCAGGTAGAACGGAAAGAGTCCCGCCTAGGATTGCTTCTCGCATCATCTCCATCTTCAACATCCGCCATCATTTCCAAGCCAGCCTCAGCCACTGAGTCGCCGTTCTCGTTCTCCATACAAACATCGGCATCTTCGCTAGGAAATTCAAACGTATCTGCATCACCCGAAGGAACATCCACGATCTCTGCATCATCGTGTGCATTAGTCTCCTCTGCCTCTTGTTCCTCTGCGCCCCCAGAAGTGATCATTTTTCCAAAGGCCCGGACCTTCTTGACCAAACGCAGTAAGTCATCATCCTCCGCCAAGCCATTCTTTGCCACAGAAACCACCGATCTACCAACAAGCGGCCGTTTACCCTTGAACCCACGCAAGTTGGGGGCAAGAACGCGGCTGGCTGCAGGTGGGCATGCGTCATGGGCGATACTTAGCCGCTCGATCTCACGCAGACGCTGCTTCTTCTTGCTCGGAGACGACGTCGACAATGCCGAAGCCATCGCACTGCACTGCTGCTTAACCACAAGCACTGCAACTTTCTTGCGGTGCTCAATCTCCTCAAACTGACGCCGCAACCGCAGATATTTATCACGCTCCACAGCCTCTTGCGCGCGAGCGCGCGTGGCCTCAGCTTCCAACCTCCGCGATATCATTATAGTGCGTGCCAGTCGTATCCGGAACGCCTCCCTCTCATCGCGAAGCTTCCGTTCTTCCTCCGCTCTCATTGCCGCCTCCGCTGCAGCAGCTTCTCTGTCTTCTTTACACTCTTCGTCCTCACGTCTAGGAGGATGCCGCTCCGACCGGTGCGACTCGCGAGGCTCGTTACTTCTCCCGCGTTTCGCCGTACCACTAGTAGCACCAGCACATTCTCGGCGGCGCTTAAGATGCCGCTGCTGCTGTGTTGCGCCAGTCCTCTCGTCTCGGTCAGCACTTCGACTGCGGCTTCTACTCCGACTCGGCCTCTGCACCTGCTGCCTGTTATCCGCCTGCACTGCACCCTGTTCGTCCGCCTGCTGCTCACTCTGTTCCACCTGCTCCTTCTCCGCGTAGATGTCAATGTCCGGTATCTCCTGGGTCCCATTGCTGCGCTGGTACTTGCGCATCTGCTGCTCCGTGCTCTCCACCACGGCCTGCAGTAGCTGCACGCCGTCGTCCACCCGCTTGGCCGTGTTGGCCGAGATCATGAACACCATCAAGTACGCGCCGTCAGGAGCCTGCGCCTGCTTCTCCTCGTCCTGCTGCTCCTGCTGCGCGCCGCTCTCCTGCGACTGCGTCTTCCTGTAGCTAATGCTGCACCGCGCGCGCGACATGATGGCGTTGAGTTTGCCGCCGTTGACGCCGATCACGTGCGGCGCGAGGCGCTGCGGATCCATGGTCGTGCGCACGTGTACCATGCGCCCAATGGGCTTCTTTCCGTTGATGACCATGCTCACGGACGGCGTGACGTTGGCCGCCGCAGCCTTGAGCGCCGCGGACTCGCGCGGGCTCGGACTGGGGCTGCGTCTCGCGGGCACGCCTGAAGCTGTTGCTGCTGCTGTGCTGGCCGCCGCGCGCTCGCTGCGTCCAGGATTCGAGCTATAGCTGGCCGCGGCGCTGCGTTTCTTGGGGTGGGACGCGCCGCCGGCCAGACGCTTCCTCGACGTCTTCTTGCGGCTGTTGGGCACTGCGGAGGACGAGGTGGCTGCGCCTGAGGACGCGGACGAGCGCCGCGCTGAGGTGCTGGGTGAGGGCGTGGTGGCCGCGGGCGGCGCGCTCGCGCGGGCCTCGCGCACGCCCAGCGAGGCGCCCACGGAGATTACGCCCATGGTCTCTAGTGGCGGGCACGAAGAAGTGGTGAATAGCACGCTAGAGCGTGAATAGTGACTTCCCTTGGTTGAATGACAAACAATAAAATTCGGGGTCACTCTATCGAGATAAGTCACTATTCGTGTCTGACGTGGCGGAGCCGCTTTTGGACCTCACGTCCCACTGCACTGCAACACTACAACTTTAGCAGCCATGAAGGTGGCAACGTGCGCGGCGCCGACCAACATCGCGGTCATCAAGTACTGGGGCAAGGACGACGTGGCGCTCAACACGCCGCTCAATTCGAGCGTGAGCGTGACGCTGCACCAGGACCAGCTGCGCACCACCACGTCCGTCGCGGGCGGACGGGAGCTGCAGACCACTCGCCTGTGGCTCAATGGCCAGGAGCAGCCCATCAACAAGCGCGTGGCCATCGTGCTGCGCGAGATGAAGCAGTGGGCGATCCGCGTGCGCGGCAGCGACAGTGATGCGACGCAGCACCTGCACATCGTGTCCACCAACTCGTTCCCGACAGCGGCGGGGCTCGCGTCCTCCGCTGCCGGCTACGCGTGTCTCGTGGCGGCGCTGGCCGAGTTCTACGGTCTCTCCAAGGCCGACGAAGAGTATCCCGGCCAGCTGTCGGCCATCGCGCGCCAGGGCTCTGGATCCGCCTGCAGGAGTCTCGACGGCGGCTTCGTGGCCTGGCAGAAGGGAGAGCAGCCCGACGGACGCGACTCTAGCGCTGTGCAGGTCGCGGACGAGCTGCACTGGCCGGGATTGTGTGCCGTGGTCTGCGTGGTGAACGATGCGCAGAAGGACACAAGCAGCACCACCGGCATGCAGACGACCAAGGCCACGAGTCCGCTGCTGGCCTACCGCGCCAAACACTTGGTGCCCGAGCGGATGAAGATCATGGAGAAGGCCATCTTGGAGAGGGACTTCCAGGCCTTTGGCGCGCTCACCATGCAGGATAGCAACCAGTTCCACGCCACGTGCCTCGACACCACGCCGCCGATCTTCTACCTGAACGACGTGTCTCGCCAGATCATCCGCCTTGTGCACCGCTACAACGAGCAGGCTGGCCGCGTGCAGGCCGCGTACACGTTCGACGCCGGTCCGAACGCCGTGCTCTTCGTCGAGGAGCAGCATGTGCAAGAGGTTGTGTCGCTGGTGCACCACTGCTTCCCTACGTCGCACAAGATGACCATCAAGTCGTCGATCGCCGTCGACCGCACGCCGTCTGCAGCGCTTCTCGCGAAGATGGAGGCGAAGGCCGAGAACGGCAAGGCCTTCAACCTGCCGCACATCCCCGACAGCGTCAAGATGATGTACGTCTCTCGCGTTGGCGGCGGCACTTGCGTACTGCCTGCGGATGAAGCTCTGGTTGACGCTGTGACTGGCGAGCCGTTGCCTTACCGCAAGGAAAACTCGACGGAGAGCGAGGTGCGCGGCTGCCCGCTGTTCAAGCCCAGCTTCTGGCTGCCAGAGGAGCCGGCGCTGCGCTATCTTGCCACTGCAGTCGCGGCCGCTGCGGTGACCAGCGCCGTGTTGCTGCGCAAGTAAGTGGTGCTGCAGTACTAAACCTCCGTCTCAGCTACGAATGAAATAGAGTGCCCCGCACACGTCCAGGCAATGCCTGGCAGGCATAGAAGACAGAATGTCTACCCAGCAATAAAATTGACCCTTCCCTTTCTGTTACTTTGCCGGGCTGTTCGTCAGCCCAAGCTGTTTCTGCACCAGGTTGACCAACTCGTCGTCCGTCAGGTTCGCGGCCTCTGCCCACGGTGGCGGACGCAGCTTCACCTGCTGCATGCTCTGGATGATGGCCAGCCGCTTGTCCTCCTGCAGCGCTGCGTCCTCCTGGGCCTTTGCCGCTGTCTCAGCTTGTCCAGCGTCCTCTTCGTTCTGTGCATTGTCCTCCTCGTAGTCTGGGGACCTCTCGGGGCTCTCGGCGTCGCTGTCGCTGTGGCAAGGGGACGACGGGAGCGGCGCGTACCCCTCGAAGCCTCCGACCGCCGCGCTTTCCTCCTCGTCGCTATCGCTGCCGGCGGATTCAGCGTCACCTGCCTGGTGCTGAGACGCCTCGGTGGGTGGAGCTGGTGGTCGGCTCTGCGCGAGCACGGCCGCGTACTCGGCCTCCAGCACCGCGAGCGGGTCGAACACGTTGGCGGGCTCTATTTTGGCAGAATGCGCTGATTGGCTGGAACGGGATCTGTGTTGGATACACCACACGCGCCGCTTGAAGATCGCCATTTCTTGACCTCGAGGAATCGTTTTGACAAGAGTCTCCAACCTAGTTCAACGCCGTCAAAAAGCGTCATAACTACGGCAAAGCGCGCACATGTATCTGCAAGCAGGAGACGGACATGCATTCAATCGATAAAATACAATCGCTGCTCGACGGCTAAATGTTGTTCAGCAGTGGGTGTGCGAGTAGATCGCGTGTCAAAGGGCGTTGACTTGGATCACGCCGCAGCAGCGCCGAAACGAGGTTGCACGCGTCCTCCGAGATGAAAGGGGACATATTCCACGCCTTGACCACGCGACGGACGCCGAGCTGCAGGAAGGCGACGAAGTCGTTGTCTTCCTCCGAGGCTCGATGCACTAGAGGCGACCCCGTCAGCATGATGAAGAGCACAACGCCCAGCGACCACATGTCGGCGGCGACCGGTGCATACGTCTCGCCCGCCACCACCTCGGGCGCCATGTAGTTGGTCTTGCCCACCATTTCAGTGCACATGCGCCTTGCATCGGTGGCGAGTCCGAAGTCCGAGAGCTTGCACACGCCGCCACGCAGGAGCACATTCTCCAGCGACACGTCCCGGTGGGCGATGCCGTTCGAGTGCAGGAAGTGCAGGCCAAGCGTGACCTGTCGAAACAGCCGCAGTGCCTCATGCTCTGGCACTCGGCCGTTCGGCGAGCCACGCACTCGGTCCCAAAGGTCTCCCTCGGAGCAGTGCTCCATGACGGCGAACCAGGACTCGTTGTGCAGGAATTCCTGGCGGAAGTGGACGATGTTGGGGTGCGGTGGCAGCGCCAACAGTTTGGTGATGGCGCGCCGCTCGTGCCACGGGTTGTCGGTATTTGGTTGCACGGCGAGCAGCGTGGTGGCCAGCTCGAGAGAGACCTGTTTGATGGCCACGAGCTCGTCGTCGTTGTGCGTGTCCTCGCAGGCACAGACGGAGCCGTAGAGGGCGTCTCCGATCTTGTGCTTGAGGCGGTAGCGCTGGCGGATCATGGCTTGTCTGGCTTGGTGGTGATAAGTGTGGGCTGGGCACAACTCAGCTTGTTTGGTTGTTGCGGACCAATTTAGGACTGAGCTCTAAGTGCAATGTGGGGCGATGCATCGAGTCCAACTTCAAAGTTCACTACCAAAAGTTCAAGAGCGACAGGTGAGTCAGTCGGCGGTGGCTTCTTTCAGCGGTTCGACTCGAACCGCTGAAAGAAGCCTCGTCGAACTTCGACGAGTTAAAATACTGTACGAGGCACGGGCAAGATACGTCCAGTGTCTTGGATACCGACGGCTAGGGCACCGAAGCTTCACGAAGTTGACCTCTTCAGCGGAGCACTCGTCTTGCGCGGGCATGCTTGCGATCAACCTAGCGAGCTGCTGGCCAAGCACTCAGCATAGTATTTTTGTTCATGCCCGTTAGTCCGCTACGCGAGCTCGTTACGTATACAAAGCCGTTCCAGCAACAACTACGAGCCGTGGCCACAGCTGAGATCGCCGGACACTCCCGCGCGAGCCAGCATGGCGCTGGCGCCCTGCCCGTGCCACCTACTGCACGATTGGATCAGCGGAGCACGGGTGTGGATGCTGACGCCGCAACAGCTTTGCACTGCGTTCACTAAACGCGAGGCGTAAATGCGTTGGCCCTCTTTGACGAAGATACTCGATGCATTAACTCGGTAGTTTTGCTCCTGCTTACAGGAGAGACTGCACGTACACAACTTTCAGCCTGCAGCGCGTTGCAGGAAGCGTGTCCAGAGCGCCTGTTGCGCGCAGCGGCCTTGTTCAAAGCTTGAGAAAAAGTAGAAAAGACGGAGCTTCAACGTCCCGCCAGAGAAACGCAAGTCGTCATCTCCAGCACACTCCCAATCAAATTACAAGGAGCAGCAAACGGATAAGCAAAGCGGATGAAAACACCAGGACTCCACCTCGCCGAGGTGGAGTCCTCGCATCGCGACGTCTGCATCTACATACCACGGGGCAACCGGGCACAGCTTGCATACGCTTTGAAATCTATCGTAGCAGACGAGACCAGGGCTCCACGAGCTCAGACCGCAAATGATTGCACTAGATCCACCACCGGCGGCGCAACGATATCCGCTGACCGGTCAGCACGGCTTATCCCGTTTGCTTGCTCCCGAGCAAATTGCTCAGCGTTCGCGTGTTTGGGCTCTGGCTATCAAATACAGTACTTGCACTTTGTTGCCAGTCTCGCCATGCTGGCCCTCGTTCGTATGTTCCTGTGGCGGAGTTAGTTTCGCAACGGCAAGATCCATAGCGAAGGGTCTCCTGCCGCCAGCAGGCAGGAGACCTCACTTCGAGAAAACACCGCTAAGCAACAAACAAGTTAAAATCTGCTTTCATCGACACGGCTTGTCGCTCCGTCGAAGTCCGTCAAGCCGTCCAACTCCCGCTTCCTCAAGCTGCATCGTGCCACCGCACAATTTGGGGCTTTCTCTACTAGGTTGCTCATTCAGGGGAGAGGGCCACCATATTTGCAACATTGTAGCCTTCCACGAAGGTTATTATGATGAAAGCAGATGCCGTTGAAGACTACAACAGCGTGGGTGAGGAAGAAGCGAGGAAGAAGAGCTCCGAGCCGGTGAGATCGCGCAAGTGCGAGCTGTTTTGGGTAGAAGGCAATCAACGATCTACAACGAGACCAAAGTCTCATGCTCGACTCCGTCACGAAGTTCGCCAATCGCACCGAGCGCCGGCAACAGGACAACTACAAGGAGATCAGGGCAAACCAGGAGCTGCTGCAGCAAGTGATCGAGCAGCTTCAAGAATATGCGCACCAAAATGAAACCCGACAAAGTACACAGGAAGCTGTTATCACGCAACTCCAGTCGGAGGTGGCTACCTTGCGGCAGCAAGTGCAACTGCTATCGGCCAACACGACCAGCACGGGGCAACAAGCAGCAAGTCCTGCAGTCACGATGCCAGCTGCAAGTTCTGCAACTCCTGTAGTCACGGGCATGGACGAGAATTCAGGTGCGGAGTGGGTGGGCGTATGCCTCCCAACACGCCGGTCTACGATAGAAAAGAGCTGGAGACACGACTAGCGACTTGCATCCGACAACATGAAGCTCCAATTTACAGCGGTGAAACAAGTGAGGATATTGAAGTCTATGTCCTCAATATGATCAAGTGGTACGCAGCGATCGGCCTAAATTTTCATCAGCAGGTCGATTATCGCGTCGGAGAACTTATGATGAACCACACCCAAGGGAAAGCAAAGGACTGGTTTCTCCGGGAATATCACGGCGAACAGCGCTGGAGCCACATCATCCGCAAGATGAAGCAACGGTTCGTGACACGCTCCCACCAAGAAGATTTGGTGGCTCAATTCTTTAGCTGCGCGCAAGGCAATCGTTAGTTGGACACGTACAACGATGAATTTCGCCGGCTAGCACGCACGGCAGGCGTCTCTGAGTACATCAAGATACTTCGATACAAACAGGGACTATCGTCTGTGCAACTGCTACATCTTCTCAAGACGAAGTCGTTCGACACGCTAGACGAGCTAATTGAAGCCTCGCGAACGCTGAACCCACGCGAAGTCGCTCGATCGAATGATAAAAGCAGCAAAAGCAGCAAGTCCTTCCCTCCAAAGCAGGATAAGAAGATGGACGCAGCAAAGTGCACGTCGTCGTGGTGCACGGAGAAGGGGCATACTAAAGAGCGCTGCTGGATGCTACACCCCGAGCTGAAGCCGAAATGGCTGAAAGACAACAACAAGAACAAGGGCAAAGGTGCTGCGGCTGTATCCAAAACAAACGCTGAATCCGAGGAAAAGAAGCTGTGGTCTGTTCTCAGCATGATCCAGAGTGACATTGCGAAGCTCAAGGGGGATTTAAACTAGCTGGCCTAAGGGATGGCGTCCTAAGGCCCAACACAGCCACTAGTAGCCGCGAGAATTGGGTCTTTGACCCTGGTACGGCGGCTAATTCGCTCTACTTCCAGCGGCGTACCGAGGAGAAGCCTCTACCAGCAACGTATTTGATAAAAAACGTTAGCTGCGTTCGTGAAGACGAGATTCAGATTGCGAAGACATTCTTTGACGAAGGTGCTGACTTTTGTGGAGTTTCAATGGAGTATGTGGAGAAAATGAACTGGGGTCAGTACGTAAAAGACTTGGGGTTGATGGAGCTGACCTACGCAAAACGGCAAGACGGAATCGATTAAAAATCAAACGATCAAGCTGACAGTCTTCGTCGACAATATCCCAGGTTATACAGCGGACTTCCAGCTCTGTCACATTCCTAACCAGTGCGAATTGATGCTGGGCGTACCCTGGAAGCGCGCGCGGAATCCTGTTATCGACTGGGAGACAGATCGCGTGTATACAAAGGAGGAGTTCGTCAAAGAAGCCCTCAAGCAGTCATCACCGAAGAGCGAGCACGTGGGTAGAAGCTATCACTACTGCAGGCAATTCGGGATGACGAAGGTAATTAATTTCAAGAAAGCTGACAAGCTCGTGCGGCAGAAAGACGTGGATTTCATCGCACTCGTCCCACCCGAGACAATTAACGCACTCTACCAGGAAGTCCTAAATGAGCAAGCTGGGAGTAGCGGGGTAGCTCACGGAGTCAGCAAGAAACAAACCGACAAAGCTCAGCGGCAGCAGACGACGGATATGGACAGCTTCAAAGATAATCCAGTGCCAAGATCCTGGGAACTAAGCTGAAGATGGCGTCAGCTCACCATCAGCGGATGGATGGACAAGTTGAACGACTCAATGCTGTGCTAGCTACTTACCTGCGTCACTATGTGAGCGGCTTCCAGAACGACTGGGACAAGCACCTAGCTCTGGCAGAGTTCGCTTACAACCGTCAATATCAAGCTACAATCCAGATGAGTCCATTCCGTGCTGACTTGGGCTATGAACCTCGCCTACCTGCTGATTTGCACCTGCCAGACGAGCTTCCAGCGACAGCGACCAAATTTGTGGCAGCCCAGCAAGAGATTCTGCGAGATTTACAAGCTAAAGCGCGGCGAGGGGCAGAAAAAATGAAATTGCTGTACGACAGAGGTCGACGGGAGCAGAAGTTTGAAGTCGGTGAAATGGTGCTGATCTCAACTCAAAATCTGACTCCTGCGAATATTGGGGCAGTCCGAAGAAAATTTGCGGCTCGGTGGATTGGACCATACGAGGTCATCGAAGTTCACCATGACGGATCGGCGTACAAGCTCAATTTGCCTAAAGAATTGAGCTTGCACCCCGTGTTTCACACCATGGTCCTGAAAAAATTCCTGAAGGACAAATCCGGTGTCAGTCGCGACACGACCCTTCCACCTGTACGACTTAAGGATGGTTCCGAAGGCCATTTGATCGAGGCCATCATGGGCCATCGCATCTCGAAGAAAGGTGTCGAAGAGTACCAGTGCAAGTGGGTAGGCCGAGACGATGACATCACGTGGGAGCCGACAGAAAATCTGCTCTCGGTGCCAGGATTGATCAGAGAATTCCATCGAAGAGCCAACAATCTGCCAAGCCGAGCATCAGCAAGACTCAAGAACAAGAAACAACAAGGATAACATCAAGTGACATGCATTCAGAGTTACTTCAATTCAGCAGAACGTCCTCTCTGAGGGGCCTCTATTTGTCTTGAAGTTAATCGAGTTTCTTCAGGTCGTGTGGCGGAGTTAGTCCGTTTCGCAACGGCAAGATCCATAGCGAAGGGTCTCCTGCCGCCAGCAGGCAGGAGACCTCACTTCGAGAAAACACCGCTAAGCAACAAACAAGTTAAAATCTGCTTTCATCGACCCGGCTTGTCGCTCCGTCGAAGTCCGTCAAGCCGTCCAACTCCCGCTTCCTCAAGCTGCATCGTGCCACCGCACAATTTGGGGCTTTCTCTACTAGGTTGCTCATTCAGGGGAGAGGGCCACCATATTTGCAACAGTTCCGGTGTGAACTACATGGTGAAGGCCCTTAGCGGAACAAGCTCTATCCAATACTTCAGTTTGTGCGGACGGATCTTGGTGGCTTTAGCTCCCGTCCCAAACGTGGCGCAATAGCGTCGCAGCCTCCGCAGCACCACGCCCCTCGACTTGAGGCTCGAGCTCACATGTCAGCTCAGAGCAGAGCTTCACGTCCAAGTCCAAGCAGCGCCCAAGACCAAGACTCTTGGCCCAAGAGCTCCGAATCGGAGTCAAACAGGACGAGGCTGATTCCGAGGCCGAAAGAGTTGCCAGGAGCCGTTGACAAACGCAGCCAGTATCCCGTGGCGCAGGATCACCCGGCAATTCACCATGGACCGGAGTCCCGAGGGCACTGCCCTCACATGCGCTCCAGAACACCTTCGCTGTCGTCTACACATTGGCATCCTTGTCAGAAGTCCTGGAGCCCTCCGCAGCTTTCCAGCTTAAAGTGAAAGAGTTAAGCCCAAGTCCGAGCCCCCGCTGCCGTGCCCAGCCGATCCTACGTCCCGCTGACGGTTCCGAGGGTCGCTGGACTGCCCGGCCCGGGTTCAGCGCCCAAAGCATTTTCGGGCCCAGCCAGGACGCGCCTGACCTTGCGGTGCGCGAGGCGGCGCACGTTGCCGCAAGCGCGCCGCGTCTGCGACCCGGGCCGCCCGCCGAACAATACCATTTCCTTCGACGGCCGCAATAGCATTTCCGCCGCCGTTAGCACGAACGCTCACAACCGAATCCGCGCTCGACGGCGACAGTGCAGCTCACAGAAGCGCACAACCGACCAACACAGACCCCCCTCCCCTCGCCCCAGCAGCCCGATGCTGTTCGCCGACCGCTTCCGTGCGCGCCGCCCGCTGAGCGAGGCGCTGTACGGGCCCGTGGGGCTCTACGAGGACGCGCAGCGCGGCGACGAGCTGGTGGCCATCAAGCAGGTGTCGCTGGTGCGCGCAATGGCGGCGCTGCGCCGCAGCCGCAACGTGGACAACCCCTGGAGCGAGCACCGCGTGGTGGCGCGCCTCATGGCGCTGCCGCCGCACCCGAACGTCGTGCGCTTCCGCGGCGAGTTCCTGCACGCGCAGGACACGTGGTGCGTGGTCATGGAGTTCTGCCCGGGCGGCGACCTGTGGGACCTGCTGGAGGCCGCGCCCAAGAACCGCCTGCCCGAGCGCGAGGCGCTGCAGCTCTTCGCGCAGTGCGTGCGCGGCGTGCGCTTCCTGCACGCGCACGGCATCGCGCACCGCGACCTGTCGCTGGAGAACGTCTTCTACTGCCGCGGGACGTGCAAGATCGGCGACTTCGGGCTCAGCACGGACGAGCCACTGCGCGGCCGCGGCGAGGCCGTGGGCAAGGCCTACTACATGGCGCCCGAGGTGGTCAACCAGGAGGCGTACGACGCGTTCGCGGCCGACATGTGGTCGCTCGGCATCATGCTCTTCATCATGCTCACGGGCTCGCCGCTCACGTCCAGCGCGTCGCGGCAGAACCGCGCGTTCGGCGCCTTCTGCGAGATGGGCGTGGCCAAGGTCATCGACTCGTGGGGGCTCGCGTCCAGCGTGTCGCCGGCCACGACGACGCTGCTGGACAAGCTGCTCAGCCTCACGCCGAGCGAGTGGCCCACGGCCGACAAGCTAGCAGGGCTTCTGGGATTGGAAGGTGTTGAAGTAGGATCGAATTCTCCATGTGAGTGAATAACGTTATTCGAGTGGAAGTGTAATTATCAAGAAGGACTGTTTTCCCCGTCTCACTAGTTGACACTCGGCTGGATGCCGGACGAAGTGTAAGTTCACCAGGCTGTTCTAGCGCCAAAGCTCCATTAAAGTATTGCGAGAACAGAGAACTCTCCGGCTGAACTCAAATGAGACCTCGTAGTTATGTGCACGCGATCAAACGCAGACTGAGAACTGGGTGGCCAAGGGATGACGACTCCATCCCCAGTCGTCATCTGCAGCAGGAGTACGTATCGAGGCAGCAGTTCAGAGTGCCCAACTCTGTGTGAGAGCCTCGGGAGACTGGAAAGAAGGGTTGATTAACTGCTTCTTTTCTGAAGCTAACTTACATCTTGACTTGCGCTCGTGGGCATGCATCTAACATGTGACTCCACCTTGAAGTTGTTATGTTGCTACAGCAGACATGGTCAACACAACAACTTCAACTTTGACTTGCGTGATGGTGTGGGGTTAGAAAGCGCCCGCACGCCTTTGAATGCATCACTGTCACCCGATGGTCTTACTGAGTTAGTCTACACAAACCCGAGCCTTAGTATGTAACGATCTCAGTTGCTCTGGCCCTAGTGAGCTGCTTGCAAAGTGAGGTGCGTTCAAGATACTTTCGCTCTTATACCTCCCAGTGATATATATGACAGTCGCAAAATCAATTAGGAGTAAGATCGTCGCGCGCTCGAGCTGCTCTAGAGCGAAATCAATCCAGTACTCGATCAAAAAGCTCACCAAGGCGCCACAACTACTCCAGACCGACCCAGCAGTGCATGACAAACAGGCTCGTCTTCCAGCAGAAGATGAACGGTAACAAAATTTGTAGCTTTGACATTTTGTGCGTCCTCTCCGGACTTACCAGCGTCACCTCGAGCTTTTCGTGCGGATTTGCTCTTCAAGCTCAGTCCTGAATTGGCACCGTACCGACCAACGAACGGAAACCATCATGATCCGCCAGCGCTACCGCCTCAAGCACAAGATCGGAGACGCCCTCTACGGCTCCGTCTGTGCCTGCGAGGACACGCACAACGACGACGAGCTCGTGGCCATCAAACAGGCCTCTCTCGAGCTGGCCACCACGCTGCTCGCCGTGCAACCGAACGCCGACAACCCGTGGCACGAGCGACGCGCCATCACCAAACTGCTGGCGCTGCCGCCGCACCCCAATATCGTCCACTTCCGCCAGGAATTCCTGCACAACGAGTCCTGGTTCGCCGTCATGGAGCACTGCTCCGAGGGAGACCTCTGGGACCGAGTGCGTGGCTCGCCGAACGGCCGAGTGCCGGAGCATGAGGCACTGCGGCTGTTCCGCCAGGTCACGCTCGGCCTGCACTTCCTGCACTCGAACGGCATCGCGCACCGAGATGTGTCGCTCGAGAACGTGTTGCTGCGCGACGGTGTGTGCAAGCTCTCGGACTTCGGACTCGCCACTGATGCTGATCGCACGTGCGTCGGAGCATTGGGCAAGGCTAACTACATGGCCCCTGAGGTGGTGGCGGGCGAGGCATATGCGCCTGTCGCCGCCGACATGTGGTCACTGGGCATTGTGCTCTTCATGATGCTGACCGGGTCGCCGTTAGTGAACCAGGCGTCGGAAAGTGAGACCGATTTTGCCGGCTTCCTCCAGCTCGGAGTCCGTGGCGTGATCAAGGCATGGAAAGTGCCGTCTGATGTTTCCGAGGAGGTGTGCGAGCTTATGTCAGCGTTGTTGCGATGTGATCCAGTGGAACGCCCGTCGACTTCCGATCTGCTCGCGCACCCGTTGCTGCTGGAGTAATTGGCGTCCAAACGACCCGGTGGGACTGTGCTACGCGACTGCGGTATGGTGTAGTTGGATACAGAGGTGAATGCGGCATTACACCCGTGTCAATGCTGTTAATAGTGGTCAAACATGGTTTCACACGCCACACATAAATTGGTTTGGCTACCGTGTCTTTTTGTGATATTTCCCCCCGCCATGCTCACAATATGAATCATCGATGAAATCCAACACGACGTGCGCAAACTCTGGACCATGCGATACACGCAGATCCAGCACATGTTGAACACGATAGTTTGTTCGATTCTTTGAAGTGGTACACGTAGGATGCCGGCACTGTTGCCAGCACAGCTCATTCGCTTCACTTGCCCATGCTTCTCGGATAACTTGCTATCTTGCTCGCCGAATCTGCTCGCGCCGCGGTTCAAAGCCATCGCTGCGCACGAAGCATAAGCCTTCTTGCCTTGAAGCATCGCAGTAAGTCGTATGATCAAATGGCAGACGTACTTCGGGACAAGACTTAATCTGACGAGCATGAAATTCACCGCGTAAAGTCACAGGAACCTGTCGACTTGAGACGCCAAACATCTTATTCTGCTACGTTCCATGCACAAAGTAGACCAGGCTAAGAGCAAAGCGAAAATCGGAGCCTGACGCACGTTAGTCTGCCAAGTCTTGCTTAGTCTCCACGCCGCCACGCGCGGCAAGAGAAATGAGGCTGAGCGCCGCTCCCACCGCTACAAGCTGTTGTTCGAAAATCTGAGAAAAGGTAGAAGCTTCAACGTTTCATCATGTGCAACAGGGTCCCAATTCAATTTCAGTACTGCATCGTTTGCGCTTCGTTTTTTATCTTGCCTTTCTAACCTCCCGCCCACTCGCCACCAAACATTTTTAATTGCCCCCCCCGCCCTTGCGCAGAACGCCACGCGCGTGAGCAGGGAGCGGATCCTGCAGTTGGATCAGAGCGCAGGTATTCCGCGCGTGATGCCCTCGTGCCTCCGTACGGCGCTGATAGCGCGGGCATTATTCATCGATAGCGGTTTCGTGCGCCACCAGCGCCTCGGTTGCCAGTGTGGCAGTGTCCCTATGGTGGCTGGATTCACCAGGAAACACTTTTGATCGCATTTGGCGCTTGTCTTGGCCACTGCCTCCGGCTCTCGCAGCAGCGTGCCCCTTATGGCCCTGGAGTCGAGCATCGAGTCTTCCAGCATCAACCAAGGTTTAAGCAAAGGAGATTAAGCGGAACATTGGGCACGTTATCTACATTCAATTGACTTGCGAAAACGTAAGATGGATTCTGCGACGGTATCAAGGCACAATTTGATTGGCTAAAAGTTTATTGAAGTGCCATACATAGGTACAGAGGTCCCGTGCAGTCCGGCAGGCAACATCGACTAAGCGGTGACTGCAACAGTCGACAGCCGAGTTCTAGGCGGCGACTTCACGAGCTACCAGGTTTGTGTTTGTTGTTGCTAAATGGCTATAAAACTTACGCTAACAACTTTGGTTTTAGGATACCCTGTACGCCAGCAAGGTTTGCTAGCTTTACGCTCCATTGCACTACTGCGATCAGCTCGACTGTACTAACACGAATGTAAATGGGTGTACTGTTTGATTATAGCTACTACTAGCTTGCCAATCTCGGACACTCGGATTGGCTTGTGTGTCCCTGAGGCTTGGGCGGCTGACTGTCTTCTTCGTTTCGCTCTTGATCGGCTTGTCGGATGAGTCTCAAAACAGTTGTAAGCTTAAGCTGTTCAGCTCTTCGCTTACGTTTGCTTGGCTTTAACCGCAGTGTACCGTATCCTATGTTGAAAAGCTCAATAGCGTGTTTCTTGTCACGGATTTCTGGCATAGGTGCGTCCAGCTTGGCCTCGATCCCATTCATAATGTGCCGCATCATAATTGACCATTCTGACAGCGTCGCTTTTATCTGCGGTGTATCCAGGTCGTCCGATGGTATTCCTTTGTACGGGGGGTAGTTGAGCTTTGGATTTCCGAACCACCATAGCATCCATGCCCCAAGGGGATCGATACTCGGAAAACTAAATTCTCTAGGTAGCACATGAAATTTCCCGCCCCAGACATGATACTGGTGCACTGGAACTGGCGCTGGCACTACGGCGTTGATCGACGGACGTTGTTGGAGCCCAACTTCGTCTAACAACGATCGAATTTCATCACGCAATAACTCTCTCGTAATATTGCCCGCTGTCACACCCTTTTTCTCAAGTACATGCTCCATTCTCTGCCCCAGTTTGCCAGGCAGCTCATCAATTGACCTTTGCTGCTGGTCAAGCTTCTTGTATAGCTCAATATAGGGCGGTATCCCCGTTGGTCGCATCCAGACAGACTCTCCAGCTACTAGTTGGCCTTCAAGCGTCCTAAGGACAGTGGGGCTTGTAAAAAAATGTGTCGAAAGTAATGCATGGGTGGCCGGTAAATGCTTTGCAAATATTGCGCGTGATGCACGAGTGATGCTAGGCACAACCGCAAAATTCCTGCCATATTCGCTTCGCGAGAGAGAACCGGAAACATAGTCTCCACGCACGATTTCACATTTTTATCGGGGCCATCCTGAAAATGGGGCGGTAAAGTAGCGAACTTAGAGTCATTTACGGGAAGTCCTGCCACTACTCGCCCCAGGAATTGATCCCCTGCGGCTTCATAACGGAAATAGCGATCTTGAACTCCACCGAGGCTCCGCAGCGAAGACACACACTCACGATCGAGGGACCGCCTGTACTTCCTCCACAAGCGAATGTAGCCACTCCTTTGCGCACCGAGTGCGTACCGTAACTTTTACCAGCGTCTCCTTGCTTCAAAAGGTTAGTCAGCACCTTGCTAAATCGTAGCTTCTGGTTAGAGCCTGGAAATAGTGCCCCCGGTTCCAATCGAGGGTGGCATGCAAGATAAATTGCCAAGGCAGTCACCCAGCACGTTGATGGGCTCAGCGGGTTCGCGTACAGGTGGCGTGGATCACGGGGCCCTGAACCCTCCTGGTTAGTCTTCGTCTTCACAAATATTACTCCAACGCTATCATCTTTCGCCACGAGATGCTGACTTTGGAGAGTCTGGACCGACATTGAGCGACACATCAAATTCCACTGCGAAGTAAAAAAAAAGATGCGAAAACCCGCCATCACCCGCCACGAGAGTCGAATTGCACAACTCCTTATAAAGGGAGTACGTGAGTGGCTGCTTTCCTGATGCCTTTGGGGTGCTAGTCTGGTCCTGATCAGCCTCCATCCGCTTCATACCGGAGAACAGTTGCTTCATATCATCGTCGTACTCAGGAGGCAGCGCCACGCGCTTCACGCGATAAAGATCCTTGATAGCACTTCGGTACCCGCTCAGCGTAGCCGTCTTCACAGAGGCGCTCTTGAACACCAGAAAACGCTCAAAAACACTCGGTGTAAACTCACTTAGATTAATGTCATCATCAGCGTCGAAAAACCTGGCGATGTTCTCATCCTCCTTAGCGAGCTCGCTCCTGATCCACTTCTTAATCCCGTTGAGGCTGCTCTTGTACTTTTCTCTTGTTTGCTTGGTGACGCATGCATCGCGTATCGCCTCGACGTCAGCATGACTGGTACTCCGCGCTGGAGCAAAAGTGTGTTGCGAGCCTCCATCACTCATGTTGCTGCTGGGTCGATGTTCTTTGTGTGTTGCTGTCAAATTTTAGCCAATGAAGGACTTGATGTAAGCGTCGGCGGCTCCCGCTTACGTTTGCTCAGAAGAACTGGATGGCAACAGTCGCATAATGAAAGCCAGTCAAATCCCGTGAGGAAAAAACATTTCCTGCAAAATGTCAGCTGTCCACGCCGACGACTTCGCAGGAACCCCTATATGCTACCAGTCCGTTCCAAATCTATTGATATGTACCACTATTTAGCTTGTTCCTAAACTATAGGAAAATACTAGTACTAGTTTCACTATGGCCAGAATCTGCAGATCGATCGAGAGGAGGCAGAAATGAGGCAGTAGTAACAGAGCACTTGATGCACCGTGGAAGTCGTCCCTCCCGCGCAAGCTTCGACTTCGACATGTGTCGAATCTTGAATGTGTTGTCACCACCAGCAGCAACACAATCGTTCATCACGCATTGGAGCGTCAAGAAGCCCGCGTCCAGTGTTGCCGGCGGCAGCTCGTCCAGCGCCACCTTCACGTTGGCCACCAGGTCGTCGAGGGTGTGGGCGGCCATTCGCTCTTGTCGCGACTGTAGGGCGTTGAAGACAGCAAGATCCAATACGTTCATATCAGGGCTGTTAGGCGGTTGGAACCGCAAGTGTACATCGCACCCGGAGGCGTTTACTGCCTGCCTCCACGCCATGTCATCTGGCTGGATATGCGGGGAGGCGTTGTCTTGCTGCACGGTGACACGCCTCCCGTCCGCCGCACCCGGAAACTTTGCTTGGATCGACGGGAGCACGTGCTCCACCAGCATCTTGCGGTAGGTCTCCTTGTTGACGGCCACCGGATATGGCACCAGCGTTCCAGCGGGGCGATTGCGACTGCTTCGTTTCGCTGGCTCGTGTGTCAAAAACGCCCAGACCCCCAGCTTTCCATCAAATAACTTGCCCGTGATGGGGTCATGGCGCGGGCGGGCTACTGCTGCTAGCATCATCACATTGGGAATATGACGCTTGCTCTTGAGTCGATGCACAGGCTTGGGCTCGTCCGGTAGAAGCACGAAGCGACGCTTCACCTTGCAGAGATAGAAAAGTTTTTCATCCACGTGGACTACATCTTCCATGTCACTGAAATGATGCGTTGCTGCACTTACGTGCCCCACAATAAATGCAATCCTCGACTTCTTGTTGTCGTCCGACAGCATGGGCTTGGCAACGGACGTCTCCACACGGAGCTTCCCGATGCTCACCTGTCGGAACAGCGTGGTTGGTGGGAGGAAACAGGCTTGGGCACCACGCGGTAGGGCGCCGACTGTCGCTCGGTTGAGGAGGGCCGACACCACGAGGGCACGTTCCGCGTCCGAAAGGTGCTTGGTCTTGGGGTGCGAGGTCTTGTTGGGGTGCGACATCGAGTAGCTTGTTGGGTTTGGTAGGTGGGTGCTTGGTCGGGGAGGGGCGAAATCGTTAATGGCAGTGGTGGCTTCTTCATCGATGAAAGCATCATTGGAGCTTAAGCGCTTCCCCTGGCGCCAATTTTTCGAGCTGTGCGGAGCTCTGCACACCAGTCAAACCGCTATGAGCAGGCGGTTGCATTACTACCAATCACACGGGCATACAACTATTTTTAACCAATTGCGAGCCAAACGTGCTCAAACCTCCAGTAGATCTGGAACGGACTGGTACTTACGAAAGCGAAGGAATCATTTATTGCTACGCTACGCTATATATAGTCTACGTACAGCTCTATCAGTTCGTCGGCCGTGGGCCGCTCGCTCGGCGTGAGGCTGAGCAGCTTGTCCAGCAGCGTCGTCGTGGCCGGCGACACGCTGGACGCGAGCCCCCACGAGTCGATGACCTTGGCCACGCCCATCTCGCAGAAGGCGCCGAACGCGCGGTTCTGCCGCGACGCGCTGGACGTGAGCGGCGAGCCCGTGAGCATGATGAAGAGCATGATGCCGAGCGACCACATGTCGGCCGCGAACGCGTCGTACGCCTCCTGGTTGACCACCTCGGGCGCCATGTAGTAGGCCTTGCCCACGGCCTCGCCGCGGCCGCGCAGTGGCTCGTCCGTGCTGAGCCCGAAGTCGCCGATCTTGCACGTCCCGCGGCAGTAGAAGACGTTCTCCAGCGACAGGTCGCGGTGCGCGATGCCGTGCGCGTGCAGGAAGCGCACGCCGCGCACGCACTGCGCGAAGAGCTGCAGCGCCTCGCGCTCGGGCAGGCGGTTCTTGGGCGCGGCCTCCAGCAGGTCCCACAGGTCGCCGCCCGGGCAGAACTCCATGACCACGCACCACGTGTCCTGCGCGTGCAGGAACTCGCCGCGGAAGCGCACGACGTTCGGGTGCGGCGGCAGCGCCATGAGGCGCGCCACCACGCGGTGCTCGCTCCAGGGGTTGTCCACGTTGCGGCTGCGGCGCAGCGCCGCCATTGCGCGCACCAGCGACACCTGCTTGATGGCCACCAGCTCGTCGCCGCGCTGCGCGTCCTCGTAGAGCCCCACGGGCCCGTACAGCGCCTCGCTCAGCGGGCGGCGCGCACGGAAGCGGTCGGCGAACAGCATCGGGCTGCTGGGGCGAGGGGAGGGGGGTCTGTGTTGGTCGGTTGTGCGCTTCTGTGAGCTGCACTGTCGCCGTCGAGCGCGGATTCGGTTGTGAGCGTTCGTGCTAACGGCGGCGGAAATGCTATTGCGGCCGTCGAAGGAAATGGTATTGTTCGGCGGGCGGCCCGGGTCGCAGACGCGGCGCGCTTGCGGCAACGTGCGCCGCCTCGCGCACCGCAAGGTCAGGCGCGTCCTGCTGGGCCCGAAAATGCTTTGGGCGCTGAACCCGGGCCGGGCAGTCCAGCGACCCTCGGAACCGTCAGCGGGACGTAGGATCGGCTGGGCACGGCAGCGGGGGCTCGGACTTGGGCTTAACTCTTTCACTTTAAGCTGGAAAGCTGCGGAGGGCTCCAGGACTTCTGACAAGGATGCCAATGTGTAGACGACAGCGAAGGTGTTCTGGAGCGCATGTGAGGGCAGTGCCCTCGGGACTCCGGTCCATGGTGAATTGCCGGGTGATCCTGCGCCACGGGATACTGGCTGCGTTTGTCAACGGCTCCTGGCAACTCTTTCGGCCTCGGAATCAGCCTCGTCCTGTTTGACTCCGATTCGGAGCTCTTGGGCCAAGAGTCTTGGTCTTGGGCGCTGCTTGCAAGCGGCTGGGCGGTGGTGTGATGCTGATGACAATCTGATCGAGCTGACGTTGCCATCTCGCCCGATGGTTAACATGCTGTAAGCACCGTCTCGCTGCCGATCGCACTCCGTACCGGCACACCGGTCTTGTGGACTGCAGCGCGCGCCCGACTTGGCCTCGCCTAGATTCTTGCCGCTGACGAAGGCAAGGCTTTCTTTCCGCAGCGTTCGTCTGCATCCGTTTCAAAACGCGTGGCCACCAACTCCTTTCTTGCGTCCCAGCGCGTGCGGCGCCTTGCTCGCACCAAGCAGCAGCAGGTGGCGACCCGCAGCAAGGTCACCAACCTTTGGTCACGAAACGCGCCCATGGCGAACGCGGCAAAGCGCAGGTGGCACCTCCCGCGTATCAGCGAGCCAAGCAAGCTTTGCACTTCAACATCGCTGCCGCAACATCTGCGCAACGTAAGAACTGCAACTTCACCTGATCCAAGATCACCTATTAAGCAGCATAATCCTTTATAATCGCATACCCGAGCAATGGTGTCGCTTTCCTTCTCTTGGGACAGGTTCACGAGTACTCGCATTAGGCAAGAAGAAGACGAACGGGAGGTGACGAAGGAGGAGAAACATGCCAGTTCAAGCAACAGAGGTACTTTCAGATGAGGATGTCCGCAACATCTTGAATGGGTGGACGGAACTCGACCCGGAACATGTCGACCTCTACGTCTCGAGCGGCGTGGGCCGGACGCTGATCCACCTGGAGCGGAGCGGGTTCGAGTGTTCTGAAGAAGAGTATTTGCTGTGTCCGGATACAAACAACGAGCCGTCGAAGGCGTATTTGCATGGTGGCAACTTCGCGCTGCCTCCTGGAACCCCCGGCCACACTCCGTGGCCAGGTCATTGCGCGCCGGCTGATGGAACTGCGTTGGCTCACTTGCCCGCAGATGTGGATGCGTCCCCTCCCTTCGCACTCGGTCGGTTCATCGTCGAGCGGATCGCCACCGCAGTGGACCTGACGAACGGGACAAGCTTGGACGTGATTCTTTTGCCGAAGTTGGGGGTGTTCTCCTACATTTGTATTGCTGTGCAGGATTCGCTGCAGTTTAGACGCCGGGGCGTTCTCACGGCCGCGGATTTCGGCGTTCCTGTCGAGCCTCAGTTGGTCCGCGCATTCCTCCTTGGGAATGTCAAGGAGCATCCGGACAATCAAGTACACTTTACCAGGTGTTAAGTGCCGCGACTCAGAGCTTCATTCAACGTTAGTTGGGGAGCTCTAAGGTTGGAAGACAGCTTCCGCGCAGGAATATAAGCCATGGCTGCTGCTTTCACGTTTTAGTATGCTGTCAAGGGCAAGTCTTCCAATGCTGTAGCCCTCCACTTCAACATCCTTGCTGCAACATTTGCGCAACATAAACTCCAAGCCCCCCTTTAACTCGCATTATCATGGCTAGATTACTTCCACCCACACCTAGACTACGGGCTTCACCGTGTGAGCAGGTTCGGACCTCGAGGGCCCCCGGACTCACGCTTTCTACGAGCTAGTCATCTCTACGTCGAGGCCGCCGCAAATAGTCGGGTCTTGGCCGCCCATGTGCGAGCTCTTCCGTGACGAGCATCAGATTGCGGGCCGCATTCTCGTCGCGGTCCCAGTACATCCTGCAGGTGCTGTTGGTACAGTGCAGGACGTTCCGGGACCTTGTCGCGCGAGGGTGTGCTGGCACGCCGCGTGCTTGAGGCGCTGGGGGCGGGGGCTCCTCTTCCGGCTCGGCTCGTCGTCGCCTCCCAAACTCCGTCTCCGCTAGATCGCTGTGGCACGCGAAGCACTTCTTGCTCGTGAAGTACTCGTCGATCAGGCGTACGGTAGCGCGTCTGGACAGCTCCTTCTCAAAGCCCTTCAGCGGGGGCACTGCGTTGCCGCGGAGGCCTCTTGGGTTGTTAAACTCGCCGACACCGACGAGCGTAGAGTCGTCGGGCACAGGAACCACGCGAGCTGCCACGTAGCCGAGCGCCTTGAACTTGTACACGTAGTTTCGGAATCGCCACCGCCGAAACGCGTGAGTGGAGCTGAAGTCGATCAGGAAGTTCACGTGTTTCCAGAAGTAGGAGAGCCACACCCAGTAGTCTTGCGTCGAGGCGCACCGGAAGGAGGGCATGTTTGCGAGTAGTGCTGCGTACACCGGCTCCCATTGCTTCAGGTTCTCGAACCAGTACTAGCGGTGGTTAAACCCGGCCAGATGTCGGTACTCCTTCGTCGAGCATGACGCCGACGTGACGTCATGCTGCCGTGCGCGTCCGTGTTGCTGCTTGGGTCGCTGGTGTCGTCGAAATTCTCGCCAGGTTTCCGGTCCGTTCAACGCCCGCTGCTTCAGCTTGAGACGGGGCTGACGCTTCCTGCGGCGCCGCATCCGGAGCCTCCACTTGGGCGACGCAGAATTCCGAGTCCGCTTGATCTTCCTGAAGCGGTAAAAACGTGGGGGTGGAACGTCGCGTCAGCCTCCGTACGCCTTGATGCCGTAGCACACATGTTGCGTATTCCAGGGTCGTCTCCGATGATACGCGTTGGCCGATAGTCCCGAGGAAGCCGAGGTTGAAAGTCGAGACAGTTTGAAAGCGGGGGGCCTTGTCTGGGGTTGAGCTCGCGAGTGAGGTGGATGCACGCTTCGTAGCCGTTCGTCGAGATGAGGTGGTCAAACCGCCATCGCCCTGTTTCGAACTTGCGAGCGTTGACCAGGCGCCGCCAGGCTTCGTCTTTAACTTCGGAAAACTCGGACATCTTGGGGTAGCGTAGAGCACCGCGCTCCGTTCTGCGCATGAAGCCTTTCAGAGGGTCCAGGTCGGGGCGACCTTGTTTTTTTCAGGTGTTCACGCAGTCGATGCCAGGTATCCAGTAACACCGAAGTCGAGATGGCCATGTGAACCGGTACGAACTCCGTGGTGAGCGGCAGTAGGGAAAACAGCCGGATGCCGCGGCGTCGCTCCTCCTTATCGTCAATGTGGGCCGCGATATACTTCAGCATCTCGTACTGACGCTCGAAGAAGTAGGCTTTATCCTTCTCGATGTTTTTCGCAGTTGGCTGGGTTTTCAGAAATTCGCGGAGGTGGGCGGCAGCCTCTTGAATCGGACCGGACACGCCGCCGACGAATTCGTACGCCTCCTTGAATTGCCAGTACATCTCGCTGTTCGAGGCAATGTTGAAGCGAAGCTTGCAGTATGACACCGTGCGCTTGTAGTACTGCTCCTTCAGCATGACCTTGGCGTTGGTGAGCATCTCCTCGGCCATGGCGTTTTTTGACGCGCTCCAGTTAGCAATACGGGGTTGCTCGTAGCCTGCCGTCTCCGCGCGAGAGTTCCGGTACTGCACGATGGTACGGTATAGCTCCGGGTCCTCCCGTTCACTTGAAGCCGATAAATGACGTATACCAGCCCCGGATAGACATCTGTCGAAATACGTCCGTTCTAAAGCCGGTAGAGGGAGATCCTCTTCGATACACCGTAGAAAGTGTAGATTGCTTAGTCGGGACCCCTCCATCCAGATCTGGTGCAGCGTACGCACGCTCCGCTCGATCTCGGCAACGAATTCGGCGATGGCGGCTTTCCTGCCGTCGTCGGGAGGGTTCACGAGCACGGAAGCCAGCTTGCACTTGACTATCGTCACTTCAGGGTCTTCGCAGAGATGAGTTTCGCTCAGCAGGAAGCACACTTCCTCGTAGGCCGTCATGTTGGTCCGTTGTCGTTTGGTAGGCCGCAGCCTAGGCCCGGGCTCGCCGCTTGTTGCGGGTGCGGGGCATGGGGAGGGATTTGTAGCGTACGCGAGGCGGTGGAGTCTTGAGTAGGCACGGAGGCGCAAAAGGTGAAGTGGGAACGCCGGGGGCGCTCTTCGTAGAAGCATCGCGCTCGCAGCATTCGAGGGCTACGCACCCTTAATGTGCGGTGCTGATGTGGGTGAGTTCCTTCCACCAGGGTTATGGACCCTTAATGTCCAACCACGGCACCGACAACGAGGACGAGTTCAAGGCCTTTATCGGCCAAGTGGACGATGACAAGAGCGGGGGTATCACATACGAGGAGTTCCTCTACGTGTTCCAGGAGATCAAGCTGGCGCAGCTCTTCAGCCAGGACTTTGTCGACGCTCTCTCGAAGGAATACACCAAGGTCTACGGCAACGACTTGCCGGTTGCAAGGCGGCTCGGATCAATCGAGTACTCGCCTGACCGCATTCGCAGCGCGTACACGACCGAAGGCGTTGAGAGGTTCATGTACTCGAAGCGGCCGAACTGGGCCAGTGTGCGGTGGATCAACGTGGAAGGAACGGACCCACTCATGATGCGCCGCCTGGCAGTGCGATATCGACTGCACCCACTGGCAGTGGAAGACACGCTGGACGCCGACCTGGAGCGCCCCAAGTACGAGCACTACGACGAAGACTCGTCTTTGATCCTCCAAACGGTTCACGCGCGTGATCTGGAGAAGGCGCTGGAGTACCAGAGCATGTATCGCGCGTCGCTGTACGTCCGAGACAATGCCGTCTCCCCGTTTGAAGGTATGAGCAAGGCTGAGCTGGAGAGGAGACTCGATGAACTCGCTATGGGGCGCATCATGGCGCCGCCTGAACAGCTGAGCTTGTACATTATGGACAACGTCGTCATTAGCGTCCAGGAGTCGCCTAGCACCCTGTGGCCGACTCTGAAGCAGCGACTAGACACTTCGTACTCCAAGGTCCGACAGAACGGGACGGCGTTCTTGGTCTACTCCATCGTGGACGTGTGCGTGGATGAGCTTTCCCCCATCGCCCACACATACGGAGCCAAGGTAGCGATGCTTTCTCGCCTTATGTGCCACGATCCACGTGGCTTCGACGTCGATCGGCTCGCAAAATGCTCCAAGGAAATCAAGGGACTCAAACTATTGTGCAAACCACTACGCGAGATGATCACGCAGCTCATGGAGTCCGACGATTTTGAAGGCGAGACGTTGCGGTACTTCCGGGACGTGCAGGACCACGTGACAGTCATTGACGAGACTTGCGACCGCCTCCTGGACCGCTGTCGGAGCCTGGTGGACGACTTCCACAACGTACGCCATACGAAGTGAGCTACACGCTGACGCTCGTGGCCACCGTGTTCCTGCCGGCGCAGTTCCTCACCGGTCTTTACGGCATGAACTTTGTCAACATGCCCGAGCTGCAGTACGAGCACGCCTACATGATCTGGTGGGGCGTCGTGACGACCATCGCTAGCGGGACCACCTCCTACTTTAAGTTCTACAAGAAGTGGCTAGAGTTTGATCAAATTTTCGCAGCAGCGACCCAGCGGCACGTGACCCGTGCACCATTCGCGAGCAACCTAGCGCTTTGACTAACGTGAGCTCAACGCGAGCGTGTGAAATGCAGATACCAGTTACGGCGTGAGATTTCCGCTCCTTGCAATGCGGTGGTGGCTGATCAAGGTGACCATACAATCATCAACTCCTGTTTGCCTACCAACTTCTCCGCAAACTGACCAAGGCACATCTCGGTGTGGAGCGCGTCCATCAGTGCGACTGTCACCAACCGCATTGGACAGCTGCACATGCACAAACTCCATGTTTGGAGCCGCTTGGGGCTTCAAGAGTTCAGTCGAGCTGCCTGGTGAATTCGTGGACGGGAGCGTGAATGGACGCCTCCCCGATATACATTAACGGGCTGTCATACCTGCAGCTGATATGCAGCGTCATATACGCACATAGATCTCGCAGGACGCAGATATCGTCTCGATAAACTGCCCTACCCCTAGATATATGCCGTGTAGCCATCATAAAGTTTTGTCTTGTTGTTAGTATACTTTATGCTGACCATCATTCTAACATATGCATCCTTCACTCTACGGGCATATCGATGATCATATATCTTCCGCCAAATCGAAAAGACGCTCAGTTGCGAATTTGCCGCCGGCGGCGCGAAGTCGACAGCAGCCAACACTTCGAAAGGTGAGCGTGGTTGATGGCTTTGTATGCACTTCTCTATGAGAGGACTCACCTCGTGTTTGATTGCAGGGACAATGGTGCGCTTAACCCACTCCGCCGTTTACTGGCGGCGTCGGTGCATCAATGACACGTCCAGCGAGGACGAAGAGAACACGCCGCCGAACATCCAGCCCAGCCACCAGTACGACCGCGACAGCAAGCGCCGCATCGAAGACGCCAGCGAGTCCGCCAGCGCTACGGGCACAGCAACGCCTCCGTGGCTGCCGCCAGAGAGAAGCCGCCCCAAGTCCAAGTTGGCAACGAACCCGCCGCCAAGCCAGGAGTCGACGTCTGCGCCCGTGTCGCCGCCGGTGTCCAGCCGCCCGTACGCCAGCCCCACCACGTCGTCGCCGGTGCTCCTGGAGACGCCGCCGAGATCCCCAGCGGCGCTTCAGCCTCGCCACGAGGGCCGTCGTGCGCGTCGTGAAGCTGCCGCGCCTTACGCTCGCCGGCAGTCGGCGCCTCAGCGCGATGCCCGACCCGTCATCAACCCACGCGGGTCGATGCGAGTCACTGCGGACGGATAGCCTCGGACGCAACTACGGGGGCCGCGGTCACGGGATCGGTTCATTCCAGCGCAGTGGCCGCACCGCGTGATTCAGCTTCGCGAGCAGTTCAACCCGCTCGCGACGGTATTTCCGTCGGTGCCTCATGCGACTGCCCATCGCCGTGCCGTGTGGACTCCTGCCGCAATTCGCTAATGCATCTCTACTGCAATATCAACTGCTGCCCGTACGGGGGGGCTCTGTGGCAACGCGCTGGCCGAGTCGAGCAAGGTGTATCTAGGGAGGAACGTGCGCACGAGGTCGTTGGGCGTGGTCGCTGGCGAGGACATCGAAGCGGGCGAAGTGCTGGGGCAATACCTCGGCGAGATGGAGCACTTGAGTGTTTCGCGTACGACCCGACCGCGCAATAGCGGCTACCGCTTGGTGATGAGGCAGCGGCCAGAGCGACCGACGTTCCCAGTCTGCGTGGCGATCAACGCCGAGAACTGGGAGGGCTGATGCGCTTCGTAAACCACTCGTGCCAACCGGTGGCGAAGTTCGTGGAAGTGGCCAACGGCCGCCGTACCACCGTGGTCGTGGCGTCGACGCAAGACATTCACCGCGGCGAGGAGGTGACAGTCGACTATGGCGACGACTTGTGGTTTGTTTGCCGCTGTGGGCTGGATGGCTGTCGCCACCGCAACATTCAAGACGTCCAAGACCCGTGAGAGGGCCAAAGAGTGAGCAGGACGAGAGGGCAAGCAAGGTGAAGAGAGAGAGACCAGCGAGAAGGGGGGAGGGAGCGAAGTGAAGGAGGTGTAGTTGTGTAGGTAAGCGTGTTGTGAACAAAGGAATTGCATTGAGATAACATATTGCTGTGCGGTTGTTGATGGTGGTTGCCGTGAGTGCAAAGTAGCTGCAGGCTAGCAACAAGCAGGGAAGCATGAAAAACTGGCGCCAAGGTTCGCGCCAAACGACGGGTTGATGGGCTCATCTTCGTTCGAAGTTTTCACGTACATTGACTTGCTATTTGCGCGCGCAGATTTCGCGCGCGCAGCGTTGAAGTTGTGAGCTACTAGCATCCTTTCAAGATCGATGCGAACTGGTGGCGGCGAAGGCATCGCCCTGGCAAGCTGCCGCCGCGGCGAAGCTGTCGTCGTCTCTCACTTCTGGTTTTACCACGTTCCAAGCAGTTCTCCCCCCCCCCCAAGCGCGTCTCCGCCGCCTCGCCTCCGCCCACCACTCCCGGTACGCCGCGCCAACACGGTCCAACGTGGCAATGAGCAGCGTGACTGACTTTTTATTGATTCGTCTGTGTGTGTAGATGCCCAAGCACTCTGGAACCCCCAACTACTCGACGCTCGTCGAGAAGATGCTGCCGCTCGGCAGGGACGAGTGGGAACACCTCGCTATGACGTACAACGCCAACAGGCCTCGAGGCTCGCCCGAGCGAGACTTCGAGAGCTTACGGCGTAAGTTCAAGGTGCTTCACAGCACCCGGAAGCCGACCGGCGTGCAGGAGATTCCCCCGCTCATCAAGAAAGCCAAGGAGGTCAAGCGTGCCATCGACGACAAGGCCAACGTCGTGGAGACGGACGACGAGGCCGACAACGACCAGCCCGACTTCTGCTTTGAAGTCGACCCGGACGACAGCTTCTACGAGGGCGGCGACGGCGAGGACGAAGGTTTGGGAGTGCCCACTGCCGCCACTGTGGGCAGGTCCGACTGCAGCGAGTCGCCGGGCTCCGACGAGTCGGCCGAGGACGAGTCGACGGCTTCCAGCCGCTCATCGAGCCGAGGCGCGTTCCAAGACTTGCTCTCGTCGCCGCTGACCACCGATGATCTGGACGAGCTTGTACGCACGCCGCGTCCTGCTCCTGTCCGAGCAGCGCCAAGTACACGTCGTGTTGGCTCGGGAGGGCTGCCGCCACCACGTAAGACGGCTGTTACTGCCCCCAGTAGTGATGCTTCACAGCAGCCATCGACTCAAGGTGCCGCCGCTGCCACCAACCACGATGCCGCCGAAGCGGCCAAGTACCCCAAGCTCCACAAGACGTCGAACCGTCTCGGAGGCGTGGACTTGGCTGGCTTTCGCGACACGGTGGGCGCCAAGCACGCTCATGAAGAAGACAAAGACACGGCGGAAGCTAGCTACGCCAAAGCTAAGCGCACCCGTGCCATGAAGGCAACAACAGCTCTCAAGACAAAGCTGGATGGCCTTGAAAACAACGCCAGCAACATGCGAGGAGGCATCCCCGAGACGCTTCTGCTGCTCCGCGAAGAGATCGAGCGGAAGGCTGACGCCCGTCGCGCCGAGGAAGATCAGCGCCGCCGCGACGAAAAGGCGGCCAACGAGGCCCGCCTTCTGGAAGCCAAGGCTGAAGCTGAGGCGCGCCGCCGTGAGGAGAAGCTGGAGAGAGAGGACCGTGCGCGCCGTGAGCGCGAAGATGCGCGCGCCCGCATTCAAGAGCTGCTCATATTGATCGGCGCACTGACTAAGAAGGCGTGAGCGGAAGGCGCGCATGCTCTTCGAAGCGAGGCAATCATTCACGTTCTAGTTACTATATACTTGTCACTTACCACTATGCCTCAAATCAAACATGTTGTTCATGATCCACTAGCGTGTCCGCCATGGGTTACGTGATCTTCTAGCGCCTTCATCATCACATGTACTTCTCGTGCTGCGTACACATCTCTGTGAAGTCAAGTGCAAGACGCACGAACATCGAGTTCGGCTCTCCGTCGCAAACGTTTGCAGCACGCTGCTGCCAGCAACATCGAGATAATGAAGCAGCTCAATTCAACGGCAAAGAAAAATGTATTGTTGCATGCAGTACAAACACGGCTAGTTCGACACCCTACTCGCTGGATAGCTCCATCTCGCCTGAAAACGTCGTGCGTATCTGCGAGATGCCGATCGTGCGGACGCGATAGTTAGCCATTCTGAAGATGTTGTTGATTCGGTGTCCACGAAGCTCGGGGTCGTACGGCAGGGGGAGGTTCAGGCGGCTGTACACCTTTTGCATGCTCCCCATGCCCCACTCCGCCGCCTGCCTCACGGACGTGATGGCGTTATGAAGCGTCCGCGCGGAGCTTCTCAGCGACGGGAGAATCCTCTCGAGATCGCCATCTTTGAGAGGAGTCAGGATGCGACCGACCGTGCTGGTCGAACACGGGAAGGCCGAGTCCGACACCACGTTCATACGTGTGTCCGGGCAGAGGGTAGGGTCGAGCAACTTGGAATGGAATCCCAAGGAGGTGTCGGAGTCGTTCCACGACCCGGGGCAATTGTGCTTACACCAAATGATGCAGCCGTCGGCTGCGAAGCAGATTGTGCCAGTCACGAAAACGGTGTGCAACCACCCGTTATACATGGCGTTCTGCAAGTCCGCATTCGACGGCTGCTGAACCTACAATATCATTGATGTTAGCATTCTATCATAGCAAGTAACATTTTGCAAACTACAACTCACCCTTAAGTTCTTCCCATCAATGAAGCCGAATGTGTGTTTGAGAAGCGGCTCGCGGGCTTCCACAAGCTTTGCGAGTTCGGCTTGGCGAGCAGGCTAGGGCCAAGAGATTCTGGCAGGAGCGTAGCCTTTTAGCGCCAGCGACAGCGCTTCCTCGGCGCGGCGTAGCGTCCTCGATATGGTGCTCGGCGGAGCCCCAAACATCATACACAGGGAGCTCTGCTCCATCGACCCGACGTAGAAGCACAGCACCAGGTCCAGGATCTGGTGGTAGTGTCGGAGCTTCGGGGGCCGCCCGCGTGCCGTGCTGCGTGGGATGTAGTAAAAGCGGCTGAAGCGCCGCAGTAGTTGGTGGAAAGCCGACCTGAAAGCATGCATGAATTAGATATAGCGCAGCAACTTCAGATAGTAAGTAGGGTCGCACCTGGTCAAGCTCGTCGCGTTTAGGAAGTTGATGTCGCTTCCGCGCGTGTACAACATCATCCACGCGGAGTCGCAGGGCGTGTCCAGGCACTGGGTGGTCAGGTAGTGCCTGGTCCGCATGGCGATCCTCCACGCCTCTTCCACGAGCTTGTCGTACACCTCCCTGCGCACCTCGTGCAGCATCTCCTCCTGCTCGACGAAGGCGCTAGCCAGCACCAGCATCGCATCGACGTCCTCTGCGGCCATCGCTCCGGCGCTTGTGTCCGACGCGCGCCAAATTCGAAACTGGTGAAATTTAGAAGGGATGCAGCGTCGGCGGTGTCCGGAACGAAATGACGGGTACATTCTTAAAGCCCAGCAAGCGTCTATCAAGCCGCCTGATTCAGGGCGATATCAAGCGGACACAAGTGACGCATGTACGACAATTGCGGTGGAGATTTTGAGCACTATGTCAATATATATCTTTTTAAGCCCTGTCATATCTGCTGCAGGTATGACAGCCTATATCTGGTAGGCGTCCAATGGGCAAGTGCTGGTTTACTGAACTCAGGACAATGCAGATCTCTCTCTCTACTCGCTCGAGACGATTCACCATGAACCCCCACCGGACGTCTCAGTAGTAACGGTGACCACTATGGTATCGCCTCCCAACGTCAACGCCCAAGAGCAATTTTCCACGAGTTGCTTCCGGAGTGGAATGTGTAACATCAAAGCACGCTTTCGCGCCCTCAAATCCACCGCAATTCCGTCCAAGGAAGTATCGAGGGGTGCCCCTTGCACCTCAAGGATGGTAGCGCGCGTTACGTTACTCCTTCATGTAGACTGAACTCGATCGATCGCAGTGTGTGGCCACGGACAGCTCCACCGAATCCAGGAGTGCTCTTGTATCGGCGTTAATGCCTCGTTGCGTGCCTCAACTCCGATGGGAACGCGTGCGTTCCTCAAAAACCGCAAGTGATCTCTCACGCCACCTCCTGGGACGACTGGCCATTCTGGGCGGTTATTATCCAATTCGCCACCTCGATCTCAAAGAGGACTTGGACTCTCACCATGCCGATGCCCGACTTCCGAGTGCGCTCGACGAGTCGGTTCGGAACGATCGACCTCGGTGGCGCGAGCAGCATGAACAGCGCGATCCGAAGCGTTGCAGCGGGCTCAAGGCCCAGCAGCAGGTACTTGAGTCGCCAAGCGAGCAAGGCCTCGTCCAGTAGCCAAGACAACAGCAGACGCGTGGTGCGGCAGGCCATGGTCTGTGCTGGGAGTCTGCACGTCCGCACGTTCAAGTTGCTCTGGAAACCTGCCGTTCTGCAGCTCATGGTCACCACCACCACGAGCTTGAGCGAGGACGAATCGCACTTCGACGACTGTGACGATGACTCGGACGATTCGGACGACAGCGACGTTGAGAAGCTGACGACCATGGCTCGACCCAACAAGACGCACCACTACTCGCTGGTTTTCTGCTACCGGTCGCTCATGGGCCACGCACGTCGAGAGCGGATCGAGCTGGACGACCCCCGAGACCCCGTTGAGTTCGTTTGGGGCGAGGACGGACTGCTGAGCACCCGATTCGAGTTCAGCATCGTGTACGGCGGTGTTGGGCCGTCTGGACGGCGCCGGAATCTCACGTGCCGCGCGAGGGATGCCAAGGACTATTTGCAATGGACGGAGGCTCTGCGCACAGCGCTGGAGTGTCAAGGGAAGAACAAGGACATCAAGATGAACCGCTCCACCCACGCTCACACGGTATCGTCGTCCAAGGCTCCATCGAATTCTCGCGGCTCGATGGGGTCGTTCTTGGACTTGGACGTCGTGGAGGAGCAACAGCAACTCCTGGAGAGAGAAGCAGCGGCTGCACGTAACACCCCAACATCGCCTACTGCCGCTACCGCCGCCGAAGCAATTGCCCCTCCAGCTGCGGAAATTGCCCAAGAGTCTGCACTCAAACCCGTTCCAGTCGATATCGCTGCGGAGTATGAAGGTGCTCGAAGGCGGCCAGTGAGCATCGTGGTGCCAGCCCCGCGACCTGTGGGCACGCGCCTCCAGCGACGCAAGCCATCAGTGCCTCCTATGGGCACAGGGAAACCGCTGAGCATCGCCCCGTTGCGTCGAGGCAGCGTCACCTCCAAGGCAGCGAAACCTACTGCATCGCTGCCACCTTTCGGCAGACCGCACGGCAGTGGCCACGCCAAGACTGAGATGTCGATGTCTATGCCTCCTCCAGGAGGACAGCGACGTCGCAGAACCAGCAGTGCAGCAAGACGACTCAGCTCTTCGTCATTGAAGTCACGCGCCCGGAAGACCACCATTTCGGACAAAGCGCACGGAGCGTGGAGACCCCACACTCCCGACACCACAAGCGGATCCAAGAGGAGTCGACTTCGAGTATCCCCCACGTCGCAGCCAGAGGAGAAACGTCCACGCGTGCCCAGCTCCCCATTGGCATCAGCTCCGATGCTGGGGGCGCTGCCGATGCTGCAGTCTCCCTCGTCACTCACCGACTCGCCGCTGGACTTCATCGACGAGCGCCCGTCCATCGACAACCCGCGCACGACCGAGTTCGTGAACTCGCTGGTCAAGATCGCGGGCGTCGCCTCCGCCAAGCAGCGACAGCAGCTGCTGCAGCGTCAAGAATCGTGCCCTGTATCAACCAGCTACGGCCTGCCACTGATCCCTCGCCAGTCCGAAGAGAAGGAAGACCCGTGGTTCATGTCGCGCCGAAGCTCCCGCCTCAACCTGGACGTGTGCGACGTTGAGGTCGAAAAGTCCGCGCGCTCCAACAGGCAACGGCAACGGCAACGAGAGCGTGGAGACACGTGGGCGGCCTACCTCAAAGCCATGGAGTGCGAGCTGTAGCATTCGTTTAGTATTTTTGTGACGTCAACTTCAACATGGGCACGATTCCGGAGGCCCTCCACAGACAGCATGTCCACAGCATGCTTTTTAATGGTTGAATTCGTATAGTTGTAGACTCTCTCACTCAACGACGATGCATGAATGAATTCACTACTCACGAGCCCTGCCGTCGTGAAGCCTCCCTGAACAGGCTTCACAACCTTCACCTGCTTACCTGCGCGACAGGCAGCTTCAATCGACTTGACATTCGCTTTGGCTAGCGCTCTGTCGGTGGTTACCGTGCAGCTCTCGTTGTTCTTGGGCTTTCGATCCTCCTTAACACCTAGAGCTGCGACCGAGATGTTGAAGGAGCCCTCGATTATGATGCGACCATCCAAAATCCACATCTTCGAGTGCTCCATCGCAGAATCGAGAGAGACGTAGACTTCGACGTTGTTCTCCAGTAAGTGTACGCGTACACGATGCGCCGCACTATCTCCATGTGGCTGAAGTAGCAGGCCGAGATGAACATGGAGTCGGTCGTGCCGTCAATAAGCTGCATCAGAAGCTTGAGTAGCAAGACCGTGCGGCCCCAAGTGCCTTTGGCGGGCGCGTTGCGCAGCATCAGCTCCAGCATGACCTCGTCGTGGTATCGGCGGTACGTACGGGGTTTCATCTTCACCGTGTGAGCGATATCCGCGAAGTTGTACTCGATGACGGGATCGCCGGCCGTAGCCTCGGTGAGCTTGTCCGCTAGCTCGCCGATGTTGGGGCGCGGACGGCCCCTCTTCTTGCGCGGCGAGCCTCGTTTGTCGAAGCGGTCCTTGACGACACGAGGAGAACATTCAAACTTCATGGCGACCGCGTAGCAGTCATCCTTGCTCAGCGTCCCGGTTTGCAGCGCCGAGCTGCCCATGCCCTTCAGGCACTTCAACACTTGCTCTGTGGTCGGGTTGTTGGCACCGCGCTTTGCCTACGTAACGGCTGTCTCCTCGAATCAAGTTACAAACAATTCGTCGGTTTTCAAACAGGAATTGCTCGGAATGACCGACGAAATGTTTGTCCATACTAAAACCAAATCAAAATTTGTTTCGAGTATAGAATATGATCTATCAGGAGCACCTGGCAACTTACCTAAGTACTGAGTCCTTCAAGAAGCAACTTACCCAAAGTAAAAAGTTATAAAGAGAGACCTTTTGAATAGAATATAATATATCAAGAACATGACGAGCTCTTGCGTATTTTTTCTCGGATAAAAAAAAACTCTTCGAAGATCATCCGCTTAAGTATTTTACTTAAACGGGATCCCGTTTAAGTTCCTGCTTCTCGCTTAAGAAACGCTGCTAAGCTGTTTAGCTGTGCCATTGTTTGGTGCTGCTAAGCTGTGCGTGCTTCTAAACTGTTGACAAGATTTCCTATAAAAAAAGGGGTGTCTCCGAAAGAACGCGCTTTTTGTACGCCTGTGAGAAGCCAAAAGCGCTGTCTTTACGACACATCGTTTTTTTATGTGGCCAAATTGTCGACCGACTACACGAAAGACAGAAATATTTATAATTGACTACACAGAAGTAAAACAAAACTAACTTAAACGGGTCGATGGGACTACATGGAAGTCAGAAAGTTAACTTAAGCGGGTCAAAGTGACTACCAGGAGTCAGTAAAATAATAAACAATGATTGTGTATGAAATCCATTTCGTACACAATCATTGTTTAAATCATATACACTAAATATGGATGCGGTTTTAAATACGGAATCGTGATGAGCATATCCCATATTTAGATTGTCTACATTTTGATTCATTCAATAGGAAAGCTCGATGAAGGTGAACGTGTACGTCGCGGTCGGCGGCGCTGCTGCGCGTCGCATCTGCTGGTACATGGGCACCTCGGACGCGCAGGTAGAGCACGCCATGCGCATGCTGCTGTACCTGTCTCCACAGACGGCGTTCCTGCTGCGAGACGCCGACGGGGACCTGGTCCCAGTGTCCTCCACCTTGCCCAACGGCCAGCAATACACGGTGGTGCTGCAAGAAGACCTCGCGCTGGTGAGTGGTTCGACTAGCGCTATAAATAACTCGATCACGTCACCTGTTCTTAACGGGGGTGAGGTGAGCGTACCTCTGATAACGCAGACGGAGATGACGTCAGCTTCGAGCCCCAAGCGACGGAGACTCGAGCTACCGACAGAAGCCTCAGCGGCGTCCCCGATGGTAGGGGCTACTACGGTCATTACAACCGCTGCACACCAGCCGTCGACTCCGCCGCGGTCGATCGCCACAGTCATTCAGCAGTTCGTCGACACGTTCACCAGCCCCATCGCCAACGACGACAACGTCAACTTCATCCCGAACACTGGGCGCTTCGCGCTCTACGCGCTCTACAGCAAGTTGGTGCAGGATCGGAGGTTCCACCCCAAACGCGAAGACGTGTTCTACAAAATGACGTCCATGCACGGCAAGGTAGATCGACAGCGCGTGAACCGCTACTACCAGTGCCGGGTGGAGAACGGAGTCGGGACGGAAGTCGTGCACTGCAAACCGCAGGGCAAAGGAGTGCTACTGCGGCGATATCGCGTGGTAATTAGTGTTGAGGAGCTACAGGAGGCGGTGAAGTCGACACCGTTTGTGTCTTTGCTGAGGTTAGATCCGAAGGAAGTGGCGGCGCTGTACATGCGCTTCGTGGACAGCTTCAACCCCATTGCCAAGAGTATCTATCGTGCGCAGAGCAGCAGCAAGCACGGCGATAGTGAAGCAGCAGATGCTGAACAAGTAGTGTTGAGAGTGTAAATGGTTGCAAGGCGTACGTTTCTTTAGTTTGATAAGTCCCTGCAAGTGATGTGATGTGTGTGTGTGTTTTCTACAGTTCATCCTTCTCCTCGACAGGCTCAGCCTCGTCCTCGGCCTCCTTCTCGGCCTCCTTCTCCGTCTTGGACTCGGCGTTATCGCTGTCAGCAGCGTCCTTGGACGAGGTCTCTTCCTCGGCCTTGGATCCATCCTTCTCGGTGTCGTTCTTGTCGGTCTTCACCGGCTGCGGCTTCGGCCGCTTCGCCAGGACGGCGACGAACTTCTTGACGCCCTGGACCTTCTTGGCGACGTCAGCAGACGTCAAAACGGGCTTCTCGTGCTTGGACGCAGCCTTCTGCGACGCCTCCGACTCCGTCAGCCACGCCTCCAGCTCGTCGAGCTTCTCAATCACGTCGCTACGCTCCTCGTCCGTCACCTGCGGCTTGCTCGTGCTCCACTCGTTCATGAGCTCGCGCGTGCTGAAGGCGTACTCCTGCGCGGTGTTGATAGCGATCGGCAGCTCCTTCGACTCCGTTACGCGGAAGAGGATGGCGCTGAGGTCCGAGTCCAGCGCGTCCATCTTCTTCTTGTACTCAGCAGCATCGACCTTGTCACCGTCGTCGTACAGCCACTCCTCTGTCTCCTCCAGCTTGGTCTGCAGCGACTCGACCTGCTCAGGCACCGTCACCTCCTTGATCTGGCTCTCCTGAGCGGACAGTGCGTCGTGGGCCTTGTAGATGAAGGTCTCGAGGCTGTTCTTGGCCTCCAGGTTAGCACGGCGCTTGTTGTCGGCCTTCTCCATCTCGGTCAGCATGCGCATGGACTCCTTTTTGACGGTCTCACTCATTGGCAGCACGCTCATGCCCTCCTCCGGCTCACGGGTCTCGTACGCGCGCACGACGGTCAGGCGCTCACGGTGCGTCTTCATCTGCTTCTCGATTCTGGTCTCCACCTTCTCTTCCTCCTCGGTATCATCCTTGTCTTCCGCCTTACTGCTGTCAGCACTGGCGTCGTCCTTCTTGGCCTTCTTGCTCTTCTTCTCCTTCTTCACGGGCACCTCGACCTCGACCTCCTCTTCAAGCGTGGCCTCAGCCTTGGCAATCTGAGCAATACCGTTGCTGTCCAGCTCGAAAGAGAGGGTCACCTTCGGCTCGCCGAGGTTCTTCTCAGCCATGCGCTCGACAAACTTCTCGACGCCCGTGATGTTGAACTTGCTGATCTGCACGCTCACGCCAGCAGGCAGCATGGACGGCTTGTCGTAGCGGAAAGTGCAGGACACGTCGTTCGAGTGCGAGAAGGACACCGACTTGCGCAGACCCAGGCGGTGCGACTCCGAGAACAGCGACGCGCGCTTCATCCACTGCTTGGTCTCCACCTCGTCGTCGTTGTTGTCGCTGTCCTTGGGCTCCGTAGCCGACAGGTCCACCAGGCGCACGCCGATGGGGTACGACGCGATGTCCGTCATTCCCACCTGGCGCACACGGAACGAGTTGCTCAGGTTGGCCGCGCGGAACGCCGCGCCCAGAGCCATGGCCTCGTCACCGTTGAGGTGCACGCCCAGGTCCTTGCCGTCGAAGAACTCGGAGAGCTGCTGCTGGATCTTGGGCATGCGCACGCCGCCGCCAATGATCTCGATCTCGTCGATGTCCGCGACGGTGAGGCCGGCCTTCTCCAGCGCCACCTCCACGGGCTTGAGCGTGCGGTCGAACAGGTCCGCCGACAGCTCCTCGAGCTTGGAGCGGGTTATGGACGTGAAGAAGTCGATGTCGTTGTACAGGCTCTGCATCACGACGGGGATCTCCTCGTTGGCCGAGAGCACGGTCTTGGTCTTCTTGGCCTGCGCGCGGATCTTGGCCATGGGGCGCGGCACCTTGCGGATGTCCTCGCCGATCTTGTCGCTGAACTCCTTGGCCAGGTGCTCGGCCAGGCGCAGGTCGAACTTGGCGCCGCCAAGAGACTCGTCCCAGGCGTTGCTGAGCGTCTGGAAGGTCGAGATGGTCTTGTTCTTCTTGAAGCCGTCGGGCACGACCTGGCTCGAGAACTCGGCCACGCTCACCTGCAGCGACGTGGAGCCCATGTTGTAGAAGAGGATGCGCTTGGGCTTGTCCTCCGGGTCGTAGCTGGCGTGCACGGCCAGCTGCAGCGCCGACGCCGTGTTCTCGTTGATGAGCGACAGCACGCGCACTCCGGAGATCTCGGCGGCGTCCAGCATGGCCTGGCGCTGGGCCTGCGAGAAGAAGGCGGGCACCGTGAGCACCCAGTCCTTGACGGGCGCCTCGGCGAACGTGTCGGTGATCTGGCGCGCGTGCGCGAAGACCATGGCCACGAGCTCCTCGGCGTGGAACACGCGGTCCTTGGCGTGCTGCAGCGACACGGTGCCGCCACGCGTGGCGTTCTGCAGCAGCTGGTAGGGGAAGTGCTCCTCGTCCAGCAGCGCCGCCACCTGCGGGTCGCTCAGCGTCGTGCCCAGCAGGCGGCGGATCTGCGCGTAGGCCGTCTGCGGGCGGCGCACGCCCACGGTGGCCGCGTCCGCGCCGTAGAGGCGCTCATCGCCGTCGAAGGCCACCATGGTCTCCGTCTTGCGCTTGCTGTGCACGTTGGTCACGATCTCGAAGGGCGTGCCCGGCTTGACCAGCGCCACCTTGAAGAACTCGCCGCCGAAGTCCACGCCGGCCACGATGGCCTCCACCACGCAGGCGGCCAGCAGGCCGGCGCCCACCAGCGCCAGCAGCAGCGCCCTCACGGTCTTCATGCTATGCTGTGTCTAGTGTCTGCTGTCTAGGGTGCGTCTCCTCCCGAGGCTGCGGAATTGCGGAATGCGCGAGGGATAGATACTCTACGGGCGGACGGCGAAGAGGGCAACGAGCCACGTGTACGTGTTCGGCTGCACGAGGCATAGTGGACGCAAGTGAAACGGGTTTTGACCAATGGGAGCGCGGGACGTGGCGAAATGGCTACAGGTTGGTGAAAGATGGCTACATCTGGGGCACTGCAACTGCAAGTTGCCTTTTTTGTTGGAGCAGTAGTGCGTCGAGGACGGAGGCTTGTGCCTGCAGCTCTGCAGTGTGGAGCGAACGAATGCGACGCAGACCTTGCTGCAATTGCTGTACCTGGTCTTTCAGTTGCGGACACTCGCTGCAGAGTGGAGACTGTGACTCGAACGCCGCGGTCAGAGAGAGACAGAGGCTGCAGCAGCGCTCCTCTTGGTTGTCTTCTTCTTCTTCGTCGTCGTCGTCGCTGTCAGTGAGAGGCAGCAGCAACTCAATAGGAATCTGCTGCTCGAGGCGTTGACGACGCGGATGCATTGCAGCAGGCCGAGCCAGACGCCGCTTCTTCTCGTCTTGCAGTGCTCGCAGCTTGGTCTTGCACGCGGCCAGTTCGTTGCGGAGCGTCGCCTCGGTGCGGTGAGCCTTCCGGAGGAGGGCTTCGAGCGTGCACACTTCGTTTATATGGTGCTGGACAGCTTCGTTCGCTGACGAGAGCTCGTGCTTGCAGTGCTTCAGCTGCGCTTCGACCTTCACAGCTGAGCTTTCGGCAGCTTGTCGCTTCTTGGACGCCTTCTCCGCTCGGTCTTTGGCCTCGCGCAGCTCCCTCCTGTCTTGGCTCTTCAACGCAGTTTCCATCTTGGTCTTGTCACGCTCGAAGCGCTGCAACGCACTCGTCATTCGGCTTTTCCAGTCCAGTTTCTCCTGGGTGTGCGTTGTCTTTAGCTCGTTCACGTCCGCCTCGAGCTTCGTTGCCTTCTCGGTCTGCTGCTGCAGTGCCGCAGTCTTGCGCTGCAGTTGCTGCTGGAGTTCTCTCATTTGCTGAGCCAATTTGTTGTTCTGAGCTTCGAGGGCCAAGGTTCGTGTCTGGAGGACGTGCGACCGCGCCTTGAGTTGCGTCAACGCTAGCTGCGTCTGCACCGACTGGGCCTGTGTTTCGTCCACCTGCGACGTCTCCTCCAGCAGCTCGGCCTGTAAACGCGGTAGCTTAGCGGCGTAGAGCTCGTTCTCTGTCTTGAGCTTGGCCATTTCGGCGTTGGAGCGCTGGAGATCGGCTGTGGCGACGGCGAGCTGGGTCTTGAGACGAGCATTCCGTTGCGACAACTTCTTGTTGTCGGTCTCGGCCATCGAGAGCTGGAGCTTGAATGCCCGCGTAGAATTTTTCAGCTCTGCACGAGCTGCATCAAGCTGAGACTGGAGAACGGCAAGACGTGAGCCAAGAGTTTTGTCGGAGTTGCTAGCTTTCCCTTGTCGTCTCTGACCTTGACTTGGTGGCTTCGCACTTGGACTCGGAGCAGCAGTCGATATCGGCACTACTTTCGCATTCTCAGTCGGCGACCTCCGCAACGACGCTCTTGTTTCGTAGACAACAGGAAACAAGGACTCGACTGTGTAGATTGGGGCTGTCGAAAGACCGATAGATGCAGCCTTGGCAACTTCCGGCTGCTGCTCTTCGATGTCGTTCGTTGATGATTTAGTGGTTGTGTCCTCGCTCTTCTGTTCCGCAGTGATTGTTTGGGTTGGCTCTTCAGTGGTTGGTTTTGGAACCTTGTCGAGCTTAGTTCGCTTGTCGTTAGAAGTGGGGACTTCAATTTCGTTGGAATTATCGGTCGACAAGGCTAACGTTGAACCGGGCTTGGAGTCCAAGTTTTGGATCGAAAAATCCTCGTGGTGCACATCTTGAACATCACTCGCGTCAGCTTCATGAGCGAGTTGATCGTTGTCGTTACCGTGCGTCGTGTGTTTCGGTTCTGAAATCCGCGGGCTCTCACATTGTGGCATTGGGAGTGAAGATTGGTCCGGAGGAGCGATCTCTTCGCTGTCCGTTCCGTGCTCAGTGGCATCAAGTCGAACTTCGTTTCCTTCTTGCTCTTCACCTTCATTTTCAACTAAGGCGTGTTGCTCGGTGAACTCCTGGTCCTCAGTATTGGTCTGCATTTGGATGGATAGTGGTGGAGACGGGCTTACCATGCCTAGATCCTGTTCAGTGATGTCAAAGCCTGCTGCACCGCTTAAGTCCGTTCCACCGCCATTGCTCTCGAATAGTTTATCATCAACTCCAAAGCTATCGGCTGCATTCAAACGCGGTCCGGCGTACAAGGAGTCCATGGACAGCGCTGGCAAGTCGACTGAGTTTCCAAGTTGGCCGCCTTCGCCCTCAGTGTCGCTTCCGAACAGGTCAGCACCGCTGTCGGCACTCAAATTTCCTTCGTCGCCGCTCATTTCTTGCGGTGGAATGCTACGCTTCTTGAAATGTGCAAGGTGAGCATATCAATAGCCAACATGAGCGTTATGCTAGTCGAACATCATCTCATGAGGTATACTTAGTATTTGATGCTGAAATGCACCAGGCTAAAAGTTAAGGAAAAATGCGGTCCGTTTGTCAGTCTTCTTGTAAGCTTAGAATAAATTCCTAGTCGCCTCCGTTCGCTAACGGCGAGCATCCGTCCACTCTTCCATGCCCTTTTCGTTCATCTCTCGCAAAACCCTTTTGCATCTAGTCTCGACCGCTCTCCCGATGAGCCAGTGCCTGAGTTCTCGCGGCACTTCATCGTCAGTGAAGATCAGTTCTACCAACTTCTTCAGGTTCGCCGGGCGACACAATGCGTGAGAGAACGCGGCCCTGATCGCCTTTCGAGAAGTCCGCTGTTTCGTAGAGCAAGAGCATTAAGTCACTGGTCTCACACGTGGACGCCCACTCGAAAGCCTCGCCCCTCAGCTCAGCGGATATGCGCGTGTCGTGACGCAGCAAAGCCACGATTTCAGCTTGACCGTTGGATGCTGCCTGCACCAGCACCCTGCCAACCACCTCAACTTGTATACGGCTATCTTCATATAATAGCTTGAAGATCTTAACCTCATTATTGGTGAATCGAAACCGCGAGTACTCCACCCCCCAGCCAGAAGCTTGCTTAAACCCAGCAACGACCGCTTCGCTGGAGACGCCCTCGTTCTCGTACAGAAATTTGACCACCTCAGTCCTATTTGCAGCGACGAATGCTCGGTCAATAGAAGACGGGGTTGCACGCTTCGTACTACAGAGAAATTTCACCAAGTCAACGTTGTTCCGAGTAGCCGCAACCTCCACAGCCTCGTCAAATGAATCTGGCAACACTTGATTGGTACCAAGTAGAAACTTCACCGTGGCGATAGAGCCACGCTTAGCAGCACTGATAAACGCATTATTAACCACTTCGGGGTCGCTGTCTTCGTAGCTGTACAGATACTTAATGGCATTGGTCCAACCACCACGGCATGCCAGCTCCACAAGAAGCGGCCTCCCCTTGTACTTCTCGCGATAAACGTTGTACACTCGACCTGCAAGCGCGTCTTGACTAGTTTCGCTTGCCGCGACGAAAGCCGCCACCAAATCGCACCAGGAAGCGCCTAACCCAAGCAAGAACTCCACCACATCAGCTCGCCGTCCTGAGATTGCCTGGGCCAACGCACCCGACCGGCGCACAAACTTCGCGTACTTGGCGTCGACTGCGAGCTTTACCACGCGCAGATGCCCATTCCCCGATGCGTCATTCAGAATCTCTACAACTGTGGAAAATGCACCCAAAGCGGAGTACTTTGCGGGGTTAAACGCCTTCCAGAGAAGCTTCAACACGGTGATATGGTTGTTTGCGCTAGCAGCAACGACTGCTTGTTGCAGCGATTTCCAGGCCGCCCAGCGACGAACCATTTCACCCTACTACGCACACCCCTCACGATTTCCTGCCGTATCTTGCTCTGGTCCTGCGAAAACTCGCCCGCGAAGAACTTTTTCAGCAAGATACGCACACATTTCGGGTGGTTGTTAGCAGCAGCGGGCCCTAATGCACTTGGCACTTCGCAGTCGTATCTCTTCAGCAGGTGCCTCAGCCAAGCCACTTCTCCCGTCGCCGCTGCCTCCACGATCGCCTCTTCGGGTGTCATGAGAAATGAGTCGAGCTGGGTCAGAATATGCGGCAGCGCTTGAATTTCAGCGGGGAAGCAGCCACCCCTGACTTGCTTGTAGAAGCATAAGTTCACTGTGAGTTGTAAATGCTCCAACTCGCTTCTACTGTAGACTGGTCGTAGTTTCGGGCTGATTTAACTTTTGCATTGTTTTTGGATTGATGTCAGCATCAAACAAGCGGCTTTGTTGACTCCACGTATTGAGGTATTTTGACTATGAGGAGTCTTGCCTTTACACAGCGATGTCGAAGGAGCAACGAATGAGTTAGTTCTATCTTCGGCACAGGGTCACTTTCGAACAGGCTGCCACAGTCACTGTCACTTTATCTTCGCTCATTGTTTGCATGTGCGTATGCTTTTGTTGGCCAGACTTGTGGAAATAAACAATGGACAGTCATGGGGAAATTCGAAACAAGCCACTCCGGAGGGAGTTCAGCGGACAGCCCAACACAAAATAATTAGGCGCCCGCACTACCTGGATAATCGTCGATGACATGAATGTTTGATACTGAAATACAAACCAGAAAAAAATCGTCATGAAAGTTATTCAAACCAAATCAAATTTCCAGTCGCCGGGGTGCATTATCCATACTGGCGAGCGAACAGTCTTCCAATCCAATTTCTTCCAGTGCTCGCAGAACCTTTTCATGTCTGGTCTCGACCGCTCTCCCTATGATCCAGTGCTTGAGCTTCCGTGGCACATCGTCGTCGTTGAAAATCAGTTCTACTAACGTCTTCAGGTTCGTCGGGCAGCAGAAGGAAGCGCTAGAGAATGCTGACCAAATCGCATCGGGAGCTGTACGCTGCTTGTCGAACAGCGATACCATCAAGTCGCCGTTCTCGCATATGGCGGCCATCGCGAACGCCTCACTCCTCAATTCGGCGGATATGCGCATATCGTGAAGCAGCAGTGCCACGACTTCAGCTTGGCCACTGCATGCAGCCTGCACAAGCGCCCTGCCGACGACGTCTCCGGGCACACGGCTATCCTGGTACAGTAACTTGACGATCTTAACGCTTCTGGCGTCGAACCTAAAGAACGAGCAGTCTCTCCCCCAGCCGGAAGCGTTCTTGAAGACAGTAACGATCGCTTCGTCGGAGACGCACTCGTTCTCGTAGAGAAACTTGAGCAGCTCGACGCTACTTGTCGCTACGAACGCTCTGTCAATAGAAGACGGGGTCGCTTGCTTCTTACTGCAGAGAAACTTCATCGTGTGGATGTTTGACATCGGAGAATGGGCCGCAACCACCACAGCATCGCTAACTGCGCCCGGCAATACTCGATTGGTACCAAGTAGAAACTCCACTGTGTCAATAAAACCGTACCTTGCTGCGCTGACAAAAGCCTCGCCGACCACCACGGGATCATTTTCTCCACGGTTGTACAAATACTTGACAGCGTTGGTCCAGCCACGCTGACACGCCAGCTCAACTAGAAGGGGTATTTCCTTGCGAGTCTCCCGATACACGTGAGAAACTCGATCTGCAAGCGCGTGCTGGCCAGTTTCCTGTGCCGAGACGAAAGCCCCCACCAAATCCCACCAGGAAGCGTCTAACCCGAGCAAAAACTCCACCACATCTGTTTGCCGTCCCGCGATCGCGCGTGCTAGTGCACCCGACGGACGCACAAACTTCGCGTAGTCGGCGTCGACTGCGTCCTGAACGATGAACTTTACCACGCGGAGACGCCCATTCTCGGCTGCGTCTTCCAAGATTACTACAGCTGTGGAAAACGCGCCCAATGGCGTGTGCTTGACCGGGTTAAATGCCTCCCAGAGAAGCTTCAGCGCGTTGATATGCTCGGTGGCACTAGCAGCAACGACTGCCCGCTGCAAACATTCCCACGTTTCCTCACGACGAACCGATTCATCGAGCAGGGAGTTGCCACTGCCTGTTCCCTGCCGTATTCTCCATGGGTTCTGTGAAAACTCGATCGCGAAGAACGCTCTCAACAGAATTTGCACACACTCCAAGTGGCCGTTTGCAGCAGCGGGCACTAAGGCGCTTGGTACTTCGCATTCGTATCTCTTCAGCAGTTGCTCCAGCCATGCCGCGTCTCCCGACTTCGCTCCCTCCACGATCACCTCCTCCGGAGCCATGAGGAGTCTGTCGAGCTGGGTCAGAACATGCGGCAGCGCTAGAATTTCAGCGGGGAAGGAGGTGCCCCGAAGTCGCTTGAAGACGCAACTTGGCTTGAGCTCGCTGCGCTGTGGATACGCGCGGAATCGCTTCGTGCCATCCCGAGACTGGTCGCTTGATCGATCACGTTTGAAAAAGGTGGACATGGCGGTGGTGGAGCTTCTGACAAAATCGGAAAGTGAAAGGATCGGTCTGCTCTGTCATGTGGATCGGTGTCAGCATCAATCTGTCGACCGACTGAAGTACTTCGACTATCGCTCGCAATAGATAAAGTGCAAGTCTTACCGCACAATTCATCTATCCAGCTCAACGAAGGATGCCGTGCCGCAAGAAGCAACGAACGTCATCGGAGAAACCTCGCGACGTGTGGTTCAAGATCGTCGATGCGGATTTCTCCACTCAGGCAGAGCGCGTGCAGTTGTCCGACGCTGCAACCATTACAGACTTTCGTGCTGCTGTGAAGGAGAACTATTCGAATTTTTTCAAAGGCATCGACGCAGACTGCCTGGTCGTCTACGCAGACATGGACGCGTATGTCGCTCGACAAGAGTTGTCCGATCCTTCTGCGTCGATATCTGCGATGGGGATAACAGAGGATAGCCAGCTGATCTACGCTGCGGGACTTGCAAGATCCTCAGACTATGTGTATTTGATCCAGCCTGCTCTCCAATCGAAGGTCGAAGCTGCGGTGTTTCAGATTGAGGATGCGGATGGCGACTACGTTGGCATGGGGGTGTACTACAGCCCCACTCGAGCGGTGGCTTGTGCGCACATCTTCACTTCGATACACGGCGATATGGTGACGATGGTTTGCGGGGAGGAGCGTGTCGCCGTCAAGGTGAAACTGCGTAATGAAGGCAATGATTTCGCCATTCTGGAGTCCTCGAGCCCAAGGCCCTTCATTTCGATATGGAAGGGAAATCTTCGTGAACTGCGAGGTATTGCGCTTGTATTGGTATCGTACGGACCCGGCATTGATAATTACCAACGCATGTTCGAGAACGAGCTCGCATTTTCTGCTGCCTCCTGTGTGGAAGTGTCGAGGTTCAAGACGCACGTCACGTACTCGTGTCCAGCTCTCAAAGGAAAATCTGGAGCGGCGCTTGTTCTGGCGAATGGGGAGGACGTGCAACTACATGTAGTTGGGATACACCAAATGTCGATCAATGCTGTCGCTCGCTCGGCTCTTTTGTTGCAAAATCTAACGGGTTGAGCTTAGAAAACGATGGCAAGGCACTCTGCACAGGAAGTGATCTGTAAATTGGCTCATAAAAGAAGTGCATTTAGTCGACAGACACAGAGTTTTAGTTCGAAGAGGCTTCTATCAGTAGATACCGTTCTCTCGTGGTGCCAAGATCTCGCTCAGGGGAACGACGCGTGGTGGCGAATGGCGTCAAACATTCGTTGCAGTGAGTTCACGCGTTTGTAGGCCTCGTACGCTTCGCGGAACCCGTCACCGTAAACCGGCGAGGTGTCGTTCTCGAGTTGCTGCTTGTAAAACTTCCGCAGTCGACCCTCGTACGTGCGCTCCTTGGAGTCTTTACGCTCCATCATGTGCTTGTATTTCAGGAAGAGGTAACTCATCAGCTGGCACATGCCCTCCTCAATCTGGTTCATGCACGCACAACATCAGAATATTGAACATTTTAGATCTCGGTACGTACGGTGCCAGCCAGCATACCTTCGGTGGAATGTGGTCAGGAAAGTTGTTGCTGAGCTTGATAAACGCATGGGTGGCTTCATGAGCCAGGACCGAAGCCGTGAGGTCGTACGGCAGCCCATGCAGAATCAGGATCGCGTTCACTGAGCGGGTCTGTTGTTCAAAGGATCAGTATGTTAGCCATCTGCAACATCGCTACACTTATAAAGACGCATGACTTCAAGTACCTTCTGGATGGAGGCCACTCGAGGAGCTGCGTGCTTCCCTGTACGAACCATGTGTCGGATTTGGGAAACCTCCGACAGGCAAAGACCGCGAGTTACATGGCCTTTCACGGGTTTGTTGCCATTCATCAGCGTGTCCGTCTTCTTGTGGGCATTGCATTGCTCATTCAAGACGGGAGACTCTACCAGGTAAACCGGGATCTAGAATAATGCAGGGTATCAGTATTTAACGTGCGGATTGCAGTGTAAACAGCAAAAGCGACGCACCTCAGGAAGGTTGATACCGATGTCCCGCATGTAACTCCACACCTCCTTCACAACACTTTGAGCCTACAACCGTCATGCCAGCACGTTCTTGAGCCTACAATATCGAGTTGACGCGTGCTTCAACGACACTTACCTCGTTCGAGTCAAGCACCAGGTACTTGCAGCAATCATGGCAAATCTTGCGGTTGTCACTGAGACTGTGGAACTGTCGCCCTGGAATAGTCGGCTGGGGTGCAAGAAGCAAGCGTTAGACTGTAGGCTAACCACAATTCCGATCCTGACGGTTTTGGTACGAACCTCAACACGCTGGCAGCTGCAGCAACGATCGCGATTCTCGTGCTCGGCGCAGTATTTCAGGTCCCAGAAGGGCATCACCTGTAGAATGGAACCACATTCAATCGTCAATTATCCCACGCAGTTTGGGGGTAGGGGGGTCGAAGAAAAAATGAACCTTGAAAGAGATCTTCTGCGTCCCCGGTTGGTACGGGATAAAATCCTCGCAGACATCGCAGCTGCGATGGCACAGCAAGTGTTTAGAGCAACTTCAACCGGATAACATAAGCTGGCCTCACTTACCGCGGGTGGTAGAGCTGCTTGTAGCACTCGTGGTGATAGTATTCGCCGTCCTTGACTTGAAACTTGCTAGTAGAGAACTTGCTGTGGCACGCGGCGCAACGGAAACAGTCCGGGTGGTACGCTTTACCGCTCACATTGACCCGTGGTCCGTATCTGCATTCAACCCAGAGAACAAGTGTAAGTATCTTAGACCAATTCTGACAAGCACCCATTTAAACCCACTTGATCTCGCCGTTGCAGCCTGGGCACTGCATAATGCGGATTGCATTGCAAGCTCCACAGGTCGGGGCTGCGTCGTTCGCATTGAAGAAGGTGCACGTGGGGCAGTTCCAACCAGCGCCATTGGCCGTAGCTTTGCCATTGGAGTTTCCATTGACGCTGCCGTTCACCTTGACGTTGGCATTGCTGCTGCGGTTCTCGTTCTGCACGGGCTTGCTGCTGCCGTTGCTTCCCCCTCCAGAGACTCTGGTCGTAGTGGTCGTCTTGGTGGTGGTCTTGGGCTTGGGCGCACACTCTGGGTGGTAGTTGCCGCCGTTCACGACCTGGAAGCGACTGGGCAGCGGGCGCTTGCAGCCCGAGCAGCAGAAGCAGTCCGGGTGGTACGTCTTGCCGTTCACGTGCAGGCGCTTGCCGTACCTGCAGCAGCAGTAGCATCAGCGTTATGAGTGAGACGATGATGATGATGGGGAACGCACGCGAATGATACATGGGCTCTCACTTGATCTCGCCCTTGCAGGTGGGGCACTGCAGCATGCGGATGGCGTTGCAGGCGCCGCAGTTGGCGACCGCGTCGTTGGCGTTGAGGAACGTGCACTGCACGCAGGTCCAGCCCATTATTATTGCGATCTTCTTCTCTCCTTCTCTTCGAGGTCTTGTGCTTCAGCTGGCGAATTCCGAACTGGTTGCGCAGCTTTTGAGCTAATCCCTACATTGATCAGATCTGATACTTAACGCCAGATGGGTGGCGAGTGTACCCGGTATGTGGTACACTTTGCCAGACAGCACACACGCACTTCCAGAAACGGACAAGGATATGGTGAGGCACACGAGCGGCTCTGGGGCTACGACCGCGGCGTGTCGCGGGGCCCCGGGGCGTGTTTCCTCAGGAAGAACAAGTGGGGGCTGACTGACGCCCGTTTGCCTGCTTGTTGCCGGCCGATTCCGCCGCGTAGAGCTCCTCGGACCCAGCCAAGAACGCCAGCGCCAACTCCGCGTCCGGTGCGCCGGCCGGCGGCCCCACGGACGCCCAGGACCTCACGGTTTTCGTAAGTTATTGGCTGCATTGTACCCTATAATGCCACTGCAGTCGAATGGTGTTGTTGGGGCTAACTGTGGTGGTTCTGGTGGCGTGACGCTGCGTGGTGCAGGTGCAAAGTCTGTTGGAGCAAATGGTACGTCGCGTCACTTCCGCCTGTGCATTGAGTTGAATTGAGTTTCTACTGTACTGGAAGTTCTAATGTTGTGGGGTTCTGTGCTGTAGCAATCGCGGTTCGCGCAGATGTCGGACGCTATCATTGGGAGAAATATCCTTTTCAACTTTTACTGATACCTCGCTGCATCTGAGACTGTTCGTGATGAGGATGCTGGATGTTGGCTTTGGTTTCCTTGACTGTCGTGGCGTGCGATTTGCTGCTGTGGTGGAAGTTTACTCGACGAAATGGGCTCGCGCATCGACGAGCTGGAGAAGTCCATTGCAGACCTGATGGAGCAGGTGAGCGAGTCTGGAGGAAAGTGCTGTCAGGGTGACGATAGAGCTAACTCGCTTTTCCCTGCTTTTTCAGACAAACGAAGACGGCAACGACAAGAACCAGGAGCCGGCAGCATCCGCACCCAAGGACAAGGGCGAGAGCGTCTAAGCGGAGCGACTTCGCCATTACATGTACACGCCCATGGCGGTCGAGCGATATCAACAAATACGCATTTGAAATTGCTTTGCATCTTGATTTCCCGTTGCAAACAGTAAATTACTTGTCGGCGTCTTCCTACATGTGTCCATCTAATAGAGAAACCAACACGAAAGCAGCAAAATACTAAGGCCAAAGAGGACACGTGCCGTCGTCTAAAGGTCGCTCGCCATCCGCCGTCCGGCTAGCTGCGCTCGCTCCGGGGACAGACCGCTTGCTCGCTGCGTTTGAACACATGCGCTTAGTCCTTCTTGTCCTTGAACTCGGCGTCGTGCACGTTCTCGTCCTTGCTGTCGTCGCTGGCAGCGCCCTCGCCCTGCTGCGCCTTGTAGACGGCCTCACCGATCTTCATGGACATCTTCTGCACCTCCTCAAGGGCGGCCTTGATCTCCTCCGTGTTGTCGCCCTCCGACTTGGTCCGGAGGTCAGCAAGAGCGGCCTTGACCTTCTCGAGGGTCTCGGCGTCGATCTTGTCCTCGTGCTCCTTCAGGGTCTTCTCCGTCGTGTACAGGGTGGAGTCGGCCTCGTTCTTGGCCTCGATCAGCTCCTTGCGCTGCTGGTCAGCGGCGGCGTTGGCCTCAGCGTCAGCAACCATCTTCTCGATCTCAGCCTCCGACAGACCGCCGCTCGACTGGATCACGATGTTCTGCTCCTTGCCCGTGGCCTTGTCACGAGCGCCCACGTTCACGATTCCGTTGGCGTCAATGTCGAAGCTCACCTCGATCTGCGGCACACCACGCGGGGCGGGCGGGATGCCCACTAGGTCGAAGTTGCCCAGAAGCTTGTTGTCGGCAGCCATCTCACGCTCACCCTGCAGCACCTTGATGCCCACCTGCGTCTGCGAGTCGGCAGCCGTCGAGAACACCTGCGACTTCTTGGTCGGGATCGTCGTGTTACGCGGGATCAGCTTGGTGAACACACCGCCCAGGGTCTCAATACCCAGGGACAGGGGGGTCACGTCCAGCAGCAGAATGTCCTTGACGTCACCGCGCAGCACGCCGCCCTGGATGGCAGCGCCCATGGCCACCACCTCGTCGGGGTTCACACCCTTCGAAGGCTTCTTGCCGAAGAACTCCTCGACGGTCGACTGCACCTTGGGCATACGCGACATACCGCCGACCAGAATGACCTCGTTGATGTCGCTCTTCTCCAGACCAGCGTCCTTGACGCACTTCTTGCACGGGCCCATGGTGCGCTCGATGAGGTTGCCCACGAGCTTCTCGAAGGTGGCACGCGAGATCTTCATGTTCAAGTGCTTGGGGCCGGTGGCGTCGGCCGTGATAAAGGGCAGGCTGATGTCCGTCTGGGCCAGGCCGTCGAGCTCACGCTTGGCCTTCTCGGCGGCCTCACGCAGACGCTGCATGGCGAGGTTGTCGCCCGACAGGTCGATGCTCGTCTCCTTCCTGAACTCGTCCACGAGGTAGCGCAGCAGCTCCTCGTCGAAGTCCTCACCGCCGAGCAGGGTGTCGCCGTTGGTGGACTTGACCTCGAACACGCCGCCCGAGATCTCGAGGATCGACACATCGAAGGTGCCGCCACCCAGGTCGAAGACGGCAATGACCTTGCCGTCGGCCTTGTCCATGCCGTAGGCCAGAGCAGCGGCCGTGGGCTCGTTGATGATACGCAGCACGTCCAGACCGGCGATCTTGCCGGCGTCCTTGGTGGCCTGACGCTGCGAGTCGTTGAAGTAGGCAGGCACCGTGACCACAGCCTGGGTCACGTGCTTGCCCAGGAAGCCGTCGGCGGTCTCCTTCATCTTGGTGAGCACCATGGATCCGATCTGCGAGGGCGAGTACTTCTGGCCCTTGGCCTCCACCCAGGCGTCCTTGCCGTTGTTGCCCTTGACGATCTTGTACGAGACCACCTTGGACACCTCCTGCGTCTCCTTGTCGTCGAACTTGCGGCCGATGAGGCGCTTGACGGCGTAGAACGTGTTCTCCGGGTTGGTCACGGCCTGGCGCTTGGCGGGCATGCCCACGAGGCGCTCGTCGTTGTCCAGGATGGCTACGACCGACGGGGTCGTGCGCGCGCCCTCCGAGTTCTCGATCACGCGCGGGGTCTTGCCCTCCATGACGGCCACGCACGAGTTGGTCGTGCCCAGGTCAATGCCGATGACCTCGGAGCCGGCGGCGGCCGAGAACATGCGCTTGGAGGCGGCGGCCGCGGCGGGGGCGGGGGAGCGGGCGGCGAGACGCAGCATCGTTCTGTGTGCGGGCTGGAGGAGGATCTGCGGGGGAAGGCGCAAATTCACGATTGAAGGCCCGGAGCCACTCGCTGGGCCACACGTACTTGAGGTTGGGATCCAAATTTCGCTTTGACAAAGAGGCACTTCATTCTGATAAAGTTTTGAAGGCAAACGCGGTCTCTATTTAGTCAAATCAGCTTAAAGATGGTACTGTTATATCGGATTTAAAAGGGTATCGATTGTTGGTGGAAACCAGATGGTTTTTGGCCAAATTACGCGCTTTTGATGGGTAAAATGTGTGTCGGACTTTTTCTTGTGGACGGTCTGTCCGATCTCATTGGAGAGTCTCCAATGGAGACACCTCGACGTCGAGCTTCGAGAATCAGCACGCTTGGGAGAGCAATCTGAACTGCGCAACAGTGGCTGTCCTTCTTGTGCTGCCTTGCCGACGTGCTCAAGCATTGTCCGCCGCGACGGATTTTGGTTGGTTTCACATTTTCAAACAATTGTGACGCAAAAATGGTCGGACTTTGTTTTCCGAATCCTTCCAGAACATCAACGAAGGAACATCCGCACTTAAGCGGGATTTGTTTGACCTCGCCGCGGTTTGCGCGCCAAGCACGTGCGGAGGCAGGACCAGGGCAGGCAGCAAAACAGGAGCAAAGCCCAAGGCAAACGAGACGATGGTGTCGCTGTTTGGCAAGAAGAAGGAGGGCAGGACGCTGCGTCCGCGCGTGCGGCGCGCCACCCCGCTCATGGACGTGGGGCTCGCGGTCATCCTGGGCGCCGTCACGGGCGTGTACATCTTCAAGGACACGCTGCAGCGCTGGCAGATCTCCGAGGGCGAGTACGTGGCCGCCGAGGTCAGCAAGGCCACCCAGGCGCAGCAGAACGCCCAAGCCGCGGCAGCGCAAGATTCAGCTAGGAGTTAGGAGCTGCGGCTGCGACCTCGTGGGATGCAGGCGGGCGCGAGCGTGGCAAAAGCCTTGCTGTTGGGTGGAGATCAGAGCTCGAAGTGGCTGGCCACCTCGGGACCATCGACTGAAAGCAAGCGTACTACGCTGCGATGCTGCAAGTATTGCACGAGAGGAGCATAAATATATAGGAGGTTGAAAACGCAGTGAGCTGGTGATCATCTCGGCAGCATTAGCCTGCCCGCGTGTGCCCGTGCCGGTGCTGCGGGCTCACGTCGACGCAAGGAGGATGTGCCATTTGCAGCCGCACATCTGCTGTGTGGCGCACACCAATTCTACAAACGTTTTGATGTGGTGCTACGTAATGTTAGCAGTGCGATCATTTTTTTCAGCCAATCAAGCCGTAGTATGCATATTAGCTGCGCGGTGCTCAACGCCAGGAAGACGCGGTCGAGATGAGCGACGTGGCGCAGATCTTGGGGCTCGCTGGCCCCAAGTCGGGCGCGAATGGGGCGGCGGCGAGTGAACTGGACCAGCTGAAGCCCACGGGGGCGTCGCCGGCCGTGCGCGGCAAGCAGAGCGGCGGTGCCAGCAAGCAGAAGAAGCTCACGGGCATGCAGCGCGAGGTGCTGGAGCTGCTGGAGAGCAACCACCGCGCCAGCCACGCGCTGTACCAGGGCTTCGGCAAGACGACTCTCAAGCAGAAGTGGCAGGAGCGCAAGAAGTCCCCGGCCGTCAAGTGGCTGCGCAAGTCCTTCCGGAACCCGGCGCGGGCGGGGCTGCCGGGTGAGAGCGGAGAGGAGGGACTGGTGCTCACCCATTGGGGGAAGGCCCACGTGGAGCAGCCCGACTACGTGTTCGCCAGGTTTAACGTCAAGTGCGATACGACCAGCTACACGGACGAGGAGTACGAGGCGGCGCTGGCGAACCACCTGGACCCGATGATGAAGTGGACCAAGGAGGAGACGGATCTGCTGCTGAAGCTCTGCCAGCGCTTCGACCTGCGGTAGGCTATGCTCTGAGTGTGGTGGGAGCTGGGAGCAAGGCTAATGGTTGTTTGTGATTTTGCTGCTACTGTGGCTAGGTGGGTCGTGGTTACAGACAAGTACAACTCAAATCCGATCGCGAAAAGCGCTCCGCGGTCTATGGAAGATATTAAGTATCGCTACTACGAAGCGACTCGACTTCTATCTGAATACCGGGACAAGAAGACGAGAGGTGAACTTGAAAAGAAGGCAGCAGTGGCCACCCCTGCCGCAACGAGTGCTGGTGCTCCAGCTACAGAAGGCACACCGGCCGGAGCCGCTACTGCAGCAACTCCTGCCGCTGCTACGGTCGAGACCGGGGGCGCGACCAGTACGCCGTCAACGCCGGTGCTGGATACACCTGCCTCCTCTACATCAGAGCACTACAGGTTTAATATCGCGTATGAGAAGCAGCGTAAGAGGCAGCTGGATCTCACGTTTTCTCGGACTGCCGAGGAGGAGAACGAGATTCGCCGTCTAAATGACGAGCTGCGCGGTGTGGAGCAACAGCTCAAGAAGGTGGCTGTTAGAGCGGACCCGAAGAGGAAGAAGGAACTCGCCGATGTTCCTTACGAGATCAAGCGCACGCTGCCTACAGGCGTAATTTTGCGAAGCTCGTTGCTCGCGCTTCCGCAGCAGAAGCATGCGCTCAGCGCAAAGTTGTTGAAGAAGCTGCAGCTTTTTCTCGACGAAATGGGTGTTCCAGCTCGACCTATGCCTACCAAGCCTGTGTGTGAAACCTTCGACAAGCTGCGCCAAGACGCCGTGGGCCTGTTGTCACTGCGCAAGCACCTAAAGAGCAAACAAAACGAGGTTCAAGCACTTCGTGAACGATACCACGCGCTGACTGGTAAGGAGTACAAGCCGATTACTACGCCTGTCACTCTATCCGGTAAGGTGCCCCTTGACTTTGTTCGTTATCATGGAGCTACATCACTCATTTACTGTTCGATGTATGCAGAGCGACCGGGAGATGCTGCACTGCCTGATGGAAGCAGCTCGGCAGCTTCAGCGGCGGGCCACGCACAAAGCACAATTAGTAAAGGTGCGTTGGATGCAATTTCTTCATCCGCAGTTGAATGTGAACTGAGTGGGGTTTCTTGTGTCGTGATGGTGCAGGCAAGACGTCAAAGCACTCGGAAAAGGCAATCCGTGCAGCCAAGCGACGCAGCACCAGTGGCCACCCAGGTCTCTCTGCCAAGCGCAACAAGAAAGTCCCGCATTAACTTGTTACGCACTAATGTCATCCATTACCACCTTATTATTGTGCCGATGTTGGTTGTCCTGCAAGGCTTGACTTTCTACCGGTAGCCTGACGAGCCGGAAGCACCATACAACCTGAGCTGCGCTGTTGAATCACGTTAAGACGTTGTTGAATGTACAGTACGAGTTCTATCTACCGTTAATCTACACGGTGCCTAGCTAATATCTGCTGGCTGCTGTCATGGACAATTTCACGTGGATGCCCATGGGGGAGGAGACCTCTTTTGACTTTTTTTTTTCATGTTTTTCTTTTTTTCATGGGGTTCTTCTTCTTTTATCTCCTCTTTTCACACGCCCCAGCACCAGCTCCGTCTTATCGTTCTCATGGCAGCAGCAACGCGGGGGCAGAATCCCCACCCCACTTCGCCTCTCTATCACTTCACTGCTCCGCTGGTCGCACACGAACTTGCACTTGAGCTTGCGCTTGTAGGGCAGCTTAGCAAGCAATTTCCAGCGCTCTCTCGACCACCTTCACTCGCTCACCCAACTCTACCAGTCTAGTAGTACGGGTGGAAGCCGCGTCCGCCCCGGCCTCCGCGGAAGCCTCCACGAGGCGGGCCACGGCCGCGTCCTCGTCCCCGTCCTCGACCACGTCCACCACGCCCTCCACGGGTCATGTTGAACCCGCGCACGTTCTGCCGCTTGGGCGTGACCTTGAGCTGCCGGCCGCGGAACATGGTGTCGTTGAGCAGGAGCGCGCTCTCCACGGCGTCGCGCGAGGCGAACTCGATGTACGCGTAGCCCTTGGGCTGGCCCGTGAACTTGTCGCACAGGATCGTGACGCGGTTGATGGTGCCGCACGACTGGAAGAGCGCCTGCAGCTCCTCGGGCGTGCTGCCGTAGTCCACCTGGCCGATGTAGATGGACGTGTCGTCCATCTGCACGGGCTGCGCGCTGGCCGCCGCTCCGGCCGCGCCCATCTCGTTGAGCGTGGACGCCGTGTTCTTGCCCATCTGCGACTCGACCTCGGACTGCATCTCGCTGAGCTTGGCGGCCTCCTCCTCCATCTCCTTCACGCGGCGCTTCATGTCCTCGATCTCGGCGTCCACCGCCTCGGCGGACTCCTCCGTGGCGGCGGCGGCGGGGGCAGCCGCCTCGCCCGCCAGACTCGCCGCCTCGGCCTCGAGCTTGCTCACGTCCACCGCTTCGTCCGCCATCGCCGCTTGTCTTGCGTTTTGTAGGTGCGCGCGATGGTAACAGCCACCAGGAGAAAACCTACGTAAGCGCATGTTATATGATTTACAGTAGGTTTCTGGTGGGGAACCTGCCACATCACTTTTAGCTACGATGGCGGGGGCGCTCGGGTCGCAGCAGATGGAGGAGCTGCTGGCTGCTTGGGACGACGCCACGGCGCCGCTGGACGCGCGCGTGCGGGAGGACCCGCTCTTATTCGCGCCGGAGTTGGCGGCCACCGCTTCGGCTCGAGTCAAGCGGCTGAAGGGAGCGCCCGGGGCTGAAGAGAGGGGGGAACTGTGTCGCCCCTGGGACCACGCGGACTTCCTGGCCCGCGTCGGCAGCTTCTCCATCGCCTCGTGGTTCGCCAAGCCGGACGCGATCAGCGCCTTTGAGTGCGCTCGCCATGGATGGAGGAACTCGGCGCCCGATCAGCTGCAGTGCAACTGGTAAAAGACTGTAGAGAGACGAGGAGGAGGACGCTGGACTGTAGTAGTGCTGACTGCTCTTGTGTACCTATGCTGCAGTTGCAAGCGGTTTCTGTGCTTCAAGATCGACGACAAGTTGAGCGAGGCGGGGGCGTTGAAGGTGGCGGAGAAGTTCGCTGCGCAGCTGGTCACAGGCCACACGGAGCTCTGTCCGTGGCGTGGTAACCCGTCGCCGGTTGCTTTCACGACGGTGAGGACTGTTTGCGAGTTGAACTTTGAGTAGGAATGAGTGCAATCTCATTGCGGGTGTTTATATGGATGCAGCTCCCCATTGCAACGAAGCGCCAGGTGTACGAGACGTTCGTGGAGCAACTAGGGGAAGAGGTCGCGTGGATGCACAAGGACCCGGAGTTTCAGGACCGATTGCGGCGTGTGAAAGTCGCTGATGCAGGGACTGCAAAGCTGTTACAGGAAGTGAATGGAGCTGAAGATGCTGCTACTCCTATCGATATTGTCACGTTCCAAGCGAAACTGGCAGCGAGGTGGTCCCAATCCGAGAACGAATCCGTGCGCTCTGAGGCACTAGCCAACGCCGCGTTCCTGATCGCGTGCGGGTGGAGATTTGATAGAAAGGATGGCAAAGACCTGCATATGCTGAGGTGTGAAGCCTGCAACCGTCGGTGGCAGGTTTCTCCGACGAGTGCCAAGGTGGACGATGGTGATAGTGAACACAGCGAACCGCCAACAAAACGCCTGAAGACTGCAGAGGCGCGTCCAGTCGACCTGCTTTCACAGCATCGCCATTTTTGCCCGTGGGTTGCAGAACGCAAGTCTACCGGTGTCGACGACTATGGTGAGATTGACCCAAAGCTGTGGGAGTTCGTCAAGCTACCGGGATGGAAACAGTACGCCCAGGTAAGCTTTTGCTTTGGATCTTGTACAGGAGTGGTGGGCTGTTTGTTGCCGCATCTGATTGCTCGTTTGGACTATGTAGGCACTGGTTCTTCTCGGCAATCCAGAAGAGAACGCTATTGTTGTTGTGGACTCCAGCGACCAAACGCACACGAAATCCAGTGACCCTGTGCAGGCATTGGAGTCAATACGGGCAGTATTGGGGCTTTGAGGTTGGTAAAACAGATTCCAATAGCAGGACTGGTTACTGCAGAAGAATATTAGTCACTATCAATCGATCGCACTGGGGATCAATAGTCCAAGGGCCATATTACGACTGTATCGTCAGGCCTGAAGCATGTTCACCTCAAGCAAACGCGAAAGATCAAAGCAGGCACGAGACAACACTAAGCAACTTCGAGAACTCGAGATATGTTGCGGCTACGAGCGGGCTACGAACGACTCAGGGGCACCTACTTCCCCACTAACGTCCTAGCGCTGCCGCATGTGTTGACCCAAATCGACGCTCTTCTCATGGCACCTGAAGAGGCGATCATGGAGGCAGCCAAGTCGGGTGAAGCAGTGTGGCTGAGGCAACTTTTGCTGCGATTCGAGTGCTGTGTGCCAAATGCACTGGTGCCTGCTGCTGCGAACGGCCACCTGGAGTGCGTTGACGCCTTGCTGAACAAGTTTTTCGGCGAAGAAACATTCCAAGGCATCGTCCTAAACCAGATACTGTTATGCCATGATGGAACGCTGTCGACTCAAAGAGAGATGTTAGCTGACGGAAGTGGAGTTCGAGAAGAGTCACGGGAAATAGGAGACTAGATTGATGATGCTTGACTATAAGCCCGAGTCCACGGACAATTCAGTGCTCAGTTTGCAACTTACCAACAACAACTCGAGACTCATTGCAAATTGAAATGTCAATTCTGTACTATGGAAAATCAAGAAGGAAGACGGCGCACGACGGTGAAGTTCAAGTCACGCGGATACTACCAAGGAACCAAAGAGGTCGCGCCGTTTGCAGGAGGTGACTGGAAGACCTGGCTGCAGTTCCAGCAGGAGCTCAACCGCACCTTCATCTTCCTCTTCATCTTCCTCGACATGGACGACACGGACGCAGCTGCTCGCGGGATGCAGCAGATTATCACTCAGCTTCTGGAGGGAAGAGACCTGGACACCTTCACGGACAGCGTGCAAGAATTTCGCAACGATGAGGCCACTCACTGGAGGGTGATTGAGCAGGCGATGGATAGACTAACCGCCCGCTACTGCCCGATGGGAACCCGAGAGCAACTACATGACGAGGTCAAGGAGTTGCGCAAGACACGGAACATGACGGTCACCGAATACGCCAAGAAGTTTGAAGAATTGCTGGCCCTGGAGAGATGGATTCTGGATTACGATGGAGAACGGATGGATGAAGCGGAGCGATGCCGCTACTTCAGCCCGGGCATGCCTCGTGCGTGGCAGATGCAAGTAGAGAGCCCCAACAGGCCCGCTGGTCAGACCGGCCGCAGACGAAGGAAAGATATCTGCAGTGCGAACAAGTGTAACAACGAACGGAGAAAGGAGGCGTGCGCCATGGACGAAGTCACGACGAAAAGAAGACGGACAAGAACTGGAAGAAGAAGGCCATCAGCCACGAGAAGAAGAAAACGGAGCTGGGGAAGCGAGAACGTGACGACAAGACGGGGTGTGGGTTTTGCAAGTCGCGCGGCAAGGCGTGGAAGAATCACGGCAACCCGGAGTCGCCGCGCTACAAACCACACTGGAACGGACAATCGAAGAAGAACTATAGTTTGCAAGGGAAGAAGACACCGTGGAACAACCAGGCGGCGGCGGCTGAACACGTCGAGAGTACTCAGCAAGGAGATGCAGACCCCCTTTCGTATTGGCACGCCCCCGCTGCGACGAACCAAGCAGCAGCAGCTCAAGTTGCCGCCGGTGCACACGGGACTGTGTTGAAGACGAAGCTAATGTTCAAGCATCCGTTAACGAAGCAGACTTTTGAAGCACTGCTGGACACTGGAACGACACGATCCCTGGTGGCCAAGAAGATGGTCTCTTGGTACATGCCGCATGGACAGCAAGAGTGGCATCGCAATGTGAACAACAAACTGCAGCCTGCCATGGGCGTCATTGCGCTGCCGTTCGTCCTCCCGGAATTTACGGACAAGTGAGTTTGCACTCAGGAGTTCATGATTGTGGACAAGCTACTTCATCCGGTGATTCTTGGAACAAATTTCATGCGGGAACAAGGAATCGTGATCGACTATCGTAAGCAAACTGATTTCTGGGATGACATGGAGTTGCCGATGGAGGACAAACCGGCACCCCGGCGACGTGTTGCGCTTGCTGTGCAAGACACGGATGAGCGGGTGCTACGAATTCTTGACGTCAAAGGCAAGGAGATTGATTTGCGCAGACTCATCCCCAAGGAACACCTCAGCGAAGACCAGAAGCAACGCCTGTGGGAAGTGCTGGAGTCTTACCGTGTAGTCTTCGTGGGAGGTCCTGGAAAAATGCGGTTGAAACCCTACGAACTACCGATCCAGCCTGGAAGTGTACCCTACCAAATTCCTCTCATCTACCAGGACGCCATGCGACAAGAAGTGGAGAGACTCGTGCAGCTGGGCGTGTTGGAACCTGATAAGGACTCGCCGTGGGCAGCCCCCGCGTTCGTGATACCCAAGAAGGATGGATCAGTGCGCTTCCTCACCGACTTCCGTGAACTCAACAAGTGCCTGCAGCGACACTACACCATTTTCGGGTCGTTCTGCACAAATGCTCGATTCAAAACGATCACGTAGAAAAAGGGTGCGTATACTTATGGCGTATACTTGGCCGACTTCTGATCAAATTCTCGATTCAAAATGACCACAGCCATTTCAAAACGATCAGCTGCCCTTTCTGTGATACCACAGAGGGAAGCAGATCAACAATTGTCCTTTTCGAGAAAATTCTGGCTGATCTCAGTATTAATTTGAGAACATAAATACGACGCAGTGTCAATTGTTGATCAGTCTTTCCCACAACGTACCAGAAAAATGGCACATGTTCATTTAGAAAATGAAAGTGATTGTTTTGAATCCGTGTACTGTTCTGGTCGGAGTCGGACGTGTATACTGTCCTTTTTTCTACGTGATTGTTTTGAATCGAGCATTTGTGCAGAACGACCCGGAAATGGTGTACTATCCGCTCCCGCGAATTCAGGACATGATGCGCGAGCTGCCAAAGCCCGTGTTCGTGACCGCACTGGATCTGGTAATGGGGTACTACAGCCGCGAGACAACCGAAGATAGTCGCCCGTTGTCACGGTTCTCCCCCAGTCGACGGTCTAACACTGCTCCTGGAGTGTTTGAACACAATGCGTGCGCTGGACAGACAGAATGCAACTACTCGTGAGTCACCTCATGCGTTCCGGGTGTAACGCACACCAAAGAGGCCAGGATACGGTAGGTCGGTGCCACTGTGGACCCCGCGCAGTTGCGTTCCACTGGATACTATGGGAGCCGAGCCGTCGGCCGTGCGAGTCAGTCGTGATTTTTCTTCGTAAGCAACAACAGCAACAAGCTACTTTACTCTTCTCTTAGTCTTTTCTTGAGTTCATCTATTCTCCCAACCTCGGCCTAGCAAGGACACGACCCCGACGAAGGAGAATCGTGACAGTTTGGTGGAGAAGCAGGGTACTTCGCCAAGGTTGGAAGGAATTGAGACGTGGGAAAGAAGAGAGGGCCGTCGGAGCGAACGACCAAGCGGAACTTGGCCACGGAACGCCAAGGAAGTGAAAGAGGTGTGGGGCACACTATGAGCTCCCCTTGATCCGGCGATGGACAGGGCGGGGAGTCAGGGGAAGAGCAAAGCGGATGGGCTGCTCCCTCGACTGCGGAGCCGCAAGTACCAGCCGAGACCCACGAAGAAGAGAGAGAGGCGACGGAACGCGCTGCAAGTGCGGGGGCCGAAGGAAGCACTTCCACAGGGGAGAGTCTACCAGAGAATGCGGTCCAAGGAGCGACACGCAGGCTTGACCTCGCAGGAAGAGGAGATGAGATGCCGCCTGGACTCGAGGGAGAGAGAGACCAAGAGGGGACTATGCCACTACTTGACTCGGAAGAAACTGCGTCGATCTTGGAGACGCCCCGGGGGCGGAAGATGTTTCAGATTTTCTTGGCTCAACTTGCGCAGCGACCTGCACTGAGCGAGGTGCCAGTACGGGAAAGCACGGGTGAGACTACCGGAGCGGCTAGACAAGCCCCCCCAACGGCGACGTCGACATCGAGACCAAGCGAGGTAACCACAGCGGTTACGACTGAGCCTTCAAGCGCGCCGGCGAGAGGCGTTCCTTCGGGAGATTCGACTGGAGTGTGGATGACTTCGTCGACACTGGAACGCCCACGTATACCGACGTCGACGACGGAGCAGAAGGGAATGTTCGCCTCGAGGGCAGGGCCTGGGGTCTCACCTCCCGCTGTGGTTGCCGCAACGACTGCTCCAACAAGGATGCCGGGAACGCACCCGAGGATGGTGACTACGCCACCCTTAGCTCCAAACGTGCCTGAAGTGGGGGTGAGCTCGCCCTCAGGTGACCAGGAACTACAAGCGTTCCTGAACGAAGCCATGCTCCAAGCGCTGCAGGTGTACGCTGCGCAACGAAACAAAACAACTATGGCTGCAGCTCCTCCTCTGGTGATGGAATCAGTGCCATCAGTGCCTCTACCCTCGACGTACGCTCCGCAACGACCTTCATTACCCACCTCCATGAGTATGGGTCCGACGTCCCCTGAGTCCCTGACCACTCCTGCGGATATGCCTATGGCGGCGATACATTCGTACGGAGGGGTATCAATTCAGACGCCGAGTACGAATGGAGGCGGGGCGGGTGGTGGGACGCTCCCACCTGGTGTGTTCTATCCTCCGTTCCAACCGCCGGTCGTGACCACGGCCGGGTGGGGTGCGCCCGCGGGAGCGTTTCCGGCTTGGGCGTCGACGAATACAACCTCGGTGCCTATGGCTCCTGGACTGACATTTCAAGGCACGGTCCCGGCGGGTGGAGTGGCGTTCCAAGGACAGTCGTGGAACCAAGTCCCCCAAAGTGATGTGAGCCCTCCTCAAGGCGGTGGCTACGGAATACAAGCGACTGCTGGTAACCCTCAAAGGAGCTTCCCCGTTGTAGGTATCCCTACCGAGCTGAGAAACGCAGTGAAAGTCATTGTTCCGTTCCACTCGGATAGCGCCACGTGTGAGCGAGCGGCAGCGTTTTGGAGATCTTTCGAGAAGTGTACGGTGGGAATAAATGCCCAGATGAGGCTGACTGCGTTCGAACAGTGCCTGAAGGGTAAGGTTGGGCAGGAGTGGTGGTATAACTCGAAGACCGACGGCTTTGAAGCTCTTAGAGTGTGGTTTCACAACCGATTCATCTGCCAGACTCCTGCTCAATTGTGGAATCGGCTCAAGACAGCCAAGCAAAACAAGGGCAAATCTGCCGAAGAGTGGGGAGATCGCATTCCGACTATGTATGAGGCTTTGAACTACAACGAGCCACGGATGCAGTTTGAGTTCTTTTTGGATGGTCTTCGGAACAAGCAGATGAAGGCGATGCTCAATTCTAGTATGGTTACGTCGATTCCGGAGGCTTGTGCCTTGTTACTGTACAAGAATCTGCACCTGCCTGTCGAGGAGGAAGACGAGTTCCCGGAGACTAAAACCGGACTATCAGGAACAATGGCCGACACGTCGACTCAGTCGTTGATGTTGCAACAGCTTCGCCAGATGAACCAGCTGATGCTGCAACAACAACAGGCCTCAAGTACGTCTCCTCAAGGACACATTAATGTGGTAGCTCCGGCGCGAGCCCAAACGACGGGAACAACTGCGCCTCAGAGGTCCGGAACCGGATCCCCTCCACTTGGAACGCTTCGTATTCGTCTAGGACCGGACACGCGTACGACGGAAGGGACAATTGTATGCGGCCGCTGCGAGCGTAGAGGTTGCAGTCGCGAAACTTGCCCTCGCGCTACGGGACACTTCAGTCGGTGCAATGAGTTGGGGCACTACTCTATGGAGTGCAACATACCAAAGCCACAAGCCAACAATCGATACGCGGAACGCCGCCCACCGGAGTGCCTCCTCTGCGGGGAGAGGGGCCACATGATCGCCAAGTGTCCTGAGATTGAGACGCTGAGGGGCTTGGTGAAGACCGGTGTCGTGGCTGGAACGCCGGCAACCGCTACGCAGTCCCAACAATGAAGGGGGCAAGAGGGAGGGGAAGGAAGTTTCGCTCCTTCCTCTTGCCTGGATGACGACACACAGGGGCGTGAATGCTCTCCGACGAATGATATCATCGGTGAGAGCGAGGTGGACCCCGGACTGGGAGAAGAAAAGAGAGAAGGTGCTCGAAGCTTTCCAGCTCGGCACCAGACGACGGAAATTGTGGGAAATACTACGGACAGCGTGGAGATAGATTCTCCAGCTGAACAGAAGGAACAGAGGATGGTCAAAAAAGAAGAAAAAGGAGACTCCGGCGCTACGATGGAGGCCTCGGAGGGAGCAGTGGGGCTGTCGGAGGAAAGAGAACGGTGATGATAAGTGGAAGTGACCTCGATGAGGACGCCAGCGCGGAGTCGTGTAACTCGTTAAAGGTCGAAGGAACGCTGCAGTCTGGCGACGAGGACGTGGTTTCGGCACGGTTGGGATCGGTCTTCGTCGTGTCTAAAGCGCTAAGCACAGAAGGGTCAACGCTTGGGGATCGTGAAGTGACGGACGAGAAGCTAAGTACTAATGAAGTGGACTTGGAGAGTTATTCGGGACGTTTGTTCACCGACGACGAGTTGGACAGACTCGAAAAGGGTGATAATGGGGTGATAATGGAAGAACTGGAAGAGTACGAAAAGGAGCTAGAAGAACGCTTGTTTCCTCTGGACGAGGATAGGATTCAGCAAAGGATCGAACAAGCAGCCGAGGAACGGACGAGTCCCGCTCTCGCGGAAATGAGTAAAGAGCTAGGGGTTCCGTTGGAAGTATTGGAACAGACGAAAGATGTGTTGTCTCCGGAGCTTGCTACACCGGAATACTGACTTGGATGGTACGCAAGAACATTGGAGACATCGGAGGAGGCGAAGCGTACCAACCGGAACTTTCGCGATCAAAACGTGACGTGGTGCGGAACTCACGAAGACAACGACCCAGTTGGCGCCAGCCCCAGCGGCCCGCATAGCATGATGGAGGTTATGGAGCCCGCGAGGGCGGACGTCCGAGCTGAGGGGGTCTCCCCGGCGATAGAGCTCCAGTTCATTTGCAATGTGTGCATTGGCCTGGATGGAGCCGCTTGGCTAACCGCGAGTGAGACAGACGAACAGGCACTCGAGCTCAGCTGGCGTTCCAAGGTCCGTAACGGGGTCTACAAGCTTCTAAAACGGGAGGTGGTAACTCATTCCGGTCTCCTCGCAGAGCGACTCGAAAACCCCGAAGGTTCCCAACCTCAAGGGGAAGTGCCGCCAAAGCCAGAAACGTTGAACGCGAACCCGCTAGATGAAGACTCTATACGGGTCTACCTAGCGGAAAGAGGGGCGCCTAGTGAGGCGTTCCTCTCGAAAGCGATTGGCTGGGCAAAAGCATACCACGCCCAAGAGGTTCCGGCTAACAGAAACAAGCTATATCGCCGAATGAGAGCGCATCAGGAGGAGAAACACGTGGTCGTTGCTCCGCGTCCGTCGACGGAGAGGGATACGGTAGCGTTCGTCCGCGCTACGAAGCCACTTGGAGGAGGTAATACCGACGACGCCTCGAAGCTGTCCGAAGAAGAACCGGACATCTATGTGGTGAACGTTAAGAAGATGTCAAAACCTAAACGCCGACTGGGACTCCGGGAAGCCGGGTCGACCGATGTCCCTGAAGATAAGGAACGCCTAGTACCTGAAGGAAAGCGTGTGATTTGCAGTGTGGGTGGGATACAGGCATTGTCCCAGGGCCTAATTGACTGCTGTCCCGCGGAGATGCTGGCCGACACAGGCGCTATTGCAAGCCTGGTCGATAAACGCATTCTCAGACGAATAGGACGAGCTTCTGAATCGCTGAGACCCTATCACGGCAGTCTGGATAGCGTGTCGGGGCACGAGATTCGTATCAAGGGGGTAATTGACCTGCCGGTAACCCTAGGAACCTTGGAAAAGACGCTTCCGTTCGCGGTAGCCGATCGATTGCCAATGGAAGTGATAATGGGAACGGACTCTCTCAGGGCGTTCCGAGCGGTTATAGACCTGGATGAACAGACAATGACACTGAAGGAGACTGGTGATGTGATACCACTGGGAGTGACTCGCGTAGAAGAAACTTATGCAGCGGCAGTGGCTTCCACAGTGCGATTGGAACCTGGTCACCAAGCGTTGTTGCGGACAAGCGTGTGCGGAGCCGTGCACAATGACACGGTTGTCTTGGTGGAAGGCGTTCCAGGATCAGATGCGTCTCTACGCGTGGACCGAACTCTATGTTCGGTGAAAAAGGATCAAGTGTTAGTGGAGGTCTGCAAAGCTTCCCCTGACGCTATAGAAGTCGAGAAGGGAGCACTTATTGCAAATGTGACTATAGTTCCGGCATCCGCCTTCACAAACGACGGTGCGGCGAAGCGGGATCGTAACATCAGTGTCGTCCTCAGTTCAACGAGAGGGAGAGACCGCCGCGTGGACGGAGCAGAGGCTGCTGAAATGGCTGAAGCCTTCAATAGTGGCGAAGTGGAAGAGTTGGAGGTGGACTTTCATGGCACGTCTCTCGGATCGGAACAACGTCGGATTTTTCCTGATATGCTACGGGGCTTCCGTGACTTGTTCGTGGAGACGTCGAAAGGCCCGGACGAACTGATCTACTGAAATTCAGCATAGACACCGGAACGCATGCACCGATCAAGCAGCCTCCATACCGAGTGTCGAAAGCCGAAGGGGATGTCATGGAATCTGAAATCCACGAGTACTTGGATCTCGGCCTGATTCGTCCTTCATCTAGTTCGTGGGCGAGTCCTGTGCTCATGATCAGAAAACCCGATGGAGGAATCCGGTTTTGTATCGATTACAGGAAGCTTAACGCTGCCACCGTGAAGGATTGCTATCCTATGCCCCTAATAGACGATATCCTGGATGTCCTGGGGAACGCCAAGCTCTTCTCAACGATGGATATAGCTTCGGGGTACTGGAATGTTCCGATGGACCCCGATAGCAGTGAAAAGACGGCGTTCACGAGTAAGTTTGGTTTCTATGAGTGGCTGGTGATGCCTTTCGGCCTATACAACGCCGTACCCGCGTTCAAGCGACTTATGGAAAATGTTCTGGTGGATCTGAAGTCGAGGTCGTGCCTGGTGTATCTGGACGACTGTGTTGTGTTCAGCGAAGATTTTCCAACTCACTTGTTGAGAGTCAGACAGGTGTTGGAACGCTTCCGAAGTGCTGGGTTCAAACTAAAAATGAAAAAGTGTCACTGGGGGCGCAACCAAGTAGCTGTCTTGGGTCACATTGTGACCCCTTCGGGAATTCTGCCTAGAGAAAGCGAAGGCGGTGATGAATATCGCGAAGCCGCACGATTTACACACGTTGAGGGCTTTCTTGGGGCTCACGAGTTACTTTAGGCGATACACACCCGGCTTCGCGACAATTGCAGCCCCCCTGGAACGCCTGAAGCTGAAGGGAGTCGTGTTCCGATGGGATGAAGATTGTGACAGTGCGTTCCGGCAACTACAGCGAGCTCTAGTGAAACCTCCTATCTTGGTGTATCCGGACTTCAAGAAACGGTTCAAGCTCTATGTAGACTCGTCTCATTTGGCGGTCGGGGCGTCCTTGATGCAGGAGGTCAATGGGCGAGACAGAGCGATCGCGTATGCTAGTAAAATGCTGACAGGTTCTCAACGCAACTGGGTGAACAAAACCAGTGGGACGACGAAGATTGAATGCTGCGGAATTGTGTGGGCGACTCGTAAGTTTAGATGTTACCTCGACCACGCGGAGTTTGACCTATTCACGGATCATCAAGCCCCTACTTGGATCTTTGGGGAGAATACTCGGACGTCTAATGCTAAGTTGGCGAGGTGGGCGATGGAGCTCTCGCAACTTCGGTTCAAGGTGTACCATAAACCTGGCACTACAATGGGAAACTTCCAAAAATCGCCTATTCTAATGTACCAAATTGCTCCCATCTGCTGAACCATGTGTGTACTAAACTTGGACTAACGGATGCTCAGACGCAAAAGACGTCTGATCAAATGCCGTCCTTGGTACTGACCAAAGCCTCCAATTAGCCTTGACTTCACAGCCTGATCGAATACAAAGATGCTGCTCTGTACGATAAAGCCGCCCCCACTCCGCAATTTCCTTGCCAAGACCGCCGTACGACACCAGCCATGACGAAGGCAGCAAAAACGAAGACAAAGGGCAAGAACTTCACCAAGTCCGAAGTCTCACGTGCGTGTACGCTAGCATTACGGAGAGATCTGAGTAGACGACTCACAAATATGACGTGTTGGTCACAGGAATGCTGGATGTTGTGGAAGCTATCCTTCCCTTTGGAGCTGAGCAGTGGCAAAACGCTGCGTCTCAGTTCAATACAAATATTCCAGCAGGGTGGACTGAGCGAGATGGCGACAGCCTCAAACGTAAATTCCAAAAGCTGGTTCGTGTTCCTAAACCGACAGGTACGGCGTATTTGATGTGCTGGCACTTGTGTGGTTTTCAACTGACCTATTTCGATTTATTTGTAAGGGAACGGAACATGTCCCGAGGAGGTGCAGCGCGCCAAGCGTCTACAATATGCCATTGAGGCTTCATTGTCTGTTGTTCAGCTCCACGACAACTTTTCGGACGAAGAGTTCGAGGAGGGAGATCCCGACCACGACACCGACGAGGAAGCTGCAAGCTCCGTGCTTGTGACTGCTAGTTCACCTCTAGCAGCCTCGACGGACTCACAATTAACCCAAACACCCACGGCAACTTACAACAGAACACCTCGAGCAACATGTCGTAGGTATGGGGAAGGAGAGAGACGGTATTGATGAACGACTTCTCGCACCGCGACTTGTACATGAACGTCCATGCGCAAACGGCGTTAGAGGTTAGAGCAGCAGTCTTTATGTAGTTGCGCTCCCGTATGAGCATGCGCATCCTTATGAAGCACATCAGCTTCTTCAGTAGTGCGTGTTGCCTCCTTCTCTGTTGCTGACGTTGGACGGAAAGCGATGCGTTGACACGAGCAAGGAGGTGACCAGTGTGCATGGTGAGGGACGGACACGATACGGGGACGCGAGAGCCGACGCGAAGGCTGAGACTTCTGAAATGAACTCGGGTTTTTGGTGGCAGTCGGATGACCAAATGAGAACTATACCGGCGCCAAGTGGTGAACTATATCGCTCTTAAATCTTGGTTTGGTACAACATATAGGCGATTTTTGGAAGCCTCCCAATGGGCCATGCAGACGGATTGTCTAGACTATATCATAAGTCAGCACCTGTTGCGATCACTTTGGTTCGGAAGTCTACGATCGGTGGCGTAGTGGGCGATAACATAAGTGAATCCACTAGTACACTAGAGGGAGTTACAGCTACGACAATGGAGGGAGAAGGGGGCGTTCCAGCTGAAGTCGGGGAGCAGCACAAGGAAACCGGTAGGGAAGTACTCTTACCCGGCCTGAATGAGAACCTCGCGGGTGACGCCCCAGCCGAACCGCTCTCTCAAGATGAGCAAGAAGAAGACCTACAAGGAAGAGCACTCTCTTCTAACCCTTCGCCGGTGGATGAGTTTGGGCTGGACTGCGATAAGTTTATATTGGAGCAAGATCGGACCCCGTGGATGCGCGCCCTGAAGGCGTTCCTACAAGATAGCGCCTTAGCGCTCGACTCCCAACTACGGGTCAGTGTACTCAAGATGGCCCCTCATTTCGTAGTGCGGAACGGCGTGCTGATGCGTAGAGTGCACTTGGGCGCACGCGCTGGTCCGGCCCGTACTATCACCGTTCCTGCCGTTCCGTTGCCTTTTATCGAAACAGTCCTTCACTATTGCCACTCTGACGTCTTCTCTGCTCATCTGGGAAAGACTAAGACTGCCGACAAAGTAAGGCGGCACGCTTATTGACATGGCTGGAAACAAGATGTGATCGAGTACGTGCGTGAATGTTCTATCTGTGGCGGCGGCAAGGGTCATTGGCCCTGGAGGGCTGGGCTGACGCAGAGAATGCCGGTACAGAACTTGACTGGACCATTTTCGTTGTTGGTGGTCGACGCCATCGGGCCTTTAGTAACCACACCCCGGGGAAACAAGTATATCTTGGTGTTCGTTGCCTATTTCACGCGATGGGCCGAAGCGTTCGTGGTGGAGTTGCTTGACACCATCTCTTTTGTGAACGCAATGATCGAGGGTGTCATTTGCAGGCACGGCGTGCCTGAACAGCTCCTAAGTGACCGTGGAACGAACTTTATCTCGAATTTGGCTAAATCGCTCTACGAAACACTGGGAATCAAGAAATTGTTCACCATCCCCAGACGCAAGGCCTGGTGGAGCGTTTCAATGGAACGCTTATCGGTATGTTGCGGATGTTCGTGAATGAGACTCAGACGGACTGGGATATCTACCTGCCGAGAGTGTTGTTCGCGTACAGAACTGCCTATCACGAGGCATTGCCGTTCTTTAGCTTATACGGGCGAGATCCGGTTCTCCCCATTGACGTAGCGTTCTTGAACACGAGTAAACATTGGAAAAGCAATGAGGTGGCTGTCTACAGAAGGAAGTTGTACAAGTCGCTCAGGGATTCTAGGCGGTTGGTGGAACGCCAGCTGATCAAGGCGCAGGATAGGCACGAGAAGCGTATGGCCAAACAAGAGAAGGTCGAGTACGAGGAGGGCGGTCCTGTGTGGGTATACCAGTATTTCAGAGCGAAACGAGGAGAGAAACGGACAAAAAACTGGCATTTTCCTGGCACGGCCCGTATCGGGTTATACGCCCAGTCGGGAAGAACGCCTACCGAATTGCTATACCCACTCATCCGAACAAGGTAGTCACCGTTAATGTGAACCGCCTGAAACGATTCCGGGGCAAATGGAGCAGACCTTATGCGGATGAAATACCAGAGGGTGTTGGTGTTGGCGCTACGGACGACGGAGTAGGTCCTTTGGAGGAAGAAGATTTACCGTCGACAAGTTTCGCGGAACGCATCTCGATTGGAGGGGAAGAGACTGCAATTACAGGTGTAAGCTCACCGATTGTGGACATTGTGGCTAAAAAGGTTGAATCGAGGCAGGTACAATACATGGCTCTGACGGCCACGTACGAGGCAATTTGGCTCCCCCGGGCTGCACTGGTACCTGAATACGATGCTTTAATCAGAGCGTTCGAGGAGGCGGATCGACGTAAAAAGGGTCTGCCGGAGCTACGACGTAGCGCTAGGGTGGTGGAAGCCAACGCAGACGTGGACGACGACGAGATCTTGTTCTAGTCTATGGTCTGTCGGATGCGAACCAGGTGGAACCCGAGGGCTGCATGAGAATGGTCATTGGACACTGAGGCACCGAGGGGGTTGTTTGTATTTTTCCTTTATTGATTAGTGCGTATGGCGATTAAGGCGTTCCACTACTGGATATATCTGGACTACAATGAGCATGGGAGAAACGGAGCGCCTCAAACGATTGTTGATGTGAAATGGAGTAACGCTGAACCGAGTGGGCCTAATTGTCGGAGTTTATCTCGCCGTCGACTTCGTCTTCTTCTTCGAAGTCGGAATAGTTGACACGACGAGACTCAGCTAGGGTGATTGGCTTGGAAGTGGGGACATTGCTTGAGTTGGACCCGGGCTCACCAACTAGTTTGTCTTGGATCAACTTGATTCGGTTGGAGTTTATCAGGGACTTCCATGGTTCCTCAGTCTTGGTGCCGACCCATGTATCTTTAGGCTTGCGCCCGGACATTATGTCTCGGCGGACGTAGGCCAGCGCTGTATCCGAAAGTCGATATGGGGGAAGAGCCGACAACTGCAAGGCCTCAGTCGACTCGAAGAAAGACCGCATGCTGGTGTAACCGTAGGAGTCGATGGCGTCGGGGTCAAGGGCGATATTGAGCATGGTGTTGTATCGAGCCTAGTCCCTGCGGGACAAGGACGCGAGATCGTCCGCCAAATGGCCGTTGTAGCTGGCGGCGTCGTTGGAAGTTCGACCGGGCTGACGTCCCAGCCAATATAGCTGAGGGTGTTCGTCCAGCTTCTCTAAGAAAGCATAGAAACCCCAAGTCTCGATGCAGAAGCTGGTGAAGACCATACGAGCTTGGGTAGCGCGCAGTTTGAGTTTACGTCGGTTAGCCAACGCGAGGCTGGAATCAAGCGGGGCATGGAACGCCCACTCCCAGAACGCGCGACGATGCGCCATCCAGAAGCGCCAATGATGGCGGTGTACATGAGGGTTCTTGACTGGGTCGTACCACAGAGCACGTCAGGTCCATGGATATGCAATACGCCACGGCTTCTTGCCGGCAGCCTCCGCCTTCGCAAGAACAGCAGCGATGGCTTCCCGCACATGCTTCGGAGCTTTAGCGCTGCCCTCGACAGTTTTGGGAGCAAGAGGCGCCGAGTCTACGGCCACCGGAAGGTCCTCTGTCGCTGTTGGCTTGCTGGGAGTGCGTGATTTCTTCTGCGGAGTCTTCCGAGCCGATGTGATACTCGCCGCCTTGTGTTTGGACGGAGCAGGGGCTCCCCTGGCTGACTTTGACGACTTAGTGCCCGTAAGCGGGCTTGCGGACTCGGTCGGCGCTGACGTAGTCGCCGATGCAGTTGAAGGAAGGGGCCTCGCGTGGGGAGCACGAGCCGAGCTTGCCTGGGGAGCCGGAGGCGTCGGCAGCGCCAACCCTGTCCCTTGTAGTACTGCGGTCGACTTGCCGTCCAGCACGTCTTGGGCTAACTGGTCCAGGTGATGCAACCCGCCCGACATGGGATTGACGTCAAGACGGGCCCGCATCTCATTCCAGAACTGAGCCTGCAAGGCACGGACGCCTCGCCCGACCCCTCCTTGAGCCTCGCTGTCAAGAACCTCGTCGATAAACGCTCGGAAGCGCCTGAGTTTGGAGGCAGTCAACCGCGTGGACATGCTGCTGAACTAGAGGCGTTCCTATCAGTGGTGGATTGGGGAATAAAGAGAGAGCTTTGCCGCTCCAAGGCACTCTGCTGTTGGCTAGGAACCGGCCGTATGACTCTGTGCGTCTGGCGTCATTGTGGTTCTGGTCTCTGACGTCATTCGTGGAGCAGAACTGCGGGTACAGGAGTCAGTCCAAGTTTATCTGGAGAGGCGCCAAATGGAGGACCAGCAGAGAGGGAACGCTGTGGCGGCGGTACTGAAGGACTTCAAGATGCAGGAGGTCACTCCTGTTGCGTGGGCGGCGACGGGCATTATACTCTGGATCGTCACCACTCCGAAATGTTACGTGGGTGTTCCTCGGGAGTGCGCGCGAGTACGCTGGGACCCTCTACTTTTTTCTCTACACGTGTGGTGATAGGTTCATGGAGGCGGCACGAAGCTCACAAGCGCTTGCGCTACCTCCGTCGGAGTACGCACTGGCCATGCTGGCCCTGTTCTTCCTGGTCCCCAAGGCAGTCTTGAACGACTACGAATCGCGGTTCGGCCCCATTGGGCGGCTTTACGCAAAGTGGATTGAGGCGTTCTACCACACAACGTGTGTGTTCGTGCCGGATGCTCTCCAATTATCATGGGACTCGTCGTGCCTTTATGCTCGAGGGATTAGTGAAGCATCGGTGGCAGTGATGGACAGGACTGGTGACTTCGCGTTCGGAGCTTATGTGTTCACGACGCTGCTACTCTCTGTGGCGATTTATTTGCCCAAAGTCGCGTACGACATTTGTGAAGGCCTACTATTCGGATGGGTAGGTGTCGTTGTTGCTCTACTGCTGCTCGACGTCTATATGGAGTTCGACGCAGCGTGTTGGTACGTGAACGGGTTAGTTCTTTTGGTCGGAGCATACAGCCGTCTTCTGCGTCATTATGAGAGACATCATCTTGCAGCAGCAATGCAGCCAGGTAGCGTCGCTGAACAAGGGTGGAAGAATCTCTGGAAACGCGTGTGTTCGCGCGAGGAACGAGAGCGTGTCAGCGTGGAGCGCCTACGAGGCGGCCCTGCACGCGAGGAGCACCGAAACTCGACCCGATCGAATTCAAGTACAGCTTCAGGTATAGCTGGAACGCCACAACCTAACGCATCTTCCGATGGCACCGCGTCTCCTGGGGATCGAGCCGTGCCTGGGGAACAAGCAGAGAATGCTCGACGAGGGCGTCGAGACCAAGTCGGGGAGATTTGTCACGGTTCTCCCCCAGTCGACGGTCTAACACTACTCCTGGAGAGTTTGAACACAATGCGTGCGCTGGACAGACAGAATGCAACTACTCGTGAGTCACCTCATGCGTTCCGGGTGTAACGCACACCAAAGAGGCCAGGATACGGTAGGTCGATGCCACTGTGGACCCCGCGCAGTTGCGTTCCACTGGATACTATGGGAGCCGAGCCGTCGGCCGTGCGAGTCAGTCGTGATTTTTCTTCGTAAGCAACAACAGCAACAAGGTGACGACCGTGGAGTACCTGGGGTTCCAGCTCAGTGCACAAGGAAGGGAGCCTGCACGAAAGAAGATTGACGCTATCATGAACATTAGGGCACCTCGAAACATTAGAGACTTGCGAAGATTTATTGGTATGGTGAACTACTACAAGGACAAGGCAGGTCTGAGACGATGGCACCACTCACAGCTTTCCCCTCGAGCAAGAGGCCTTACCAATGAACGATAGTGGAACAACGAGCGTTCGAACAGGTAAAGGAGATGGTTGCCACGCAAGTACTGCTTCAATACCCTGATCTGACTCGGCCATTTGATATTTACACCGATGCGTCAGCGCGGCAACTGGGTGGGGTGCTCATGCAAGAAGGAAGACCGTTGGCCTTCTGGTCCAAGAAGTGTAACCAGGCTCAGCAGCAGTACAGCACCAACAAGAAGGAGCTCTTAAGTATTCTGGAGATGCTACGAGAATTCCGACCCATTATCTGGGGGCGAGCAATCCGTGTCTACACAGACCACAAGAACTCCCTGGAGACCACCTTTCGCAACGCTCAGATGCTGAGATGGCGACTCGGAATTGAGGAATATGGAGTCACAATGTACTACATCAAGGGGCAAGAGAACGTGGTCGCAGATGCGCTATCTCGGTTGCCTCTCAGTGAAGGCGCATCATCGACCGGGGCAGCAGTTGAAGCTGTTCAGCCGATGACAGATTCCCCCGTGTTTTCCCTCTCGCCCGTTGAAATCGCAGAAGCGCAACGGCAAATAGGCCTGGATGCAGGACCCGTAGCCGAATGGCGCGCGATTGGCAGCACAAAGGTGCTCGTCAGCAGAGTGGACGGGAAAGTTATCGTGCCAGGAAGTCTAGTGAGCAAGGTAATGTGAACCTACCACGAATGGCTGGTACACCCCGGCAAGAAAATCATGCTCGAATCCATGCGCCACGTCTTGACTTGGCCTGGAATGACGGTGGACGTGCCCAATTGGGTACGGAATTGCACGGAGTGTGCTCAGACCAAGGTGGACCGTAACAAGTACGGCAAGCTCCCCACGAAGACGGTCGAAGCGCGGCCATGGGCCGAAGTTGCGGTGGGCAGCATTGGACCTTTTGGACCGAAGAAGTGGCGAGCCTTGACGATGATCGACACCAGCACGAGGCTGCTGGAAATGGCGGCCATGGAGAACGGCGACAGTGCAGAGGCGACACGGATCATGGACCAATGATGGCTAAATCGGTACCCGCGACCGGAACGATGCATCTGTGACCAAGGCGCCGAATTCAAGGGGGAGTTTATTGAACTGCTTGAGAGCTATGGCGTTGAGCGGGTACCGACCTCCGTGAAGAACCCACAAGCAAGTGGAGTGGTGGAACGAGTGCATCGTACGATCAACAACAAGCTACGTGCAGAACGAATTGACACGTTCAGTGAGTGGGAGAACTGTCTGTCTGCGGTGATGTACTCACTCTGAGCTCAGCACCACACAGCGATCGGAATGACTCCAGGACAAGCGACGTTTGGGCGAGACGTGCTGTTCGACGTTCCGATGGAAGTGGACTGGCAGCAGCAACAAGAGAAGAGAGATGCGCAAAGTGTCCGTGCGAGCAAGCGGGAAAACGAGTCGCGGCTCGAGCATGACTACGCCCCCGATGAGCTCGTCATGGTTGCCCGCGGAGACAAGCGATGTAACAGGGTTACACACACAAGTGGCTACAGTCACTTGTAACTCTAACAGACACGACGTCTGTTAGAGGTTCGAAAGACTTTCTCGACCTTGGTGTAGACACACCAAGGACTACATACATTTACGATCACCATGACGGGTGGTCCATAGAGACTAAGGATTCCTATTGGCTGACAGCAGCATCTTTTAGCCAATGAGCGACATGCATAGCGTAGGAATTCTGCCAACCAGCCGTTGGTAGATTCCCAACTTAGAATATTACATTTAGAGGAAGTCAGAAACATAAAACAAAAATAGCAGTTCTCATTTCGGCAAGCTTCGCGACCAGGTTTTGTACAACAGGTATTATTCAGATTTGACGACAGGTATTATCCAGAGATAATTTATCCCGTTTTTTATTACCGTCATTTCAGCTTTTGCCTCACAGCCACCAATTCGAGGGGGCCAAATACAGCCACGTGGCATTCGACGTGCGGCGGTTGCTCGGACCTGGAGACCCCATCGCCATGGCGCGCACCCCCAAGACGGCCCATATCAAGGCGCAGATAGCCGAGCGAGAGCGGCAGGAAGAGGAGGCGCGCAGGAAGGTGACCAGCGCGCGCACCAGGTCGCAGCGATCACAGGCGCTGCAGGATGCCCGCGACTCACGGGTCACGCAGTTTGGCCCTCATGCGACCACAGGAGGCGCCGCGCCCACTGGTGATGACGCCGATGAGGGGGAAGAGAAAGAAGAGGTCGCAGAAGAAGAAGAGGAAGAAGATGAAGACGACGACGACGATGACGAAGATGCAGACGAAGAAGAAGATATAGACGAAGAAGAAAAAGATGAAGAGGAGGACGGATATGAAGAAGAGGGCGCGCAGAAGAAGAAAAAGAAGAAAGGAACTACCAAGGTCCGACAGCGCCAAGGGAAGAAGCGCACCGTTTGTGACGTGGAAGATGAGGACCTGGTCCATGTTCCAGCGTTCAAGGCTCAGCATGACACGTGGCCCCTGCTCGACGTCAGCATGCAGGATTACATGGAGGCGACGCGACAGAAGATGTCATCGCGGAGGTGATTAACGTCGCTCGCCGCAACGCAGACTTGCGTAAGCAGGTCCGCTTCCAAGGGCTTCCAGACTCCGAGATTCCGCTCGTACCTGACAGATGGGAGCCATATCAGCGCAAGTACATCTGCACACACGGCTGGAAGGAGCGTGAGAGGTCGACAGGGAAGAGGACGTCGCACAAGCTCCGCCGCACGGACTGTCCGTTTCAGATGCTAGCTCAAGTCGTCATGCGCCGAGATGGAACGTGGGGCATTGTCATGAAGCGCGAAGTCTACAGCCATAACCACCCCATTTCCGACGGTATCTACAGGTCTTATCCAGGTATTCGCCAGGTTCCCGCAGGCTCTGCTCTGATGCCGGGCATTGAGCTGGTCGACGCCGACGCTGGGACTTCAAGCATCTATAACTACATTCGTCAGAACTCCAACCACCGCGTCACAATGGACGACGTTCAAAACCTGGTTGCACGGATGCACAAGAAAGGCAAGTTATTGTTGTGATAACATGAGTAGTCTGTGAAACTGACTTTATTGACATTGATGACTAGGAATTGAGCTATCTGACGACGATGCAGTGGTGGAGATGATCGTGAATTTCAACTTGGAGTCGCCAATAAACGTATCCTCGGTGCATGAGAACGCGCACGGCGAGACTGGCGTGATATCCTTCACGAACGGTCATATGCGCGCTATGCTGGACAGATTCCCAGAAGGGATTCAAATGGACTGCACGCATCAGACCAACCAGTGAGTCTCCGTATTATGTTTGCAGGTTTTGGCTACGTGTTACTAGGTTTTGATGAGGTTGTGTCTTTGTTCTGAGTAGATATAACTACCAGCTTCTCACGATGGTTGCGATGGATCATTACGGGAACGGGCAGCCCGTGCAGTACTCACCGATCGAGACGAACAGCGACTGGCACATGGCTAAGTGCATGGACCACTTCAAGCGGGCGAACGAACACTGGCGCTTCGTGCGGATTGTCATCGTTGACAAGGACATGCGTGAGATTGATATCATCTGCAAGAAGTTGCCAGAGGCTCGCGTGCTACTGTGTCACTTTCATGTGATCAAGTGGTTGCACAAAACGATTCGAAAGTCCAAGAAGTACGGCGTGTACGAACAAGATGTGCTCTCTCAGATGAAACACACCATTACCAACATGACCTACGCTAGGACGCCTGAGGCGTACACGTCTCAACGCGACGAGTTCAAGAGTCTCGCTCACAGAGAAGACCGCACAGAGCTGTGGGACTACTTTGTCAAGAATTGGGACAAATGGTGCGAGATGTGGGTGATGACGTATCGTGTAAGGCTGCCGCATTTTGGCAATCACACCAACAATCGCGTGGAAAGCTTGTTCGGAAAGCTGAAACGCTACTTGAAGGGCCACCTGACTATGCGTGCATGCCTGAAAGTCCTATTGGCCTACCAGCGACGAAAGGAAGAAGAGTACAAGGCCAAGGTGGAGATAGATGCCCGGGACGCTGCGAGACGTTTCCTACTGTGAGCAGATGAACATTGCCCTTGGCATGACGACACGTTGGGTAGCTGCAGCGATCAAGACGCAGTATGACGTCGCAACGGATGACTCAATTGCTGACAATTACGCATTCAAGGACAATGACACTACGCTCACCGTCCAGTATGATGAACACGAGTATACACTCGAGAAGGAGGACGGGACATGCAACTGTGAGTTCGCACAAACCATGAAGCTGCCGTGCAGACACGCGATGGCGTATCGGAAGACGTGCGGGAACCCTCTGATCATTCCCTTCTCAACCATATCGCCCAGGTATGTCCAGGTTTCACCTATGTATTGACCAGGTATTGCAAGTTGGTTCAGGTATTGACCAGGTATTGACCATGTTTGTGCTGAATTTGTAGATGGTTCGGCCAGAGTCGCCTCTCACAAGATGAATTGACTGAAGTTGAGCAGCCTTTTGTGGCGAAGGTGTTCAAGAAGAAGCCTCGCGCTGTTGCTGGGGCTTTGAGCGAGGCGGAAAAGTATCGCCGAGCACAGCAGGCATTTGGCCGTATCAGTGGAGAGCTCGCGCAGGTTCCGGACGAAGTGTTCGAGTCTGCAATGAGCGACCTTGACAAGTGGTGGTACAATCTGAGCATGGTAAGACGGATCTCCTGCCACCCTCATCCTCTGGTGACGATGGCTCAGGCAGTGGAGGTGGTGGTGGTGGGAACGATGGCGGCGCTCCGGGTGGGAGTGCGTCCCAGGGAGAGGGCCCGCAAGAAGATCATCACGATGACAATGCCGAAAAAGGGAACATACAGGACGAAGACAGATCTGACGATGAGGCACCGACGCAGGTCGTCGATTCGACAACCCAAGCTGCCGATAATGAAGGTTGTTCACGCGGGCTAAGCGTTCGACTGTCAGGCAATGTCAGACGGCAAGGCCGCCCCCCTCTCGACCGTGCAGCGCAGAAGGAAAAGGCAAAAAGGCTTTGAAGGAGTACAACAATGGCACAAACCTACGGACTTTATTACGCGAAAAGATGTGTGTGAAGTGGTGGCTACACTTCACGATGTTAAACCCGGTGTTCGTGAGGTAGGGTCCTTCCTGGCTACGTTGCAAGTGAAGTCTCAAGGGCAAGGCAAACCCATTGATTGGCGTGTCGACGCTGAATTCGTCCCGGGCACAGTCCGGTTTCGTATACCGGAGTCTGTAGTTGACAGCGCGCAGGAGCAACTTCTCGGCGGCCTTGCGAATAACGAACAGATCGAGCTGCAGGCGGCGATTGTTACGTAGCGGCTATTGCTAAGGTCGGCCAGTTCACGCGTGACCAAGTGGAGTCGATGAAGTGGTTGTGGAACCTACAAGCTACATGTCGGGATGCTGTAATTTGTTGCTCGTGGCTTCACCGCGAGGTAAGAGCTGCTCATGCCCCCCCTCCCTCTCCGTGTGCCGGTGCATTTACCGAGCTATTGGAGAACTCGCCATACAATGAACTGCGCGGCTTCGGATTCGACCTGACGTACTCGGATCTGTATTGCTTGCGCGACTTGGCCTGGCTAAATGATGACGCGATGAAGGCATTTGCTGTGGTGCTGGCTAGCTACAAGAACAATGTGACGATTACGGCCACGCCGCAAGGGCATGGTGAGGCTACACACCAGAAACGAAGTCGTAAGGGCCTGCTTTCATCCAACGCACTGGATGGCGTCATTGCAGGTGTTCGACGTATGCATTTGTGCTGCTGCCCGTCAATTTCGGGGGCACTCACTGGGGATGCCTCGTTGTCGACCGAGATGCCAAACAAGTGAAGACGTACGACAGCAAGAATGGCAAGCGCGATAAGCAGAGGTTGAAGAAGATCGCGAGCGAGATTATTGCTTCAGATGCGACTATGGCGAGCTACACGACTGTCGAGGGGACCGAGTCTCTTCAGCCCGACAGTGATAGCTGCGGTGTTTTCGTGTGTGGCTTCTTCTGGACCTGTGTTAGCGACGACGCTCCAAGTGATGTAATGCCGACGGGTATCACCAAGCTACGCTGGGCAATGCTGGAAGCAATCCTAAAGACGAATCGTCGCTAGTCGCAAGAAGATGACGGAGGCATAGTGCATTTTGAGGCTAAACTCAATACATGGACACTACGTGGATGACATCTGGACAACACCTGGAGTTACGTGATGGAGCCATACTTGAGTGATGGCTTCACTTGCCGGTTCTCGCCATGCCGACGGAAGTCGACGCTCATCACTCTGGCTTTTGCTCAAGCAGCGCACACATGAGTACTCCAGGTATTGATACCTGCACGAAACCCGGACTCTACTGCTGAAGACTGATTGGCTAGAGCTCTTCCGACACGAGCCGAGCGCCGTCACTTCCACTTTTGCTCAAGTTACGCACACATGATTCTTCCAGGTTTTTCACGCGCATTATACCTTGTCAGGTAATTTATGTCGGTCGCATAGATTACTTTCATCGGATTCGGCAGGGTTTCGAAAAACCTGTAGATAACCTGGAATAAAACTTGGGCAATACCTGTGGAATCAGTTTTCTGAGAAAAATCTGAATCTGGGAAACCTGGGCGCTAAGGCTGTCCTTCTCATTTTAACCCTAAAAACACTATTTGGATCGTTTATTTATTGTGCCTTTCACTTCTTTTGGCAAATCGGACTTCGGAAAGTGCTCGCTTAGAGAGAGGGCTGGGTTATTACGTCTGTTTTGACGGTGATTGGCACCACGAATCACCCTCGTACTTAAAATAACATCAAATTTTACCCAGTCACAGTAGCGGAATTCTCAAATTTCCTCCAATTATATAGCTTCATGCTCCACTCTTGTGAAGACCTACGGAGCTAGTCACAAGCTCGGGAAAAGCTTGAATGGCCGACACTCGTCCGGCCATTTTAGGTTTTCGTCGCTACAGAAGAGTTAAAGATGACCTACTCAATTGACATGCGTTGGAGAGGGATCGTGCTCATGTACGTATATTCCATAGACACAGCGACAGTAGCTAGTGTTCTAGGTCTATCGGTGCGTAGTTTAGGCCGCTGGTAGCGTCGCTTTCGTACGACAGGAAACATACTGAAGAATGAACCAAGGGCCAAGACGTCAAGATGGCCAAGTGAGGTGTGTGCATTTGTACGATCGTATGTACAAAACCACCCTTGCTTCTACTTCGAGGAGCTGCGCCTCGAGCTGCGAGATAACTTCCGAGACACGATCAGCCTGTCGGACTCAACTATCTGCCGAGCACTTCGCTTCGACCTCAACATAACCAGGAAGGAGCTCACAAAGCGGGCACGAGAATGTGTGCCTAGTGAGCGCCGTGAGTATGTCGCTGGCTTCTGCCCTTCTATAGTGGCCCCGACCAGCTCGTCTTCATTGACGAAACGTCCAAGGATGGAAGGTTTATTTCATACTTGAAGTTTTATTACTGGGAATTACTGACCTAACCAAATTGATGCCTATCTTAATGCTCGCTAGATCTCTTCTTCGTCGGTATGGCTGGTCAACCCGGAATACCCCTGCCCAAGTGACCCTACCGTTCAGTAGGGGAAAACGAGTGTCCATTTTGGCCGCAATGGACGTGCAGGGCTTCTTTGGGTGGGGCAATGTGGAGGGTACGTTCACGCGTGTTGATTTCCATAACGTGTTTAAGGAAACAATCATCCCATTCCTCAACCCATGGCCTTTGCCGCGCTCAATTGTGATCATGGACAATGCCAAGATCCACATGTACAAGGAACTACAAGAGCTCATCCACGCAACAGGGGCTTTATTATTCTTTTTGCCCCCGTATTCGCCAGACCTGAACCCGATTGAAGTGGGGTTTTCCCTCCTAAAGCGCTGGATTCAGCGGCACGCCAACATGGCATTTCGCGAAGACCCACTTGCCGTGCTGAATGTAGCGATGTACAAGTGTACTAGACAGAAAGAAGAAGTGGGGCAAAACTTATATAGTCATTGCGGATACAAACCAAATGACTTAGCGATAACAAGCTAATCTAGTACACACGCTCGTTCGAATGTGTGTGGTTTTCCTCTTATTGCTCCATCGATTCGACATTCGGGTCTCTGTGCTCCTTAGAAACTCCTGCTTGCCTCACCGTAATAGCTTCGCTCTGCATTGGAGTCGCGTCACAAGGCTAGCATCCTGACTCAGCAGTAGAGATCTAGAATCGGAAGGGGGCCTCCTATGTCTGAGCAAAGCAAGCGCACAATCGAGAAGCACACACACCATCAAGCCAAAGGCGCATACACTGACTCCCAATACTCGCTGCTCCGCATTACCAGCTGTGCTTACCCTTGTCGCCTCTGTGGACACGTGTATGCAAGTCACATGCGCACCGACATGCCTTTTAATCGCGCTCACCTTCACCCTCACTGCATCTGCGGATAGGCACACACAGCCCACAACCACGCGCACATTGCCTCTCAACGCAGACCGCGTGAGGACCAAAGTGTGGGTAAAGTTTTAGCAGGATACAAGGCGCCAGACATGCCTGTGTCAACGCCGACTATCGGCGATCTGCAGCATCGTCTCTCGGAGTCCGACTTTGGGCAAGTCGTCACGTTGCGGGGCGAGCTGTACCAGCATGTCCTTGGCTCCCCGGACGTGCGGTACAAAAATAGCCATTGAGGTAGTTGATGCCACCTTCGCTGCCCTCTTGATGCATCTGAAGACAGTTCTCGACGCTGCACACAGTACATCGGCCGACCCAACTGTGCAGCTTACGCGCTATGAGTATCATCTGCATCGCTCGATCGCATCGACAAACGCGCTTCTTGGTTGTCGCATCAGCATCACTACGTACTGCGAATGGGGCGAGCATCTCACTGCGCACTGGCGAGCAACGAACCACGCACAAGTCAGCAATACAGTTAGTGGAGGCGATACGTTGCTCGCATCGACGATGGAGAACATACTGAAGCCGTTGGTCGAGATAAATGAGCGGCTTGCGCGTCTGGAAGAAACCAAGCCATCGACAACAGACCTCATTGCAGATGCTAACGCCGGCGCAACTTCGCCCGCTGCCCCAGCTCCACCACCTGCTCCAGCTACTGCCTCTACGCTGGCAGGCTGCGCGCTCAACTGGTACATACACCAAATATGGGAATCTGTGAAAGGTAAGAAGGAACAAAACAAGCGGGCAGACGCAAAAGCAGCAGTGAATAGCATGCTCGTACTGTACCAGACTCCTTGCACAATCCTCAAGCCACCGCATCGATCCAACGGCGACGCGTACCAGACTTGGAAGCACGACCTCTGGGAGCTGGCGCTCTTGCTGGATCACACTGCTAACGAGCGTCTTGGCAGCTTCGACGGCAAGAAGCCGACCACAAAAGCTTCGTCGCTCCGCAAGCGCTGGCGAGCATTGCGAGCATCGCATCCAGAGGCGTACAAAGCACTCGGTGCACAGTATCTTGCGTTGAAGGCGAGTGGCTCCATCTCCGACGAGTACACACCTGCAACGCATCAGTGGACGGCCAATGATCTTGCGTAGCGCTTGGCCTATACAAAAAGTCCATATCATGCATAGCAGAAACAAACCACATACAAATACATACAAGTTAAACCAACCAAGATGCTGGAGGCCGGGATCGAACCGGCGACCTGGAAGCGAGGCTTCCTGCTCTTCCGCTGAGCTACACCAGCGTTAGTGAATGAGGGGAAGTTGCGGTCGTACCTCGATCGAACCGGTCATTACCTTGGGGCGCACCCGTCTCCGTCGTCACGATGACCGCTGCTGCTGCGTGCCATCGACTCGGCGCTCTCCGGCTTTTATTTCAGCTGCTGTGTCTGCTTACCAGTGTGATGCTTTGTCTGGCATACTTCAACTACTTCGCGTCGAAGCGCCGAGCACGGCTCCGCGCGCACCTGCTCCTTCCCGGCCGCTTCATCTCCTTCAGTGTTCTCTGCTGCAGGTTTGACAGGTTTCCGGATTCCGGTCCGGAATCTGGCAATTACTGCAATCTTGACAATCCCAAAAACAAAAGATTGCAATCTAAGTTATCGCTTGTATTTCCTCTGCTAGGTTCATATTTTTACTCGTTTGGCGGCGCTATCGCCCTAAGATCTCTGCTTATTCGATTGCATACGTGTTAACCTTCAAAAGCCTTGGCAAAAAGCAATGTTGGGTCTTGTATTCATCATGTTGAGCGTGGCCTCGGAAATTCACAGGCAAGAAGACAAATTATCCAAGTAATATTGCAGGGGGAGTGGTTTGTAGTATTTCGCTGTCACACCGAAACGGGTCTTTTGCGCGCTTTTATCCCGGTTGCCAAGCGTTCCTAGAGCGTTTTCAAGCGTGGAAGGACGACAAACCATGAAAGATTAGAGTCCACTGCAAGTAGTTAGCAAGAATAGCTCGTGACGAAGGCTGCGAGATGCCGTTCTTCTTACGAATATACTGTACATCCTAGCCGACTTTATCCATGGCAGCGAGGGACCAGTCTTCAACCCCACAGTCGTGCAGTGTCTGCTGAATGCGTTTGCACCCGAGTTCCACCGCACCCGCTATGATCCGGCGTTTGCGTTCTCGTGGTACTTCGTCGTCTGTGAAGACCAGTTGCACCAGCCTCTTCAGGTGCGGAGTCTTGTCAGCATCACACAAAGCTGTCGAAATTGAAGCTGGGGGAGCGCGCTGCTTGTCGTACAGCGACAGCATCAAGTCGCTGTTCTCACACGTGGAAGCCTCAGCAAAAGCCTTGCCCCTCAGCTCATCGGAGATGCGCGTGTCGTGGCACAGCAAAGCCACGACTCCCGCGTGACCAGCATTTGCTGCACGAACAAGCGCCTCGCCCAGCACCTCGCCTGGTATGCGGCTATCCTCGTGCAAGAGCTTCACGATCTCAGTCCGATTGGCATCGAAAGTGAACCTCCAGTACTGCAGTCCCCAGCCAGAAGCTTTCTTAAACGCAGCAACGATCGCCTCGTCGGAGATGCGCTCGTTCTCGTAGAGGAACTTCACGAGTTCGGCGTTCGTTGCATCTACGAACGCTCAGTCAACAGAAGACGGGGTCGCATGGCGTGTACTACAGAGAATCTTCATCGTGTCGGTGTTGTTCCGCAAGGAGGTTGTAACGGGGTTACACGTAGGTTACCCTTTTGGTTACCCTTTTGGTGTGCGATACACCAAGTGTTACTCCCTGGGCCACTGGCCAGTCATTGAGAATGAACTAGAGTTAGTTATGTCGATAGTAAGTGCAGGTATTTGCACCGTAGGCGGCGGAGCCGCAGATAAGAGAATGAATACAGTTTGCCTTTTGCAAGAAGTCTCTAACTTGTTTTCGTGGGTCCTCGGATAGGACCCTGTAGAGCTCTTTGAGTCGTAAAGTCTTCCTCTACGCAAGGAGCTACGGCAGGCCCGCTGCACTTGGTAGCACTCGTAGTCAATCCCTCACCTGAGTCTGTTAGACTGTACCTCTGTGAGGATGGAGCAAGCTGCGTTCGCGAATTTGGCCCCCGGCCAGCAGGAGGCGCTTAAAAACCTTATGTCTCTGTTGGGCCCGGAGGGCGTGGCGCACCTTGCCTCGCAAGGCCCGGACGCGATCAACGCGCGTCTCGAGGCGTTCTCAAGTTACGAGAATGCTCTGTTGGAGCACATCCAGCAGAGGATGAGCGCGACGGCGCCTGCAGCGGCGTCGGCCGCGTCGCAAGCCGGATCGACTCGACCCAAGCCACTCATGCTGAGTGTCTAGTCGTTCGAGGGTCTGGAGGGGGAGCATCTCCTGCTCTGGATCCGCGAGATCGAAATGGCCATGGGCTCTGCCCTGCTTCAATCGGAGCACCAGCGCGTCGCGCTTGTCATCTCTAAGCTCAGCGGAAGAGCTCGTGAGTGGGCGCTTACCAGCGGGTCGTCGGTAGACCAAGCCTTCCCGACATGGGATGAGCTGAAGCGACAGCTCTCACGAGTGTTCTCGCCGCCGAACCACGCATACCGCGTGCGGTCCAAGTTCCTGGCTTGCCGTCAGGGGAAAAAGGACTTGGTGGACTACGTCCAGGAGCTACGCACGCTCATCGCCGGCATGTTCGCTGAACCGCTGCCTGAGTCTGTCACCATCACGGTGTTTATGGATGGTCTCAGGACCGGAGTGGCTCGCACAGAAGTGTTCCGCAGTCGTCCTACCTCGTTCGAGGAAGCTGTGGCTGTGGCGTTGAACGCCGAGCACAATTTCAAGTCCGCTCGCGTCGGCTGGAGCGCGCCACAGGCGAGTACGTCGAACGGTCCTGAACCTATGGACCTCAGCTACGCTGAAAGTGACGAAGCCGAGCTTCGGGCTGCTGAGCAGCGCCGCGGTATCCGCCGTTGCTACACCTGCGGCAGCACCGAGCACTTGCGTCCGGGTTGCCCGCTGCGCAAACAGCAATCTGCTCGTTCGAGCGGCCCCGCTTTGAGCCACAAGGCTGGTTCGTCGCGGGGAAACGGCGACTCCCAGTAGGCGCGGGGCGGCCTACTGGTGAAGAACTAGGTTCTGTAGTGCCTCAGGGAGGGGGAGGACAACGGAGTCTAGTCCCGAAGAGAGCCGTACTCTCAAACACGGAACGTAAATGCAAGCCGGGCTTGCTGGTCGTCATTGCGACTGTGAAGGGCTTCGAGAAGCCGTGGACGATCTTGATTGATTCGGGGGCGTCTGGCAATTACGCCAGGCGTTCCTCCGTGGAGGGCAGCGAGTTATATGCTGTGGCGCTTCGCGCGCGTTCTCGTGACATAGTCACTGTCCGTTTGGCGACGGGCACTCGTGTCACGGTGCCCAAGGTCCCCATGGACTTGGGCGTCAAGTTCCTTGACTTTGACAGCACGGAACGCTGTATTGTCTTGGACCTGGATTCAAGGTATGACCTCATCCTTGGCATGGCGTGGCTGGAACGCCATGAGCCTTGGATAGACTGGAGGTCGAAAACATTAGGTGCTACGCACTTCTCTCCTGGTGGGGCTTTGGCGAGTCATGAACCCACCTCTGCCAGGACACAGAAGCGCTTTTGGCGCGAGCACTGGACCGAGTCGGTCGCTGTGCTGGACATCGGTGTGTCCGAGTTGGTCGACAACGCCGTTGTTGGAGAAGCACTTCCCGGAGTGGGCGCGACGTCGTATACGTCGGCCGGTCTCGAGCATCGCTCGTCGGACGTTTGTGGGGCGGCACGTACTCCGCTAGTTCAGGGGCGTTTAACGCCTGGCGACGGTATGTCGCGGCACTCGGAGCTCGGCTCCCCTCGTGCGCGTGGGATGGCACGTAATCCATCGACTTTGGGGCGTTCGACGCTAGGCGACGGTTTGTCGCGGCCCATTGGGCATGGCCCTGCGGGGGACAAGGCGGAGCGTGTCTCGCCTGGTGCTTTCATGACCAAGGATTGCCGTGTTGGCGATTCCTCGCTGGCGTCCACGATGGACGGAGGCGCGTTGTCGCCTGGATGTGGTGACGACGCTGTCGCCACGTCTCCCTCATCCTCTCGGCCTCGGGCGCGGAGGAGTAGTAGGAAGAGACGCAGAGCGTCTGCGGCGTCGAGCGTGTCGAGCGATGAAGCTCCACGCGAGTGCTGCGAGCAGCTATACACGCTCGTGAATGGGCTGACGGGAGACGTCAATGGTGACATCAGCCTTGAAGCTCTTCCCTCCGTGAGTGCTCTCCTCGAGCTTGAGGAGATGTCCGTCGCCGAGTTTGGCGAGGCCTTAAAGGCGGGCGATCTAGCCGAAGTGGTCATGATACGACCAGAAGAAGAGTTAAACTCGTCGTCACTATTGGACGAAGCGGTCCTGGAGGACACTAAGCAGGCGCTTAATAAACGTAGTGGCTCAGCCATCTTGAAGGATCCGTCAGATCCGTTGTACCCGTTGGTAGTGGAGTTCGGAGACGTTGTCTCGAAGGACCCGCCTATGGGCCTACCTCCTGATCGAGGCGTTCGTCATGAAATTGACTTGGTTCCGGGAACCAAATATTGCGTCACACGCCAGTGGCCACTTCCCAAGGAACAGTGTGACGTCATTGACGCCTTCTTTCGTGCCAAGAACGAGGCAGGACTGGTGCGCGAAAGCAAGTCCCCGCACTCGACGCCGACATTCTGTGTCAGGAAGCCGAACGGCAAGTGGCGCATTGTACATGCTTTCAACAAGCTTAACGCGGCCACTATCCCGGCACAAACGCCGATACCTCGCAAGGATGTTCTTCAGAACAACATGGTTGGGTGCACGTTGTACAGCGCTCTCGACTTGGTCGATGGCTACTATCAGCTGCTCATGAGAGCGAGTGATATCCCTCTCACTGCGGTGAGTACTCCGAGCAGCATGCTCTGGGAGTGGTTGGTTATGCCCCAAGGGCTGTCAAACGCACCGGCAACGTTTAATCGTCTTGTGATGCAGTTGTTTCGGCCGCATCGCGCATATGCGCAGACGTACGTTGACGACATCTTTGTCCACAGTCGTGCGGAGCACGGGAAGTCGGATATGGAGAACCACATCGACCATTTGAGAGCTGTGCTCGAGTGTATGCGAGCGAACAAGCTCTACGCCAATGCCGACAAGTGCATCTTCGGCGCTGAAGAAATTCCCTTTCTGGGATGCTTCATTGGGAAGCGTGGTCTCCGAGCGGACCCTGCCAGGGTCAAGGCCATTGTGGACTGGCCGGTTCCTGCGAACCCGAAAGACCTGCGCAAGTGGCTGGGTCTGGCAAACTATTTGTACAAGTACAGCGAGAATTATGCTGTGTTGGCACAACCATTGTCTTACCTTCTCAAGAAGGATGCTGAATGGTGTTGGGATGCCGAGCAGCAAAGCGCTTTTGAAGCAGTCAAGGAAAGCCTGCTTCAGGCACCGATACTGGCGCTGCCAGACCCCGCTCGGCCGTTCAACGTCGTGTGTGACGCGTCCGATTTTGCCATTGGCTGTGCACTGCTTCAAGCAGACGCCGATGGGCGTGAGCGGGTCATTGCGTTCGAGTCTCGGCAGCTAAATGCTGCTGAGAAGAACTATCCTGTCCATGACAACGAGCTACTCGCGATGAAGTATGCCCTCGTCAAGTTCAGGGTTCATCTGCTCGGTTCCAAGCCGTTTGTGATCTTCACAGACCACGCGTCCTTACGCACTGCGACACAGTCGCCTCACCTCTCGCAGAGGATGACCCGTTGGCTCTCGTTCTTTGCGGAGTACAACTTCGAGGTGAAGTATAAGCCCGGTTGGCAGAATGCGCTGGCCGACGCGCTGTCACGCAGGCCTGATTACGAGCTCGCTCACGTCACGAGTGTGACTTCGTCGATCACTGACATGATCCGTGCCGCGTATGCACGTGATGAGAGTTGTGTAGCTTTGCTACGGACGCTGGGGAGCGCGGAGTTTCGAGACTCGGACATCAAGTTGTCTGCGCGGTTGCGGGCGCGATTGCATCGCTACTCCCTGGATGGGGATCTGCTGTATTACAGCACTGGATCGGATGACACGCCCCGCGTCGTCGTTCCTCACGACGAGGACCTTAAGCATCGTATCCTCTATGAGGCTCACGACGCTCCCTTGAGCGGCCACCTTGGTCGCGAAAAGACCTACAGCTCTGTGAGCCGCCACTACTGGTGGCCCAAGCTGTACAAGTGGGTTAAGACGTACGTGAGTACCTGTGAGTCGTGTCAACGGGTGAAACCCTCCCCACATTCGGCGGCGCCGTTGGCAAGTTTGCCTGTCCCGTCCGGGTGTTGGCAGTCCATGAGCCTGGACTTTGTGTTTGGCTTACCGAAGGATTCGGCAGGCAACACGGGAGTTGTGGTCTTTGTTGACCGTCTCAGTAAGATGGTTCATCTGGCGGCGGTGCCGGACACCATTGACGGGTCTGGTACAGCGGAGCTGTTTATCGACCGCGTATTTCGGCAGCATGGGCTGCCTGAGTCTATTGTCTCGGATCGAGATCCTCGTTTCACGGGGAAGTTCTGGACGTCCGTCTTTCAGGTGCTTGGCACTAGTTTGGATATGTCCACGGCGGATCACCCCCAGACCGATGGTCAAACTGAGCGCGCGAACCGCGTCGTCGAAGATGTTCTTCGCAGTGTCTGTGCGGAGACGCCTAAGCGCTG